CATTGCTCTTTTACATGTCGTTTTCTCAAGGAGGCTGTGAGTGCAGTTGAGAAGGTGGCGCCTCTCACTCAAAATGGACACTCTTTGTTGTAGACCTCTAGACCGGCCACATAAGAAACTGCCCGCCCCTCTTAAGTCAAGTAGCCAATGACATGGAGATTGAGCCTTTATACTTATCTGCAGTCTTCTGGGTCGGATCATATTGCCTACTCATCAAGCCAAACCCTTGATTCGACAACATACCCGACTCTCAAGATGACAATCAGCATCGATGCCTGGAGGCAGTGTTCCTCGAGACCCTTGCGAGTGGACACAACACGACTCTGGATTGACGCTCAAGCCTCGAACCTCCCAAGTCTGCCAGCCTCGTTGTCTTCCATAAATCCGCCAACGCCATACCACCCTCTGCCTGTCCAACAGCCTTCAAACGAGCAGAGAGCAATGGATTTCGACCGCCAAGTCGTGGCAAATCTCGACTCATTCGGCAGGCAGCAGTCTATAGAAAGGGCCACTGATACAACCTTTCTCTCCAAGGGATGGTCACCATTCCGTACCTCGCTAGAAGCCATACACGAAGGCCGCCGGCACACTGTAGCCTCCCCAGAGCTGACATTTGGAAAGAACATGCAGTATCGACATCCGCAAGGACCGCGAAGGCGTTCTGGGCCAAACATTAGGTGCTCACCAGCCCCTTGGACTCCCTCGGATGTACATAGCTTCTGCGTTGTCCCGAAGCCGCTCTCCAGACCCGCCAACCCAGGCCAGCTGACTTGCGGGACAGAAATCTGGTGGCCTTCCCTACAGAACGGCGACATGAAGATCCATGTGGCCATCACGGCTCGCTCGGGTCTCACCGAGCGGCTGACGCGCTGTGTGCCGCCACAACTGTTTGAGATGCACATCGCCCCAATAGGCTCTCCTGAGCGCAAGAGAAAAACATCCTTCCCAGCTCCAGGCACGGTGCTACCAGTGCCAGGAAACACCCCTACCACCCCCTACTCCGCCGTCTTCCTAAACCGCCGCTTCTCTGTGGCGCCCGCGAGCAGTTCCCTGAGCCCACGTTCACCCACTTCGAGACGTCGAGGGTCGCAAGTCCGCTCCGAAATTGCTCGAGAGTTCATCAGTAAGTCTTCCCATAGAGGAGGAATCGACATGCTGGGGCGCATTGCTGACGCACGAACAGCCAGGGATCGTGCTTTGCAGCAGCTCCCGATACTGGGCTCCATTCTAGTCCAAACGAAGCGGCCCATTCAGTACGACGAGACGATTCTTCTCCCAGTGCCTTGCCCTAGTGCCTGGGCGGAGACCATCTGCTATATTGAGACAAACAACACAGAGTACTTGTCCGAGTCTGTAAAGGTGAACATTCTCAATCTTGGCGGAAAGCTGCCTTATGATTGACTTTGGGAGGACCGAAAACGACATGTGTTTGGTCCGATGTACTTGGCTGCTTTCTTTTTGTGATTCTTGTTGTTGCATCCCCGAATCCTGCTTTACTTGACGAGCGTTGCACTTTTGTACATATTGGTGGTAATATTCTTTAAATCCAGCGTTGTCACTTTGCTAATGGAGAAACCATATGCCCTTTGGCTCTATACAAGATTTCCAGATCTTCCAGGTCTGGGAATATCCGCCCAGCTGTCGGCGTCAGAGTCAACACGCATAGTAGACACAGCGGGGGGATGGCCGGATGCAGCTGCAAGTCTATCCTCCTACCTCTCACATCCATGTGACAATACGATGCCTCTGTCCTCTTTGCGCACATGCACCGGAAGTGCCCAATGTGCGCTTCCGGCAGGATCGTGTTACATCGCTCTCACATATGTATTCCTACTATGGTCGACGTGCGGGACGGGAAGCTCGAAGGGTAGAGTCCATGCTTGATGCCGCGTACTCTCCCTTGTACGCGCGCACACGGACTTGGCTTGATTATTGACTTGTTATGTGAGCTTCGACGGGGCCATCCACGGAATGATCGTCAGGTTCTTATTCCTACTACGGCTTGCACTGCGCACCGCGAGGCGATGATGATGGGCGCACCGAGGCAATACATGTACATACATACGGATACGTAACTTGGCACATCGGGAAACGATGGGGGGAGAAGGGAATTATGGACACATATGCGAGCTGCACGTCATCTACAAGGGTGGCCAACTGGCAACAACAGCCTGGGCAATCCTCCGCTTGTCGCGCTGTGGCCTTCCAGGCCCTTCCTGCGTACACGTACTGGAACGTTAGTAACTAAATACACAGTGCTTTCTATAACTAAGTAGGACGGACGTGCGCATGATGACCAGCGTCTTGCGCCCAGCCCCAGACGGAGGATTCGGGCAATGCGAGCTAATTCGCGTGATGGAGCCGCTCCACGATATGCCGAATGCCTGGTTGCTTGTCACGACATGCATTTCTTAGGTCTAAGATGCCACGGAACGGTCCCAGCGTCTTTCTATGTATGTACCTGATTAGTCTGGTGCAGCAGGCATGGCAGACAGACAAACAGACCCTTGGGAGGGATTGTGTGCTCATGCTGTTGGCTGCACGACACGACAAGCCGCATACTCTCCTGGGCCACCGGTGAGCCCAAACGAACCATGGACTCACGGAATGTCAAATGCCGAAAGGAAGTTGCTCGCCTTCAATAACCATTGTTATGCACAGACCAAAACTGTTTTTACCCGGGGACCGTTTGCTGTACGTACGTACATACCCATTTCCCGCGCTCTCCACGGCGGCAAACCCCGAGGACCACCAAGCTTCGGCTCTCTCCTCGTACTGTGCTGTACATACACCACATCCAGTCCACCATTGGCGCCATTCGCGTCGGTCGTCAGTTGCTTCTAGTCCAGTGACCAGTTCTTCATGTGGCTACCCGCCGACCCGATCTCCGCGAGGCGCGAGACGATGGGGGCTGGACTGCGCCACGAACGAGGAGAAGCCGCGTGCGCCGCGAAAGAACGAACTGCGCATCATTTCCCCCACCTGCAATGTCCGCGCGCCGATAAGCTGCTGGACTGACAATCTGAGATGTAGCCGCTGATGAAAGAGGAGAGAATGGGGCGTGTGCGATTGATATTTCCGTGCAGGTCGAACAGGAGGGAAGGTGGAGGGGAAGACGTCTCCACACACTGCGCAAGGACCTGCGTCTGCCCAGGTGCAGGCATCAGAGGATGAGGTTTAGTCTCATACATGGGGGACTTGTTCGACTTTGCCGATGATGGCATCGTCAGCCAGTCATTAAGTAACGCCTTGATCAGTCGATGCCCACACGCTGGCCCTGGCTGTTCTGATCCGGCAGCAGCACGGGCCGTCATGTTCCAGGGTCTGACAGTTACATATGTAGGTACAGTACCTGTCTATATCAGTGATTCTCTCTACTACGCCTGGCTGGTTTCTGTAAGTAGTCGTCATCGCGCCAGCCAAGAAGGCTGCAGCGAATTCTCCCACGGGAAGTGTGGATGTCCATCGGCCGTCCATCCATTGGTATTAGGACGGTAGGGCCCGCAGTGATCTATCTACAATCTGTAGACTGTACCGTATTCTGCAGAAGACGCGAACATGGGCTCGAGAGGGTGTATCCACAGTTGGTGGTGTGGAGTGCAGACACAAGACAGAGAGGAAGAGAGGCTGGCATCCAAACAAGCCGAGATCGTTCTTTGTCTTTCTTTCGACCGTCATGTGAACTGCTAGTACTCGCCCTCCTTTGAGGGTGTATGGATGTTCGCGGCGTGCAGTTCAAGTTGGATGAACAGCAAGACTTGGCCCTACCGCGCTCCCTTCTGGGCACGGGACACGCCCTCATCAACAAGTCCATGTCGTTCCAGCTCGGCTGGCGCCAAGCTGTGTCGATTTGACGGGTCGCACTCAGCGGCGTCGACTCCACTACCGACGCCAGCGCGAATGCACCTCATCATCGCAGACGGTGGGCCACAACTTGCAAGGACTGCCTAGCTTGCCCTCTCGGCAGGCCTCTCGCTAAGAGCCAGTTGGTGGTTCATCCCCTCTGATGCGTCTTTTGGCCTTTTCGTTTGTTTATATCCCTTCTTCGTGAGCTTCAGCATGGTAGAATGTTCGGTGGCTGTGACTTTACCTCTGATGGGAATGATCAGCATCCTCTCCTCTCTTCCCAGCTCTCGCCGCGCGTGGGTGTAGAGCATAGTAAGCCTTATTACGTAGGACGCGAGGCTGACGGCGCAGCTGCATCTACTAATAGTGGTCTTTGATGTATGCGCCGTGGATCGTGTGGTGTGTGGGAGGCTGAGACATTGTGCATGTGTGCCCTCCCCAAGTTTTAGTCAACACTACGGTGCCCGCCGTCTAGGCCCGTATCGATCGCTCGCATGAGCTGGCATCTGTGAGCTTCGAGTTGCCATGCAAGACAGAGAGCTGCAGCCCCAGTGGAAGAGCGACGTGATGCAGGCGGATTCAAACATGTTCCCACCGTAATCGGCAGCTTGACGACATGCTGATGGACCCTGACTACCTTATGCATCTTGACATCAATGCTGCAAGGCCAAGAGCGAACGCAAAGAGACAATTGTGTATCCAGAATGTAGTAGCTCTCAAAGTCATTGTGCACACTCATCTATGAATCACCTTTTCTAAGGTATTTGCTAAACTCGGTGTGCCAAAAATAACAAAACAAAACAAAACAAAAAAAAACATCAAGTGTCTGCCTGTCTTCAGACACGCCTGTAACGCCGTGGCTCCCTCCTAGGTCTGTGAAACCGTGAAAGTGTGTCCAAGAACAACCGTTTGCGCAGGACCGAAATTCAGAAGAAGCCAATGACTCCATGAAAGAAACTCGCCAAAGTCAAATCATTTTTTCGTAACCACCCGTCGTGGGAATCATACTCGTCGTGTCATGCATAGCGTAGTAAAAACAAGGCCAGATCTCCCGCCTGCAGCGGCAGAGAGGATCGGCCGACCTGAACTTGCAGCCCCATTGCTCCCCGTGGGAGCTGAGACGATGTAGCTCTCAAGTCGCCTTCTAGAGTCCATCATGATTCCACCGGGATCGGGATGGGCTGGCAAGAAGTGCATGCGTCGAGCGCGGTGGACGCATGCTTCTCGTCAATGGCAATCGTCTCTCGGAACTGTGCGTGGCGTCCCTTCTGCCTCACATTGTAGCGAATCAACGAGTTGTTGCCAGGCGGCGTCTTGAGCACGATCGATGGCTGGGGGGCGGGAGCCAAACGCTCCTCGTCGTTGGTGTCACCATCGGCGCGGCTGCCCCAAGACGTCTGTTGCCCTTTGTTAACCCGACGACCAGAAAGGTGAGTTGCGAGTGATCTTACCATGTTAAGAGTGATCAGAGCGTAGAGCTTGATGAGGCCGTGGAAGTACCCAAAGACAATGGACAGAGGCAGGTACATGATGTCGCTCGGATTGCGGCGGAAAAGTCCAACAAGCTTGACCACTTTGGTAAAGGCGAACATGAAGATGAATTGCGCCCAAAACGCATACAAGCGGTTTTGCATGTCCCACGCAGCGGTAGCCCACCAGCACGTTGCCAAGAGCAGGGGGTCAAACAGGAAGGCCAGGGAGGTAAAGGTCGCAATGTGAAGAGCGTAAGTGCTCCAGGGCTGTTGCTTCCAGACGTATCGCTCCCGGACAAGACTCGTCCAGTTGCTGCGCCAGTTGCTGCGGGCCCAGCGGGAGCACTGGTACAGGAACTTGACGCCATTCTCCAGAGTCGTCTCAATCTCACACTCAGACTCGTACTGGATCCAGGTCTTCCACTGGTGGCTGACCAGCCAGCGAGAGACAAAGTTGTCGTCGTCAGCATTCAAGATCCACTTTCTCCACTTTTCGTTCTTAAAGCCGTGAAGGAAGTCGTGGCTGGACAAAATCTCCGTTCGGTAAGCGCCGGTGCGCCCAGACATGCAAGAAGTGCCACCGTCCATGTTGTGCGTTGCCGAGATCTCAAAGTTGCGTCGCTCAATGTAGGCCGCACCGAGCCAGTTCCAGAGACGGTCCACCAGGGGAGCATCCCACTCGCGACGGACGCGTTGACAGGTGCCAACACCGCCGATCTTGGGGTCCTCAAAGGGAGCAAGCAACCAGGGCATGAGTGTCTTGGGCCATGTCACGTCATCATCGGCCATGATTGTGATCGCCGTGTGGACGTTTGGCAGAGCCTCGCAAACCTGGATACGCTTGTTGGCGATGGCAACAGACATGACGCGAACACGGTGGTGGGGGAGTGTGGCGACCATGCGCTCGAGGTCTTTGCGCTTGTCGTTGGTGGTGACCATGAGAAGCTCATATGGCTCACAAGCCAAGATACTCTCCAGGGCGGGACGGAGCTCCTCAAACACGTTATGGATCGTAGGAATGACCACTGTCACATCTTGGCTGGTGAATGAGGGCTTGGCCGGGATGGGCTTGGATTTGTATGTCCAGTGACTGACACAGTGAACCAGAAGGCGAAGATAGCGATGGATCCTATAGGGCCGTCAGTGAAAAACTCAAAAAGTTCCGTATTAACCAAATCTTACCATAGACCCCAGAAAACGCAGATCCAGAAAGACGTCGATTGCCAGAAGTGGAACGAAGGCATAAGCAGTTCCAGGGCAGCAACAGCCTTACTGGCGACTGCATCGAGGATGGCCTCCATGGCGGCAACGGCGAGAGATGCAGAAGAAAAGCGAGAGTGTGAAGAAAAGTTTTTTTTGTACGCCTTTGTCGTCTGAACTTGCTGTTATTGACCTGCGCGCTGTGGGCTCGCGCTCTTCCTGTAGTGTTCACAGGTTCATCGATCAACTGGTCTTCGGCGCGTTTTTCTTGTCTGTAAAACGACGCTCCCAATGTCAATCGTTTCGCGAGCTTTCAAACAGCACTTTTCCAGAAACGAGCGCCAGCCGGGGGCTTCAAAAATTGTTCAGATCGTTTCCAGATCAAACAAGACGATGATGCGAGCCGTGAGTATGCCAACACACAGACGGGGGCACACGACAACAGCCAATGGCTGACACAAAGAACCCAAGAAGAGCAGACCAAGCAGTTGCCGCGCCGAGCAGGTGGACAGTATAGTACAACGGACCAGTCGAGACTCTCAAGCCAGCAGCAATCTGGCGAGTGTACTCTCGGGTTCGTACGGGGAGGGGGCGAGGGATAAGGGAGGGGGGAGAAAAGTGAAGTTCAAGAGACGTTGGACATGATCAAAAGGTTAGCGACCAGGCTGTGTGTGAAGGCGAGGGTAGAAGATATATAAACTACAAGGCCAGGTGGATGAATGGAGAAAAGGCCTGGGGTTGGCATCTTGATTGACGGACGGGTAGTCGGCCGGATCGTAATTCTTGTGCGTATCCTGCCCCATTGAGCGGGCCATGTCCTAATGTCATGCATGTTCGCGGAGTCGACCTGGACCCTCCTCTGCTGGAGGCAAAATGTGTGCTCGCCCAGATGCGAGTCTGGCGCGCGACGCTCGTCTCGTCCTTGCGCAGGCATGCGGCAGCATGTAATTAGAGATTAGTCTCGACGACGACGAGAGGGATTGAGGACTCGACGACGGCTTACAGCACCTTGGTGGGCGCGACCAGGCAGGGTTCAGGGACCCAAGACGCTGTTGCTCCGGCGTCAAGACGCTAGTAGGGCCGCCTGCTGGAGATATCTGTGCCATGGTGGAGTCGACGAGGTGGAGAGCAACCTTGTCGCAGATTCAAACGCCGTGGTGAACTTGTGAGAAGGAGGGGCGTGCATTGGAGATGTGGACTGATGACTGACGGAGACCGAACTGTTTGTCAACGTTGATCTGTGCATGACTACAACAAGAGACAGACAAGGACTTTTGGCTTCCTTAGATGCCCATTCGATTCGTCTTCTGCTGTCTCCAGCCATTGGCGACGCTTCTGCAAAAAAAAAACTGTCAGTCATGTGTGGACAGACAGGCAGAGTCCATGATCTGGGCCATCTGGGGCGACAACCGTGCACTGTGGGTGGTGGAGACCAATGGCCTGTCGAATGTGGTCATGGACTCATGAATATCACGCGCCTTCAGGTACCTGCGGTTGATGGTTGTTCTCGGACTGGCGCTGATCAGCCCTTGATTCTGCAACGGTCCACGCCCATCTTGCAATTCATCCGCGCGCGTCGCCTTCGTGAATCAGCGGGTTTCCTTGCCATCTCGGCAATGACCAATTTGGCCAGCGTCAACCACACTATGTGTCCAGTTGCTAATAGCCGGTAGAAGACCGGGATCTACAATCGCTGAGTGGAGGGGGCCAAGCGCTCTCTGTTCTTAGTCGGGCATGCGCGGCTTGTTGGAGTTTGGATGCGTAGTAGCCAGCGAGCGGCCGGCCACCCTGGAAAGATGCGGAGCATGTATTGCGCACGCGCCGGCCAGCGTGGAGAACGGAACGAGAATGATCTGATCAAGGACAAGCGACCCCAGTCACCAGCTGTTTCCCATGTTTAGACTTTAAACTGGTAGCATATAGGGCGTACCTTTCGTACTAGACAAAGTTGGATACTTTGACGAGCGACGTGAGGGCTCGCTACATGGTTAGCAATAGTCCCGAATGGTTTTGAGTTGCGAGGGCCTTTCTTGTTCAGCATCCGCCTGCATGCGACCTAGGACAGCCTCTAATTGCAGCTTCAGACCGGGCAGGGACCAGCTGCATATTGAATGGACCGCGTCTGCGCGAGCCGACTTTTAACCCGCTCGTGCAGAGAAATCTGTTTGGTGGTCCGCAAGCCGGAGGGAAGAGAAAAGATGGGTTGGCTACTGCCATTGGCCAACCAGGACGAATCGTCGACGAGTCGAATGGACAAGCAACTGCTATCGCATGCAGGTACTTGCAGAGAAGTGGTTGGTTGCGCCACTGCTGCTGCATCGTGTGCCCCTCCAACACCTGATGGCGCTCGATTGCTGCCTACTTTCAGGCCAGCGTGGGGAGGACGTGGCCCGAGGCTGAACCAAACAAGACCATGCCGACATGCTGCGCGCACAGCTGGTCTGCTCTCTAAAAGTATTCGCTCGTGGAATCACAATGCCAAGCCACACCATCGCAATACATGCGAGATTGTAATTATGTCGAGGTCTCAAAGGAGGGGGAGGCCAAAGGCCCCGACCCTCAGTCTGCCGATCGTGATGCACATTGCATGAAGCCAAGTCGTAGCCTCAGTGAACATGGTATCTCCTAGACACAGCGCACAGTCGAGAGGCTTCAGTCCATATTCAATAGTAGTCGCTGGCACCATGCGACGTCGAGCTGCGGTGATTGTCATTATCAAGGATGGCAACGATAATGTCGAACACGCGGCACGCCAGCCATGCGGGGTTGAGCTAAGTAGGCGTTCGACGGGATCAGAAGGGCTGTGCGTGAGCGGCCCAGGGATGAACCCTGGGTGGCGTATTCATCTCAGCCAAGATAGTCTGCTGCCTCCGAATGGACATTGTCAGTCTATCGATCGAGCACTGTGAGTAGCGTTTAGGGCGGTGTTGGATGCATCGTCATAGGTGTTACCAGGCATGTCTTGCTCATGCTTGCAGATGATGATGTGACGCGGGTGGAGCATGCCACTTGAGCTGGGAGCTTGCCAGCGGCTCTTTATTAACAAGCAGGGTGCGGAAGTAGACGTTCTGAGACATTGAAGTACTTACATGATGGTCTGTCTACTACTTTGGCGTTGTGAGATGCAGCTAACGAATGCACTGCAGATTATTGCAATACGACCATGCCTTGACTTGTTGATGACTCCATGTTGTTTGTGGTGCAGCCTGGTGCTGTGCTCATTGGCACTGCTGGTGGTGGGGGCAGCGTTGTCGGTCGACGGTGCCATGCCATTAGTGGTGGGCTGGGCTGCTGCTGCTGTTGGTCGCGACGTGCTTGCGGGTTTTCTTGCAGTTATTACCTTACAGCAGACATAATGGAGCGATGAAAAATTTCCTTCGGAGCGCATACCCTTAATGTAGCTGACTTCATGCAGAGTGAAAACGTTGATGACGGAGATAGGCCAGACGCATTATGGCTGAAGTCCATGATGGCTAGCAAACTGGTTGCAACTGCCGTTCGACTGTGACTGTGACTGGAGCCTGGATCGAAGACTGACATTGTCATTCTAGTACTGTAGGTACCTTGGAGAAGGAACAATCAGTCATATCACTTATTATTGCCTTAGGTACCTTAGGTAAGGTACTGCTACCTTATGCATCTTATCGTCAGGGCGTCCCAATCTTTGCTGCCGTGGTTCACTTGCGCAGCTGCCCAGAGATCAACACCTATAGCGCGATTTGCGTCGCAATATGCGACTGGAGCCTCCCATGTCGAGGGCACGATGAGATCGACTAATGTTGCCGCCATTTTTAGCATTGCGTGTCGAATATGATTTCATCCCACCGTCCATGGTCCCATGCAACACATAGCCTGCCCATCCGTGCATGCGTTGTAGCGGGTCGAGGGGCAGGCCGCAGGCCTTGTGTGAAGGCGGCAGCCGTTCGACAGCTTCACTCCAGAACCCAGCTTCTCTGGCGCTAAAGCAGTGATCTTGAAGGGTCTCTGCCGTATGAACCAATGGAGATGGTGGACAAATGCTGCATCTGTGACTGCTTGATTCATCGACGGACATTTTCCTCACCTCAAGCTACATTCGGCGCAGATCGCCGGGCCCTCTACGTGTAGTTCTGGAGCTTGCGGGACAGCGGCTCAACCCTAGTTGGCCGGATGATCGACAATGGCCGTCCCGGTGTGCGCACAGGGCACAACTTAATCACCATCTAGCTTTAGTAGTCAAGGCACCTCATGGACTATAGTAAACGAACTAATGGCTTGGGCTTTGCCTCGCACGTTAGGTGATCGGACGGCATCTGGACGACAAGGACTGGAGTTTCCCGACGCATGCGAATATTCCATTCCGCACCTCCGGTCTCAAACTGTGTGTGGAATAGGGCCCTGCGTCCTTCCTGGGGTTGGACGGTTGAAGTTGAACCCCACGGACCTAAACCAGACAAGGATGTCCCGTCCCGTCCAATAACTTACCTTAGCCAGCCGTCCTCAAGCTTCACCCACGACCTCAATACCTCCATCTGCAACGGATGCAAGACTTATCATCTCGGCTATTCTCAACAAATCCAGAAAGCAAGTTCAGCGACAAGGCATCGTGATTCTGTTCGACTTCGCACCGTTCAGCGGCCGATGCCTCCAAATATTCCTACCCATTACCCCTGCGTAATACCAATCCGCAGGATCTCGGTGGGCTCACTCACCTGCCTGAAACGACAGCACCCGACTGCTAAACACCAAAGTCACGGCCAAGTCTGGTCGTTCCGCGCGCTGGGTTCTCAATGCAAATGACACGTATCGTGAACTCGTGGGGAGTGCCGAGTGTCCCGCCCTACATGGGACTGAGGAGCGTTCCTCCACCTCGGTGAGCGGCGGCGATTCGTCGCTGTTCCGCGTCACACGTGGATGGGCAGGCCTCCCAACGCTCAAAGTCCCTCAATCCAAGAACCACGGGCCACGGCCTAGAAACTCGGCTGCTGCACGGCCATTTGAACAGACAATCAGTCGGGAAGTGCAATCTCCGGGGATTTCGAAACCCTGTAAGCGTTCACAGCTGTAAAGCACATACCTACATGGAAACGCAAGCACATGTCAACCGCGGATGCAGGATTCTGCGTCCGCCACTTGCAGTATCCGTGATAAAGCTTACTGTGTCGGCAGTGGTGCCCGTGCGTGCTTGCGTGCTCCTCATCTGCCTGCTTCCGAGAATTAACTCACGGCTCGCCATTCCGAGGGTTTTCATGCAACTCTCGTCAAGCACCTCCGAGGTGCAAACGCCAATGCAGGTCTTTGCGATATCATCTTGGCTTATCGATTCAGGAGCTCTGCCCTAGTAACTTCATCGCGGGCTTAATTTGGCCTCCCTATACTCCTAGATACGACATGCCGTTTTAGTAGAATGGCTGCGCGTTCGAGACGCCCGAAATACACTTGTGCACGCCACGTAGGTCAGTGCAACACTCCTACCCTAGAAACACCAGCCGCAAGAATATCGGTGGACATACACTCATTGGGCAACGTCCGAAATGGCCGGAGACCTTCCGCACTCGCGACATGATTATATCCCGGAGGTCCCCAGGGCGGAAAACGTGCTGTGCTTGCTTGGAATCATTTGGGAAGGCCTTGGAAGCGTAGAGTGTAAAATGACATACTGCACGACCATCTCCATGCTGCAGCCACGATATATCGCTACTGGTCTTCAGAATGACGGTAGTGTCTAGAAACCTTGCAGGCATGATTGTTTTTGTTTTTGCACAAGATCTGGCCATGCGGTCAGTTCCAGGTATTGCTCATGTTGAGATGGCCTATTTGGTGCGTTTGAATTGTGTTTACTTTGGGGGTTAAGGGGCTGCGTGGCAAATGAACTCGTATACTTTCTAAATACCTGCCACAGGTTTTCTAGGCTCTCCGGCCTTTGGCAATGACTCGTAATACCTGATGACCAGGAGGAGCTATAGTTCAGTAGAGCCACAGAGGTCAAATCATCCCTCCGTTTCCCAACTGACAATCATGCAGCTATCCGACCGTGGGCCCGCTTAAGTGCAACCCCACATCGGGACGCATCGCATCTTCAACACGCGACTGCTCGACCCAGCCTCACTCCAATTCAACATCGGGGTCCTTGCCAAAATGGATGTGGAAAGCGACAATGAGCTACTCACCAAGGTCGCCGCCGACGGCACACTGGATTCGTGAGACCTTGACGACCTCCCAACCACCTAAAGTCATCGATCGCTGATAGGAAATAGAGGCACTTGGCCGGAGCTTCTTGCGGACATCCTCGCACGCTTAGACAAGGTATAGCCGTTCTTCCCTCCCCCATCGGAGATAGACAAGTTTCTGAGCAGGAACAGATTGCTCGCGAAGAGTTCTCGATACCGACCCTTCCGCATCCGAAACCCGCCGCCCTCCCGCCCACCGATTCCCAGGGGCGCCTCGCCTCTCCCATGCCATCCTCGCCACTGGCCTCCCAAGGCACGGACATCGCAACAAAAGGCTCACCTGAACCACCTGCGAAGCAACAGGTTCTGCAACCGGGCGAGCTTCCCACTCAGCTCGATAACATGCTCAAGCACATCACTGCCCATTTGCAATCCTTCACGACGTCGCCGCCCCATACGATACAACGGCTCGCCGAGTTGGTATTGCGCCCTCGCGCACACTACAGAGCCTTGAGCTCCTATCTACACGCAGTAGACAGGGTAGTGGGAGTCACGTCCGGCGCGAACCAGTACCCTCTCCCACTGCCCGATATGGCTGGCACCAGTGGCGCAGAGAGCGTGACATGGGGCAACCCGACGACGGCGGCCGCGAGCTTGGGGAGTGATGAAGCCCTCGGCGGAGCGCTGTTGACGCCCATCCCGTGGGTGAAGTCCAATCAAACACAGCAGCAACAGCCCACGGAGACGGAGGCGCGAGGCGGTACGGGTGCCACGATTCACAGCGAGAGTACAGAGACAATCGATGGCCCGAACGGCATGGGCAGCATCGAGACAGTCAGTGTCAGCGTTAACGGGGTACACTCGACTGGTCACGCGCGGGCGATTACGCAAGGTGAGCTTTTGCGTCAAGAGCAGCGGGCTGGTGTAATACCAATGAGTCAACTCCACCGGGGTACAAGGAGGGCGCAACAGGCTGCGGTCAGCGAGCAGGACGAGGGCAGCGGCGGCGGCGATGAGGACAATGGCGAGGAGCAGCCCACTGACGAGGATGCGAAGAAGGACACTGACGAGAACGCGGCGCCCACCGAGGACGGGGACGAAGAAACACCGCATGCTAGAGGGCCTGAGGAAATTGGCGTCAACGACACGGGCCCGCAGGGTGTGAGCACGAGCTACATAGGGGAGGACGGGCTGCAGATGCAAGGGATCGATGTGGAATCTGCAGTGGGCCGAAGACATGCCGAGGACGATGCACCAGAGCAACCAGCGGCCGAACGAGCCGCGAGCCCAACAACATCCGAAGTATCAGGGACGAAGCGGGAGGCCGAGGACGAGCCACAAGAGCCGAAATCCCCAAAGAAATTGAAGGACGGCGATGATCACGAGAAGGGGGAGAAAGAAGGGGAGGCTAAGGATGCTGATTCCATGGATACGGAGAAATAAGTGAGTATGCATTGTAGGAGTGGTTTTGTTTTGATACCAGGCGCACCGGGACGGACGCATCACCCCTTTCACGACAAAGCAGTAGAGAGTCAGTATTAATGAGTTTGCCTTAGAAAAAGAAAACATGCCTCCAGTACATTATGCTCGCTAGTCCCATTAAACGCCGGCCGTGCGCGCTCTCCTATGCTCAAGTGATGGTGGTACATGGTCATTTATCAGAAGATCTTGGTGATACTTTCCCGCGAGATCACACTCTTTTGCTGGCCATCCCGCTTCACGCGGAAGAAGCTATCGCAAAAATCGCTGCAGCGCATGTGGCGCAGGAACTCTTCGTCGTGGGTGATGACGATGAGCTGAAAGTTGCTCTGCGCCTGACGCTGCTGAATCAGCTGGTGCAGGCTTTCCGCGAGGGACTTGATGTTGTCTCTGTCGAGGTTCGTCGTGGGTTCGTCGAGCGCGATGAGGCCGCAGTTCACGCCAAAGGATTCGGCGAGGGCCAAACGAATGATGATGCTCGCCAGGACCTTTTGACCAGCCGAGCACCGACCGCGCATGTCCATCTCCGTATCTTGTTTGACCATGCAGAGGCGGTAGTTGTAGCTTCTCTTGCCAGTCGAGGACTCATTGTCGGATCGGATAAGAATGGTGTCAATATCGGTCCCTTGGTATGTCTTCTGCCATAGTTCGCCAGCAATCCGGTTCACCTCGGACATCTTCATGGAGTGGAACTGCATGACGGCCTTATCCACAGCCGAAGAGCACTGTGCCAGGTCCTCAATCGCGGCTTTCGTTGTCTCAACCCGAATGTGCGATTCGCGGTACTTGGACTTGGCGTCTTTGTAGTCCATCTCCCATTCTTGGAGTAGACGGTCAAGCTCTTCATCCTTGGTCTTCATGCTGCCCATGACGGAACCGCGCTCCGCGAAGAGGCGATTTGAGTGGTTTTCGAGTTGCCGCGCCTCGCCAACGAGACGATCATGGTCCTCGTGGGCGTTGCGGTCCTGAAGCTCCTCGATATCTTGACGGAGAGCGTCGAGCATGCGCAAATGCTTGCGGTAGTTGAGGTTGTCGTTGATGTTCTTTCTTTTGCGGTCACCGCTGTCAAGATCCTCCTTGAGCTTGTTGGCCCGCTTTGTTATATCATCGACCTCCTTTTTGGTGTTGTTGATGGCCTTCTCCAAGCTCGCAATGGCGCGCTGGTTGGATGCGAGGTTTGACGGACCGCCCCGGTCAACGTAGTCTTGAATATCATTGTCGACCATCTTGATCTCGTATATCGAGTTGGAGATTTCGTCTCTCTCCGAAGCAATACCCTGCTCCTTGGATCGCATCCGCGTTATCGCCTGATCCCGCGCGGCCTTGGCTTCTGTAATCTCAGGCTCAATGGTTTCCAGCTCCCCATCCACTCTCTGGATGGTTTCTCTCTGCTGTGCGTTATCTTCCTTGAGTGACTGGATTTGTGTTTGTAGGCTGGTCTTCTTCTCCAGCTGGCCCGAGGCGGAGCTGATCTTGTTGCGCAGCTCGCTTCTTTCGAGCTCCCAAGCGCTGATCTGATCTTTACCACGCTGCTTGTCGGCTGAAAGCTTGGCAATCCTGGTCTTCACAACTCGGAGTTGTTCGCCGACGCTAGCTTGAAGTTCGTGCAGTTCTTCAGCGCTTCGGGTTACGCCACCAGAAGCCTGTTGCGACTGGATACGGTCCACTTGGGCTTCAGAGTCCTTGATGTCCTTGAATGCTTGAGAGATGCTCTGTACTGTTTTTGCCAGGTCACTGATGTCGCTGTGTTTTTCGTCTTCAGTTGTAACCAAGGCATCCTTATCCTCAAGTTGCCGCTCCAAAGCGTCGAAGTCGCTTTGCAACTTCTGGCATTCGTCTTGCAATTTGGGTAGCTCGTCCTTTAGTCTTTGGTACGTCTCGTAGTCAGTCCGCACGGCACGCAGCTTGGCGAGAGCTTCCTCCGATTGCTGCAGGTCTTTCTCTGCATCTTCCTTCGCAGTCGGGGACGTCTGCTTCATGATCTTCTCCTTCAACTTCTGCATTTCCACACGCTCGCGCGCAGCATCAAACCCTCTGTCACAGAGATGGCACTTCTTGCTGCGCTCCAATGACTTGAGACATTTTTCGTAGAACTTGATCAAATTCTCCAGCAGAGAAATGTCCGACTTGAACGTCTCGACAGCCTCCTCCTCGGTCTCCAACGCCTTGGTGTACCCGTCAATGTCCGGCTGCTCGTCGCCCAGAGCGTCCTCCATTGCAGCCAAGACTCTTTTTTGGCACTGGACACCTTCTGCCTTGTTTCTCGCCGCAGCTTCTTTGGCGATTTTGAGGGAATAGTCGGACTTTTGCAGCTTTTCCCGCGCTGTCTCCCGGGTCTTGCGTGCGATCTCGACTTGTTTCGATTGACGGTCGGACACAATCTGAAACTTGCCGTCCAACGTCTCGGGCTCCCAGTCTCCCCCAACCGCAGCATCCAGCCTCGACCGCCAGGTCTTAGTGATGGTTTCCAGCTTTCGCTTGCGGTCTGACAGCTCTTTTTTGCGAAAGTCGAGTTGAGCTCTTTCTGAAGCGAGACGTGTGGACTCGACGAGCTCGCGCCCCAATTTCTCGCTGTCGTTCTCCAAGCTCCACAGCTTATTGTTTTCTTCGGCTAGCTGGCCATCCCAGCTAGCCTGTTCGAATTCACTTTGTGCTCGTTGCAGCCGGCTGCCGATCTCATCTAGTTGCCCATCGAGGATAGCCTTTGCGACCTCATCGACGTCGATTCTGCTCGCCTCCAAGCTCAGAACGTGGATTCTCTTCTCGATGGCACCCATCCGCTGCTTGGAGGAAACTCGGTCTTGGGTTCTGGCAGCTTTGCGTCCTTCGAGCTGCGTGATGACTGCAGTGAATTGGTCAGTCTCGCCTTGGTTCGCCCTTTGCAACCGGTCGAGATCACGCTTCTTCTCAGAAAGGAGGTCTTGCAATCGCTCGTTGAATGCCGCTATTTGCTGATCGGTGAGTTGACCATCAAAGCCGCGAAAACTATACTTTTCCGCTGTTTGCTGCACCATTTCAGTGCGCGTCTTGAGCTGGCGCTCGTATTTGTCCTTGTCTGACTGATGTTTTCCCTGTTCCGACAGCTTGGTGTTGAGGTCGCGCTGGGCTGTGGCAAGTTCCTTCTGGAGCTCTCCATACTGGGCTCTGTTTTGGTCGACCTCCTCACGACATTGATCCATACGTGCCTGATACTGGGAAAGCTGTTCCTCTAGAGCTGAGTCGGCGTCGTGAAGCTCGTCAATAGTCTGTCGCAATTCACTGACGGCGTCCTGTCGGTACTCTAGCTGCTCCTTTTTGTTGCTGAGATTCTGTACGATTTGGAGGTAGCTATTCGCTTGAATTTGTTTCTCGCTGATCTTCTTTTGCGTCTCCTCCATCTCAGCCGTCAAAGCCTCGCACTTTTCCCGCGCTGCTTCAATTTCGCCCTGGAGGCCCGTCATGCGCTTCTCCGCCCGCTCACCTCGGTCTTTGTTGACTTTGTTGTGGCCCTCGTCCGATTGCAGTTTCCCTAGCTGCTCGACCTGTTTCTTGCGCAAGATTTTGAGATTCTCAATCGCCTTGGTGTACTTGAGTGCTTCAAATATCTCATCGAATCGCTTTTTTAGGGCTGCAGGCTCACTCAAGGGCCACATGGACTCCTCTTGATGGCAAAAGATGACAGCATCGAGAATTGCGGGCGAAACGCCGAGGCGTTCGGGTATCAGCTCGTCGAGCTGAGCAACTCGTGTGGAGGTGGTCAAGCGTTCGCCATTGTTCATGACCACCAGGGAGCAGTCGAGCGTCTTCTGGGATCGCGTGGTCTTTTTGGCCGTGAGCTGTAAGCTCCTAGTCGCAACGTGCTGCTTGTCGTTGATCGATCGGAATTGGAGCTTGACTTGGGCCATGACTTCCTTCTCGCCACAGAGCTTGGGGTCGTGGATGAAGGCGCCGCCTTTGCTATTTGGCGGCAACTCGCCAGTTGTGGCATATTTGAGGCATTCGATGATGGTGGTTTTCCCAGAACCATTGTACCCAACGATGAGGGTCAGTGGTGTGTAGAATTGGATGGCCTCCCGGACATTGGGGCTAAAGGAGCGAACACCGGATATGGAGAGCTTGTCGATCTTGGACATGATGTCGACTGCTGCCTCGCAACAGGTCTGGGCCTGGTCGACGCTGGATGGAGCTTTGGTTGTTCACGGTCGCAATTTGGGCACAGCAGGCAGAGGCCGTGACGCGCCCTGGGCGACAAGTGGCGCGCACGCGCGAAGCGCGCAGTCACGTGGTGCCGAGAGCCAAAGTCATCTACCAGGTAACAGGACTAGGTATCTTGGCCATACTTGCAAAGGCAATCTGCATTCCACGCAGCACCAACTTTTTGGCCTTTTCGCAGATATGCTCTGACGAATAGATATGGTATGTTGCGCGATGGCGCTGCACACTCAACCAAACCCAGCGGGAAGGATACACCGACTCACCGAGTGCATGTCCACGATCCACTCCACGTACTCGCACAAGACTTCACTGCACCTTGAGGCCAAGTCTGATATCTTCATTTCTGATTAATCATTTGGAGAGCGCATGCTTCCTATCACGGGCTAGTGTCAAGGAATCCTCGGGGACGCTAGGTGAGTTTCGCAAGATAGAGTTATGATAGCCAGACAGGACGTGGTAATGCCATTTCGCTATCAGAGGGCGTGAGATGGGCAGTCGGTCATAACGCTACGGGTGACGTCGAAGCTTGCTCTGGGGACTGCGATTACACGTACGTAAGCTTGCCGATATGGTCGGCCGCCGGCGCTGCCATCGTGTGATTCGATGCCACTGTGATGCGACCCTCCAGCTAGGACTTTTGACTCAGGTCGCTAGGTTTGTCTCGCTGCGGCAAATGCTCACCGAAAAGATATTACTAGCCGGGCGCCTATGGCCATACCGTCACTATTCTTAACTGATTACTATCATGGTCCTGCAGCAGGATAGGCGCAACGGGGTGCTTGATGGCTAGGCACATTGGTCTCTTCAGCCCGCAGCCAGTCAGTCTATGCTTCCGCCATTATCTGGGCTTTGAGTAACACACAACTAGCAATAGCACAGCAGGTCAATTGAATCATCATGATGTTTGGGGTCACTGATATACCCATATCCAACGTATGTATGCCGAGAGGTCCTGTCGCTGAGGGGTTGTCTTGTCAGTAGCAATTGGGTCGGTGACGACAAGCGAATACCGGTCGTTGTGTACTTTCGCCCTTTGTTGAGGGATGTATGTACATATCTTCGCGAGTGGTACTCATACTTTTCCAGGTCTTACAGATTAAATCTTCTATTTGACAGTTGCTTCAATGACGACTTTTAGGTTAGTTACCTCGTCTGGTGGCGCGACAGTTTGCAACCTGGGAATTTCGAGGTGAGCCCAAGTAGCCCGCCAAGTAGCCCGCCAACCAAGCAGTTGATATTTATGAGCGGTCCCATCGTGTACAGAGTAGTACGTATTGAATTATGCTCGCTGTTTGTCATTCATGGCGAAGGTGCCTTGTCAAATGGAGATGGGGCGGTCGAGAGGTTTGGGGGAGGATTCATACTCAAATCCAGTCAGCTTGCGAAAAGTGAAAACCCACCCTCTCTCGCCCCCTCACTGCAGGGCCCTGGCGGGTGGCGGATTGGCTTTCCTTGGCTAGCGATAAAGTACCCAGTGAATGAAGTGTTGCGGCGTTGCCGCTGGCGCGGAAAGGCTACCTAACAAAGCTTCGCATTGGCGCAAGCTGCATGTGTGGCCTCCGCCGCGACGGAGCGTCTGGTCCGGGCCCCAACGGCCTTGGAGACCACCGCCACCCATCCCAAGTGCCTGCAGCCTACCTGCCGCCTGCGCCATTGAAGAGACTGTGATTACGTTGGATGGAGTCGGGCAGGCAAATTCTGCTGTTCCGTTTCCGTACATGGAGAGATCAGCGCCAACAGGTCAGGTGGATAATCGGGGTCCAGTCGACAGGATGTTGCGCCACCACAAATTTGCTCGCCTCTGGTCGGATCCGTGACCCGCGACGGCGCAACATGGTATTCTTGAAGGGCCGCCAGGAAATCCCATGTCTGTGACGTCTCTTTCCAACTTATCCTCTCCCATCCTACTCCACTTGCTGCTACCCAGTTCCTGCTGCTGCTGCCCTGAGTCCCTGACGACTCACGACTGTGAACTTGCATCAACCCACGCTGCGGAAAACTTGCTACCGTGCACACGAATACCGCCTTTCCTTTTGTCTGCATGCTTGCCCGACCCTTTGGAGTATTTTCTGTCTGAGACCTGAATCATCATCCTCCTCGCTGGTCAATCGCAGCCCGACCAGCCGCCCCTCCCCCGTTTCTCTGACGTCGACGTCTTGGAGGGTGCAAGTCAACCACCACGCGCTCGCGCTCACATACATCTATACTCGCAACTCACTTGCCCATTCGTCAATCGCAGCCTGCGCGTCACCATTCGAACTGCTGCAAGCCATTCGACGCCGTGCGAATCTCATCCGCGTCGAGTGCCACCCAATCGTGCAAGAGCTCCAAAAGGCCTTGGTTCGACCTGAGACGCCACGACTGCTCTTGTCGCCGGCAATCGTGGTCTTAGGCTCTAGAGTGGTGTAGAAGTGGCTAGCTCACCAATGCAATTACTAGATTGTCGCAACCTCTCCGCCACTGCGCACAGCCGCCCCTTACCCTACCAGCCGACGCAATGTCCAGCGGAGCTCCACTTCATAATCATGGCCAGCATTTTGGCTATGGCGACATGGACTTTGGTTCCTTTCAACAGGCTATGCCTGGCGATCGGAACCCACACGACGTGGACAGTGCCGGCCAATTCCCCGTTGCTCTGCCCATGGACGACGGCAGCGACATGCTTTTCGATAGCAACATGCTCGACGCTTTTGGGACCATGCCGATGCATCTCGAGGCCGATGATGGTTCCATGGGTCAGCAGTACAGTTCGAACAACCATAACCAGCATGCGGACCAGTCTGCAACAGATCAAGCCGTCATGCACTCCGAAAGCCAATTCAACACGGCGTCCAACAATGTGCCTGGTGCAGGGCCAGTGCCACTGGGGTCTTTTGGCGAAAGCGGCATGGGCCAAGGGAGCAGTACTTTGACGGAGTTCACAAAGCGCAGAAACTGGCCCGGCAAGGTTGTGGAGGAAATCAAGGACCTCTTGCAAATTCTAGACTCGAACGGCCGCATAAAATACGTATCACCGAGCATTCTGCCCATATCGGGATACACGGTCGAGGAGATGACGGACCTTTTCTTGAAAGAGCTCATTCATCCGGACGACCAGGGCTTGTTTGTCGCCGAGCTGAACGAGTCGATAGCGTCTGGGAACCCGATGCGTATGTTTTATAGGTTCCGGAAAAAGGATGGGACGTACACGATCCTCGAGACGATAGGACACGCCCACATTGCCGCGGCTAAGTTCGCGCCAAACCCCAGCAACCAGTCCCCATTCTGTCAGGCCGTCTTCATGATGGCGAGGCCGTATCCGACAAAGAACGCTGGGTTGCTGGACTCGTTCCTGGAACACAAGATTGAGAATGAGAGGTTAAAACGACGGATAGCGGAGCTCAGACAGGAAGAGGATGCCGACCATGACGAAGCGCAGCAGCAGTGGCTCCAAAGTCAAGACTCGCAGTCCGACATTGCGCGCACGGAACAAAGCGGCGTTTCCGCCACGCACTTCCCCCGGACAATGAGCCTCGACGGGTCGCGATCCGAGAGGAGTGCGCTGAACGCGGCCCTGACGAGAGAGAACCTGGAGGGGCAGTCAGGCGGCGCTCGGCAGGATTCGCTCAAGGACAAGATGGCGCGCTACGAAGGCACCTATACCGATACCATCGAGATGCTGACGGGGTTACGCTACAAGGACGGCGAGCGCAGCAAGGGCATCACGACGGGCAACGCCAGCCCCACCCTCATCAAAGGCGACGCCGGAATCGTCATACCCGTGGACCGCGACCCGAGGACGGGCGAAAAGAAGAAGAAGCTCAAGACTTCAGAGGAATACGTCTGCACGGACTGCGGTAGGTTCTATCCGATAGCACGAGCAGCGCCGACATCTGATATTGTTTACAGGAACGCTCGACTCGCCCGAGTGGCGCAAAGGCCCCAACGGTCCGAAGACTCTGTGCAACGCATGCGGTCTGCGATGGGCGAAGAAGGAGAAAAAGAGAAACACAAACACTGTGAGCAAGGCCCCCTCCATGCAGGCCACGCCCGGCGACTCAGGGTCTTGATACCGTGCGACAGCGGGATGGAATCATTGGTGGGGGGCGCAACAGGTGGTGGCCCCTTGCCGGAAAAAGTCGCTTTCAGACTGCTGGCTGGCTGAACTTTGGTCCTCCTCCCTCTTCAGCTCTGGTCGCACTGCACATATATGGTGGCCTTCGGCACCAGGACTCCAGGAGTCTTATTTTTTTGTTCTGTTTGGATCCATCAGCCAAGGGGCGAGCGGCGTGGAACATGTACACGATTTTTTATGATACCCTAGATATACGCACAAGGGACTGGACTGGATTTGCATTACAGGCGCTCAGCGATTCACTCTTGTTACATCGCTACGTGTGCCACAGTGGTCCCCAATCGAGTTCCCTTGCGCTTACAACAAGCCTTCAAGGACATGTTATCCTAGCTGCCGGATCACGCTAACCAAATTTGGAGTAGCGGAGATCCTGACGGTGGCTGAAAGTCAATTCTGCCCTGCCTAACAAGAAAATTGCCGGCCATTGAGTCGACGGCACAGGATTAAGCACGTATCTTAGCAAAGGATCAACCCTACACATTGATTCGTTTGAGATTGCTGTAGATTGCTGTAATGACACTCAAGGACTGAAGTCAAGCCAAGCTTTGCGTGCCTGATTGCTAACCACCTGATCCACAGTGATTGCGTGGCATGCGTCATTGGCGCACACCTCACCTTGGGAGCTGGGACTGACTTGAAGCTCCAGCTGCTTCACTTCCCCTCCTACAAGTACAACCTCAATACCCCGCCAACTCGCCCAACAGCTATCCTACACAGTAATTACTGCTCTCATCATGGACAAACTAATCAACGCTGGCAAGGAATTCCTCGAGGAGAAGGTCAAGGGGGACGACAAGAACAACAACAGACAAGGTCGGTAAAGCCCACACACACTATAGATAGTAGAGATCTGCAGCTCCCGCCAGATCAGATCAGACCCCTTCGACCCCGCCATCGCGATCTGAATGATCACCGACAAGGAACCCTTGCTGACCTGTCCCAGACTACCAGGCTGGCGGAAATCGTACGATGAATGAGCTTGCACATTACCAGTGCTGCTGAGGCTGACAAGATGTAGAATCGCACGGAGGTAGCTACCCCGCTGGCGGGGGCTTCTCTCGCGACGACGATGACGAGAACGACCTGCGCGAAGCCAGGGAGGAAGCCGAGCGTCGTGCCGGCTCGTCGGGCAGCAGCGACTTGTTCTCCACCATTGCCGGTGCTATCGGGCAGAAAAAGAGCAGCCTGCAGAACGAGGACGTCGACGAGGATTGTACATTGACATCCCGCTAAAGTACACCGGGGAAGCGCGACGCTAATAAGGGGGCAACAGATGCTGTCAAGAAGCACAAGCAGAACTACAAGGACGACGACGACGACGACGCTGATGAGAAGTCACTCGGTGCGGCGGCCGCCATCCAGGCCCTGAAGATGTTCAACCAGGGCGAGACCGGGGGGAAGCAGAGCAAGGGTGCCTTCCTCGGGCTCGCCATGTCCGAGGCTAGCAAGGTGAGCATCAATCTATTCATTCGTCTCTGCATGCCGCCGGGGGAGAGTCACGAGTGAGACTAACAGGATGGATCAGCTTTTCGACGACAAGGCCTCCAAGGGCAAGGTCGGCTCCAACACCAGCAAGGAGAATGTCATCCAGAGCGCCGGCGAGATGGCCATGAAGATGTACTTCAAGAGCCAGGGACAGCAGCAGGGCGGTTTGATGGGTATGGCGAGCAAGTTCATGTAAACCATGGCGACCGCATGAATACAAAGGTATAGCACACATGGCGACGAGCTTTTCAGATCAACTCTTCTGCCATTCCTCATAGTCAAAGTCAAGCTCCTTTAGCGATCGCACCTTGTTTCGCTCGTCGCCTAGGGATCGACTTGTCAGCTTGATGGCCGGGAAGCATTCTCTCGTCCACCTATGCGGAAATTCGCACCGGCAAGGCCGCGTAATAAGCTGCTTCCTCCCCAACGACGCCATCAATTATCGAGTCAAACTCAATTACGGATCTCACATGTATGAGCCTTCGCAGTCAATCGCTCGCGTCAGGGTGCTTAGGCAACTAGATCCGGACATGGCCGCCTGATGAGCTTGAATCATCCTTCTCCAGCTTCTGTGCCTCATCATCACCAGACACCTAACACAGAGAGGCCCGACAGCAACCAGCCAGTACTGCCGCTTGAGACGTTGCATTGACACCCAAAAAGGAAGACTTTAATCCAACAGCGTCAGACGTCACGCGACAGCATCCGTCGCGACGTGGACGGTGAGACCGAGACCGAGACCCTCTCCACATCAACCAGGGACCCGCCGCAATGAAAGCGTCCATCCATCGCTTCCGACTCCAACAGACATCACCACCGGAGAGCACCGGTCGGCGCCGCTCTGCTTCGCCCGTCGCGGCGCGGGACGCTGCCTCCGCTTCTGCTTTCGCTGGTGTTGGTGCTGGGCGGCTCTCCAGTCCTCCCTCGCGCAAGGGATCTTTTGCTGGGGGGTGCAGGTGGTGCTGCTGCTGCCGCCACAAAGCCAGATAAAGGGCGCCAATCGATACCTGCATGTGATCGCTGCCGGTATGCATGAATCCTCCTCATGTGACTGACCGACTGACGTACCATCAGCTCCTTCAAGAAGAAATGCAGCAGGACATTCCCGGTGTGCGAACTGTGCAACGCAGCAGAACAGAAATGTTCCTACTCCAATCCGACGAACATTGCCGAGGGCAGAGCGCTCCAGCTAGATGCCAGGGTCCAATGGCTGAGCCAGTACATCAACGACAACCTCCTTTCTCATGGGTGCATTGAGGCCATCGAGACGGGAACAGACCTCGTGCCTATCTTTAGTGCCTCTCCGGCAAGAGGGAAAATGTCGCTCACCCTGGGAGTGTCAAGGCACTGGTCGACGAGACATCGCCACTGGACCATGGGAGCGTCAGCGCGACCGCCAGCCATGCCTCCTACCATGCGTCCATGACCACGAACAGCTCGAAAGGATACAGCGACCAGGCGATGCCTGCGGACGCTGCGGCGCGACGGTTCGTGGACGCGTACTTTCGCAACGTCAACCGGGCGTTTCCCTGTGTCCACCAGTCCAAGATCCTCGCCGACCTGGACAAACCGCAGGAGTTTATGAAACGAAAACGAGAGGCAGGCTCGACCTTGCTATATCTCATCATGGCCATTGGTGCCTCCACGCTGGAGCGCGCCGGCCAGGCGCCCAGGGGTACCTTGCGACGGTTCGACGTGGCCTACTCTGACATTATACAGGAGCTTCTTCATTGGGACACCATTGAGTCGATACAGATCCTCGCACTACTTGCGCTCTACTCGCTCTTCGACACGCTGGGTTTCTCGTCGTACTCCATTGTGGGCATCGCAGCGAGACAGGCCACACTCTTGGGCCTCACGCGTCGCCCGACTGAGGAGTTGGGTCTGACGCCAGCCGAGGCTAAGCTGCGTTACCGACTATACTGGAGCATCCTTGCGTTGGACCGCATGATGGCCATCTCCCATGGGCTCCCAGTCGCCCTAACTGACGACAATGCCGACGTCCCGCTCCTAGGCCTCACGATCGAGTAGTATGCCAGCCCAGACCGAGCCCACTATGCCCGCAACGTTATTGAGTTATGACAGCTGGAAGACCACATCTCCGGCAGATTCACCTTGGCAAGCGCGTGGAGACGACGCAGCTCGCCCCCGCAGACCGCAGAGCCATCATCGCACAGCTCCGCACCGAGGTCGACAACTGGTATGCGAGCGGGTGCCTGTCGCCCATGAACTCGGACAATGTGTCCACCCACAGCAGCATCACATGGGTCTCGGCCCGCTACTACCATGTCCTGCCCCTGCTGTACTATCCGAACCACTTCAACGCGACGTCGGGGGCCGTGACGCGAGGCGAATTGCTGGGCTTTGCCCGGCGAGAGCTCCAAAGCACATCGGCCGTCTTCCAGCAGCGGCAGCTGCCCCTCAACAAGGTGGCCCTCACGCGTCTCCTACCCGTCACGCTCGTCTTGATGCATGACTACGCAGCCAGCTGCCAGGAGGCGGCGGCAGCCACACCGGATCCATCCACAGGCGGCGACTATAGCAGCACATCCCTGCCCTACACGGCGCGGGACGAAGTCTCCGTCCTCATGTCGATCCTCGAGGGCTTCCCCGAATCATGGCTCCTCGCGCACCAGGCGGCGCAGGTCGTCCATCAGTTCGCGAGCGTCATCGCGAGGGGCATCAGGGTCGACGGCGACGGCTCCGATTTCGGGGCCCAGCCCATCAAATACTCGCTGACCACGCCCAACCCCATGCCACGCGGTGGTGTCAAGGACCGCGTCGCGGAGATGGTGAGGCCCTGCATCACGGGGTTCACAAGTGTGATGAAGCAGATGCTGGGGCCCACAACGTGCTCCCAGTACATTGAGTATCCCAGGGGCGACACGACAGGCCAGTCCAAAAGCGGGGTGGGGCAGCAGCGACAGCAGCAGCAGTATCAGGAGCCCCTGCTGAGCCCAGTGCCGCCGCAGAGCAGTACGATGAGCGTGCCCCAGCTGGGCGGTGCGATGAGCGAGGATGCTGTGGTGAATTTCGGGTGGGGGTTAGATTTGGACTTTTTGTAAATGGGCCTGCGAGCTCTCTGTCCTATTCTGGCCATCTGTACATGTATCAACAGCACGGGGCTTCTATAGATGATGCACTGGTCAATGTGTCTTATCTCCAGCTTCCAAGCGCGCTGTGCATTCCAGTTCCCCTGTACTTTGGCTTGTCTCGACGTTTCAATCGCAGCGTACTCAGAGGGAAATGAGGTTTGGAATTTCATCCAGAGCTTTTTCCTGGTGCTTTCGTCGATATACAGTGCACCGGATAGCGCAGCTCTCGACTGATGTAGATGGAGGTCGTGAATGTGTGGACTCGTGCACACTGCGTCAGCGTTCATGTGGAAGCCGAGGCTGAGACTCCAACCAACCTTGACCCCTACATCATCGGGACTTGGCTCACACACAATCCTCCCGGCCTCAACTTTGTATTTAAAGACCCGCATCATCAATTGACTCCTTCCTGAGCATTCTTACACCAGGATGGCACCCAGAGATTTCATCGGCTATCCCGTGCCCCGGGAGGGGCCCAGGGCCGAGTATGAAAAGGCCCCCGAGAACAACCCCGTTCTGAGGGGGGCGGCGCTCACCGTTGCCGCGAACATGTGGGTTATCTGCTGAGACTGGTGCCAGGCGCTCACTGTAGACAGCATCTCGTACGTCCCTGGTGTCGCCAGTCTGTTGTGGAACAATGCTGGCTTCGGCACGCTCAAGAACCTGCCGGAGCTGGATGAGATGCCATATCGATTCCACGTAGGATGATGCTGCGCCAACTCGTCTCTTAAACCAGAATCACTAACATCGAAAGCCCATCGTCACGCCCCTGGGGGATAGCAAGATGCTCCCCATTGACGCCTCTCTTACCGAGGCAAAGAGCACCTTCACACCGAGCTCACCGTCAAAGTACTATACAGCCGCCGACTACCACGCCATGTACCAGTCTGGCGCCATCACACCCCTCCAGGTTGCAGAGACCCTGATTCCCCTCACCAAGAAAGGGGTCTACGCCGATGCGTGGGCAGACACCCATGGAAAAGACCACATCGCGCTGGAAGCAGCCAAGGCATCTACGGAGCGCTACGCAGCGGGCAAGGACCTTGGCGTACTCGACGGTGTGCCCATCGGCGTCAAGGACGACCTCGACATCAAAGGCATGGTGAGCCACGTCGGCATGAAGTACCGACCCAATGTCAAGTTCTTCGAGCCGAGGGACAGAACCGAGTGGTTCCTCGAGAAGCTGGCCGAGGCGGGTGCCGTCTTCATCGGGCGGAACAAGATGCACGAGCTGGGCATGGACACCAACGGTCTGAATGTAGGGAAAAGAAAACCGCCCCATCGCATGTCGTGGCTACTGATCAGGAGCTCCGTGATAGATCGCCCAAGGCACCCCTACGAACCACTTCAACAACGCATACTACCCAGGTGCATCGACCTCTGGTGGCGGATCCGCCCTCGGCGCGGGCATCATCCCCATCGCCATCGGCTCCGACGCGGGAGGCAGTATTCGTCTGCCCTCTGCCTTCAACAGCATGTACGGCTTGAAGACCTCGCACCACCGCATGGGCTACTACAACATGTCTACCTGTGTGCGCGGGCCCCTCGCCGCCTCAGCCGCCGACCTGACCATTGCGTACCGACTCATGTCCCAGCCGAATCTGGATGATCCGGCCCAGATGCACTATGGCGCATCCCAACTGCCCAAGCCGGGTAGCAAGCGTGTCATGGGCATCTACCGCGACTGGTGGAGCGCCGGTGATCCCGAGGTCGTCAGGCTCTGCGAAAAGGCCATTGACTACTTTGCGACGCAGCGCGGGTACGAGGTCGTCGACATCTCGCTCCCCCTCATGGGCGAGGCCCGCGTAGCCCACGCCATGCTGTGCGTCGCAGAGACATATGAGACGACGCGTCGCAAGACGCCCGACCAGCCCAAGACGGGGTGGATGGGCCTCGTGGGCACGGTGAACAGACTGCTCATGAGCGTGGCGTCCGTGACCCGCGCCAACGACTACCTCAAGGCGAACGCCCTGCGCGAGCTGATGATGCGCCATCTGGCGTGGCTCTGGCAGCAGCACCCCGGCATGCTCATCATGACTCCCACCAGTCCCATGATCGGCTGGCCTCGCCACCCAGGCGACGAGGGTGGCTTGAGCGATACCAACACCACCGTGAAGAACATGATGTACATCTTCCTGGCCAACCTGACGGGGACGCCCGCTGTGCAGGCCCCCGTGGGCTACGCCGAGCCGAAGCAAGGTACGGGCAAGCTACCGGTCGGTATCCAGGCCATGGGGGAGTGGGGGGCCGAGGAGCAGCTGCTGGAGTTTGCCAGGGAAGCGCAGGAGTACCTTGAGGAGGTATACGATGGCGGCCGACGCAGGCCGGAGACCTGGTTCGATGTATTGGGCGAGACGAAGAAGGCGTTCAAGAAGGTCGTGTAGGGGCTTGTGCCGGTTGCGTTTGGCAAGGAGCCTCTGCTGACATCTGCCCGTGACCATACGGTCCTGTCTATCCTAGAGAAGATGTCCTTTTCGTCGTGCAGTCAACCTTTGAGAGAATACTCAGCCAGCTGCTTCTGCTACTTAACTGATATGCCACCACTGGGCACGGATAATCATGTCTCGCGGTGGTATTCGCGTCAGGCCTGGTCCCTCTGGTGTCGATTTCGTCATCGTCAAAGGCCTGGAATGCAATGGCACGAGGCGCGCAGAGCCTGCAGACGTGGTTGGGCGTTCCAACGATATCGCGACCTGCGCGATTGCTCGGTCGTGTCTCGGCATTTGTATGCAGAACTTAATTTCCTCGGTTCATGCGAAGATGCTCAATATCTTCATCAGAAGGTGGTGAGCACTGAGATGCGCCAGACAGAAGAATCTCACGCCATGCAGTCAGTGCAACCAACCACCTTTCCCAGTCAAACCTTGTTGACTAGCGCTGTTAAGGAGAGCGGCAGCAGCCGTGCTGATTTACTAACAGCCTCCGCCCATTCCGAACACTGCCGCCTCAGGCACAGCCGAGCGGGCGTCTACACGTACTAACGTATCCGCAGTCCGTGCATGCGCTCTTATTAATGCTATTTTGGGCCACGGCGTACTGTACGGCTTTCTTTTGGGTTTTTGGAGGATTCCGCGCGATGCTGGCCAAGGACAAGGAGGCAGGATTAATTAACCAGCGTCAGCAGTCGGGCAAGAGGACATGGACCCAATCAGTCCCTGACGCTCCAGTCTCTGCAAGGGGAGAGAGCCTGCTTGTCAATTAGAGCTTTCTTTGAAGCAGCACCACAGAGACGGAATGACAAGGCCGCCTCACGGGGCGACTAGTCTAATAAGTGAACACGGCAAAGTAGCGTCGACCCCCTGCCTCCACTTCACTTGCTTTTGGCGGTCTTGTGTCGTGCGAGAGGTTGCGGTTTCAAGTTCCCGAGTGCTGCAGAGGCCAAGGCTGGACCCAGCGAACCCGCCCAAAGCCCCCCAGGCCCCTCCATTTTTCGTGTCGGCCTTGCGTGTCCCATCTTCGAACCTCTGTCTCCAGTCCGTCAGTCAGTCAGTCAGTCATCTGAACAGCCGTCCTTGTCTTGTCCCTGTGTATTGTCTTTTCATCTTCGCCATCAACGCCCGTAGCTCACAACATCCAGTCTCTCGCTCGCTTGCTTCCTTCCACTACCTCCGCTACCTAACTTAGCCAAACCTCTTCCATCGACCCGCCCTCACAGCCTTGCGTACCTGTATCGTCCACTTCCCGTCATCTTCTGCGCTGGTCGCATTGCGACTTCGACCGATTTCCAAACGCCGCTTAGCGAGGATCATATACACGAGAATCTTCATCCATCTTAACGCGGGCTCTTTGGATTGGTGACTTCACGTCGTCAGGATGGACCACCATCGCAAAAAGTCCCTGCTCAGCAACGACCTCGTATTCCAGCCCGAGAGTCAGCAGCCATATGCCCAGCAGCCATACGACCCGACTGCCCACGACAACCACACGTCCTTCAGCCAGGCCGCCTACCCGCGGTCGCCGTTCCAAACATCGCCCTACGCTGAGAACCACAAATTCGAGAGCACAATGTACGACCAGCCCCAAGGCTACGTGCAGAGGCAACCGGCGCCCTCGACACCGGAACCAGCGCCGGCACCCAAACCCCGGAAGAACTGGTTCGCATTCATGAGCAGCAAATGGGCGGCCATGTTCATGGCCATTACCGCCATCCAAGCCGTCATCTGTCTTTGCTGCGAAGCGTATGTGCCTATCCCCGCTTCCGACTCAAAGCAAGCTTCCATGCTGACAACCCTCACAGCTACGTATTTGCTACCTTCCAGTCGAGCCTGCGTCCTCTCCAAGAGAGGAATCCTGACCGTAACGCCAAGAACCCCGAAGAACTCAGCTCGCAGTACAAGACGATCCCCACCTTCTTGACGCTTTTCATCTTCGGTTTCTTGTACGAACTCATCATCGTGTGGGATGCGCTTCGCAAGAAGAACACGATTCAGGTCATTGGCGTCTGCTTCGCCAACCTCGCCCTCGTGGTATACACAGCCATCCAGGTCGACCAACTAGACATTGCCCTCGATGTCCTTGTCAAGTACAATTCCCTTGAGGCGGGTCGCTCCAAGCCGAACATCTGGGCCGACATCAATGGTTATCTGATTGCCATCCCTGCCATTATTGCTGTGGTCACTTGCATCATGGTGTTCCTTACATGGAAGCTCTACCAGGAGTTTGCATGGGATATCCTGAAGAGCATCGGCGCCGACTACAGGATGAAGAAGCGCTTCGCGTCGTACCAGATCTACATCGCTCTGCTCAAGTTCGATTTCTTCTTCTTCCTCGGATTCATCATCCAACTCGTCGTCATCGTCACCCGAACGGACGATCCCGAGTTCGCTCTCACCATCGCCACCATCCCCATCACCATCATCATCCTCCTCGCCGCCGCCTACTTCACCCGGATCGAAAACAAGCCCGGCATGGTTGTCACCATCATCCTCTACTTTGGCGCCTTGGCCTACTTCCTCTTCAAGCTCATCCGCATCTGGACGTGGGTCGACTACTACCTGGCCGTCCAAAAGTCTCTCACAGCCTTCTCCGTCATTACCATTCTTCTCATCCTGCTCACCATCGCCAACGCCATTGTCTGCATGCGCAACTTTGACAAGGGACTCAAGACGCACATTCTCGGCGCCGCCAAGAGCCGTGAAGATGACCCAGAGCTCAACTCTGTGAATCTGAACGACGTCAAGCCTCAGCCTAGCCGCATGACGATCGAATAAACAAGACCGCCGTGCGAGGAAGCGCATACAGCACACGTACCATGACATTCGACTGGGTCGAGTGGAGGATACGGTTCGCTACGAATTTACGACAATCATTTAACGGCAGGGCCGAATATAGAACATATGGAGGATATATGAACAAGTGATACCATCTATATTCTCCATTGGATCGGTCCCTCCTCCTTTCGGACTTGCATCTGGACATTCTTTTCGATACGCTGAGGACATGCCATTCCGTTTGGGTCACTGTATACCAGGCGTTGTGGGGGCGCCATCCCTTTCCTGGGAAGCTCGCATGTCTCTCATTTAGGGGGTTTTACTTTTCGGGATTTGATTTCTTTTTGGTCTGGGTTTATGAGTCTTGGGTGTCGAGTTCTCATCCTTCTGGGATCAGCTACAGCTGTGACTGCTACATGCAGGCATATACCAGGACGCCAACGGGGCCAGATTATTGACACATCGTGTACGCTTCGCCATGGACGCCTTGGTTGAAACCCGCAAGTCACAATACGTTCCACTGCCCTGCCGTGAATCCCTGTGTACAATGATGTGATAGCCCAAACTCCGTACCCTCCCCAGCTGCGCCTTCCAAACAATACCAACGCCTGCGGTAACAAGGGGAATCCCGCTGCTTAGAAATGAACACGGACAGTATCTGCTGTCGTTCCCTCAGCCGGACAGTACGGACACTTGTACTTGCCCGATCTCGTCAGCTGATCGAGACTTTCCTTGCTGAGCACGTGCCCGCAGGCCAGTCGGACTGGCGGATTCTTGTCTGTCGTCTGCTCCTTGCTGACTGGACAGACGAAGATGGGATGGTAAATCATGGACGAAGGCAACGGGGTTTCAAAAGCGAGTTCCTGCTCCGTCGTCCACTCCGTCTTCTTCTCACGCATGTAGTGGGTATACTTGATCAGCCGGGGCAGGGCCAGCGACCCGGCCGTGACGGCAATGTAGAGGGGTGACTCGGCGGACAGCCCCAGGAGCGAGCAAAAGTCTTTGGTGAACGACTCGGCGACCTGCTCATATGTAGTGTTAATAGTAAAGATGTGGCCGTACGGACTCGATGCGATGTTGGGCCCGTAGACCATGGCGGCGCAGAGCTGGTTGATCTCCTTCTGATGGCGCCTCTGGAACTTGCCAAAGTGCTGATGCGCATAAGAAACAGCCCTCGTCTGGCGAGACAAGTCATCCTGGAGGCCCTTGCCCATAGTCCCATTGAACAGCCAGATGAATTGCAGCTTCGTGAGGTCAAACTCCAGCGAGCTGCCTTTACTCTCTAGGAGGTCGCTGTGCGCGGCACACCACTCAATAGCGGGCTCCATATTCCTATTGTCCTTGAGCTCGTCCAAGATGGAGTACATCTCCCTAAATTTCTCCGTCAGGCTCTCGTCGACATCGTCTCCGTCTGTCATATTCTCGTCCTCGGCGTCAGGGTGCTGGTCTTCCTCGGAGTCGGCGACCTGCTGGCGCATGTACTGTTGATTCTCATTAGGTCCAAAGTCAGCCTCCCTGAAGAGCGTCTCCGCCGTGGGAAATTGCCCCTCGCGTATCAGATGCATAACGACAGCTCGGTTCACGTATCCGGTATGGGCCTCCATGGTGTCGATCTCCACGGGCAGCTCGCGTAGTGGCATCGCCCGATCGAGGGCTTTGCCGAACCCCTTCTGTGCCTTTGTCACATTCTTCAAATCGTCCGTGATCGCGTCGAGGCCCTGTTTTACTGGGTTTTGTAGTGTGGTCATCGCTAACGTCATCCTATGTGTGTCGGCATCTAGACGGGTGGGCTGATTAGTCGCCGACGTCGAGCTGCATGAGCAGCGACATACCGTGCGATATCTGTGCCTTGGTGTTCTCCAGAAGCTCTATGATCTTGTCCACATCTTTGATGGCCCCGTTCAGGTTCGACTTCATCATCTTGGCCAGCTCGCCCTGCAGTGGCCCAAAGGGCGAGGGGTGTTCGTTGGAAGGCATCGTGGCGGCAAGGTCTGCCGGGCAACCCACGGCTGCCACCGATGGGATCGTGGATGGGTTAAAGCAGGTGACAGACTGGAAATATAAGGTACTAAAGGCGAGTCTGCAAGATGGAGGAGTGATGCAGAGTAAAGACAACGCGGCGAAGATATGTATTGCCAACATGAATGTGGCAGGTCCGGCGGTTGGCGTTGAGCATTGAAGTGTTATCGATAAGCGCTTGCATCACCGTCACTGTTTTGGGCGGTGGGGACTCGCGAATGGTACCACCCAAGGTACCATGTACTTACGCAATCTCATGCCGAACCCAACTCCAACTTCAAGTATTACTCGTAAATCACCGCCTTCCGAGCTTCCAGGGTTTAATGCGACAGCCCCCCTCAACTCGAGGATGCATTGCTGCTTCCATAACACCAGCCTGGACGGCAGGCGAGCATGAGCTTCTTCTTCGCAACACCTCCAGATGGAGCGAGACCCTACACGTATCATCGCGAGACGCCGGAGGATCTGACGGCGCCCAGGGCCATCTCGACACAGCAGACAGCGCGTTCGAGCCCGCAAAATGGATCGTCAACCGCCAATTCTGCTTCCAATCCAGTGTCGAGGGTTAACTCTTCTTCGGCGCCGCCAATACCCAGGAGGAACATTGTGTTCCCAGACCCTGTCGCATTCAGGTAGGTACCTGAGAAAGCAGCCCAAATGCGTCGCCTCTGACAGTTTCTTAGGTACCTTGAAGAGGAACCGTGTGTCGCAGTTGTCGAGCGTCGGGGAACGCTGCGTGGCTACGAACTCTATCTCGTCGAACAGTGGGCCTGCTCACGGCAGTCGCCCACACTGGTCATTGTCACCTATACCGGCGATGAGGAGCATTCGGTGGTAGTCGGGGTACTGTCGGTGCCTGTCGATGAGGCTCTGTGGTCTACTAAACTACGCGTCTACTTCAAAGCCACCCGACAGTACCTTGCCCGCCCCAAGGGCACGCAGCTTGGGGAGGTCATGGTCACAAACCTGAGTAGCTTCCCCTCGGCTCTCACAGTCATCCCTGTCCCGGATGGCGACATCAGGAAGCACCGGCTTGAGTTCATCGTCAACGAAAACCTTAAGCGCATGGGCTGCTCGGGTCGCTCGGGGTTGACGCTCAGCGAACCTGCGGAGGGCACACGGACCAAGTTCCTGTCACTGTACAAGGTCAGCGACAAGATCCCCTTGCCCACGGCGGTTACAGAACTTGTCAAGCTTTGCCAGGTGGCTCTGTACATGTTCGAGAAACTAGAACCGGAGTACATTGATGGCTTGCTTTGCGACGTGACCGAGAGGGCCATTGGAAACTGGTGGACAGAGGTTGGGGCGGAGCATTACAATTTCGAGCCAAACGACGGTGTCCTGGGACCTACGACGGTTGCTGCTCTTCTTGGGATGCTGATGGGCGCAAGAAATCGACTATACTGGTATGGGTGCCCAGTAGCAAAGGATGCCTTCGACATTGAATGTCTGAAGCGAGGCATTGGGAACTTTCAAAAGTCCTTCAAAATTGACAAGACACGACGACTCGATCGCCAGACGCTCGTCAAGCTTCATAATTGCACCGCCAAGGCCGCAGCTGGGGAGGGCTGGGGCGTTCAAAAGGCTGTCAAGTCGCGAATGAAAGAGATTGGCGGTAATCGCGGCGAAATCGTCATGGGAATGGTGTCCGGCAAAGACAAGGGTGGGATGGCAGATATTGAGACCTTGGACCTCGAGCAGTTCATCAGCTTTGCCTATGGTGAGCGTGCCAAATGGCTATGGTACGGGAAGCCGCGGAGAATGACCCTGGATCACCCGGAGGGAGACTCAGAGGGTGTGAACCCCAGCTTCGGCAGGGACGTGATTAAAGATGAATCCCTCGCACGCACACCGACCATGCAAGGCGATGAGGATTTGGACGCCCGGCGGCAGAACGGTTTGCTCAGCGTGCAATCCGAAATACAGTATGGCTCTGCGCTTGGCAACACAGATAGCCCGGCGGAGAAGGATGCCCTGAGAAGGAACGTTCTGAAAAGCGTCGCGGGGAAGATGAGTGATGCTCGATCCGGTTTGGGCCGCATCAAGACTGCCGTGGGCGGCAGCAAGCGTGGACATGCCGCACGAGCATCAATATCAGACCGTGAGGATCTGCGGGAGCTTCGTGGCGCGCAGAACACATCCCTTCCCAACGCAGGGATCCAAGCAGCAGTGCCAGGCACGCCGGGATTTTTGGCTCCCGGCAGAGCTTTCACCTGGCAAAGGAAGCCCGGCGAGTACCTGGACGGTTACAGACGTGAGCAGCCGTCATCGGTAGCCGACCTAACGAACGAGACCCGCGATCACTCGCCGGCCACGAGCCGCTCCAAGATTGCCAAGCGGGCACCAAAACTGGCGCTGGAGAATGAACTTCTCAATCGGATCGGATCAGAGGTTCGAAATGATATGCTACCGGCAGCACCACCGACAGCTGAGTCCCTTCTCGGCGAAGGGGACCTGGAAGGGCCCCTGCTTGACGCTGAGCGACGGAACGAGTCACCCTACCTCAGTATTGGCCTATCTCGCCGCCACAGCTTAGAGGTTGCACAACTCAACTTCAAGCACGAGTTGAACGAGGCACGCTGGGCAAGACGAGTGTCGTTCAGCGAGGCGGAAGAAGCAATCCTCATGTGGGAAGAGGTTGTCAACCTCGACGAGAACGCCCAACAACTGAATGAGGTGGAGGCTCTTGCTGAGCTCGCTCGCCATCTCAATCAGAGCATTGAAGAGATCAAGATCAATATCAATCCATGGGTGGAAGAGAAGCTCAAGGCTCTAGCTCTTCTAGACGAGCACTATGCTCGCGACAAGGACGACCTGCAAAGCCACTACCAACGACTGAACGAGGCCTGTCAGCGAGTTCGCTACAGCTCAAACGAGCTCTTGGCTGAAGAGCGCGCCAGTCTCACGGAAAGCGTCAAAGAGATTGACGTCCTCGTCGCCCGACTTGACTACGAAATCAACGCGCTTGTCTCCAAGGCTGTTGATGTGGAAGACGGCGTGCAAACGTTTGAGCGCCAGGTCGAAGATTTGGAGCAGCGCGCTGCGGTTCTGAAGACGCAGCTGGAAGCGGAATCATGGATGCATTGGTTTTTCAGGAGCCTCACTGGCATAGGCAGTGGTCCTCACATCACAAGAGGCACAGCTTGAAGTTTTGTGTCTCACATCACACGGGCGAGGCGTTCGGAGTCACCTTGAAATGAATGCACAGCACGGGAAAACATAGAACATTCTTGTTCAACTTGCCTAATTAAATCATCATGGAGGAACTTTGAAGGTTCCATCGCTATAATCAGGTATTCCTACAATGCATCCCTCTCTATACCCAAACCATTCCGCAATCTCCTCCGTAATCGTACAGCCTGTTTTTATCGCCCAAAGTTTGCTGGTGGCAATCCATGTCACAGCTGTCGCACCACGCTCTGTTAGAAAAGACCGCCGCTACCGCCCTGCTGCATCCCCTGCTGCTGGCCCTGCTGTTGCATGATCTCGCTGACCTTCTGGGTGGTGTCGAGGAATTTGGAGACGCAGCGGTCCAGGCACACGGACTCGCCCTTGTTGAGCTCGGCCTCGCGGAAGTCGTTGGGGATGCACTTTGCCTGGCAGTTCTTCTGGAGGCTATCCGTTGCGGTCAGCAAATCATGAAATTTTGGGGGATGGTAAGGAGAGCTTGATGGGACAAACGAACCTGTTGTAGCTGGAGGCCATGGCGAGCATCTCCGCCTCGACAGCTTCAATCTTCTGCTCAGACGAAGGCTGAGGGCGACCCATTCCTAGGAAAGACATGATAGCGGTATGGAAAGTTGGGATGAAGGACTGGAGTTGACGTAGGAGTTGTGATGTTTGATAGTTGGCTGCGATTGATGGGAGTCGCGCGACAGCAAAGTTGACAACTGCATTGCTTATCGATAGCATATGATTACATCATCAAGCCAAGGCCATTGTGCTTGGTCTGCTTACCCTGTGCCATCTATTGCGCTGTACAATCATTTCGCTCCTCCGTATCGCGTGCAACAATTCGATAGGGAATTCAATTCCTCGATTGCTGTACGCTCGTCATGCCTTCTGTTTGCCCTTTTCGAAAACCATATCCACGGCACAGGTTCATCCACAGACCACAGACTATCGCTCGTAACTCCTAGAAGATGATGTTTTTGGACCAAGTCCATTCCATGATGCCGGCAGTCGAGTTGAACCGCCCATGACCACTCATTTTCACACCTCCATGGGGCTAACCATTGTGTCAGCAAATGGTCACTAGCAGGCGAGGGGTGTACGACTTACGATGAAGGGCTCGTCGTGTACCGTCATGGCGTTGATGTGAACAGCGCCAGACTCAATTTGTCGAGCAAAGCGTAGCCCGCGCCTCAGATCCTCGGTGAAGACAGCAGATGTCAGCCCGTACTCGGTATCGTTCGCAATGTCTACTGCTTGTTCTTCTGTGTCAATCTCGATAATGGACACGGTAGGACCGAACGACTCGGTCTTGTAGATGTCCATGGCCGGGGTCACGTTGCCAAGGACAACCGGCCTCATCGAGTTTGGGCGACCTTCGTCGGCCGATGGGTCACCAAAGATGATGCTGGCACCCTTCGATGTTGCGTCGCTCAACAGCGTCTTGTTCTTTTTCACCGCGGCCTCGTTGATGAGCACTGGCGAGGGCCCATCTGCGGAAAAGACTTGGTCAATGGACGCCTTCAGCTTTTCCTGGAACTGTTTGCTGACATTCTTGTGAACCAGGATCCTTTCCGTGCTCATGCAGATTTGACCGGAATTCAAGAAGGACCCCAAAGCACACTGCAAAGCCGCTGTTTCCAGATTGGCGTCCTCCCATACAATCGCTGGTGCCTTCCCGCCAAGCTCGAGCACCACGGGCTTAAGGTTCTCGCCCGCCAGTCGCCCGATGATCCTCCCGACATTAGTGCTGCCAGTAAAGTTGATCTTCCGGACGTGCGGGTTCGAGACCAAGGCCGAGGTGATCTTGGGGGCAGCAGAGGGCTCACAGCAGATCGTGTTGAGCACGCCGTCTGGAAAACCGGCTTCCTGTAGGATGGACGCGATCGTCCAGTGACTGCGTGGTGCGAACTCTGAGGTTTTGAACACGACTGTGTTACCTGCAGCGATAGGGTACACCACTGAGCGCAGACCAAGAATGTACGCGGCATTCCTGGTTGCAAGTCAGTCGAAAGACGACATCACTGCCCCCGGGCAATCACTCACCATGCAGCAATGGACAGAACCACCCCGTAGGCCTCGCGCACAACCATGCAGCTTCTTTCGGGATTCTGGGTCATGGGAATGCTCCCTTCAATCGACGTGACCCGACCGGCGACATCTCTGAGCATGTTGATCGCAGTATCAACGTTGAACGCGCCCCAGTCACGAGTCCCGCCAATCTCGTCGACAGAGCACTGAATCAGCTCTTCCCTCCGCCTTTCCATGACATCTCCGGCTTTCAGAAAGAGATCCCGTCGCTGAGTCGGTCCTGTCTTTTTCCATTTGGGAAAGGCAGCTGCGGCCGCATCGACAGCCTGTTCGACATCTTGAAGGGCCGCACTGCCCGCACGACCAACAAGTTCACCTGTCGCTGGTGAGACTACATCAAACGTCTTGTCCGGTATGTGTTCTTTGCCGTCGATACAAAAGGGTGTAACGTCATTCGCATTCATGTTCGCCATGATTCGTGGATGCTTGCTGTACTAGAGTGAGGGTTGGAGCAGTACTCGATATGTAGAGGAAAAGGGTCCGATAGAAGTGGCGTCCCCCTGGTACTTTATATCAAGGAACCTAGTTCAAAATCTGGATCTCTACACGCTCGCCAATATGTGTCCCCCAATATTAGCGCTCGCCGTCCAGATTATTCCACCCCCCTGCTCCATTGGCAGTTGATAGACGTCCTTCTGGACGCTGCTCCCCAGACATTTCTGCCAATTACCTGCCTGGCGTGCGGTTCTGAGACCGAGTGATCCGCACTAATCCTTGACACTCCCGCGTGTCATAGACTCATGTGCTCCCGACCCCGCATTCGGGACTTAACTTCGCCCGGGATCAAGACCTCCACTCATCCGAAGGTTTGGCTTTTGTTTGGCAGAGGTCAGCGGAGTTGTTAGAATCCTTCCTGTTTGGCTTGCGCCAAGCTTGGTGATTGACCTATTTGTCCAAGGCATCAAGGGTTGTTCTTTACTCCGGACCACTCGTGCTCATCGAGGCGACTCAGACGTGAGCAGGTGGGGTTCAAGAAAAGGCTGTGGAATAGCAGCTGTTTTAACATGGATAGCATCTAGGAAGAGGTCAGCCGCTATGCATCCCGAAGCGACTACAAACGAGGTCTTTTTTATTTGTTGCCCATACTCGACTTACTCGACTCGGAGGATACTCCAGCAAGAACAAAGTGGACCTCAGACCTCAACCGAGGCTGATGGGTGTAGGAGACTGGCTGGGGAGCAGGCTTTAGGGTGCGTTTGACTGGCGCCCTTCGTGTCGTTGCGTCCGCCATGGCAATCGCGCTGTGGTTATGCGTGTATCGCGACGGAACTGCAATGTCGCGCAGTCTGAGGGGATGATGAATTTGTGAGGATCTGCTGTAGATTTTGACGCGCGTGAACCGTAATCAATGCGCAGACGATTGCTCATCGCAAGGCACATATACATCAACAGCAACAAAAGGACATGGACCCTGTGATGAAATGGTCCGACGTCGGAACGCGGGGACTGGAGGCTGTCCCATTGATTTTGGAGTACTTGGCAGTGTTGTTGGTGGAGGGGTCAGTCAGTGGGCTATCATGAGAGGACCAAACAAAACACGAAGAATTACTGGCTTGAGATACGCAAAGCGAGGTAGAGTCACAATGCTGAGGATGGCAGTGAGTCAGCCAGGAAGTTGCCTTTAGAGAAAGTGATTTATTTGCCTTCGCATCGGATTGATCTTATAAGTCGCGATTGGCCAATTCATTCTGCTCATTTGAACTTGTACCCGAGACACCAGAATTCTTTTTCAAAAGGTCGCGCTGCCTTTTTCTATTACTTGACAATCGCTCGCTCCTGCCCGAAACGGCTCACGCGGCCTGATCAAGGTAAGCCAAGCCACTGATTGGTCAAGGCTGCACAGGTGACAAAGACGAACGACGGTTCCCGCTGTCTCCAGTCTCCAGTCTTCCCCCATCCGTCTGCCGCAAAATTCAGCAGTTCTTCATTCTTTCCATGTCCGTTTCTAGGAACCCATCAACAGCGATACCGGATCGCATTCTCAATTGACTTTGGTTTGCCCGGCATCAGGTGCTACGACGGGCTCGACGTAGTCGCATCGATTGCGAGCCGCCTTCCACGTCAATTACCCCAAATCCAGCACGGTCTGGGCAGTCGAGCCCCGCAATCGGCTGCTTGTCGCACTCGGGACACGAAACAAGACACCAGTTGCTGCATGGACGGCACTTCCATCATGACCGCCACCGGAGCGGTCTCCATGAGCCCGACAAGCCCCATAAGCTCACGGCAGGGCGGCGGAGCCAAGCGCAAGAGGAGCACCGGCGTTGGCGGCCTAGAAAGCAGCCCCGGCAGCTTTGTGGACGATGAGCATGCCGACGATAAGAAACGCCAGCCAGGCGTCAAGCGAGCGTGCAACGAGTGTCGCCAACAGAAGGTGAGAATGACAGACCAAGGTTTCACCACTGCCGCGTCTCTCGGGTCGCTGACATGGGTACACTGCTCTAGTTGCGATGCGACGTTATCCAGGATCCTTTTCAAAGCTGCTCCAGGTGCAGGCGCCTGAAGCTGGACTGCAAGATCGAATCCAATTTCAAGCGCGTGGGAAAGCGGTCGAAGCATGCTGAGATGGAGAAGGAGATTGAACGATTGCGCCGAAACGTGGCGAAGGCGAAGCAACAAGGCTTCGCGCTAGACGCTGCCGGCGACGACGACGACATCCTCGTGTCACCCGCGACCCAAAATACACCGTATGCGCATACACGAAACCCATCTCTCATGGGCTCAGATGAGGCCGTCTCATCCCTACTGCACTTGAAGAGGGGCGGGGCCTATAATGCACCACAGTATGCTTATGAACTCGACGGCATTCGGCTCACCGAGGAGGATACCACGCACCTATTCAACGAATTCTTCGCATTCTACCACCCCTTCTTGCCTTTCCTGAACTCGCAACAACCACCGGATCAATACTATCAGCAGCACGCGCTCTTGTTCTGGACCATTGTTGCCGTTGCCGCTCGCCGATACAGCCCGCCGAACGCACCGGATTTGCTGAACCATCTCTCCGCGCCCCTGACGCGCTATCTGTGGACGACAATCGGCGAAGTGCCTAGCAGCTACTTCGTGGTCAAGGCAATGTGCCTGCTCTGCGCATGGCCTCTGCCCACGAGCACGACCGCATCCGACCCGACCCATATTCTGACCGGCGTTATGATGAAGACGGCAACTGGAATTGGACTTCATCGACCTAACCACATCCAGGACTTCTCGCGGGTCTCAGTGGAACTTAACAAGGAACAACTGAGTGATCGCGTGACAACCTGGGCTGTGTGCAACATAGTTGCCCAAAACGTTGGGACCGGGTATGGCCAGCCTGCCTCCTCTCTATACGACTGGACACTGGCCCTGAGAGCAGGAGATGATAACGCTCTCAAGTTGAGCCCGGAGCTGGAAGCGCGGCTTCAGATTGAGCGCTTCTGCGACAAGGTCTCAAAGGAGATGTACAGCAATGCAAGTGACCCGCGTGGCGTTGCCGGTGACGAGCATCGCGCTATGCTGATGAGGATATATCGCCGTGACTATGCAGAGCTTCAGGCGTTGATCCTGTCACAAAGACTAGGAACAGTTGTCAACCTGCACCTCAAAGCGGCTGCGCTCCACATGAGGCTCGCGGGGTTCTTCGATTCTAGCACAACGCCAGGCTATATGGACGATCTGATGGGGCTGTGGCGCACGGCGACTGCCTTCCTCGACGAGGTTCTCGAGTCGAGCCAAACCAAAAGCCCCGGGGCGAAGCAAGGGGGCAACTTGCTGCAGTACGCAACCAACTACATCCAGCAGATGCTGGTAGCGGCAGGCTTCACGGTTCTGAAGCTGATTCGATCGTTCTTTGCCAAGACTGTTGATTTCCAGCGAGGTCGAACCTTGTTCCACGCAACGGTAGCAGCCATCCGCCGGACCAGCGTCGTACACAACGATCTCCAATGGCGCCTGGCGGAGCTGATGGTCCAGATGTGGAACGGGGCCAGACTGGAGCACAGCAACCCTACGCTGCATCCCCAGGACGATTCACCGGTGCATGTAGATGACAGCCTGCAGCTCAAGGTACGCTGTCGTCACAGTATGAGTCTGGTCTTTGACTCCGTGTGGCGTTGGAGGGAAGAGTACCAGGCCCAAGGTCGCGGCACCCTAGAATGTAAGTCCCCAGCTTCTCCTGTTTCGCAATCGTCAGCTGACCCGAAGTAGCTATCAAGCAAACGAATCTGGAATCGGCAAACGAATCTTCCGAGTCATCGACTCATCTCGACAGCACGCTTATGCCTGCGCAAGCCTTGACGTCAGGCATGCTCCATGCCAATGGCAACAACAATAATAACAACAGCAACAGCAACAACAATGGTGGCTTGACACCGAACGCCACTGCGCTCTCCGCCACGTCATCCGCCCCGAATAGTATGCTGGGCGGTTTGAGTTACGGCGAGACCAACTACGACTTTTTCGATCCGCAAAATTGGATGTTGGATGGATTGCTGGATTTCAACTATTCTTACGTGCCCCCGATGGAGGGTACGTGAACAGCCTCGACTGAATTAGGCGAAGGATTTGCTTTTGATGTCTAATGTCTATTTGTGATAGCTGTGGCTAGGGTCACGCTGTTATGTTTACGCGGCTGTGAGATTGAGATATCCTACCATGATACATTACATGACATGCGGGGCCGGGGGAGGACTGGTCTTTTCGAGAATATTTAGCGAATATATTAAGAAAAGTCATTTTCATATTCTCTCTTGAAGACCTTTAAACAACTTTGTTTGCTGATAAACTCGAAATAGCAGCCTTGCAACGTGTGCCACACTTCGCACACCACCATGGTATGTATGATTGGGGTCCGAGTCTCCGAGAGAGCGCCATGGAGGAGTGCCTCGCATGTTGGGGGCCTTTTACCTCGCAATGGCACTAGCTTTGAGGGACGGGCCTGTGAGGGGATGAACAGTGGTGTCTTCATCAGGTATGTCTTTTCCTCCTTTTGTGATCAACTCTTCATGTAGCGCACGGTCCTGACGCGTGCGTACAGGAGCGCACATGCCCCCGTGTCTGGTCAGGTGAGCGCTCGACCGGCTTCATCTCGCACGCGCCAGACAGGCTATCTACGACAGAGTCTACAGTATCCGACGCAACGGCGTCGTCCTTGTGGTGACGCGATCAACACTGGTGTTGGTGCAAGGCGACCCCGGTGGAGGCGGCAGTGACAGCGGATCGGACCGTGAGCGGACTCTAAAAGAGGTCGTTGGTCTCGGTAAAGAGATGATTCGGACTTTGGCGTGGTACTTGTGCTTTGTAACGTTCTTCGACGACGCAAGATTAATGAATATGGCTCTTTGTACATGGCAAGGGGGAGTTGCAGAGCAGCCAGCTTGCATACGTAGGGAGACGATCTGGCGAGTATACAACATGTGGGCGTAGGAAGCCAAAGATATCCAGATGACGCATTACTTTTACACTCCATTTCTCTTGCCTTTGTGATGAAGAAAAGGCAGGGCATGCCTACATGTGCTCTCTGACCAGTACCAGGGGGAGCACAGCGGGTCACACTGGCTAGAATCTCTCCCCTGGACTCCTGACGGGACAGACTGCAGTATAGTCAACCGTCTAGATTGCAAGGATTTTTTTGGGAGACGCAGCAATAAGGCTTTGAGAAGCATCCATACTGGGCGAAGAGACTTGGAGTGTGTTTCTCTACTGGAGAGGAGAACGCCTGGCCTGCTTTGAGGCCGGCCCGACACCCAGCCTCTGCGTGCAACAACGCCCGCAGTTTTGACAATGGCTCCTTCTTTATCCCCGATCTATCCCGTGATGAAGAGCATTTCTCTCTCAAGGTGTGGATGGACAAGGGCTTGGAGACTGGAAAAGACTAGCCCCCCTCCCGTGGCTCCTCAGGGGGTCAGGTTGCGTAGCCCGGCAATAGTCCCACCCCCTTTGTCTGAAATCTTGGCCACAAAGTATCGGTACGCTCAGCCTGCTCCAATGGATTTCATAGCCGTTGTCCCGGTTGGTGCGCGGACGCCATGCACCGAGACTTGTCAAGCGCACCAACGCACAGGCAAGGGCGCTTGGAGAGGCGAGAGTGGCAGCAATGACGGTGAGCGCAACCCTCAAAAGTACCCGTATTGGATCCGTCATGACCATAGGATGGGGTGGATTCACGATTTGTACGTAGTACCACAGGCTCAGGACGTCGGAGGTGGCGAGGAACGGCTGCAAGAGTCCAACGACTCAACAAGGGCGTCGTTGGCCAGAATCTCAGCGGTCAAAATTACCTCACTGACCCAAGTGGAAGGTTCAGTAAGCCATTCTATGGGGAAATGGCACTATTTGACAACTTGGCATGGACGGACAGTTCCCTTTGCGCGCAGACACATGCCATCCGCCAGACGAGTCATGGAAAAGGGGCAGTCGTACAGGTCTTACAGATCAGCCCTGCATCACTCTAGTCTTGGGTAGTGTGACTGTCACTGTGGTCGAGAATACAGGGTCTGGAGTGCCCAGTTTCAGGTGAATATCGCCGCTCGCGTCGCTCGGGCTGGCCTCAGTGCAATGTCGACATGGTGCTTTGTTGGAGAGGGTAGGGTGGGGCGACACGGACGGCAGCAGATACATTGAAAGACTCGGCCATGGGCTAGCGGTCCGTCAGGAAGAGCTAAGAACATCTCACAAGGTGGGACCGATTGTGCAGTCTCGATCTCGACTGGAGGTGCGTCTTGAGCACCAGCGGTGCTTCTTACGGAGAAGTTCACAGAGCGCGTCAACAAGCAGAGCTGATGATATGCCTGGACAAGAGCCTTGGCCTCGAATGGGCACCACTTGACTCACACGCCGCCTTTTATTCGGCCTTTGATGCTCTTGGTGTGCCTGGCCCACGAGCGACGGGACCTGCAGTAAGCTGGGAAACCCCATGCCATCAGGCTGCTTTGTTGGCAAACTGACACTGTGGATGTTCTTACCAAGGATCGAATCATCGACCCATGGGAATCACACAACAACCTGGTTCAGCCCGGACATGTGTCGAAATGTCCGGAGGCTACGAGCTGTGGGGACTCACGCTTCCATCTTGCGGGCTTGTCATGGCAGGCCATCATTGCCATCGGTACCGCAGAGTCATAACGCCGATATTGCCGGTGCTCGGACGCTGGCGACACAAAGCTCAAGTCCAGGTTGGGGAACACACAGACACACACGTTTCGATTAGCCTCATGTGGTAAGGACCGAGTCGCGACAAGACCCCACGGGCAGACTCTGACCTGCGGTATCCTGGTGCCGACTATTGTATGAGGTCGTTTATGAATGGCAGTGCGAGGCAGATTGATCCATGTTAGCAGGGTGACATCGTCCCTCATCGATTATGCGAGGCCTCGTGATCCGCGTCTAGTGACAACTCTCTCAGCCGCGGGCGAGCCTAATGCGAGGCGATATGCGGCCTCGGCGCTTAATTGTGAGCGACCTGTTGGGAAGAAAGTCACCAGAATCTCAGGCAGACTTGATGAAGGTGCGGCCCGCCCCTCGTTGTGTGTAATGGACGTCCATAGGGCCAACCGTCAAGATACTGGCAGGCCAGTGGAGGGTCATGGTCGCATCTCTGGCCCCAAGGCTCTATGAACATCCGGGGGTAGCCCGTACGCCCCCAGCCACAGACATACACCTTGAACCACAGGATTCAATGCTAGTCATTGTATAGGGCTGTGCTTGGATGTGTGTTATGTGGCCAACCGGATACTTAGCACGAGCCCCAAGCCCGCGTGGATAGCAACAAGCCACGCTCTGCATACTGAGCTGTGTCTGAAGTTGCGCTTCAACGCCCCAACCAGCGATGGTGACATTGGACGGAAGCAGCGTAATGAAACCAACACACATCTGTCGGCATTTCGGGGCAATCGGTAGTCCGGCGTATTACGGCTGAATCCAAAGGGGTGGCGCACCTCAGATTCGATCTTTTTTAGAAAGAGGACTTGCGCGCGAGCGAGCAAGCAAGCCAGCGACGGTGCTGTGATGTGTGGAGGAGCGCGATGTGCTGGCGATGCGAGGCAGGGAAAAGCTCTGTCGGTAACCTATTGAAGTCGTCGACAAGCGCGCGCCATTTGGGGCACTTCCCAGAAGAGCCTAGCTCTGCATTGCCGAGGCAGCAGCCATTGGTGGGACGGTCGGGGGCGTGACGATAGCGCCACAATCGCAGGCCGCACCCTGCTGCATTAGCGTATCCGAATACTCGGGAACGCCAAGAGCGGTAGAGCGGCCAGCTGAGCTCGTGAGTGGCCAGCTCAGGGTCCTCGTGGAGACCCGTGGGGGCTGAAGTACGGGGCCGAGGTGAAGACGCTCGAGCTGCAGTCTGCTCTGGTCTCTGATCTCCCTCCGTCGCTGTCGGCGCAGAGGTGCCAAAGGAGCATAGACAGGTGATTGCCTTCCTGCAATGTCCCTTTGTGCTCTGTCGCGCCCCGCACAAACGTACAGTACACGTAGCATGTGTGTGAGTTATTCAATTGGCATGCTTGTATTAGTACCGTAAGTTAGGTAGCGAGACGCAACGTGAGCCATGCGCGGAACCATCGTAGGTCCCTTGAGCGGCGGGATCCCCAGGCTCACGTCAAGGCTCCCACGGCCGACCGCCAGGCTCATGCACTGTGCGAGAGGGGTTGCCTTGCAGCAGCCGTCGCCTGAGTCTTGCAAGGACCATCGCTCCAAAATTCCGTGCCTACTTTGGCTTTGCGACGCACGGTGCGTTCTGTTCGCGACTGCGGCGTGTGCTCATGACAGGAACGACCATGATCGCCAGCTGAAAGACTTACTGGCTCGGGTTGACGACACCAGACGGTTGCAAGTGGCGTGCGCATGTGCGTTCGTCGACGCAATCTTTGATATGCCAGGTATCGAGGCTACGCATGCGCAGTTGAGATTGCGCCAGCCGATTTAAGCATCCCTTAGCACCCCGTCCGTGTCAGAGACCCAGGGCAAGGCCTGCCGAGCTTGGCGATGCCACAGCCAGCACTACACGGTACGCACTTGTAGACTTGCAGATGCCGCGCCCATGTCTTCGCACTGAACCTATGGCGCAATGGTCTTGGGCAGGCTTCATGTGGGAAGGGTTGGAATCCCGGCTCTGCGGTTCAGCCAATATTGCGTTCTCGGTCCCAAGGACCAAGTTCATGCAGCGGGACGCTGTTGCAACGAAGCAAAGTGCGTGCATTTGCAGACTCGTAAAGCCTGGCTGCGACGCCCAAAAGAAGAAAGTCGAAACATCTGGCGAATGATCCGAGAAGGATGTGCAAGCTGTCAACGGGGAACGGTTCCCCGGTTCCGCGCAGCGGCTATCATGTGGATCGAGACCAGGCTCAAAGTGGTATTTGGCTCATCACAAACAGCCACTGCCGCACATCATCCGCGCCAGTCTGTCAGCCCTCGTCGAGCGCATGGAATATCGAAGCATTACACCGCATCCGCCCGCACGGAACGACGTTCGACGCCCCATCTGCGTCCCTGATCTTCTTGGTGCCGCCGAAAGGCTGAAAGCACGTAACATTCGGTCCCACGATGCGAAGGTCCACGCGGCCTGCTGGTACCAAGAAACGGCGTATGAGCTACGCAAGTATGCATATCAATGTCGCATAGCTGACGGCTGTCGCATCCTGGGTCACAATGGCTCTTTGCGCGCTGAAAATTTCCATTGATGATAGTCTGGTGCAGCAGCACGAGAATAAGGTGGAGGGGGATGAGGATGATGTACTCTGGTGGCACGACTGGAGTCCAGTCGTCAAAGGTATTAAGGTAAGCCTAAATCTACTGTAGCTGGAAGGTCCAGCCCATCCTCGATTCACCTGTCCCTGTTCCTGTTTCGGTGATTTATTAGGTGCGCCGGAAGGTGCTGCTGCCGTTGCTGCTCCTGCTCCTGCTCCTGCTCTTGCTGGGCAGGTGCTCCGTGTATCCATACTCCGGACTCCAGGCTGCCGTCATGGACCGTGGTGTACCTTGTGATGTACACAGTGTGTAGGGTGATCTGTACGGTGCACTAATCCCTGCTCGATTCCAGCGGGCAATCTCCAAACCATCTCGCTTCCCAATCTCTCTCAGTCACATTTTATCACTATTACGACGGGCCTTGCTGCTCGTCGCCCCCGCGAACGCACCGCCAAACTCGCTTGTTGGGTTATCATCACTGCCCTTGCATTGAACTGAGTAGGATTTCTCTCGGGAGGCTTTCGGCCCCCAGCTTAGCCCGCTCCAGCCCCCAGCTATTGCAACCACTATGAGCAACATCGGCGGAATAAGCCCGTCAGCCCCCATCAGCTACGTCCCTGGCCAACCTCCTCTATCTCATGGCCGTTTATTGGCAGTTACAACACTACTCACTGCATTTCTGTTGGTTCGGGCTCGCATGCTGCCGCGCCTATCTGTCTCCAACATCGGCAGTTCACAGGAACATCACGGCATTCATTACCAATGACAGCGGTTGACAAGCCAATTGTGCTCCTCGGGCGCGCCTTGAGCGCTCGGCAGTATCGTTCTAGGTCACAGCTATTGCGGGCTGACTTGGAGCCCTCAAACGGGCTCGATTTGCGGAATAAATCTCACGGTTCTTCCGGCCCGGATGACATGTCTTTGCTACACACTCTCCCGTGATATCATGGCTGCTGAGAGACAATGAGTCGGGTGCGGGTCTGCCATGTTCTCGTTTCCTTGGTCAGGCATTCACTGCCTTGAGCTGATAATTAGGAAATGCTGGCGGACGTCGTTTGCAGACGCCTACTTGTAATCCACGCCCGCGCAAGACACATGGATACCCGCACAAACCCTTTGTATATGAAGGTTCCATCTTCACCTGACACTGCCTTTTGGGGCGACCTCTTCTGAGGCCAGGCTCTCTTGGGACTGCATCGCAGCCTAGGGCATTGCCATGGACAACGCTGCTCACGCCCCCTCCCAGCTAGCCCCTTGATGAAGGCACCCCCCCGGGCCCCGGCCCCCGGCGGCCGCAACTCGTAAAGTGTCTGGCATTCCAGACTCGGAACTGTACTACTACTGTGGCTCGACGAGCTTCGGGATCAGGAACGTGCTCAAGGGTAACTGGACATCTCGCCGCCAGCAATTCAGACGAGCAGTGCGATTTCGCTACAAACTGCTTGGATTTGATCATAGGTCGTGCGTCCCACTCAGCAGCGACCCAAGGTCCCATTCAATCATCAACCATCATCCTCGGGTAACTGATGCATTCCATGCTTGGCGAGGCACGTCTTGGGCATGGACGTTTGATGCGGAGACCACTATCCTTTGTTCCCACCCGGCAATGTAGTGGTACCTTCTCACCCCCCAGAGACCCTGGTCCCTCGTCCGTTCGCTTCGCGGGCAAGGAGCCGGCGATCTGCACCTACCTACCTCACGTCTATGTCGTTTTTCGATTTATACAAAGAGCCCTGGCCCACTCGTCCCCAGAGGACATCTTCCCATCTTCACTATCTGGCTGTCCCCACGACGGCCTATTACTTCACACCGGGTCGCGGCCAAGCGTAGGCTGATTTCTGCTGTTCTACTTCTCTCTATCTGCCTTGGTGCATCATTCAATACTTATACAAAGACGGGCTTGAGGTCCATGTTATCGTGTTACTAGCACAACACAATACAGCCAGCCGACACAGCAGTCAAGTATAGACTCGGCTCAGCACGCGTCGAATCCGAAACACTACAAGGCACCAGAGCACCAGCATCCCCCCGACTCGGAATCCAAGTAGACTATGGGAGAACTACAATACGCTCAGAGGACATACTCGCCACTGTCGCATGGTTTGATGAGTACTGCCTCCTTGAGCGAAGCCCCTCGCATGACTGGGGTTGGTTCGGCCACCGCTGCTTTCCCTAGCGAGTACCACCCCAACTATCCTCCTGTCAGTCATCACTCTCGAAAACATCTCTGGTTGCTCAGCTAACATAGACGGGCACAGATCACATTCACCAAGCCACCTACGGCTGCGTCTAACCTACTGACGCCTACTTCGTCATCCATGGCCTCTCCTCCCATGCATCCAAACCAGTTACATCACGATCCGCACTATGGGAGTTCCTATCAACAGCCTGGCACCCCTCGTACCCAAGGGGGCACGACACCACCCCCACACCAAGAAATGTACTATCAAAATCCCATCGACTACAACAGCCAGACGAGCTCCCCAATGCCAAATCAAGGTGTTCTCCCACCCGAAGTCATGAGCCGCCCATATGACATGGAGGAGCGCCGGAGCGCGCCAAGTCCCCCAGAGTTTCAGCATTTCGGCAGCTACGGCGTTTCCGGGAGCCATTCCGCTTCCGATACTCCATCATCCTACTACTACCATAATCCTGTGGTGAGGCACGAGCCAAATGCCTATCCCCTTGGGCTCCATCCCGAGGGCTCGCGCCCTCTGGTATCTCTGCCTCTGCTAGGGCAGCCGCAAGCGACTCAGTCTCGACAGCCTCGGCAGCGTGGCGAAGAAGTGATGGTGCTGCCAGACAATGTGGCAGCACCTAAAGCTCCATTCAGAGACACACCCTCGAAACGGGCAGCGCAGCCCTCTAGGGTTCGAAAACGCCCTGCCCGCAAGGGCAGCAGCGGCTCACGGACCTTTGGGGTAGAAGCAGCCTCCGCTGCAGACCACCTAGACTGCCATGGAGAGGAGCGCCAGCCGCTGTTAAACCCAGACACGCCTGAGGAGGAGAGGCTGATCATGGACCTGCGTTGGCGTTACCGAAACTCCAAAGGACAGGACATGTGGGACTCCATCCAGAGAGAATACCACAGGGCGTTCCAGAAGGACTGCCCCAAGGAGCAACTCCAGATGAAGTACAAACGCGCTCGAGCACGGTATTTTCAATGGCAAGAACGCGACGTAAGCTAGCCCATCTGTGGCGCTATTAGAAACATATGCTAACACGTCTTTGCAGATCCAGCTTCTAGTGGAGGCATACTTGGAGGTGGAGCGAAGCCGCTACAGTAGGATTCTGGAGAAATTCCTCGAACGAGGCGGATCTCGTAACATGCAGCTCAGTGCCAGCGACATTGAGGCCAAACTGGTCAACGGCCTCAAGCTGGAAGAAGGCCTCTACATTGATCATCCTGCAAAATCCTCCCTCAAGGTACGCAGGCGACGCAAGCTCAGCGCGCGCGCGCGCCAGGGCAAGCCCGGGGACAATTCGGCGGCGATGCTTCGAGAGGAAACCTCTCTGCCCGGGTTGCGCCAGGCTACAGATCCAGAAGAGACGCTTCATCAGATCCAAGAGCGCGATGCCCAGGCAGCAAATGGATCTTGGCCCGGGGCCTCTGGCTTGAGCCCGGGCATGACAAGTTGCCATGTGCAAAGTATGGGACAGGCAGCAGTCCCTCTTCAGCATGGCGAACGTGCTGACTTCCCGGGCAAATCCAACAAGCGAGGCCCCCCTCGACGATCGACGTGAGTGGCGGGCGCGGAGGACACGTTGATGCCATCTTTCCCGTTTTCGATATATTTTAACAAATTCATTATTCATCATACATGCATAGACGACATATATCCCCAATGAAGAATCACGAGATCGTTCTCTGTTATGCTTTCCTAGATTGCCGGGCCACTTGAGATCATGATTCGATCGAGGCGAGGGAAGTCACGATGCCAGTCCTTGGTCGCCATGGTCCAAGCTACTTGGAGAACTTTTACGTCGCGTCCCACTGAGCTAGATGCAAGCGTGTGAGTGACGGACGATGGATGGTTGATTTAAGGCGGCATGTTGGCGCCCTGGGAGCTAACGTCAGGTGTTGATTAAGATCCACTCGCTCAAGGTGGAAATGCCCGAGCCAGGCGTGAGAGAAGCATTTGCGGCGCTTTTCCGTACTGTACTGTTTGGTCCAGAAGTGCCAGGCAGCGCCATGCCTGTGACTGTGAGGGCGACTCCATGATCTTACCTATTGATGGCCTTTACACGCCAATGAGCGGGCTCGCAGGCAGGGGTGTCGGGGTGGGCTTCTTCCTGTCCTAGCGCGTGAGCTCGGGGCATTCAGAGTTCTGACAGGCATCAGGCGCCGGGCAGCTTGGCCGAGGAGGCCAGCGGAAGACATCCCTGATCCTAACGGGTACTGTGGAATCTTGTTTTGCGGGACAGCAGTCTGTCTAGTACCTTAGCGAGCTCCGTGGGGTGCGCGGGCGAGCGTGTGCCGTGCCGTGACTCGTGAGTGCTGAGAGCACTGACGAGACGCCTAGCAAGGCAGGCGGGCGAGCGAGCGAGGCGACTTGCGGAAAAACACGGTGGTGACCGACCCAGGAATCTGGTAAATGAAGCTGTAGGCTGATGCCACCTGCGTCAAGGGACGGCGTTAAGCATCGGTCCGGTAGGCAAGAGAATCGGCCGATGGAAATTTTTCCTCGTCAGCCGCTTTGTTGTCGCGTTTGCCCTTCTTCTGCGGTGAAAGAGTAGAGAGAAGGCCTGAGGGTGAACTTGGCAACGTATGTGTGTGAGTGACTACTACAGTCCCATTTTCCGTGCGCTTATCTGGACAACTGCCGGCTCAGACCAACGCGCCAACAAGCGCGACACAGCAAGGGTTTCTGTTCCCTCTCGCTGCGTCTGTCAAGCCTTACCGGCCAGCCAGCCGACGCGAGCGATCAACAAGCTCGTCTTCAGGGCTCAAGAGGAGGGGGGGGGGGCGCGCCTGGGGTGGCAGGGCAGGGGTCACCCGTTCCGAAAGCCGCACTCTTTGGTTCCCGTCCCTCGCTCCGTCAGACGGTGTGATAATTTACCTGTACTGTACAGTACCTGGGCACAACATGTTTGCTGGTATTACCCGTTGACGGTCAATTTCGTCCGCATCGCGACAACGTAACGTGACAAGGGGTTCGTGACTCAAGTTTTTTCCTTGCCGTCCTTGTTCACTCAGGCATTCATTTTGGTCACTGTCTCGGGCCCGGCCTCGGTGTGGCTAGATTGTTCGCCCGAGAACAATGTCCTGGAGGCTTTGGCACGTACGTATACGGTACAGGGTACGGTATCGGCCGAGTCCGTGCTGCGTTTGGGGGGTAGGCATTGGGGCGCTTAGTGTGGTGGGATGGTTTTGAACTCTGTTTGCTCGCGTCTGGGGGCGAGGCGGCCGTCCTAAAGCCGTCTTTGAAGACATAAAGGTAAGATAAGGTAGAAAAGGGAACGTGCGGGAGACACATAGCGTCATGTTGAGGAGGCGTTAGGTGTCTGGGAGCCGCTGAAGATCTAGAGTTCCGAATATCCATTTCTGGCTCGAGGACGTGTCTGCCAAGCCAAAATGGTTCTGAACCGTGTTGTGTCTGAGAGTTCTCTAAAAAGGTCCATGTCGTCTATCTTATTATCTGTAATTATATACTAGCAGATAGCCGGATAAGTGACTGGTTCTCTGCAGCAGACGAGCCTATGACCAGGCTACCATGTGAGTCCTCAGTGTTCAGGGTAGGCTAGATCTGCTATTTGTGAGCCAGCTTTTGAGTTGTGACGCCTTTTGACGGCACAACGCAAGCAGACGTCGAGTACTCCATCCACGAACGACACGAAGCATATCACCAGTATGGCCATGAAGCTTTACGGATTATCTCTTTAAAACTAGCCCCCCAGCAAGCTTTTGCGGTGTCCATACGGTTGTGCGGCGACACTTGATTTAGGGTAGTCATTCTACGATCAAGACTCAATACCATCGCGAGAAAAAGCCACACATTTAAATGACCGAACGCAGGTGAGGCACTCTTGACCAAGGACCGGTAATGCTTATTCTGCGAATTGAACCGGACGATGTGGTGGAAATATCATGGATCGGTTCACCGTACTTGAGAGACGGCTTGACACAGGGTAGGCGCAGGCTGTCCTTGGTCACACGTAGTAACAAGCCACAAGCGCCACAGTCACCCGCCCACTTGTGGCTTTCCGTTTAGCTGACCATTCGACGTTGTCCCGAATTCATCAACAAAGCAAGCATCATTTGTTCGACTATCTCGTGTGCGGCAAGCTTCAGCGTGGATGGCGCTTGATTAGTCGGCGGTGGAACACTCAGCATTCGCTGTTGGCGCCGGCAGACGACCCCAGCAAAGTTGGGCACACCGCAGATGACGCCCAGGCGGTCAAACTAGAGCCTTCGCTCACACAACAGGAGCCCGAGTCCGAATCGAGGACTGGCTCAAGTATGTTCCGTCTCGCTCTGCTTGCCGTCTGTGCACTTCCGATATGGAAGGCTTCAGCGATGCGCGCCGACCGTCTGGCAGAGCTCCGACAGGCCACGGTTGACGTATTCTACCATGGTTGGCGCAACTACATGGACAAAGCATTTCCGGAGGACGAGGTTGGTGGCCACAAATGCATAGTGCGGTCTGAGCTAACCTCATCTACCAGCTTCGTCCGCTGTCGTGCACGCCACTCTCACGAGACAATGACCCGAGCCAGTTTGGACTGAACGATCCCCTAGGAAATTACTCACTCACCCTGCTTGACAGCCTCTCGACTCTCGCGATCCTGGCTGGCGATCCCCATCCCGAATCGAACATTGGTCCCCAGGCGCTCGACGACTTTCAGCACGGCGTCAGCGAGTTCGTCCGCTTGTACGGCGATGGGAGAAAAGGTCCGAGCGGCACCGGAAGCCGTGCCACGGGCTTCGACCTGGACAGCAAGGTGCAGGTGTTCGAAACGGTTATCAGAGGGCTCGGCGGTTTGCTGAGTGCACACTTGTTTGCTGTTGGCGAGCTGCCCATAACCGGGTATGATGCGACGCCTGTCAAGGAGACGACCAGCGACGACCCCCTCGAAGCTGCACCGATACAGTGGCCTAATGGATTCCTGTACGATGGACAGCTACTGCGTCTTGCGCTGGATCTAGGTGAACGGATCCTGCCCGCATTCTACACATCCACCGGCATTCCGTATCCTCGAGTGAACCTGCGTCATGGCATCCCATTCTACACCAAATCGCCCCTTCATGGCGATGAGCCCGATGCAGATGATTCGAACGACCACGGTCGGCCGGAAATCACGGAGACCTGCAGCGCGGGGGCGGGTAGTCTTACGTTGGAATTCTCTGTGCTCAGTCGGTTGACAGGAGACGACCGGTTCGAGCAGGCCGCCAAACGAGCTTTCTTCGAAGTGTGGGATCGCAGAAGCTCTCTAGGTCTCATTGGAAACGGCCTAGACGCGGAGCGTGGAGTCTGGATTGGACCGCACTCGGGCATTGGTGCTGGCATGGACAGCTTCTTTGAGTACGCTGTGAAAAGCTACATCTTGTTGTCCGGAAATGATGTCCAGAACGTGTCGAAGCCCATCGCCAAGGGGCAGTCAGATCGACTGGACCCAAACTCACTTCATCCCCCGCTGCACCCCGACCGCACCTCGCCAGAGGCCTTCCTGGAGACTTGGCATCAGGCTCACTCATCGGTCAAAAAGCACATCTACAACGACCGGCTGGCATACCCATACTATGCAAACAACAAGTTCGGGACGGGCGAACAATACACAACATGGATCGACAGCTTGGGTGCCTTTTATGCTGGTCTCTTGGTGCTAGCCGGCGAGACCGATGAGGCTGTTGAGGCGAATCTGCTATACACCGCACTTTGGACGCGATATTCCGGTATCCCCGAGCGTTGGTCATTCAGGGATCTGGACGTCGAGGGTGGCCTTGGCTGGTGGCCCGGACGACCGGAGTTTATCGAGTCAACTTACTACATCTATCGTGCGACCAAGGACCCATGGTATCTCTATGTTGGCGAGATGGTGCTCAGGGATATCAAGGCTCGCTGCTACGCACCGTGCGGGTGGGCCGGTCTGCAGGATGTTCGCACAGGCCAGAAGGCAGATCGTATGGAGAGTTTCTTCCTCGGGGAGACCACTAAGTACCTATACCTGTTGTTCGAGCCTGAGCATGCACTGAACAAGCTGGACGCGCCATACGTCTTCTCGACTGAGGGACACCCGCTCATTATTCCCAAGGAGCGTCATCCCCGACCTCGGAAAGCGGCGAATAGCAGTGACGGGAAGAAGGCACTGGCCTACTATGACGAGTCCTACACCAACTCGTGCCCAGTGCCTGTCGTCCCCGAGTCATTGACAGGGTCAGCCACCGCGGCTAGGCGCGATCTCTTCCACGTGTCGCGCTTCACTGGCCTCTACAACACACCGAATCCTCGAGGACCACATGAGACTGTGCGCGTGTACGACAAGAAGAAGGGACAGGTCATCAAATACCGACCGACCTCGAACCACACTCTCTTCCCGTGGACACTCCCGCCGCAATTACTTCCGCCGGACGGGCAGTGCGCAGTGCCTGTGCCCCCGAGGACTCAGATCATTGAGTTCCCCGCCACCGACACCATTGGCTCTATCCTCGGCAAGTATGGCACCAACATCGAGAAACTCGAATGGGGGCCTCTGGTGAAGAACGTCGCCGGGTTGCAAATGGTCGTGGACCACACCCCCAAATCAGATGTCGAGGAAACATCATGCAGGATTACGCGCATCGGTCCCACCGAAGTCGGGCCCAACGAGCTCGTCTTCTTTCACGCGGAAGACATCAAGGTCTTCCGAGACGAAGCTTTCAGTGCTACCCGGCGCCAGGATAAGGTGCGGATCGGCGTGATTGACTCTCCCAAGTCAGAGAACGGCTCCAAGATTGATGATGATTACCTCGTCGAGGATCGATACACACATCCGGAGACGGTTCTCAAATCGCTATTTCGCACCCTGACGTCCGTCTTCGACTCACTACCCACTGGCGTCTCTGCGTCGCGGAACTTCCAGGTGCGTGTTTGGGACGCATACACTGGCGTTGGGCCCGGCGCTTTCCCCATGCCTGAGGTGAACGGCTTCCAAAACCCACTCGTGTCCAAACTACTTGATATGCCAGACCTCCCATGGAAAACCATTTTCGTGACGGGTCAAGCGTGTAACGAGCCACTGCCCGAGGCCGCGCCACGCCATCACCAGGTCATAGTCATGCGCCGTGGCGGTTGCAACTTTGCTCGCAAGCTAAACAACATCCCCTCGTTCCCGCAAACTCCAGACGCTCTACAGCTTGTCTTGATTGTGGACGACAGTGGCTCCAAGGAGCCCGTCCGGCCTCTGATCGAGACCGAGCAGGTGACACCGAGCGGAATGAAACGGTTGCACGGGATACCTATGGCGTTGATGACAGTCTACCCGGGCGAGCTGGAGCTGTTGAAGGAAGCAAAGGCGGTGGGGATGTCGAGGATATACGATCTGACGAGCCATGGGTCACGGATAACGAACGCGATTGTGCTGTAAGCACAAGGTACATATTACATCAAAAGGTTTCAGACAAGCGTTGCATACTCGGTTTTTAGAAGTACATGTGGACCTGCGAATACAGTAAAACATCAAATGTTCAAAAAGTGGTCTATCTCGTGAATGCTATTATATAAAGAAATTGAGGAGGGAATATCCAGATTACCTCCAGTGCCGTCCAACCGCTTCCGTTCATCTATAATCATGCGAGCGATGCTTCCTCGTAATCGATGTTTTATGTTGAAAAATCACCCCAAACGCCGGATTGTGCCCCCTCCCTATCGATTCATATGGCGTCGAAGATGAATTCATTCGTCCTGTGCGGTGCTGAGACGACTGGTGTGCGCAATATTTGAGGATCTTCAGTTGTCGTCCATCAGAATCGAAACGGGGGCGCCCTCGAGCTTGTCGCGTCCATTGAGACCAGGGATTTCAAGGATGAAGAGGAAGCCAGTGATATCTCCCTTGAGCTGCTTGACAAGCTCGGCAGCAGCCTTTGCGGAACCACCTGATTCGCCACGATTAGTCTCTCGAATAGTGTGGACGCCGCATTCCGGGAGCTTACCAGTAGCAATAATGTCGTCGACAATCAGGACCTTCTGGCCAGGCTTGACAGCGTCTTCCTGCATTTGGAAGAAATCCGCGCCATACTCCTTGAGGTACTCGGCCGTGACACACGGACCGGGGAGCTTGCCCTTTTTGCGCACAGCGGCGAAGCCGACACCCAGCTTCAAGGCCAGGCCGGGGCCAAAGAGAAACCCGCGGGCATCGAGTCCGACAATGACATCTGGGCGGCCGCCGGGGAAGGCCTCCTGGATCTGAAGCTCGAGAGCGTCGACAAGGGTGTTGTGGGCGGCGGGGTTGGCGAAGAGGGGCATGATATCGACAAACTCAATGCCCGGGATGGGGAAGTCGCTGAACGACCTGAGAACCTTGCGAAGCTCTACCTTTGCACCGGTGAGTTGGGCGGCGGCGGAGGAGGCGGAGGAGGGCTGTCGTCCCGAGGCATCTTGTTGCTGGTGCTGCTGCTGTGCTGAGGTGGAGGAAGAAGCAGGAGCCTGGGCGTCCTGCGTTGACATTGTGAGAGAAGGAGAGAGGGAGGGGAGGCGGAAGGAGAGGAGCGAGGAGGAAGCAGAAGTAAGAGGAAAAAAGGAAGGAGGGAGGAGGAGGAGGAGGAGGAGGAGGTCAGGTACTGCTGTACGCTGCAAAAAATTGAGTGGGCGAAGAGTCACGGAAGGTACAGCGCAATCCGAGCTGGTGCAATGTCCGTTTGCTGGCTAAATATGGTACTGCTGGCGGAACGACAGGGTACAAGCAGGGACCAAAAACGTCGGGACCTTGTATCGGATGGCGCACGATGGGGATTGGTCAGGCACTGAGAGTGACTTGGGTTGCACCGAGGTGATACTAGCAAAGGACGAGACGGCAGGCGATCTCGAAATGATTGTTGTAAGACGGAAGGTTGAATGTGTTATCAAGAGAGAGGAAACTTTCCAGCGCTCCCGTCTCTGTCCTACAATACCTGGTAGGATGATTGACAGGCCATCTGAGTTTTAATGGCGCGGACACTCCCGTGCGCGATAACAAAACTGCCTTCAGTCGCTGCCTGGCTATCTCCCCACGAAGTCCGGGAAGGGACCACCGCTTTCCACCGCAATACCTTTCACAACAAGCTCCAGTCCTTGATCCTTCCGTCGTTACGGTGGTGAAATCTGCCTTGGTCAACGTCTGGCATTCTTGCTACATGTATGATTACCAGATATCCTGACACAATGCCTCTGTGTGACCAATGCATGCTGGTACTACGTCTACTGGTAGTGGTGAGCAACACCACACCACCCGAAAGTCACTCCACGCGGGCCACATCGTTCCAGCGGTGAGCGTACTCGACCACAAATGACTCTTTCATGCATTCTGTTGCATCGCAAACGGTCCATGAAGAGGCTTGGAAGGCAACCTTTGCCGCGGAACATGGCGCCATCGACATAAACAAGGCAAACCGTGGCCACGAGCAAATGGTAAGCCTTGGAAGACGCAGGTGGGATGACTACTTACGTGGGCGAGTCCAGCCACGCAGCGATACGAACCCCACCATTTGACAGCAGACATGATGATGGCCGCCGCCGCGGCCACGAGATAGCAACCATTCTGGGCGCACGTTGGCGTTGCGAGTCGCTAGCAGCCATCGAGATAAAAACAAGCAACCTCATGCCATGATTTACCGTTCTCGCCCGTCTCGTGCGATGCCGTGCCGGCTTACACCAAGGAGCGTTTACTGACAAATTGAGTTCATTACGCGCAGCCAGAGCGCTAATCAGGGTCCGTCTCTGCCCCCACCATTTCGCCTGTGCTGTTGCAGGCGCACAGCGCACATGCAGATGCAGCGCTCACAAGTCCACATGTTCCGCGTCTGACAGGCCATGCAGCGACAGGACGCGGCAATCAGGGTTGGTGAGATGGAATGGGGAATCACAGATACACCGATTGTTTCACTGCGACTCTTGCGACCGGCAGAGGAGGGCAGTCCGCCCATGGACCTTGAGAAGCTGTGGTCCGTCTATGCGAGGATTGACAGGGGCATCTGGCCAAGACTCTCAAGACCAACAACAATGCTTCGATTGACCTTCCTTTCGGCTTCTGCTCTACTTCCCTACTTGGAACGAGCTCGACCAGGAGGAACGTCTCGGGTCAGTGCCCACCACTACATTTTCGCAAAGAGAGCTCATCTTGATGCCCAAAGTGCCCACGGAAACAAGAGTCGCACGCAATTTTCTGTGCGTCCGTCGGGCATCCCACTCCTCGAACACGTCTTCACACCCTCTTGCATGCTCAGCTCCATCGCCAGCGGAGCGCAACCTGCTGATAAGGCTGGAAAAGCTACCCCTCCAAAAATTCCCCTCTCTGTATGTGACCCCGCCATCCATTGCTGCAAACCATGATTGTTGATGCCCTGGGAAGCACGGAGCAACGACCGGCCTCATCTCGCTGCAATTGATCCAGAAGTCCCCAGTGTCCTCGATAACGTGCCTTAGTTCCCGTTTCAGGCCGCTTGCGGCGGTTAGCTATCGGCATCACTGATGAAGCAAGACAGCGTTCCTGGAGTTGGAGATGTCTATGCCCCACCATGACCCACCAGGGTCCCAGTGAACTCGACAATGCTCCGTACTTCTCTACCTGTCTAGCGCTCGATCGGCTGCTGCATGTCAAATTTCCAGCTCGACTAGGCTAGCAGTTGCCGTGGACAAGAGCGGCAAAGCGCCCAACAGGAGACGGTCAAGATCGAACCGGCCCGGCCCCTGTGATGGCGCGGCAAGTTGCGTAGCACATTCTGGCGGACGGACGTCCGACAAACACCGGTATTTACGGGCCTGTGTACACTGCCGCCGCCAATCTCCAGTCGGTGACTCGGTGACACGCACACTGCACCAGTCACGGATACTGAAGCAGTTATCACTGCCCGTTGATGCCGTAAAAGCTTCAGGTACAACTTATCTCATGGCTAGGTAGAAGAAACACCTGTTACACCGCCATTCGCCCACATCCCACGATGGCTTGCATCATTACCGAGCTAGTACCCCAACATTCACCGACTCTCGCCCCTATACATACTACGTAGGTAGTCAAGTACGCCTCGCTCATGAATATGGAGCCTTCTGAGGACAGGGATGTCTCGCAAGTCCGATCCGCAGGGAGACTGGTCATTTCTTCCCGCTATGGTGGCATACATACATATACGATCCCGCACGGCCGGCCAGCGACGTCATGGCTGAAGACGCTGTGTGAGAGGGTGTCCTGCGGAGCCTTGCCGACGTGCCATGGTCCCCTTGGTCTTGTACAGCACTCATGCTGTGCACTGATGAGACAACATGAAGGGATGCGTTAGCTAGATAGCCTTGGCATGTCAAACTGCTTGTCTGGGTCGCACGACTGGAGCCTATTGTCTATTTGTGTAGTGGGTTGGAGCTTTCTATGCAGTAAGAGTCACACAAGGCGACAACTGGCAAGTCGCATTGAATCTAGATTCATAAACCCAAACATCATCTGACGCTAGTAACTGAGAAATGATTGACAAACTTGCTAAGGGTATCAACATGCAAAGAGTAACGCTCATGCCGCAATACCGCTGTCTCACATGTGAATGGACAATGCAGGCCAAAGCTACGTCCTAGGCTTTGAACCGCAAGCGAACAATCGAGAACAGCATGTTCTGGAGCACATGCAGTGTCGCCGCAACAGAAGTCGGCAGCAACTCTGGCCACACGGCTAGATCCATCCGGCCCTCTAATCCAACGTCGACCTTGAAGAAGAAACTGATCAGCCCTCGCACCACCAGGCTCGCGACAAGCTCGCATGCCCACGTCACGCCAGACGCCCAGAAAGTCATGTCAAAGTCATAATCATCTCCGCTATCGCTACTCTTGTCAAAGGCAAAGTAGGGGTAGACATCCTTGTTGGGCCCAAAGTGCACCACGAGGATGCTGCCGAGAAAGGTCGCCATCGACGCATTCTCTGCGAGGAAGCGAATGAAGACGTTGCGTGTCTGTAGCTTCTGGTAAGTTCCGAATGAGAGCGTGGTAAGGCCGAGAATCGTCAAGATGCGGTGAAAAAGCGGTGTCATCATGATGGGCGTGAGGACAACGAGGCGGGCTGATGAGAGAATCTGAAGAATGACAAACTGCTTTGGGGAACGCAACCGGGCGTAGAGAGCACGCACATAGGTTTGGTAAGTGAGCATGAAATAGCTATATGCGTCAGTGGCGTCGCGTCCAGCGTTGGAAAAGGGGGCATCTTACAGCTTGAAAACCCAACTCAAGGGGTAGCTCCCTACACGCTCGCCCTCGCGGATGCCAAGCACCCAGCCTGTCAGCGCATCGAGCAGATGCACCGTGACCACCCATCCATAGACATACACCACCGTCTCCCAACTGTCGTGGGGTAGCGTTCGCAGGTAGAGCTCAGCATACGCCTCGCCAAGAACGTACGCCATCAGCCCTATGAAGAGCGCCACGCAGAACCAGAGGAAGCGAACAAAACTGGCGGGGAACCACCGCGTCCGTGCGGCCCTGCCTCGAGGGCGTGGGAGACCCCCACTTGGTGCGATCGTCGGGTCGAACAGATCGTCAGTGACGGGCGCACGCCTTCTGTCTCGTCTGGTGAACGTCTCCGTGTCACTGGTCCACCACGACGATGTGAAGATCCTCTGCGTTTCCGACAGCGAGTTACGCAAGCCCAGATGGCGTTCGTTGTTCCTCAGAATCAGAAAGGCAATAGCCACCGGCAAGGCCATGATGATAAAAGTCCAAGAGATCCAGGACGTGTTATGCATCGTCAGGAAGCGCGTCTTGTCAATGTGATAAATTGGAATAGGCCCCGCAACCGACAGCATCGCAATGATCGACACCGTAAGGGGAAATCCCAGGGACGAAGGCCACCAGTTGAGGCTGTACAGGTTGAAGATCTTGGTAATCCAGAAGAGCGCCGTGACATTGTAGAGTCCGTAGTAGACGAAGACGAAGAACCAGAAATTCACCAGCACCCTGGCCTTTCCATGACCGGGCGTTCTGTCCCCAGGCGCACGCAACTGGTCCTCGTCATCCTCCTCCTCGGGGAGGGAATATTGCGGGAACGGTAGGGAGCACCAGGCGACCGTCAACGCCGCCGGAAGGAACACCAGGAAGCCGTACCGCATGTACCACTGGCCCACGACTCGCCTGACAGCTGCCTGCCTCGGGTTCACCCACAGATCCACGATCCATCGCTGCCACCACCTCTGCCACGCTTTCAGCCCATCTTCGATATCTCCATCGTCTCCATCCTCGTCGTCGTCGTCGTCGCTGTCGGACACGAGGAGCGCGCCATACCCGACGTGTACACTACCACTGCCACTGTTCGCGAGCAGACCGAGTTGACTCGTCTTCCTTCGCGGGCCACGCTGTTGAGGAAGCACGGCGCGATAGCGGCCTAGTAGAGGCGAGGAGTCGCTATTGTTGACGCGAACGCGGGACTCGGTGCCTTGTGTGAACTGGAAGAAGCTCGGCATGGCTCGGATGCTACTTCGTGAAACATCCGCGGGCTACATTGGGCGTGGCATCTGCCGGATGTGCCTCGTTGTATGAATCGCGGCTTGGAAACTTGCAACTAAGTCCCATGGGAAAATAAAGAGAGGAGGAAAAGGGAGAGAGTGAGGAAGAACGGGCAGATGCGGGATGACGAGGGCGTGGCAGGACCCTGCAGGCGCCAATGGCGGTGTAGCTCAATTGGGTTATCCGTCAGTCAGGCATTGATCACATCACCCGAATCATTACTTAGATTCCGCTGTTCAAATGGCGCATACGACGTCAATGACATTTGAAATTTGAAGTTATTTGGCTTTTCCCCAGCTCTGGAAGTCAAGGCAGAGCACTGGGGCTCGCGAGAGGGTCAGTTGTTTACCTAGCACTTTCACCCAAGCACCAGGCAGTTTGATACATGTCCTACTTCAGCGAGTGGATTCCCGATTAAACTGTCAAGTTAAAGTAGGAGCATCCATGCCGCTGGCTATGTATGCTCGTCGCATGGCAATAAGGTAAAGTGGCCAGTGAATAGGGGCCCCTAAACGCGTGATATTGTGCCTCTTTCGCGCCGTTTCCTTCCCAACCAAATGCCTTTGCGTCATCTAAACAGTCTTCGGTGCCAGCATTGACCCGTATACAGCATGCTTGCCTCCCGCATGTACCGATGCATCACTGAGAGAAGCACTGGCGCCCAGCACGGCACCCGCATCATAACTGTGAGGTGTCCAGGGGCCGCTTTGTACGAAGCGCAAGTCGCCCTTTGGCAACCAGCGGTAGGGGTACAAATGCGAAGTGTTCCCAGGTCTTGCCGGTGCCCCCGACAGTACGCGATGGGACGTTGCTGAGGTGACTATTGGCACCGAGTGCAGCATCTGACACGGATCATGGCACGGCGTCGGCGGAAATGAAGGCGCCTCTATCCTCGTATCACTAGTCCCGTGTTGCGCCTGATGTTGGTCGTACAGGGACTTCTCAATTTGACCCGCCTGTTCGACTTGAAACAATGATGCCTCGCCTGCCTGGGATTCCTAATTCCGCATCACATTCGCGTACACTGTGAAAATTTCCAGTTCGGTGTCCGGGCCCCCGGGAAGGCGCTCATGCTTTGGAATCGCGGCAATAAGATGCACCTCGATCACATTCAGGCCTTGATGTAGCATGGCTTCGAAAACACGATCACCATAAGCTTGCTGCGGGTCGTACGGCGTCGAGCACTTGAGGTTATGGCGATCGAACATGGCCCACAGGCTATAATGGCGTTCTTGCAGGAGCTCTGGAAGTGTGATGGTCATGGTCATGCGGTTGCTGTCAGCTGGTAGGTTGACTGTAGCAGACTGCTGCATCTCTTTGCGGTCTGGCATGACTGTGGTCGCTGTTGGCTCGCCACCACTGCTTCGGTGAAATAGCAGACGCATCTGGGAGATCAACGCATCGGCTTGACCTGTTCCGAGTTAGCTGTGATCTACAATGAAACATGTGTGGAGTCATACCCTTCCCTGGAAGTCTCAACCGCTTCTGCTCCATGGGCGGAGCGGGCAAAGGTTGGAACTGAGGCTGGGCAGGCACTGGTGGGTGTGGCCCTGGCCTGGGTGGCCCCGGCGTTGCGTACGCTGGCGTCGCACTAGGCGGGCGGACGGACGGTGACACGCGCGTTTCTTCGCCTTTGGAAGTCGGGGCCACGGACGGACTGGGCGAAGGAGCCGCCACCGAGACACTTCGAGTTTTCTCAGGTACTGCCAATGATGGTTGTACTTGTCCTGTGCCATTGACTTCCGGCACAGGAGCGGGAGAAGCGGTCGCGTTAGGCACAGGTGAGTCGGTCGAGACGCCCCGGCTGTTGCCGACGTTCAGCGTAATCTTCCTGTTGGATGGCGGCTCTGACTGCTGATTCCCAACCTTGAGCTTGATCTTCGGCTGCGAAGGTTCGGAGGCATGAGCTTTGGCCTCTTTGATTTCTTTTTTCAGAAACGTTTCGAGCTCTTGCGCGAGCACAAAGATATCGCTGCCGTCCTCGTTGTAGTAGTATGCATTTGTCCACAGCAGCTTGGCCTTTTCTTCAAACTGCGCCCAGCTCTTGAGTTCGGTCACGCCTGTCACGTCATTTCGGCCTTGGACACCCCTGACGAGTTTTTGGAGCTTTTTGAGGCACATGGGCTCCTTGATCATCGAGTAATAATCCTTGAGGGAGCGCGGAGGCAAATTGATGAACGGCTCGAAATAGGGGCCGTCATAACTGCTTGTGTTAGCTCATCGACCACGATCGAGTCCTTTAGGGCTTCCTACTCTTCGGTGCTGTGTCGCAGACCCTCCTCGACAATCTTCTCTTGTGCTTGCTGGAAGTTCAGACCCTTGTATGGGACGTCTTCGTACTGGTGATCGGGTTTCGCAGGTGGCAGCTTTCGGGGTGTTTCTTGTTGCGGTGTTGAGATGGAATTTCTGCTCGAACGGGCGGTCACACGCCGTTTGAGTATTATAGACCTTCGTTTCGAACCTGTGCCGTTCTCTTCACCATCGTCTGCATCATCTTCGACATCATCGGCAGCTCCTTCTGTCTTCGCTACTGCCAGCTCGCTTTTGAGAGGGGTTGTCGACATTGCGCCATCTTCAGGCAGAGGCGTGGCCACCGCCTGGTAGTTCCTATTCTGGTACGCGGGATTGTTCTTCGTCATGTAGTTACTGACAGCCTTGCGAACACGTTCCGCGTCGTCGAATTCGGAAGAGGACTTGTGAAACCACTCCTTGGCATTGGTGATCATGCGCTTGAGGTAGCTCTCGAGCTCGGACAGGTTCTGGAAGTCGCCATTTTGTAATTTCTCTTCAATTGTCTCGAAGGAAATGGGCATGCGCGTGCGCGCGTAGTATTCCTCGTTGCCTTGGCGAGGTGGCAGAGTTTCGAAGTAGCCTGCTACACGTCGCCCGCTGCAGTTGTTAGCCAAAAGCCAGGCGAGTCTTCTGCAACGGAGCATACCTCTTGTCCGATGTGCGACGGATTTGATCGAGCAGGCTCAGGCCATAGGCTGTTGTCGACTCCTGGGTCTCGCCCTTTGAGAGGTCGTATGACTCCTACTGCAATTAGTCTGTGGTGAATGTGAAAGCGAGTGCGCTGCCCGTCACGAAATGATTGAGACCGGAAGATTCTGGCGATCGAATCACTCGTGTGGAAAAGATCATTTTCCAAAGGCGGGGCTCGGTATGACTTACAACGACTTTGCGACGCTTCGCAGCGCGGTCATCGTAGTCTGGGCTGGCAGCCCCGTTTGCTTTGCGCTTCGATTCCATACTAGGTAGGCTGGCGGATCGCGCCCGACACGAGACTGCGTTTTGCGATGGGTAGTCTTCTCCCGAAACAAGATGATGCTGGGGAGCAAAAATGTTCAATGGACCGGAGGTCTGTCGATGGGAGCTGGAGGACGCGTGATGGCGCAAACTGTCGACGCGTTGGGTGGTTGGCAGCTCAGAACGGCTGGTCGCGATGCAATCGCAATAATCGAGTAAGATTGAAAGACGCTCGAGGTAGCTCGTTTGATATACAGACACCTGCAATGCGATTACTCTTGTTGCAGTGGCAAGGCGCGATGTCGTGAGTTGCGACGGATGGTCGTCGCGTACCTGAGTCTTGAGCAGGGCAATCGCAATTGACGGACGTGGGAAGGTTTTCCGGATCAGAGTGCTCAGGCAGGAGGAGCGAATGACGCTAGTCCCAATTGGGTGATCACACATGCAGTACCTGCTCCCGAGCAGATCTTTAGAAAAAGCGCATTAAAATTGCCATCCAGGAGAAAGAATACAAATCGTAGCTTGTCTGGACTTTGTGTCTTCTTTTCCTTCCCTCGGTCTGGCTTGGAAAACGCCAAAGCTCAGCACGTCGACGTACATAGACGCTGAAGTTGAATCCTTGCCCAGAACGGGATCGTGGGGAAGGTGCAGCAGTTCTGCCCCTCTCGGGGTTGCGTTGGAGCTCAGTAAATACTCGTAGTACGTAGCTCCAGTCCCCTAATGATGCCTTCTGCTCATATTACAGCAACCCTTAAAGAACCCTGACTGCTTGCGACATCATGGCCGACAACGAGAGGACTGGCACAGGCGCCGACAAGTCTGATGTCCCCATCCGCCAGAGCGCACCGGCTCGTCGCGCTCCTCTGCCCCTCGACGTCCCCATTATCAAGCACCTGAACAGCAAGCGAACGATTCTCGCGTCCGCCTCGCCTCGTCGCAAAGCTCTTCTCGCGCAAATGGGCCTGAAAAATCTCGAAATCATCCCCTCGACCAAGCCAGAAGACCTCGACAAGACCGCCTACGGTCCACATGAATACGTCGCGGCCACAGCCCGTCAGAAGGCGCTGGACGTCTACGAGACTGTGCTACAGTCTCACCTAGAAAGCATACCAGATCCAGACATTGTAATTGCAGCAGACACCATCATCGTCACCCGAGATGGGCGCGTGTTAGAGAAGCCAAAGAACGAAGCCGACCACATCCGAATGATCAAACTCATGAGGGATACCAGGATACACAAGGTCCTTACGTCGGTGACAGTGATTGCGCCTCGAGAGGACGCGGCTTACCCTGGCTACGCGATTGCTACGCACACTGAAGAGACAAAGGTCTTCTTCTGTCAAGAAGACGACGGGCTGCCAGATGATGTCATTGAAGCCTACGTCAAGACGCGCGAGGGCGCCGACAAGGCAGGTGGGTACGCGATCCAGGGAATTGGAGGCATGCTTCTCGTTGAGAGAATTGAAGGCAGCGTGGACAACGTGGTCGGCCTTCCCGTGAGGAAGTGCCTTGCATTGGCAGAGAAGGTGATCTTCCAGCAAGATGTAGAGGAAGTGGCGGAAGAAGACGAACCAGCGGACTATTGATCGAGCCGGATTGAATGAGTTGAAAATAAATGGGATAGAATAATATTAGTGAGAAGGCAATGTTGCACGGAGATATTCACAGGCATTTTGGTCCTGTCACATGTCAGTCCCGGCCATCGAATGTCAGGCACCCTACGTGCGTATATTAGCTTACAATTAAAACCCGTAAACTTCAAATACATATCTTGATCGAACCCAGAGATCATGCTAGCTGCTGTTGCCGTATGCTGAGTTCTGTGTGATCCCAGGCTCTATTCGATCTCGCCCCGTGGGAGGGCGTGACCGAGGAATCGCTTCAACCTCCTGCCTTGGCTTCAGTGGTAATTTATCCACCTCTCTCAACAGCACGCGCACCACGCTCAACATGTTGTAACCGCACCATCACTAGCTTAGATGTAACCGCCAACCGTCCGAGCAACGCGCTATAGCATTGTACAATCAATTCCCGGTAGCCCACGGCTGCTCCCCCTCGAATTCGGCAGCTTGTCCTGCTGTTGCGCATGATGGCCTCACCAGCAAGATCCGCGCCCGCCGATCAACAGGTCGGCAATTCATCCAAATCGCCTGACGGGCAAGATGCCAACGATCCGAACAACACTGAGGACAAGGCCCGTCTGACCGCCGAAGAGAAGAAACAGAATCACATCAATTCCGGTGCGTGCCCACCATCTGGTGCCCCTAAACGAAAGGCGGGACACATCAAATGTTGACGCGTGAACGTAGAGCACAAGCGCCGCCAGAACATCCGCGATGGTTTCGATCGCCTATGCGAGATTGTCCCAGGACTCGAAGGCCAGGGTCGCTCAGAGGGTCTTGTTCTGAAACAGACGATTGCCTACATGAGAGAACAGATCCGCGAGCGAAGGATGATGATTGAACAGCTTGAGGCCGCTGGCGAGACAGTCGACCCCAAGCTTATAGAGTGAGTTTACTCAATGACTGAGTATCGACCGGTTTCCATGCTGACACACTAGACCATTGGCCGCGTTTGAGAAGTACGAGGCCGAGCACAAAGACAGTGATACGCCCGAGTTGGACTTTGAGCTGAAGGCGCCAAAGAAGGGGAAGGGGAAGAAGAAATCAAATGTCAAGGACCAACAGACGCGCGAAGATACTGGTAACGATGATGAGTCGGGCCAGGACGAAGTGAAGCAGGAACCGCCTCATCACGATGTGTCAATGGGTTGAACAGTGGGCACAGCAGTGGCTGTTACCGAGGAGGCTTTTGCGCTCACTCATCCTTTGACAAGAACGCCTGACACCGGTCACCAGTACTTCTGTCGGGACTCGCGAGACAAGTGGCGCGAAGTAGTTTTCGACAAGCGAGGCGTTGGGGCATTATACAGCTTTTATTACAATTCTCATAGAAACTATTGGAATGTCTCTACCATGTTGATCATGCGATCTCGTAGTGCTGAGGCGCTGAGGCGCTCCTTGCCCAGGCTGACGATCTTGTCTTGGACGTCTTTCTCACCCACAACAAGCACAAGTCCATAGCCTGCCGATTTAGCTTCGCGAATCTTGGTCCCGAGTGGGCGCGCCGTATCATCTACGTCGACAGCCAGGCCTGTGGGCCGCAGTGGATGCTCTTCAGATGGTAGCTTGCCCGCCTCGAGGGCCTGGTAGGTCGCCCCGTCATTACCAACGAGGACATCCTTGGCCTGGCGCGCCCATTCAAGCACCGCCGGCGAGGTGGTGACTGTCAGAATGATAGCCTGCTTGGGATTGAGCCAGAACGGCCACTTGCCATTGTAGCTCTCGATCAAGATCGCCATCAGTCGCTCCACAGAGCCCAGCACGGCGCGGTGCACCATGACGGGCCGCACAGGGCCATACACTGTCAATTTCTCCACGTCCTCTGTGACTTCGCCGCGGGCCTCGTGCTCTGGTGCGGGCGCTTGGTACTCCAACTCAAAGCGCTTGGGCAGCTGGAAGTCAAGTTGCACCGTCGCCGTCTGGTGCTCCTTGCCATCAGAGTCTTTGAGGACAATGTCGATCTTGGGGCCGTAAAAGGCACCGTCGCCCTCATTGACCGACCACGGCATGCCTGACTTGTCGAGTGCACGGCGCAGCGCATCCTCGGCGCGATCCCACTCCTCCACGGTACCGATAAAGTGGTCCTTGGGTCTCGTCGAGAGCGCAAGTCTGTACTCAACACCCAGCCGGAGAGCTGTGTACACGACCTTGACAAAGTCGAGCGTTTTCCGTATCTCCTCTTCCACTTGTATCGGCCGGCAGAAGATGTGCCCATCGTCCTGGTGAAACCTCCTCACCCTCGTCAGACCACTCAATGACCCAGAGTTCTCATTTCTATGCAAAGGGCTAAAATCGGCGTAGCGAACTGGCAGGTCACGATATGAGTGATGTTGGCTGGCAAAGATGATGCAGTGGCCAGGGCAGTTCATCGGCTTCAGCCCGTATTCACCCTCGTCTTCTCCCTCTTGCCCATGCGCGCAGGTTTCGTGCTTTTTTGTGTATCCGGTCACAGAGTACATGTCATCCCCATAATTCTCTAGATGGCCACTTTTGGCCCAGAGCGCCTTTTTGTAGATGGTGGGTGTGATCACCTCTTGGAACCCATATCGTACGTACTGCTTGCGGAGGAAATCGACAAGGCGGTTGAATATGCGGGCCCCGGCGGGCAGAAATATCGGCGAGCCAGGGCTGTATGGTGATGTGGTGAAGAGGCCCTGCTGGACGCCGAGCTTGCGATGGTCGGGAGGTTCAGCCGCTGGCGTGGATGGTTTTTGGGTCGACGCGAACCGGCGCTGTTGGCGAACGCAGAGCAAGCACCTGCCTTGCCTTGGCGCGAATGTACCAGGCGACACGCGAGCTATTCGGGGGCGCATCATTGTGACAATGGCTGAGGAGATGGAATGGACGTCGTCAAGTCGCGATGTGGAATTTCTGACGCGCCACGCAGACGATTGGAGCTACTGCTCAATTGAGAGCCACACGGTTTCTGACACTAATAACTACAGCACTGATTACATGCCAGTACGTACTCTGCCCCATGCTAGCTACCCATCTCCAGGCCCCTGGCCTGTGATTTACTACGGGTGCCTAAGTTTTTCCATTTCCTGGGTGGTCGTCAATATCATTTGATTCTCGTCATCATCTATGTGGAGACCTCGCGCATATGCACTCGTCCGCATGCCAATCACTGCATAGAGTTGGCAACCTCTCTGAACCTCATCATGACATCTCCATCCACGTTGACCACCCACTGCTCCTCAAAGGCAGCCTCGCCTCCCACGCGCGCCACAAGGTCCTGCAATCTCTCTCTGACAAAGGCGTAAGCATGCATTGTATGTATCGGATCGCGCATCATCATCCCTCGCTCTGCTATCAACTTTGGGGTATCATATTCCGTAGGCTCTGGCGTCTCGAGGATGAGACAGTCCGTCGCATTCTGCCTGCCGTCTTGCAGATCCGAGATAACGTTCGTCCACAGCAGAAAATAGTCTTGAAGCTTGCCGAGAGTCAACTCCTGGACCGGGGACGGAAGTTCGAGGAGGCGCGTGAGGGCGAGGAGGTACAGCTTTTGACGCTCAATGTTGTCCATGTCGTGCGCCTGCTCGAACCATTCCGCAGACAGCCAAGACCAAGTGCTCTCAACACCACCCAGAGAGTCAATCATCTGGGTGAACACTGTGGGTTCGGCGAGCGCGAGTCGCGCTATGATGGCGAGGTAGTCGCTCTCAGTAACCGTGTTGAGCTTGCTGATCTTGCGGTTCGGCCCTGTCGTTTGATGTGCCTCCCAGGCATTGTGCAGATCGCCCAGAATCTTCGGAAGGAATCCCAGCTCCACCATGTCCTGGATGATCAAAGTCACGCCACTCGAACCACCAAGATCCACAGCCGACCGGATGAAATATTCGATGCAGGTCGTGCCGCTGCGGACTTGCTCCCGGCTCTTAGAATCCAGGATGCCAAGAAGGGCAGTCAAGGTGGGACGTCGAAGCCTGTCTTCCAGCATGGCGCTCGGCGCAAAGAGTATGTACGATTCCACAGCGTTGAGTGCCTCGCCAGCTGTGAGCGACGAATACTCCAGTAAGGGCAGCGCCATCTCGGCCAGACCAATGAGTTCCGGTGACAGCGGCGCTGTGCTTTGCATGAGGACGGCGTTCCAAAGCTCGAGCGATTCGTCAATGAGGTGCACGTGGAGATCAGACCCTTGTCGCACTGCCTCTGAGATCAAGGGCACCATGAGGTGCTGGTAGCGCTGCGAGGCAGTTCCCATGCTCATAACGAGAGCCGCAAAGATGGCAATCACAGCCTGCTTGATCATATACTCTTCGTTGCCCGTGTTCTCCCACACAGAAGGTAGGTTTGACATGAGCTGGTCGCCAAATTGGGATACTTGGTCCTCCATACGGGTGACAATAATACGGACCGACTCGAGAATGGCAAGTTTCGTCTCGTCAACCTCCACATGTTGAATCAGCCCAATGAGCTGGCTCAAGACGTCCGCCGTGTACGGCAAGAATGAGTCCACGCTGAAGTCGAGCTCGTCCGCGATCCACCTCAATTGTCTCGCTGTCGTGATCCGCACCACCAAATCGTTCGCCTCGTCATTGGGGTCCAGGAAGTGGCGGAAGATCTGGTAGACAATCGGGCGACTCTCGTCGGCCAGTTTCACCGGCGCCCATTGACTTAACAAGATGGCTATCCTCCGTCTGAGGACCTTGTTCAAGGCTCCAGTCTGTTGCGCGTCTTGCAGAACTGTCGTCGCCAGGAAGCCATCAAAGTCAAAGACGTTGACAACATGGGCCGCGGCGTTGCCCATGGCCGTATACACGGCTTCCTTTGTCGCAATGTCGGAATGGGGATCCTGTGCCGACTGGAAATATGACATGAGTGGCTGGATCAGAAGATCCTTGAACTGAGTGAGCAAGTCTAGGAATAGCCTCTCCGCACATGGTCGGACCTGCCATTCGTATGCGTCACTCTCGCTTTGCTGCTCTTTCTCCCATTCCTCGGGATCCTCCTCCCACGCTTCGAGATCCGATTTGCGGAAGACGAACAGATATGTGATGATGCAGTTCACGATCTGTACCACGAGGTGAGGTTTGAACAGTTCCGTCTTGATCATGGCCCTGGCCGCCTCTTGCTCCGCCTTGGTCTCCGGACTACGGTACTTGAAGGTCTGGACGGGCATGAAGGCTATCCGCACGCAGGCACGCAAGAGCAAAAGCCCCTTGACGGCCAGCTTCTCGGGCAGCGGGCCCTCGACCTTGGCCTTGGCACTTCCTGAGCCACTGTTCTGTCGGATGCCTCCGGAATTCCCGTACACTTCGGCAAACTTGGACACAAGATCCCAATAGGCGTGTATCAGAGACAAAGATTCCGGTAGGTTCGCAAAGCTTGCCGGATGTTGCTCGGCCATATTGATATGAAGCTTTGTGAATTGAATCAAATGGCCGGCAGCGACCTTTTGAAACTGCTCCGGCATGCCAGCCTCCTCGCTGACGAAGCCCAGCAGTTTCCCAAACTGATTCTGCGACAGTCCCCAGAAGCGTGTCACTGTCTCGTCGCCATGCGGCCTCTCGTAGCCGACAAGAACCAGACGTCGTAGAACCTTGAGGGCGATGAGACTATTCGACATGGCCAGGTACGCCGCCTGCTCGTCGCCCTGTCGATTTGTCAAGTAGTTGATCCATAGCTCCGACCTCTCTGCGTATATTTCCAATAGGACATGCACAATCTCGGGCGTAACTGATTGCAGTGCCGTCTGGCTCTTCTTTAACCTCGCCGTGCCCAGCTCCTTGACCACCTGTAGCAGGATCTGCAGGGACCCAAATAGCTTCCTCTGGTCCCTGTCCCTCGAAGACCGGAGAAGGGAGATGATTTGTGAAAGCGCGTCCGGCCAGTCGCTCGGGTAGTCGATGCGCACAATCTTGGCCGTTACATATGCATTGTGTTCGGCGAGTCGCTCCTCGACCTCGTCAACGGTACCTTCGAAGAGGCGCTGGCGGATCGCATTCTTCTCGTCAGATGATATTCCCTGCTTGGCCGCGGCGTAGTGACGCCAGTGCTTGTCGATACCATTTTTGAGCTGGATGACGGCCTGGAAGCGTGGCTCGATGGGAAGCGACTTGTCGAGGTAAACGGCCTAGCGAGAAACTCTTTCAGCACGTGCATCACCGGCACCACTCTCGGTCAAGGCTTACCTGGAGTGAACTGTAGTATCCAGGCGTCGTCTCCCATGATGTCAGCTGCTGCTCGGCCGCTTGCCGCTGCGCATAGTCGAGTGATGTTGTCGCCGAGCTGAGCGTCCGACAGAGATCCTGGAAGTTCAACGGGTTGGCGCCCCCCGGCACCTCGATGGCGAAGCTCATGTTGCGTCCGCTAGTGCCGCCTGAGCGGCTGCAGTTCTTCGTCGTCGGTCGGCTTTTGTCTTCTACCTGTGCATGTCCGAATAATCTGGATGCAATGCTGACATGCTCCGCCGTCGCTGAGGACAGATCTGGCAAAAGCAGGGGAAAGTTCAGGCGCTGGTTTACGAGTGGGAGCTGAACATCTGGAGCTGGTAGGCTGTGGTGGTTCCGCGGGGTCACATTTTGGTGGTGGGGTTCGGGACCAACGTACTTACATGGTAACAAACGTAACTAGGATGCGTGTCTCATGGCCTACCCTACACTTTTTATTCTTGCTGCCCGAGGTAGCAACTATTACATTGTTGGACGATAGATGTAAGAAGCCTCAAATGTGATTTGACGTCTCAATACCTGATTGAAATCCCATCACCTCGTTGCCATACTTGAAAATTGCCCTCTCGCCTTCACTCCTCCCTTCTTCAGTAGCGAACGGTGCCATACCAAACCCGCGCAGGGCATCCTGACCAGCCATCGTCAAGACCGCATTAACATCAGGCCGTCCAACATGCTGACTTTCGCCCACACCCCCTGGGAAATCAGCGGGGGGGATCCCCTGTAGGAAGCCCTCACGCTGTTGACGCGCATACTCTACATTGAGCTTTGTCATGGGGCAAGCAGGTATGTACATGACGCTCGAGTCCGACTGGCCCTCGTGGACCATGTCAACCGCATGAATCGTATCGCAGTGCCATGCCACATAGTCTCCTGGCTTGATCTGAGGGACGTGCACCATGGTATGGGGCAAGTCGAGGTGAGGGTGCCATGTGTGGTTCAGCTCCTGACAGTTCCCGGGCCAGGCACCTTGGATATCTGGCGACGTTTCGTCTGCCCATACCCAATTGTCCGGAGCCAGATATTCGGAGGGGTAATCTGATGGACTGCTGGACTGGTTCGGCTGGCGTTTCGGCGTGAAGAAGGGTCGAAGAAGGCAGTAAGCCGTGGATAGTGAGAGCAACGGATTCACCAACAAGGTACCCTCGCGTGGGCCAGTATGCGACATGCTCAGCCACCCCTGGAACATGCGGAACATTGAGCAGGCTCCAGCTCCCTGGTAGAGATCTTGTGTCGCATCGAGTCGTGTGCTGAGCTCCCACGGGTCAAACTCCTCCCACTTGCCCTCAAACACCTTATCGTATACGTGACCCTTGCCGTAGCCTTCCTTCTCCCACCGCTCAACACTGCCACCGTCGATGTGTGGACCTAGAGCAAAGCCAGCGTCGCCAGGCTGACGGATGCGAATGCGATCTGCGTACACCAGAGGCTGCTGTGTTGAGCACATGGCGTGCGGCGTCCGAGAATGGTAATGAGACATCAGGAAACGCTGGACATCCAACATGTTTTGGTGAAGGCGACCCGCAAGCTGAGGTCTCGACCAGTACAGCTCGAAAACGGCTGGATTGTCGGCTGGGAACGCTGTTGTATGTCAGAGGAAGTTCAAGACACGCACCATATGCCAAAGACAAGAAGGCTTACCCTTTGTGGAAGGATTTGCTGCCACGTATCGTTCAGTCTCCTCCTTGAACTCGCGCGCCTCCTTTTCAGGAACTACGCCTCTGACAATGGCGACTCCACGCTTCCGGAGGGCAGAGCTGAATTTTCTCGGGGCATTGTATATATCGGAAAAGTCGATTTGAGGAATGCAGCTCGAGCCTTGCGCCTTGACGATTTGTGTCTCGTCCCTGAGCTTCAGCAGAAGCCGATCCCAGCTTGCATGGAGAGCAGCCCTATCTTGGACCAAGGATTTCTTCACATCTGCGAAACGCTGGGGCAGTTTTTCCGCTTCATCGCTGCCAGAGAGTGAGCGGAACACTGACGATATGTCGCCTTCCTTCCTGGCACCTTGAGCTTGAGTTGCAATCGTCCTTGTCCCGGCTAGGGTAGTCGCTAACCCTGCCGTGCCACACCTCGCAATGTTGGTAGTGCGCGTCCGAAGCATTTAGGGCAATGAGGCAGTTCCAAGTCTTCTGGAACAATAGAGTTGAGATTGAAGATAAAAAGAGATACAGCAACCTCTGTTCAAATGATTGCTCTTCTCCTTTATCCCGGCGGACGTGACGTGAGCCACTTATACCTTGCGCGCCGCGACTGCTTCAGGCCCTCCCCGCACGGTAGCTTCCTATTTAGGAAATTATCCACCTAGTTCCGGGAGCATTGGCTTTAACATATGCGACGTGGAATTCCAAATTGGGAAGTCGTCCTCGAATCGTGGTAAAGGGGATCTTTTAACAAGACGCAGGTCGACTGTACATATTTGATCTATGACTCCAGATCAAGATCGGCAAACCATGACTGAGTAGGCAGCGGCTGTGTCGGGTCCAAATTGGCTGAGAAGAGTTGATCAATGCGATCCAGGTCGAAGCTCGGATCCAAATTGTTGAATAATTCCGCGTCACCAATGCAGTCGTTAATCATGGAAGGTGAGTCGCCCCAGGTCAGGTTCTTTAAGGCATCGGACGAAACCATGGCAGGCTGAGCAGTTTGCCCCATTCCTTGCGTCTCCTCGCTCGGCGCTTCCTGCAACGCCTCTGCCTGTATACGCTGTTCTTCGCTTTCCGCAGCAGGCTCCATGGCGCTGGAAGGGTCGCGCGCGATCGATTCCGAGAACTGGGGCCTTCGTCTCGCCTTGCTTCTGTCGGCCGCGACTCTTTCTACTTCCTGCATGGTATCTGTAGCAAGTTTCGCCACTGCTCTTGCCGAAGCAAACACCGAGCTCAGGTCGTCAAGAATCTCACAGCTACCATGGAACAAGGCGTACGCCCTTTTCCGGCGATATACCATGGCACTATTCCTCAGTGTTTTGTAGGCCACAGAAGCGGCCAAGGATACCGCATATGGAACGATGGGCAGAAGCGTTACCGAAGTTTTGAAGTCTTCCAAGGTGATGGCAACGATACTTGTGGCGGCGAACATCTGAAGCTCACTGCTAGGCGGCGGTTGATGCCGCTCCGTATGCTCTCTTGGCCGATTTTGCAGGATGACAACAGCAAGATAATAGACTTCGATTGTGGCTAGAGCGAGAGTCAGCTTTGCATTTGCGACCGGGAAAACCCCATTACCTAGGAGAGCATTTGACACTGTGGACGCCCCTGTCTCATACACAAGGACTTCGAACGTTGTACTGTCAGATTGCGGCAAGGCCTCTGCATCTGCGGATCTTGGACGATACTGGGCAATGACGGCGTCGAGGAATTGCGAGACCCTGATGAGGAGTTGAAATGCGGGTGCCTGCTCGACAGAAGACGTGAGAATGGTAGGCTCTATGTCTTGCCGATGCATCATGACCGGTCTGCCGTTGGTGGCGGCATTGAGCCGATCAACGACCCAAACACACCAGAACAAGCGCTTGGCCTTCTTTGCCTGCGGGTCGTCGTCAGGCCAGCCCAGATGAAGCCCAAGTGTTTGTGTGTGCTGCACAGCTTGTGAGGCGTAGGGTATGGATACTTCGCTACAGTTGAATTGATCGGCGTAGAAGGCCATGAGAGTGCACACCTGAAGGATCACTAGCTTGTCTTGGAGGAACCCCATGTCAAGAGACTGCTTCACTGCGGCAGCTAAGTGACCCCGGAACTCGATTGGTGAAAGAACTTGCTCTTTTGGGGGTAGCCTGAGGTGTTGTTTAGCCCTGTGGTCCGAGGCAGCCACAAGACAGAGGCACTGCGTGAGGGCAGCTTTCTCGTGCGGCGGTTGCGCATCGAGTGCCTCCTCATGAAGGACAGGGTAGATAGGGTCGACTTTAGCATAGTATATGCTTTTTAGTGCGTTGATGTCACTAGGTGATGGTATGAGAGATAGGCACTCGGCTCGAAGCTGCGGAGTGATGGTTTGGAGTGCCGTCAGCCCAGAGCTGTGGCCTTTGTTGTTGCTCCCGTGGTTATCAGTACTTGCGGCCTGTGGCTCTTGTCCCAGCCATACGCCGACTTCGGCATGACGGGAGGTCCCGCTGGGGACATCCGCTCCTTCGCGCCGTCTAGTTGACAAGAAGGAGGCTTCTGGACTCAAGTCTCCCACGAAACGTATGTACGCATTGTTCGATGCGACGCCACGATCAGCCGACGTCGGCGAGACCCGTGTGTGCAAACCAGTTCCCTGATTGGAAAAGTCCTTCTGATTGTCCTTGGCCAGTGTTCCCATAGGTTCAACCTCTTGGCCATAGGTCGGCGCCGAAGTTGATTCTGGCTGCTCGCCGCCGCTATACGGGATAGAGGTTGAGGAAACATGTGAGCACCGTCTCTGTAAGAGTCAGCATCCATTACTCAAAGTTATCGAGGCATAGTTTGACCCACATGTCGCTTTCTGCAACTGTCGCAAGATTTGGCCAAGTTCTTGCGTTTCGAACCAAGCCCACCCACATGATCAGGGACGAATCTGTACATATCGTCGTTGGCCTGAGGTCGTTCTCGCAACGGTAAACATGAACGAGGCCCGACTTGAGTTTGTGTATCCACAGGCACGCCAGCTTGGTCCCATCTCCACGAGGGCACGGACGAATTTGCCTAGGGTGAAGGATGTGAAGACGGTGATTGATTCATCACAGCGTGTTGGGGTCACGGTGATGCTGGTCAGGCGCGTTTCTCCAACTGTGTGCCAAGGCCAAGGCCAACAAGCCGGTCTCGCGTCTGCCCGTGCAGTGAACTTGAAAGTGGGGTTGCTCGTCCACCTCACGTGATCCCATCATCGGCGCTGCTGGCCCCAGGCAGATTATTCCCCCCGTCTCTCTCTCTCCCTGCCCATATTTGAAGCGAGCGCCCGCAAACCAGCAGCCACATGCAGCCGCCGAACACAGACCCGAAAACTGACTTCTATCTCGACGAAGAATTGTGCGAGATAACGTCGCCCACATCTCGAAGATGGAGGGCGGAGGGCTTGTCCCAAAACTGCACTCCCCGACTGCATGAACCACTAGGGGCGCGATTGCGGGCACCCCGAGCACCCCCTTCTCCGCACATCTCCACACGAGGATTCGCGGTACTTGACGACACCAGTGACAGGTCCCCACGACTGAGTTTCGAAACTCAATTTCAGTTGAACTGGCCTGACGTCTGCCAGCCCTCTCCAAAGTACGACCAGCCCAGGTCGAGGTTGGCCGAGAAGATGGCGTCGATCCTCCCGAGATCGAAGCTGGGGTCGAAGTTTCCAAAGACGCCAGCCTCGCCGTCGAAATCGTTGAAAAAATTGGGGTCAAATTGGCCGCAAGTGTGGGCCAGTTGCTGATCCATGTTCGGGCTGCCAGGCCTAGCCTCCAACTGCTGTGACAAGCCGGCAGCAGCTTGGGCCCGCAGTGACTGCGCTTGTTGGTCGACGTCTCGTACGTCCTGAGCACCACCGCGATCGACAAGGGCAACCTCCGTCGTCGAAGGTCCGCTGTCGTGCAGGGATCGGATGCTCTCTCTCCTCGTGCGTTCTGTCGCGACTCGCTCGACTTCCTGCATGGTGTCCATGGCCAGGCGCGCCATGGCCCGCGCCGAGAGGAACGCTTTGCTGAGTTCGTCCAGCACTTCACAGCTGTCGTGGAAGAGCATGTAGGCGCGTCGCCGGTTGTAGGGCATCGGGCTGTTGCGCAGGCTCCTGTATGCGACCGAGGCGGCCACGGTGACTGCAAACGGCAGTGTGGGCCAGAAGACAAGGGATGGCTTGAATTCGCCCGACGCGACGACTACGATCCGGGCAGCGCAGTACCACTGAAGCTCCGAGCTAGGCCGTTGCCCGGCTGACCTTCCTCGTAGGACGACCACGGACAGGTAAAAGAGCTCGAGGGAGGCCAGCATGCCGTTGCCCAGGTTCTGCGAGCCAGTCTCCTCGACGAGGTCCTCAAATGTTTTGTCCGCGTTCTCTGCATGAGCCTGCGCCGTCACATGGGGGCGGTAGAGTGATATGGTGTAGTCTAGGAACTGCGCGATGCGTATGAGGAGCTTGAACGGTGGCGGTTGATCGTCGACCGAGTTGGTCACCTTTCTGTCCATGTCGCGCCTGTGGATGAGGGTCGGGCGACCATTGGTGGCCGCGTTAATTCGGTCCAAGATGTAGACGCACCAGAAGATGCGACGGGACCGCTCCAAACCGGCCTTTCCATCCGGCCATCCGACATGAAAGCCGAGCGTCTGCTCGTGGAGAACTGCTTGGGCGCAGTAGTACGCCGATAGCTCACCGAAGCCTTCGTTTTCGACATACATGGACATCAAGGCACAGACTTGCAGCAACACCACCTCGTCGACGACGAAGCCCAGATCCAGGGATTGCTTGACTGCGGCGGCGATGCGCGCCCGAAAGTCGATTTGCGACAGGGTGCCTTGTGTGTGAGGGAGCCGAAGGTGCGATCGCATAGCGGGATCCAAGGATGCCACCAGACAGATACACTGCTTCAGGGCTACTGTCTCCATGGTGCCATGTTTCTCCCAGGGCTCGTCTCTGAGGATCGGGAAGATGGGATCGATCTTTGCGTAGAACAGGTCGAAAAGCAACCCAAGCTCGTATTCGGGAGGCAACGTCGCTATGCACTCACGCCGCAACGCTGGGCGGAGAGCCGACAACAGCATGGGCTGGCCAGCGTGACCATCCAGTACCTGCGGCGTCACATGGACGGCTTCATTCTCTGTCTCCCCGCGAGGCGTGGCCTCCTGGGATGACTGGCTGTGTTCCTGCCCTAGCCACAGACCTACACCATGCGTGGATATGCTGGAAGTTCCCGCGCCGCGCTGACCATTGATGATGAAGGCTGATTCCGGGCTCAAATCGGCAACGAAGCGCATATGCGCCTCTTCCGAACCTCCCCTTGGCTCTGAGGTTGACTTTGGTTGCGGCGCATGTCTTTGCACGTGCGACTGCGTGTCCGCCTGATGCCTCGCACCTTGGGCATCCGCAGCTCCCTGGAACTGGGCCCAGCTCGATGCATCGGTCGAGTTTTGTCGCGGTGTGCTTCGGGGCGAATCTGGCGATGGGGCCAGCGGGCTTGAATTCCTGGGGTCTCTGGTGTGAGGGCAGCGTTTCTAGCGAGGTGTTATTCGGGTACGCTCCATACGATGGGGTCGGAAGCCGCCTAGCACTCATTCTACGGGCAATCCATACTCACATGACGGCGCTTGCAGGAGTCGCACGACCGGGGACTCTGTTTACGTTTCGTCCCCACGCCTCCGACGTTGTCCGCCACGAACTTGAACATGATCGCGAGACCGTGAGGGACCAATGGCTACCTCGGACGGCCTGGCAAAACGCTTGGTGCTTAGGAATCGCAACTGAGTTTCCGGGGCTGCCACGTGACGACGCTGCGCAAGCCCAGATAATACGGAGACCGATGTTGGAAGCTGGGGAAGACTCGACTGCCCGAGTCGTGGCTCTCGTGATCCGAAAACGTACAACATGAGCTGGGGTGGAACATACTGTAAAAACGGATACCAACAGTCCACTGATGAATGAGGGGGAAACCCACACACACACCCGCTAAGAAAAGTTGCGGCTCGCGGCAGGTCAACACACATGACAGCATTATCGAGTTGATGGGTTTGCGACGAGCCAAGTCAGCCGCCAAGCGTCTTTGACTCGACGGCCATGACACTAGGGTCTGTCCTCTGCAGCGTCTGCGCTGTGACGAGCAGCTGACATCAATGTCCACCGGGTTGGCCGTGACTTTGGCGTCTACCTCGACAGACAGAGAAGATGGAAATTCAAATCCACCGGGGCAGTCCGTGCCATTGTAGGTCAGGTGGTGGAGGTGGTGCCGAGTGGAGTCCCGGGGTGAGTGTCGTTTGTTTGTTACTTGCGTCGTTTTCCGTTTTTTGACTCGCTGGGCGCCCTATGATGGAAGTTCCGACCCACGGGGTCCCCATGGCTTCTCTCCAGGGCTTCTCGAACAACCTTCTCTTGGGGGGAAGAGGATTGAATGGGGGCGATGACTGGAGCTGCCGGGCGAAGAAACCTGCTGCAGCCAATGGCTTCGACTAGGGGCTCCTCTTTGGAGAAGAGCAATGCGGGCGCGACCGAGAGTCTCACCGGCACCAGACTTCCATGGTCCACTTGGCCGTCTTCATAGGCCAAGAACACGGACGCTGGTGGGCCGGCCATCCCGGCTTCGACGACATCCAGGAGCGCGATTTACCGCTTGGGGCAGTATCCGCCCGCGTCCCATCGGTCACTGCCGTTTCGAGACTTTGTCTAAGTCGCGAGATTGGCTCCTCCATGCCATGCGACCGACTCATGATCGTATCATCGTGTTGACGATGAACAATGGGGTTGTCCTGATGGAATGATGAATCGTATATATATTCGAGCCCCCAGACTTTCTCCTCAAATTCTCCAGAAGCTACTCCAGGCCTTCCCCAGCAAGTCGCCCACAGTCCGCTCTTGCTCTTGACATATCCCACGCAACGGCAGCAAGCAACAGCAAACCACAACCAACCTTCTCACCATGGCTCTCTTCAACTCGTTGAAGTTTGACTGGCGGTCTCACAAGTGGGCTCTCTTCTACTGCCTCGTCTCCTCCATGGGTGCCCTCTGCTACGGCTACGACAACACGTACTACAATGGCGTCCTGGCCATGCAGGAATTCAAGAACGACTACGGGACTCACCTCGATGCCGACGGCAACAAGGCGCTCCCGTCCTCCTTCCAGTCGCTGACCGCGTCCTCCATCTACATCGGTGACCTGTTTGGTGCTCTGCTGGCATCGCCCATCAACGACCGCTGGGGCCGCAAGATGGTCTTTTGGATCGCTTCCATCTGCATCATGCTCGGCGGCATTGCGCAGGTCGCTGACACCAACCACGAGTCTGTCATCGTCGTCGGCCGCGTGGTCATGGGTCTCGGTGTCGGCCAGTTCACAGTCACGACCCTGCTGTATGTTGGAGAGGTGGCGCCCGTGGCCATCCGTGGACCAGCCCTGATGTCGTTCCAATGTGAGTTTCAAATGCCCAGGCCTCTCGTGCCTCCCTAATTAACGGGACGAACACCGTACTGACAATGCGCAGTTCTGCAATCCGTCGCTCAGCTCATCGCCTCTGCCATCACCCAGGGCACCGAGAACATCAACAACTCCCTCTCCTACAAGATCCCCATGGGCGGCCTGATCGTCCTGCCCCTGATCATGTTCCTCGGTCTGCCGTTCATCCCCGAGAGCCCCATGTGGTACGTGCTCAAGAACCGCACCGCCGACGCCGAAAATTCCCTGCGCCGCATCCACCAGGACCAGACCAACTACGACCCGGCCGAGGACCTGCACGTCTTCCAGGAGACCAAGAGGATTGAGGAGCAGCACGCCGAGGAGTCCTCGTGGAAGGCTCTCCTGACCGACCCCATTGAGCGCCGCAAGCTCTTCTACGCCTGCGGCGCCATGACCAGCTCGCAGGTCTGCGGCATCCTCTTCTTCTACGTCTACGGCGTCGTCTTTGCCCAGGCCATTGGCATCGAGGACCCGTTCCTCATCCAGCTCATCACCAACATCCTGCAAATTTTCGCCGTCGGTGCCTCCGTCGTCACCGGCAACAAGGTGCCCCGTCGCATGAACCTGTTCATCACCAACAGCATGATGCTGGTTGCTTTCATCGTCATTGGCGGTATCGGTACCCAGGGAGCGAACCCTTCGACGGCCGCGCAATACGTCATTGTCATCTTCTCCTACTTTGTCATCATCGGTTCGTACCCTCCAACACCCCCATCCTCTCCAAGAATCAGACTAACATGGTCCGTCCAGGCTACAACTTTGGTATCGGTCCCCTGGCCTACACTATTGCCCGTGAGATGTCGGTCGGCACGAACCAGAACAAGATCATGTCCGCCTCCATCGTCGTCTTCTACTTTGTCACCTGGGCCATCTCCTTCACCGCGCCGTACATGTACTACGACGGCGGCCTCGGCCCCATGATTGGCTTTGTGTACGCGGGCACCACGGCCCTGACCCTTGTGTACACCTGGTTCTGCGTCGGCGAGACCGCCGGACGCTCGTCCACCGAGATCTCCCGCTTCTTCACGGAGCACGTGCCAGTCCGCCAGTGGAAGACGCACGTCTTTGAGTCTCTCTCCGAGAACGAGCACGACATGGAGAAGAAGGGCCACAGCACGATCCACGAGACTGGTCTCTCTGACCATGTGGACCAGAAGGTCTAGAGGCTTCGGAGATGGAATGTACTATGTATTGGATACACTTTTTGGCTATGAGACCGACCTATGTAGAGTCTGATGATTGATGAAGATACACTTTTGCTGTTACCTCTGTCTCGTCCTCTTGTGGAGGAGCCTGTCAAAATGCTCTCTGCTCGTGGCTAAATCAGTGCATATTTTCTAATGGTCGTCTATACTGAACTCGTCTAAAAGCCCTTGTACCCTAAGCTTCACCGGACCTCTTCTCCTCCTGTAGCATACTGCTGTCTGAAACCTGCTCCACCGCTCTCCGCGCATCTGAGCACTGCTTGCGCGCGGACACGGCAGTGCCCAGCAGCCCCAGCAGCCACCATGCAAACAGCACGGGCAGGTTGATGTGCAGTGTACGCGTGCAGCCCGTCCAGGCCCGCACCTCGAGGGAGTAGATGTTGTACCCGGGCATGGCATACCCGGCCCTGTAGAAGCCCGGTGCCAGGAGCAGGGGATTCGCCGTGCTGGCGACGTTGGCCAGGACCCATGTCAGCATGAAGAACGGGGCGGCCGGGAGGGGCAGAAAGGAGCCGATGAGGGAATCAAAGACCTGCCAGTTGATGACCATCTGGAACCAGATGATCATCCACGTCTTGGGGAAGCCGGAGGCCGGGACCGCCCAATCCTCGCGAAAGGCCCAGATGTAGCCGGCGATGACGAGGGCGGCGAGGCACGTGTAGACCTTGGCGGCGACGAAGCGCATGAACCAGACGTCGCGCCACGGGAGGCGGGCGAAGATCCCGGCGCTGCCCATGACGCCGTTGACGGCGAGGAGGAAGAAGAAGGCGAGCAGGATGGGGAAGACGACATTGAGGGTGTTATAGTACGCCCGCGCACCCTGCGCCGTGGGCGCGATGATGAAGGGGCTGGGCTGGATGGGGTCGAGGAAGGCCTGGACGGCGGCCGGGTCTGAGGCGTTGAGCTGGGAGAGGGCGGACTGGCCGGCGTCGGTTTGGTACCACGTGCCCCTGGAGGCGGCGATGAGGGCCTCGAGGTTGGAGCGGATGACGCCGTCGGCCACGTTGGCGTAGCGTGCCGCATTGTAGATGTAGGAGATTGTGTCGTCGGGGTTGTACTGCGTAGAGGAGGAAGAAGAAGGTCCGCCGGCCACAGCGTCGGTGAGGCGGGAGGAGGCGCCCGGGTGGACGTACATGGCTGCCCAGTAGCCGTCCTTGCACACGGCATCTTGTACGTCCTCGGGTTGAGCGTACTGCGACGAGGGGTCCTGGAACTTCAGGGTGGGAAACGTGTTGCCCTTGATGGATTCGTAGGCGGACGAGAGGGCCTGCGTGACGGAGCCGTCCTGGTCAAAGTCGACGACGAGTACGTTGAGCGCGTGGGTGCGATAGCGCTGCTCAAAGCCGGCGCCGAAGAGGAGAGACATGTTGCCGAGAAAGCAGAGGAGCAGGGCGAGACCAGCGGCTGCGAGAGGCAGAAGGGTCTTTTTGCGATTGCCCTTCCATGATTCGAGACTGCTCGTTGTTGACATAGTGAGGGTGAAAGACGGGCCAAGGGTAGGCGGATGGATTGGTGCGTCTGAGCGTCCGGTCACTCTGAAGCATGGACATGGGCTTGCTGTCGCGAACTTGGAGAGATTTCCTTATTGCTGCCAGCCGGAAAGGTATTGAGTGTTGATGATGATGGTGGTGGGTATAGATGTCTCTCGTTCCGTATGCAGATCACGAATCTTTAATATGCCTAACTTGCAACACGGGACAGCCCCTATTACAAATAGTCATCGGGCATGGGCCGACAGCGACAGCGCGTCAAACGGGTTGCATAATGCATACTCCCTCTCGCAAAGAGCGACGCGCGCGGTCGGACAAGAACACAAAGGCCGAAAGCGAGATCCGTGCTATACAGCCCTGTTGGCCGGGCCCCCTCCTGTCTCGGACACGGACGAATTGAGGTCAGCACCGTTGGTATGTGCATTTATTCGAGTCATCATGGACATGGCGATACGTAGTGTAACTGATGGCCGCGCCCGAGTGAGACGGGGTTTAGTGGTCTGAGCGCTCGCCTCGCCTTTACGCGGAATGCCGAACACCGATGGATTGGCAATCAGTACTGTACATACAGAGTACCGAGAGAGATTGCCCACAGGCGGAGCATATTAATAATCATCGCTAACCCAAAGTCAATCAACCATTCAAGGGTCTTCCGATCTGACTCACGAGCTTAGATTGAGCCTCAATTTCAAGCCTATGGAGAGGTTTGAAAAGACCGAAATGCAGGTGTAATTACAGGGCAAGGCTGGTTGATGCTTGAAATAGGTCCCACCAAACTCATTCGGACACAAATGTGGACTTGTGTCTGCGTTGTTGGTGTGAAAAAAAAAAACGAACCACGCGCGACCAAGCGGCTACCTACAATAACAGCATGTCGTTGATTATAATAAGGGTGGATCGTCGGGAGCAGCAGCGATGCAGTGGGTGTAGCCAAGCCCAATACTTTCTATGAATGCGCCATCAACTGACAAACTCAAGTCGGATGCGCGACGGCTTTGCAGGGTAGGCAGAATACAGACGGTAAGTTGGTAGCTACAAGGAGTCAGCGTGAGCGAGTGCATTCTATCAAACTTATATACTCTCATTCGTCGGCAACCCTGCTAAAAGCCTTTGCCACAGTGTTGTCTACTACAGGGTTAGTAATCAACGTCTTGTTCATCCGCCAAGGACACTGGCAGGCTGGCCGCGGCCTCGGCCATCATCGTTACCCCAGACTCCCACTGTGCCTCGGCAGGCACGTTCGAATCGCTCCTTCCTCCCCCCACGCCCGCCCGCATTGTGGAGACCAAAAGTCCAACGTCGTCAGTCAACTCGAGCAGCTCCAGCTTCAGCGTCTGCTTTACTCATCATCATTTCATTTCATTCTTATTCTTTCAATCCATCGTTTGTTGGATCTTGTTTCCCACCTCCCTCAAGCTTCTCGTTCAAACCGTCACAATGCGCGGCATCCAGGTCAAGGAATACGTCAAGGTACGTCCCCAACTACCCCAAACCGAAGCCTGCTGCTGACGACAACACCAGAGCCCCAAGGAGCTCACCGTGACAGACCTCCCAGACCCTCAACCAAAGGGCAACGAGTACCTCGTCCAGGTCCACGCCGCCGCCACAAACTTCTTTGACATCCTACAAGTCCAGGGCAAATACCAGCACCAGCCTCGTAAGTACCACCAACCACCAAGGAACAAGGAACCGCAAGACAAATGGAGCCTGTGCTGACGAGACACCAACAAGCCTTCCCCTGGGTCGCAGGCGCCGAGTTCGCCGGCGTCGTCCTCGCCACGCCCCCCGGCGCAAAGAACCCTCGCTTCCCCGTCGGCGCGCGTGTCTTTGGCGCCGGGCAGGGCGCCTTTGCCACCAAGCTCACCGTCGCCGAGACGTCGCTCCTCCCCGTGCCCGAGGGCTGGTCTTTCCAGGAGGCGGCCGGCCTCTTTGTCACGGCGCCTACGAGCTACGGCGCCCTCGTCGTGAGGGCCGGCATCAAGAAGGGTGACGTGGTCCTTGTCCATGCCGCCGCTGGCGGTGTCGGCCTAGCAGCCGTCCAGAGTAAGCCTCCCTCCCGCCTTCCTCCCTCCCTCCCTCCCCGTCCTGCTGGCCATGGGAAGCTGACCACAAAAAAAAAAAAAACAGTCGCAAAGGCATTTGGCGCAACAGTCATTGCCACCGCGTCCACAGACCACAAGCTCGCCATTGCCAAGCGCTTTGGCGCAGACCACATCATCTCCTACAACGACCCCTCGTGGCCGGCCAAGGTCAAGGCCCTGACCCCAAAGTCTGCCGGCGTGGACATTGTGTACGACCCCGTCGGTCTGGTCGACCAGTCCACAAAGTGCACCGCCTGGAACGGCCGCATCCTCGTCGTCGGTTTCGCGGCGGGCACCATTGAAAAGGTGCCCACCAACAAGTTCCTGCTCAAGAACATTAGCCTCGTGGGCATCCACTGGGGCGCGTACGCCAAGTTCGAGCCCCAGACGCAGGTGACGGTGTGGAAGGGCATCATGGAGCTCGTCAAGGAGGGCAAGCTCAAGGGGACCGAGTACTCGGACGAGGAGTTTGTCGGGCTCGATCGTGTCAAGGACGCCCTCGTGGCCCTCGGCAGCAGAGGCACCTGGGGCAAGGTCGTCGTCAAGGTGCCGCAAGACGGTGGCAGCAAGTTGTGAGTGTGGCTCGTGGGCACAAGTATGTAGCACTGTATTGCACTAGTGACCAATGGCTATGTCGTCTTTCACCCGTATCTTCATGTTGGGTCCAATCCTTCCCCTGCCATGCTTCCGATGATCGTAGCCCGCGCTCTGAGAAGGAGGAAAAAGAAATAAAACAAGACACGCATCATTTCCATCTCCTCCGCTTCAGTCTGTCGCTGTCAAGAGATACTCTATGGCACCCTGTACGCTGCCTCCGCTGCGGCGCAACGCAGCCACGTTGCGATCAAAGTCGAAGAAGCCCATGTCGTTTAGCTGACGGAGCTGGTCGGCGTAACGCTCCTCGGGAGGCCGGTTGTCGGCCGGTGCTGGGGCGGCCCCAGCGCCGCCGCCGCCACCGCCGAGCATCTGCAACATGTGCTGCATCATTTCGGGGTTGGGAGGGGGCAGTCCGCCAAAGCCACCAGCACCGGTACCAGGGTTGCCGGCGGCGGCGGCGCCTCCTAGGAGCGCAGCAAATGGGTTACCCGCAAAAGGATTCTGCTGAGCGCCCTCCTGTCCTTGTCCTTGGCTTTGACCCGTCGTCCCTTCTGGTGTCGCGCCGGCGCCCTGGTTCGGGGCCTGCCCAGTCGCGGTGGCACCCTGCCCAGCGCGCATCATGTTGAAGAGCGCGTCCATGCCCTGGCCACCTTGCCCAGCACCGCCCTGTCCGCCCATCATCATGTCGGCCAACGACGGGCCGCCAAATGGATTCGGCGGTTGGCCTTGGCCGCCCTGTGCGTTCGCATTGTTACCACCATCTGTCGCTGCCGACCCGGAGGGAGTTGTGTCCGTCGCACCGGGCGCGGGGAAGGCTGGGTTGCCCCCCGGCTGCATGTTTCGCTGCATCCGCATCGCCGACCGCATCATCTCAGGGTTCGTCATCATCTGTCGCATGAACGGCGACTGCAGGATCTCGCGCGCGTTGGGCACGTTGCGCAGCATGGGGTTGGACTCGATCATCATGTTGATGAAGTCGGGGTTGTTGAGAGCCTCGTTCATCTGCTGCTGGACGTTTGGGTTCTCCATCATGCGCGACATGCTGTCCTCGTCCATCATGGGGCCGCTCATCTGTAGGAACCGTCAGCCGCTGTCACATACTGAGATCCGCCGCGCGTCTGGAAGAAGGGAGTAGTTACGTACCCCGCCGTCAGGGCCAAACATGTCCATTCCAGGCATATTGATACCATGGCCAGCATACCGCGCACCGGTGAGGTTGGCGAGGGGGTTGTTGGCGGTCCCCGCCGCCATGTTGGTTGGAACGCCTGTCGAGGTGGGGGTCGAGCTCGCGGCGTTCGCAGGCTGAGGCGTGGGGTTGCTGGCCGCGCTCTTGACCATGTGGATTGTGTTGTTGGGCTTGATCTTGTACGAGCCTAGTGTGTCGTCGTTCTTGAGCACGCGTCCCGAGTAGATGAGGCGCTGACGCTCGACAGCAATGTTCTCGTAGGCTTCGGTCGCAAGCTTGTTCTTGAGGTCCAGCACGGTGGCGCTCTCGGCCATGGTGATTGTGTGGGTGTGATCGCCCGACGTCTTGACCTTGAAAGTGACCTGAGCATCGCTGCTCGCCTCTGTGTTGTCGGCCATTCTGTTGTTCGCTTCTTGATGTTGATGTGACAAGTCGAGAGGGGTGGCGGGGAGTCGTGACTTGTGAGACTTGGTCAGTAGTGAGCAGTAGCTACCTAACTTCGCACTCTGCTCGGATCTTCTGGTAGTCTTGCGTGATTTGCGCAAGAGTAAGGATGGAGCAATATTGGAAGATGGAGGTGGGAGGAAAGTTGTCAACAGTTGCGCCTTGGCTGGGGGCAATCTGGACTGTTCTCGCCCGTCGTTGTTTCTCTGTCGACACACCCCGAGGACAAACGTGGGGCAGGCCTACATCCAATGACGCAGTGCAGCGCAGCTGAAATGCCATTTAATTATCAGTCATTCAAGGACACCAGTGACTGGCGGATTCTATCATGCAGTGTCGCAAAGTTCTGTCTTCGGGTAACAATGTAAACACTCCCTCGACGCAGCATCTCTCTATGCCTGCTTCTGTAGCGTTGAATTACACGTGTCTTACAAGTGATCTTACTCAGGTACTTGCTCATCTACAGTTCCATGTTCGTCCATGTGATTCTCCAAGTTGCTGGGCCTCGCCTGCAGGCAACAAGCTTACCCTAGAGCTCACTGGCATGGCACTGACGTGAAAGTGGGTCTCGAGACATCAGCTCTCACCAAGACTCAAAGTCACTAAACGACCACGCTCACCTGAGCTCGCTCACGACAGTTGCGCGTACCCAGAACGACGCCTCGAGTCGCTTTCTTCACCAAACGCCTGTTTGACAATGAGCCTCCCGGATCCCCACTGACCCCTACGCGCCGCCTAGGCATGCTGCCACCATGATTCAAGGCATCTTCTACGCCCGCTTCTTCCCCCAGGAAGGGCCCCAGATTGTCGCACAATCACCGCCCGGATGCATCACCACCAGCAGCGACACTACCCTGCCGCCTCGCCCACCCCTGATCGACTTTGATATTCTGCGCGAGTACATTATACCGCGACAGGCGTTCTGCAACCGGTACCTGACCATCAACTCGCCCGACAACAAGTACGCCATCCTGGGCCACCCAGTCGTCATCCCCCACGCCAAATACATGCGCAATGAGTTCATCTTCAACTTCGGGCTGATCCTCGATGTCGACGTCGATCAGGTTCCCTACGAGCGGGTGGTGCGACGGCTGGCGACGACGTTCAGTGAGATGGAGAAGCAGAACGAGTACCTGAGCCAGACTGAGGGCCGGGCCGACGAATCCAATGGCCGCAGGCCGATCGAGGGTTTGTTGGAGATTGTCAAGGAGGACCTGAACAACTATGGCGAATGCATGATTCCCGTTGGTATGTTTTCCTTGTTCGAGGACACCACATACAATTGCCCAGAGAGTACATGGGCGTGACTGACACGCGACAAGACGAGGCTAATACCCTCAACATGAAGCTCTTCCCACACCACCCCAACCCGCCCGTCGTCAAAGGCTGGCATGTGCCCGTCTCCAAGACCAAGTTTTCTGACATCATGGACCCGACCTGGGACCTCACGCTGCAAAAGGTCATCTCCCACATTGACGGCGTCTCGGACGTCCGGCGCATCGCCCACGCGGCGAGCGTGTCCCTCGACCTGGCCAAGACGGCACTGCGGCACCTGCTGTACTACGACACCATCCTGCTGCTCGACATGTTCTTCTTTGGCGCCTGCTACGCGAGCCGACCAGGGATCCACGACTTTGTGAGCAACGTCGACGACATGGTGGAGGAGTGCGCGGGCTACGTGAGCCACGCGGGCCGGCGGCCGAGCAACTTTCACCTCATACGGCTCATGACGAGCTTCGTGCCCGGCAAGACGGTCCTCGAGTGGCTGTGGGCCCATCACGAGGCGGGCTTCGAGGTGCTCCGCTACATTGACGTCAGGCGCTTCGTGCAGTTTGGTCTGATCAAGGGCTGTCTGTACCGCGTGCACAAGCACGTTGTCTCGAAGCAGTATCTGGCCGGCCTGGCGACGGGCCAGAGCCGACCGGTGGAGGGTGGTGATCCGATACAGCAGTACACGGACGGTTGTCATCACTTTGACCAGATCATCACCGAGCAGGACCTGACGGACGAGGAGATTACGAACAAGCTTAAGACGCTGCCCGTCCCAAAGGGAGACCTCGCGCTTTTCTATAGATGAAGGGATCCGCATCCCCTCCACACATACATAATGTACAGATCTAACTAGAACAGCGTGGCCAGTAGTAGTGTACACCCAATTGTACATCCAGGATATCATACATGCGAACCAAAAAAACCGCCATGTCACGACGACCGGCTCTTGGCCTTTTCCACCTTCTCCTCGGTCTTCTTGAGACGCATCTCGGCCTTGGAGAGCAGCTCAATGTTGGGGTTGTTGGCGACAGTGGGGGCGTCCGCGTCCTTGAGCTCCTTGAGCATCCTGCGGATCTCCGCCTCGGACACTTCCTCGCCCTTGGCTGCGTAGTCCTCCTTGAGCTTTTTCACGACGCGGCGCAGTGTCCCCGTGTAGGGCTCGCCGGGGTAGACCTTGCCGCTCGCCTTCCACTCCTCGTCGGGGACAAGCTCGATGATGCGCACATTGTGCTTGCCCTTGCGGAGTATGAGGAGCTTGTCGTCGATGAGGAACTTGAGGCTGTCTTCGGGATACCACAGCTCCATGGGCGTCCATGAGAGGTTTCCGGGGACCAGACCGCGACGCTGGCCGGGCTGGGCGGCAACGTAGGCTCCCTTCTTGGTGAGGAGGCGATGCCCGTCGCTGGCGCTGCTGGCCAGGCCGCATGCGTGGAGGATCTTGGCCGGCGGCAGCTTCATGACAGACTGGGGCAGCTGAATGTCGGAGCGAGGGGCGTTGTTTGAGGTGATGATGCCGCTCTCATCGGACGGGACCTTGTCGATCGTGGGCAGCTCACCGCCGAAGCGGAACTGATGCTGCTGGGCCTCTTGCAAGGCGCGCTGCGAGCCGTACACAAGCGACAGAACCTCGAAGGCGAGGTGATGGTTGGCGATGCGCTTTGAGGGCTCCCGCATGTGCTCCTCCATGATCTGCGAGATTCTTTTAAGGGGCATGAAGGTGAAGAGCTTGAGCAGCTTCTCGAGATCTTCGTCGGGCCGGCGCATGAAGTACCCGTACAGCTCAAAGGGCGACGTCTTGAACTCGTCGAGCCACACGGCATTGCCAGCGCTCTTGCCGAACTTGGCCCCCGAGGAGTCGGTCAGCAGGGGCACGGTGAAACCAAACGGCTCATTCTGCCAGCTGTTGTCCATCTTGAAGTGGGGTGCCTCCTCGGATTCGCGGACCGTCTTCAGCACCTCGATACCTGAGACGATGTTGCCGTACTGGTCCGAGCCGCCAATCTGGAATTGCACATTCTGTTTGTTGTGGAGATGCCAGAAATCCCACCCCTGGAGAAGAGGGTACATGAATTCGCCGAGAGACATGCCTTCCTCGGACTCGTTCAACCTGCGCTTGACACTATGCACTAATCAGTTCACTGTTTTCTTCCCTTCGGCAAACAGAGGGGCTAAACTCACGTGTCGCGGCTGAGGAGAGGGCCCATGCGCATGTTCCTCGCCAGTCGTTTGCTGAAATCGTACAGCGTCAAGTTGCCCAACCACATATTGTTGTTGTACAGCGCCCTCTTGGCGGCCCAGTCGTCCTCGTAGCCGTACTTCTCCCTCAATTTGACCACGTTATCCCACAGCCGACCCAGTTGGTAGTGAATCTTGGTGATGTTCTTGCCAATCTCGGCGTTGGAGAGCACCTTTCTCGAGTCCATGCGGTCGGTCGGGTCCCCTATCCTCGCGGTAGAGCCTCCCAGCAGCAGGACAGCCGGGTAGCCCTGCATCCACATCCAGAACAAGGCCATCATGGGGAGTAAGTGTCCGACGTGCATCGAGTCGGCGGTGGGGTCAACGCCAACATAGCCTCCTACTCGCTTGATGCGCAGGATCTCTCTAATTCGGTCGGGGTTGCCAGCGACGTCTTTGATGTAGCCTCTCTCGTTCAGGACATCCCACGGGTGGGCGATCTCGCCGGATGAGATCTTTTGCGCCCTCTCTTCCCATCGCTGTTCGCCTGCTGCGACCTTGTCGAGAAAGGATGTTGCGATTTGGCGGGTCGCCGGGACATTAAGGGTGGTACTGCGTCCGGCGCAGAGGGCGCATTGTTGCGCGAAGCGAGGGAAGCTTCTCACTGATGCTGGTATTCGGGGCGCCATCTTGATCAAAGTTGCTCTGGGCGGACCATGTGCTTCGAGCGAAGCATGCAAGACAGACGGACGGACCCTGAGCAAAGCTACCAAAAATTCAATGCCAAGACTGGACCGCGCGCATCTCCAAATCGCGCCCGAAAGGGAAACGCGTCGTTAGTGCCGTTTCGGGGAAACTGCTATTCCGAATGCCGAGTCGGCTTCACGAGCGTCTTACGGAATGCATATGGCCAATCAGGCGTCTCGTATTGTCAGTTCCTCGGCAATACGGCCGTCTTGCTTCATCGACGAAATCATCATTGCCGTCATTTAATCCTGTCCGCCACTGCAATCGAAAGCCGACCGGGACGAGCGACGAAGACGACGGGACGGAATCACACATTACAACCACAATGGCTTCCCTCATGCGTCCGACCACACTGCTCAGGCAGACAGCGCTCGCGTCGCGCTCTGCGGCGTTTGCTCGCCCTGGTGCCGTAAGGGCCGCTGCTTTCCAGACCTCGAGCAGGAAGAGCGCCATCCTGCCCGCTGGACCTCGTACGTAGTCTAATCCGATCAGATATATATCTCAATGGAGCTAGTTTGCTGACATTTTCTCTCGCAGAGGTCATTCAAGGGGGAGGTACGAGCTTCACCAGAACCTGCGCAACCGTGGGCTATCTATCCAACGGGCGAATGCTAATTAGCCACAGTCAACGATCCCGCCCCTGTCCCTACTCCCAGCGCCGCGCACGGCTCCTACCACTGGGCATTTGAGCGCCTGATCGCCGCGGGCCTCGTGCCCCTCACCATCGCCCCCTTCGCCGCGGGTTCCCTCAACCCCACGCTCGACGCCATCTTCTGCGGCACCCTGCTCATCCACTCGCACATGGGCTTCCAGCAGGTCGTCATTGACTACATCCCGCAAAAGGGCTGGCCCAAGCTGCGCAAGGGAGCCATGTGGCTGCTCAATCTGGCCACCCTTACAGTCGGTGTTGGTCTGTACGAGTTTGAGACGAACGACGTCGGCATCACCGAGGGCGTGAAGAGGATTTGGACGGCCAAGGCGGGGACGGAATGAAAATCCAAGGAGAACGGGAGATGGGGGACATGGCGCTGTATGGGAAATGATAAAGTGCTTGTGGGTCACTGCATGTGTATAGATTCCCTTTGTTGTTCCGATGGCAAACCACAATACCAATGAGCTTTTGAATGTGCGCTAGATCTACAGTTGCTTCCTTTCGCAGGAAGGATGGCGTTCACAGCAAGGGAATGAATGCACTGCATGCATGAACTGATGCCACGTGATGGTAGAGCGGTTGCAAAACGAATGGCATTGGTATCTTCAGTTGTCATATCTGCGTTGTCGTCCTCGTATATGTTGTATATAACATTTTGTAACATTTCCCATGGACATGCCATTTCATTTCTTCCCAGCTTCGACTCAAGGCAATTCGTAGGCACAGTGTTGGACGGCACCCTGTTTCTCCATCTTCGCTGCGTGATTGACTTAAATCGATAAAGGAGGCATGTCCGAGTTGCTCATGCGCTCCATCTCAGGGGTCGGCGGGGGCAGATTCTCCGTCTTGGTGCAGATCCAGCACGAAGCGTACATGTTGACCCTGTCAATGCAGGCACCATTCTCGCGCGCCCCATGCCTCTTGGCGGTGAAGCCGTGCGCCTCGAAGACCTTGATGTACCACGGGTTCAGGGCCGAGGAGCGCAGCATGACACGGCCACCCGTGGCCAGTGCGCGGTTGAGCTTGGTGACCTGGGCGGCGGCGGCGTGGGAGCCCGTGTCGAACCAGTCCATGCTGTCCATGACGACGGCGACGGTGAGCTCGCCAGGCATGATGCGCGAGATGACCTCGTCAAACTCGTCGGTGTGGATGCGCAGGCTGTCAAGGGCACCGGGGCGTGAGAGTTTGGCGTGGTTGCGCGGGCTGAGGTAGTCCGGGTGGCACTTGCGGGAGAACTTGCCGGCGAGGCAGACATAGTAATACGGGTTGTCTCCAGCGACGTGCGTCTGCTCGGCCATGGGATCGAGGGTGTTGACCATGTAATGCCAGATGGCGTGGGAGCGAGTGTTCTTGGCCTGCCCGGACTTGACGCCCGCAGAGTTGGCGTGGTCGTGCTCAATCATGGCCAGCTGGTTCTTGGGGACGCCGAGAGCTGCCCAGAGGAAGGATTCCTGCGCGACAACAAGGTTGCAAACAAGCTTGGAGAGGAGGGCGGGGCGGATCTTGTTGCGCCAGATCTCACGCTGCTCGTTCAGGGTCGGGGCCTCGAGCATCTTGTTGACAACAGCGCGCAGACCGAAAACGCGGGCAACCCAGCGGAAGACACGGATGGCGTGGCGTGAGCCGCCCGTGTCGTACAGACCGTAGCTCGACGAGTTTTGGAAGACGTGGACGTTCTTGAGCCAGTACTGGAAGGCACGGCTCGACAGGTGCGGGGACAGCTTGGTGATGAGCAGATCGCGGAAGCTGGGGTGTTTGCCATCGCCAAAGATCATCCAAAAGTCCTCATACGGGAGCGAGGTGTAGGCGGCCGCTTTGAGCTCGAGAAGGTGGTTCTGGGTGGGGTTCAGGTCGACGGCGTGAACGCGCGCAGGACTCTGTGTGAGATAAGACAGGATGTTGTCACCAGCCGAAGTGATGGCGATGACCTTGTCATCAGGCCCCAACTTGAGGATACGCTCGTCGACGCGTGTGTCCTCCCAGGTAAATGCGTAGATGTACTCATCGTTGAACTGCTTGTGCTTCTGGAGTTGATCATCGTAGTAGATGCGCCAGTGGTGGTTCTGGTAGAAGAACGAGGGCAAGGGCAGATTGGCTGAGAGATTGGAGACCGCGGTGAGGAAAGCCTTTGATCGGATCTCAGGAGCGGAGCGCTCAATAGCGCGGGTGAGAGCGTCACCTTGGTTCTTGGGGAAGAGATAGGGAGACTCGGTGGCCAGGGCGTCGATGCGCTCAATAATCTCGTGAGGCAGACTCGATGGCGAGAAGGGCTTCTTGTGGCATCCGACCCAAATGTAGTACGGAATCGAGCCGAGGGCCTTGTTACGAGCGTTCAGGTTGAGGACGGTGCCATACTTATACTCAAGGTAGTCGCGGCGGCTAGGCTCCAAACCAACACGGTCGAGGTCGAACCAGGATCGCCAGAAGCTGCGGGTGAAGAAGTTGGTATGGCGGTCAATGAGACCGCCCGTGTAGTTGCGGAACGAGAAGTCGACTTGGTTCTGAACATAAAAGTCGACGACGCCCATGATTCCCTGGGGTGACAGCAGCGAGCCTACGGAATCGACGACTGAGTAGTAGTCAGGCTGCCGCGAGTTAGCGGAGCCATTGCAGCCAGCGCGCGAAAAGGAGGGGACACTCACAATCATGGACAAGCTGTAGGACATGGTGACCAAGTCGGCACCGCCATGCTCCGGGCGCTTCTGGAAGTAGCTGAGCGCAGGCGAGCGCATGGGGCTACGGACCAGGGCATTGCCCGACTCATAGTCCTCGAGGCGGAACTTGCGGGCATCCTGGCAGACAACTGTCACGTTGTCCCATCCAAGGCGCTCGAAGCGCTTGCGAGCAACCTCGCATAGCGAAGGGGAGAAGTCGACGAGGTACACGCTGGAGAAGAACTCGGACACATTGACGAATTGGGACATGGCCTCAATGTTCCAACCGGTGCCGCCACCGATCTACGCTCGTTAGCATTGCCGCGCTTGTTCGTCCAGCAGTCGAGCGCTTACATCGACCCAGATGCGTTTCTGGCCGCCGCTGGTGGCATCAACCTTTGCCTTCAGCTGAGCCGAGACGAGCGCTAGCATGTCCTCGCGCCCTCGGAGGAGGACCTTGCGAGTGGCGTCGTAGGCTCCAGCCTGTGACTTGTAGAAGCTCTCAAGGGCATCTTGCTGCGTGCCCTTGGTATCGCCCTGGTGGGGCTTGAGGAACGAGGAGTAGAAGAAGAGGAAGAAGGACTTGAGAAGTCCAGGAGCCCGCTCGTCTTTGGCAGGTTTGGAGATGAGTCTAGAAGCGCAGACACTGCCGATGACGGCAACGGCTATACCAGCGTAGATAGGGTTGACATGGGTGCCGAAGGGCAATAGGTTACCACCCTGTCTTGGTTAGGCTGGGCGTCAACGACATGGGACTGGTACGCTCACAAGAGAAGCCATGGTACTCTCTCATTGTACGTGGGCAATGAGATTAGAGATGTGGGAGTAACTCAAGAGACGTGTTGAAGACGCTCGCGTGAGTTGAGGATAGTAGGAACTAGAAAGGAGGAGGGCCAGGGAAGGCGGCGGGAGAACGAGCCCAATATATCCCGCTCAGCCTTCGATCTGTCCACTCGAGCTCCCTTTCAGAGAGCAGCCATGGTGGATTGGCCGCCGTGCACATGTACAGATGCCAGGTACATACGTGAGGGCGCGTCAAGAGAACGCAGCGCTGTCCATAGCTTCATCGTCTCTGGAGCCGAAACCCCACTATTGACATCTATCGAAAAGTATCAAGGCAAAAGACCCCGCGTCCTGGCCCTGCGTAGGCCAATGGCTCGGCCACATGCTGGAGAACGGTTCTCGTGCGTGGTTGCGCGACTCGTTGCCGAACCTCTACGAGCGCTCAGGGGATCCAAGGAGGCCAATCAGCCAAGGGTCTCGCGCTGCACTCAGGACGGGATACGTGAGGGATCGGAGAGGGGCAGTACAGTGGAATTAGACTGTCAAGTGTGGGAATCCAGAGCCTCGCATTGGAACAGCCATGTATGCAGGGTCTCAACGAGGATCTTGGGAGAAGCTTGATGTCGTCCAGATGCCCATTAGCGCAGGGCCCCACCATCACCAAGACTGGCGAATAGGACAGGTTTCATCCACCACATGCATCGTCTGGCAGCCCGGGATTGGGACGAGGCAAACATACTCGAGCGAGTCGAGCTTCGCAATGGAGGGGAGGGCTGGCCTAGCGAACGATGGACAGGGTCGGGCTGTCGCCCATTGTTGATCTGTACCTCGACGTGGGGTCTGGTCGCCAGCGCCTGTGAGCGAGCTGTGGATGGGTTGATCGACGAGGAGTGAGTTCCCGTACTGGTATATTCACACACCAAGTAATACCAGCTCAATTGCCACTGTTGAGGCTTCGTCTGCAGTAGCATGACTTGTCATCCCTCGACTTTCTGGGTGCTAACCATGTGTGCGTTGAAACTCGAGTGAATACATTCATTTGTTTATGTTTCCATGAAACCAGTGAACTCGTGGAAAGTGCCGGCGCGGACTTTCGTTGATGCGCCCCTGTCTCAGCAAGCGGCGTCATCGGCGGGACAATTGATCGCGACTTCATTGGGTAAGCTCGATGGTGCGACGCGACAGCGCTCTTGCACTCCAGAACGAAACACATAAACGACAGACTAAAATCACCCAAGACTCGAGGCTTTCTAGACCGTCCATCGCAATGCCTCCGGGCTCACAAAAAGGCACCAGCAAGAAGAGCGGCTCGGCGCTGCCAAAGCCGAGTCGCACTTCGACACCGCAGCCACCACAGCCACCGACAGGTAGTCTACCCGAACAGAAGGCGTACGACCCCGACTACCTAAACACTCGCGTCGTTCTACTAGAGAGCAACCTTGCTTATGAGGATCTGGTTGACTCTGTGTCGTCCAATGCTGCGGTACCGGACTCGCGTGGCATCGATGCGCTCCTCGCCAAGCTCAAGGACCTATCCTCGGTCATTGAGAAGCGCACCAATTTTTACGATCGGGGCATGCGCTTTCTGGCTGATGAGCGCAAGAAACGACCGGATGACTATGTGCCAGAGGACGAAGGCAAACGGCCCAAGCACAAGAAGAAGAAGACCTCTGAATCACTAGTGCCTCCCGAGGTTGGGGGCACTGGCAAAGATGGTACGTTGACTCTATAATCCTCTTTTGGTCTTCGAAACTAGGCAGACCCTAACAGTCATGAACAGGCCGACCTTCCAACCGTGACACCAAGAGAAAACATTCACGAGAACCAAGCTCCTCGCTGTCCCCGGTCGCAGGGCGATCGCCCTCGGCGATGGACGTGGACACGAAGGAGAAAAAAGACGAGGAAGAGGAGAAGACCGAAAAGAAGGAGGACGAAGGAGAGTCAAGTTCAGAGGACGAAGGCGCGCCGCCTCGGCGAGAGATGCCTGCGCACCAGACCTTTGGCGAAGATCCTTCAACGTTCCCTGACCCAACCATATATGAGATTCGCGAGATCAAACCAGAAATGACAGAAGAGGAAAAGAAGGAGATTTACTCGGTCGCTGGGTATCCCGCGAGCGATCTAGCCGACCTTATCGCTGGCGACCCTCCAGATAACGACTACAGTGTCGCCAAGCCTACGTCGCAGATCAACTTTTCGACCTTTTCGTCATACGTGGAGCCCTACTTCCGGCCGTTTTCTGAGGAGGACCTGGGATTTTTGCGCGAGCGAGGAGATCGAGTCACGCCCTTCCTGATGCCAAGGCAAGGGAAGCGCCACTACACTGAGATCTGGGCCGAGGAAGACGGGGGCATGTCAATGGACTCGCCCGACCAGATGGACCGACTGCCAGCAAACATGCCTCGAGGCACCATAGAAAACATGAACGACACTGTTGCCGAAACAGACGGGCTGTCGATTGGGCCGGTCGCTGCGAGGTTACTGCAAGCTCTGCGGCCTGAGAACCGCGCACCTGCCGAGGAGAAGCCTGCGACTAATGGCGCGACGAACGGGGATATTGTGATGAATGGCGATCCGAACGGCGAGGAATCAACAGAGAACGGCGCCAATGGGCCGAATGGCGAGAAGGCCAAGGACCCGATTCCTCCAGCGACCTTTATGGATGATTCGACCAGTGAAGCATGGAAGAAGGCAACATACCCCAAGCTTGACTACAACCAGGTGGACGAGCGGCTGAAGCAGGAGTTGCGGCACATTGGTTTCCTGCCCCCGGACGGAGTGGAGCCAGACTACGACGGCGCATTCGACGACGAGGTCGCTGGGCGCATCCGCACGCTGCAAGAACGTCTCCGTGAGCAGATGCTCATCAACGGAGCGCGCAAGTCCAAGCTCACCGAGATCATCCGCGAGCGCATGGCGCACCAGGAGTACAACACGATCCTGGAGGATCTCGACACCCAGGTGCAAGCGGCATACACCAAGCGCACGCGCACCATGGGCAAGAGCAAGAAGGCGAAGCGGCCGGGCGGCGCGGGCGGGGGCAGTCACTTTGTGGGTAGCGGCGCGCAGGGCACGGCGCGACCCGGCATTGGTGACTTGACCAAGACGCTGATGGAGCGTCGCAAGAAGTGGATTCGAACGATTGGAGGTATCTTTGACGACGAGACGTTGGCCAAGGTGCCGCGCCTGTCGGATCCAGACAGCTCCGTATTCAAGCCAGCGGAGATGGGAGAGTACCTCAAGAAGGAGAAGCAACAGTGGGACGAAGAAGTGGAGGATGAGTAGAGTCTAATTAGTTAGTTTTCAGGATGGGTGTTCCGGGAGGGGAATTGTTGGATGAGCGACTGACTGGCATGGCACCGAATGATACCACTTTTACCGCCAGCGCATTGCTGCTTCTGGTCCTTGTGCAATGACTGAGCGTTTGCTTATAGTCTCAATCCCCTTTTTGGGCCAGTGACTGGATACAATTGGGCAATGGCTGCGATCGCTTCTCCGCCATGCGGGGCTTGAGCTTCCCGTCGTTATCAGTAGGCAGCGTCGAACGACTCTGGACTCTCACCACCACCGTCGTCGCTTCTCCATGCTCAGTGTGCATCAAGATTCATACTCACATCACATAAGTTTGAGAGCAGCTATCTGAAGCTCGCTCACACAGCGCCAAGATGCATCTCATTCCACGCGAGGCAAACTCCCTCTTCCCCACATGATCCAGCTTCACCTCAACTGACCAAGGCAGCTCGACAAGCTCACCACCTCTCATCTGGGGTTCATCGCCCAGCGCCGTCTCGCCCGCGGTCTACGCCTCAACCATACCGAGTCTGTGGCTCTCATCGCCTCGGTGCTCCAGGAGCTTATACGCGATGGCAAGCACAACGTCTCGGAGCTCATGGGCCTCGGCGCCACCATGCTTGGACGTAGACACGTCCTGCCCTCTGTGTGCACCACCCTGCATGAGATACAGGTCGAAGGGACATTTCCAACGGGCACGTATCTGGTCACTGTGCACGACCCCATCGCCACCGACGATGGTGACCTGAGGAGGGCGCTCTATGGCAGTTTCCTGCCCGTCCCTGACCCCGGTATCTTCCCACCCATTGTCAAGGATGACTATGCGGCGCTCAAGGCCCCCGGTGCGGTCGTCGCAGTCAAGGATCGCATCACACTGAATGAGGGGCGGAGGCGGGTCAGGTTGAGGGTCACGAGCAGAGGAGACCGACCCATCCAGGTCGGATCGCACTATCACTTCACCGAGACCAATCCGCAGCTCGAGTTTGATCGGGCCAAATCATATGGTTGCAGGCTGGACATCCCAGCTGGCACGTCCGTTCGTTTCGAGCCAGGCGACACCAAGACCATTACGCTCGTCGAGATTGGCGGGCACAAGGTCATCAAGGGCGGCAACAGCCTCGCGACGGGGGGCATGGAGCTCTGGAGGGTGGACGACATTGTGAAGAATCTGCAAGCGGCCGGCTTTGCGCACAAACCTGACCCGGCCGCGGATGCGGCGCTGGTCGAGGCTTTCACCATGGAGCGCACGGCCTACAATACCATGTTCGGCCCTACGACTGGGGACATTGTCCGCCTGGGGCTGACTGATCTCTGGGTCAAGGTGGAGAAGGATCTGACAGTCTACGGCGACGAGTGCAAGTTTGGTGGCGGCAAGACCCTGCGCGAGGGCATGGGCCAGGCCACCGGTCGTCCGGACGCGGAGACACTGGACCTAGTGGTCGTCAACGCGCTGATCGTGGACTGGTCGGGCATCTACAAGGCCGACATTGGCGTCAAGGACGGCTTGATTGTGGGCATTGGCAAGGCTGGCAACCCGGATGTCATGGACGGCGTGACCACCAACATGGTCGTGGGCTCGGGGACAGATGTCATTGCTGGCGAGGGCAAGATCATCACCGCTGGTGGCATTGACACGCACATTCACTTCATCTGCCCGCAGCAAGCTCAGGAGTCCCTGGCCTCGGGTGTCACCACCATGCTTGGTGGCGGTGTTGGTCCAAGGTACTTACTTACATACACTCTTCCCACTGAATATATATGTCTTACCACTAACGCGGAGTGTAGCGCTGGTACATCGGCCACCACCTGTACCCCAGGAAAGAACTACACGAAGCTCATGCTCCAAGCCTGCGACACCTTGCCCCTGAACATTGGCATCACGGGCAAGGGCAACGACTCCTCTCCGACGGCGCTGCGCGAGATGGTCACCGCTGGCGCGTGCGGTCTCAAGCTCCACGAGGACTGGGGCAGCACACCGGCCGCCATCGACACGTGCCTGTCCGTCTGCGACGAGATGGACGTCCAGTGCCTCATCCACACCGACACCCTGAACGAGTCCGGGTTCGTGGAGAGCACCGTCGGCGCCTTCAAGGACCGCACCATCCACACGTACCACACCGAGGGCGCCGGCGGCGGCCACGCCCCGGACATCATCTCCGTCGTCGAGCTCCCCAACGTCCTGCCCTCCTCCACCAACCCCACGCGCCCGTACACGCGCAACACCCTCGACGAGCACCTCGACATGCTCATGGTCTGCCATCACCTCTCCAAAAACATCCCCGAAGACGTGGCCTTTGCCGAGTCGCGCATCCGCGCCGAGACCATCGCCGCCGAGGACGTCCTGCACGACCTCGGCGCCATCAGCATGATGTCCTCCGACTCCCAGGCCATGGGCCGCTGCGGCGAGGTCATCCTCCGCACCTGGAACACGGCCCACAAGAACAAGGTCCAGCGCGGCGCCCTCCCGGAGGACGACGGCACCGGCGCGGACAACTTCAGGGTCAAGCGCTACGTGAGCAAGTACACCGTCAACCCGGCCCTCGCCCAGGGTTTCGGCCATCTCATCGGCAGCATCGAGGTGGGCAAGCTGGCGGACCTTGTCGTCTGGGATCCGGCCTGGTTCGGCACAAAGCCTACCTTGGTGGTCAAGTCGGGCCTCATCGCCTGTGCGCAAATGGTACGTTCTTCCCACTGAGGTATTGCTGTTTACGAGGACATACTAACGACAGCAACAGGGCGATCCGAACGCCTCCATCCCCACCATTCAGCCCATCATCGCCCGGCCCATGTATGCGCCCCTCGTGCCCTCGACGAGCGTCCTCTTCGTGTCCGAGGCGAGCATCACCTCCGGCGCCATTGAGAGCTACGGCCTCAAGAGCCGCGTGGAGGCCGTCAAAGGCTGTCGCACGGTCGGCAAGAAGGACATGAAGTTCAACGATGTGATGCCCAAGATGAAGGTGGACCCGGAGAGCTACACCGTCGAGGCGGACGGCATGATCTGCGAGGCGGAGCCGTCCGAGACGTTGCCCCTGACACAAGCGTACTTTGCCTACTGATGAACGGGTCAGTCCCTGGGGAAAGAATCATGCACATACAATGTACGGTACGGTTCCAGTCATATCCCTCGTAGCATGCTAAAGGAATCATACATCCGGCACGGTCCTGAGCCACCGCTACCCACGTCGCGTAATGACTGCACTTTTTCCTCCTCCTCGCCATCCGACTTTGACCTGAGAACCAAAGCAACCAGCTGTACACCAAAACACCAAGTATCACTGCAAAGACGTTTCCCTAGATCCCAGAACCCCCGGGGGTATATCACAATCACGACCCCAAGTTTCGCTTCCCGAAGAAACACCCAAACGTAGAGAGGAGCGGCTAGGAACTCTTAGTCTTCTTACGCCCTCCCTTCTTGGGCTCTTCGACCGCCTCGGCAGGCGCCTGCTTGCCCGACCTCCGACGCTTCTTATCGGGACTGGCTGCGCCAGCCTGCACCGGTGTGCCCATGTTCGAGAGCGCCTCGCCCACCTCGCTCTTGCGCTTTCGGCCGCCGGCGGCCTTCTTGGGCGTCTTTGTGTCGTCAGGCACCATGACCGTGGCGGGGCCGACTTGCTGCTGAAGCTGCTGAGCGATCGCATCCTGATCATTCTGGCCGGCATCCTGAGCCACGGCGTCCTTACCGGTAGGCATGGGGATGTTGTTTGCTTCAGCATAGGCAGCAGCGTCATCGTCAGACATATCCTTGGCATCAGGGTTGCCCGCCTTGTACGAAGCCATGCGGGCCTGGTACAGACGAAGGTTGTACTGATATGCGTGGTTCCAGCCATCCTTCTCCTGCGCTGACATGGAAGCCCAGCGACGCTGACCCTCCTCCTGAACGGCGCCCTTGGGCGAGTCAGGGCCCAGGTCATTGGCGATGATGGAGCGAGCGTGCTGCATGTATAGAAAGTACGGAGTCAGCGGACGCTTGGGGGCGTTGGGGTCATGGCTTCGCTTCTTGCGCTCCTTCTTCTCCTCGACGGGAGCCCCCAAGTCGAGTACTGGGTTCACGCCAGCAAGAAGCTGCGCAGCGGCGGAGTCAAGGTTGGCAAACAGATCAGGATGGGGAAGCTCGGTGGGGTTGTCGCCCAAGAGCAGATCTGTCTGATACTTGTAGTCCGCAGTGAACTTGCGGAGAAGTTCAATCATCGTGGACATGCGGGTGACGGCCTGAAGTGGCTAGTTAGCGACTGATTTATGAGTGCTGTATCGAGCATGTGGTAAAATGTATGTGAGCGCTGAGGTCGATGATGGATCGCAGGCGACCCACTGAAGCGTGTAAGTCAACAGCCCAGCTAGTGGGGCGTGCGCAGCTGTTGTTGATGAACATAAACAAGGACGCAAACCGCGCTTCCACAGCGCGACAGGACGAACGAATTTGTCTGACCGTGATATACGCGTTTAAGCATCAAGACCGTGGGGCTTTGACAATGTTTCGCACACTCGTGACGGCCAAAGGCTGCAGTAGAGTGTTTGCGACACGGGGGCTTTATGGTTCTGATCCAGCCCGCAGCGCGTCTTACAGTGACGCGCCATAGCACGGCAGAACGATTCCACAGCACGACGGGTAGGTAAAGAAAAATTTGGCTCTACTTACGGAGTCGCGCACTTTGCGGAAGTTGTCAGCATCAATGACCTGGGCACGCCCGGCTTGCACGGGCTGCTGTTGCGGTGGCTGCTGGAATTGCTGCTGATGTTGCTGAGGTTGTTGCTGGATTGGTACGCCCATTGGAGGCAGCTGCTGTTGGGGCTGCTGAGGCTGCATCTGCATGGGCATGAACTGCTGGTGCTGCGGAAGCTGCTGGTGTTGCTGAGGATGGTGATATTGTTGCTGCATGTTGCCTTGGTGCGCCATCTGGTTAGGATTGGGCATCATCTGCTGAGGCACTGGCTGAGGCGCGACATTGGCGGGCATAGGCTGCTGCTGCTGTTGCTGCTGCAGCTTCTCGGCCTGAGCTTGCTGCGCCTTTTTAGAAACGCGAGGCATGGTGAAAGACGGGTAAAGGCTGTCGTGCTAGTGTAGAGGAATGGATTTTGAGGCGGGCGTGTCAGTGAGTATAAGAAGTATACAGCTTATAGTAGCGCGCGCGCACTACTAGAGCCGGATGCTGAAGGCTGGCGGTGATGTGTTTAGGTGTCGGAACGCCCTGGAGGTGGACGCGTTGAGTTGTTATGATAGCTAGCGAGGATGCGCTGAGGTGCGGGGATTTGGGGTGACGGCGCGAGAGCGTGCCGTATTGGATACAGAATGCCCTGGCTTTTGGACTGAGTTGCCCTAGACGAGACAAAGGCAAGGATGATCGCGTGTTGCAATGGCGGCCGTGGCGCGTTCAGTTGCGGTGGATTTTTAGTTGCGATTGAGCGTGCTGGAAGAGACAGAAGATAGCGGGAACGAAAGGTGCTGGAAGACGGGGGGGACGTTGACGGGCTGGAAATTTCCGGCAGGGGCGGGGGGCGATGCCATTTTTTGTAGGCACCTGCCTGGGCTGCAATCACTCAGCGCGTGCGGCCTGAAATAGCCAATTAAAATCATCTGTGGCCAGTGGGTCCCACTTCTAGGGTGCACCGTGTCAACACGAACCCGGGCGAGCCGCCCTCCGAAAAGGGCCAGTCCTCGAAACCTGTGCGAGGTCAGGCCTGGAACTGGACTGGTGCGGGTGTCAGCGCTCAATTTGTCAGGCCCTGTACAGGGCGCCCGAGCGGCTGAAAAGTGGTTGCTTGATGGGACAAGGACTGCCAAAAGTGCGCGCACGTCAACCCCGCCTGACCACGCTGTAGGTAGGTGCCAAAAAGACAGCTGCTACTTGGCAAACTGCCACCGCTAGATTGTCATCAGCCCATCCAGTCCTGTCTTCCCAGGCCACCGTTGTCGCTGTCGTTCGTCGTCCCATTTTGAATTCACGTTTCCACCAGCTCACGGTGCCCTCCAACTACGCGTTAGGCTGTCTCTCCAGACTGATTCCAAGGCAGGCTCTACCATGACCAGCTTTCGTTTGCGTTGAATGCTAAGTAAAGGTGATAATCCGCGCACAGATAGAGAAGTCGACTATCATTTTACGCATACCATCCACATCAATGGACAAGTAGTTCGCTTTGCATCTTTGCAGTCATTAGGCCAGCAGTACTCCGTACAGTCGAACGACGAACCGCCGCTTGATATCGCGTGTCAATGAGAATGGTGTTGCCGTGAGCTGGGCAGTGCCAGCCGCTGGAGCTCCAGAGCTTATCATTTAAGGGCCCTGCTTCTCATCAGTTGTTGTCTCCCGTTAAAATCGTGCACGTCACGTCAGGGTATGGTCAGGCCGGTACGGATACCTTATACTAACTTGATAATTTAGAAGTAGGGCAACTTATTATTCATTACCTGAGGCAGGTCTACTACGACTAACGTTAGTACGTAGCCATTAATGACAACAGTAAAGCCACCACTGCATCTTCATGCTGGACACTCGAAACCACGGCTACAGTAACGACAGCGCTTGGCAGCGTCTCTCGTCAATGAAGCGCCCCTTGGACCCTATGTATGATACGTCTGCGACTTGTTCACTGGACTCCTAGCAGACTGCCCAAGTAAAATTGATCACATTTCGCTTTCATCGATGCTCGGTGGACAACCTGTCTTCCATGCACTTGCTGGATCATGGCTCATCATGACCATGAGTGCTTTCCACTGTCTGTGTTACATGGCGAGAGGCTGACAGGCACACTACAATTGCCCGCGCACGAAAACCGTGTTACTCGAGTGAGGTGATCCAATCATTAGTGAGTGATACATTCAACAGAAGCTCTGTCTCACCAAGGCACGTGTGCCACTCACCCCGCTAGTGAGATCCAGGGTTTCATGCGAGCCCCTCCGAACGACCTCAACCCGCCACTATTGGACGTGACGACGCCTGGGTGCCGGTGGGTGTGTTGTCCACAGGCGATCTCATGGAGAGGGACACCGAGTTTTGAGTTGTCCCGCCCACAGCCTGCATCATGAGCGAACGCGCGACTCACGACGGCGCATGCCCCCAGCCCCAGCACCACCCACTCACCAGTGGCAGTGCTCCCCAACCCGACTGGCGTTTGTGTGCGTACACACGTACAGCACGATTGACAAGTCCCGTCTCGTATCAATAGCAGATAGTAGAGGTCGATCCACGAGGACCTACATGCAACGCTCCAGTCGGACCCTTCGACGTCACCTATATGTAGTTCATGCTGAAGCTCCCCACATCGATCAAGCCGGCACCTTCAGCTGCCCCTCTTCGGCCTCAGCACATCAAAACGCTTTGACAACTCGCCAATTTTTCCCTCTTTTCCTTGATCACAACATCTGACTCCTTTGCCAAACATTCGCACATCACAGAGCTAGAGCACGCCGGCACGATGCTCCGCTTTGCTCTCCTTATCGCCCTCGCCTGGGCCACAGCACCAGTAGCCGCCTTTGGAGCTGGCAACATTGCCTCGATCGCCAAGATCGAGGGCAAGAACTGTAGGTCACAGCTGCCATCAGTTCACGCGTTTTCCTGCTAACGGTTGCAATAGGGCGCCATGGTGACATCGAAGACATCCTTCTCAGCATCGCCGCCGCACATGCTTACAACGGAGGCAAGAAATTCTCCAAGATGATGATCAAGCAGACCTACTTTGGTAACTGGGCTCGCGATTACTCTCAGGCCATTGATGTCGGCACCGTCAAGTCTGTTTCTGCCGAGGCCATCCGACTCTTGCTCTGCGTTCTCGGTTTCATGACCTTTGGCTACGGCTCCCGCGAATTCGAGGTCACAGCCGACAGACTCGGCTGCTACCGCCCCGAGGAACACATTGACAACCCCAAGAACTACGCTGACAATGAAGATGCACGTCAATACGACAGGCGCCTCCGTGGCCCTGTGGATGAGGAGCAGGAACTATCAATTGATCCCGAAACGGGCATGAAGAACTACATTGCCAACGAGCGCGCGGGCATCATGACTTCGGCCAAGCTCATCAGAAGGCTGTTTGGTAGATGTATCGAGCTGGGCAGGCGCTACAAGGAGAGTGATGATCCCAAGGATCTACATGAATCCCTGCGTCTGCTCGGTACTGGTCTGCACTGTCTGGAGGACTTTTACGCGCACAGCAATTACTGCGAGCTAGCTCTGATTGAGATGGGCGAGGAGGACATCTTCCCCCACTGCGGCCGCGACACTCAGATTGAATTGGAGGGTGCCAAACGACCTGTCTACCCAATTGTCACGTAGGTTCACTAGTTCCCGATGCTCATCCCGGGGAGGTTTGACTGACCGTTGGAAATAGTGGTACATTTGGTGGTGTCGACTTCCTTCACAGTGTTACCGGAGAGGTCTCTGACAAGTTGACGCAAAATGAGATCGACGAGCTCGAGGGCACTCTGCAGGAGAGCAGCACTGCCGACACGAGCATGTTGCGTGATCTTCTGGACAAGATCCCCGACGGCTTCTTTGGCGACAAGCACGAGAGTGACAAGGTCGAGGAGATCCAGTCAAATGCCAACAATGCCCAGATGCAGAACATGTCCGTCTCGCCCAGGGAGCCTGAGGAGTTCACAGAGTACGTCCAGCAGACCTACAACCAGGTCATGCCCGCCATCGAGTTTCACGACGAAGTCATGAAGTCCATCACGTCCGCCATTGAGAAGATCCCTGTGCTGCCCAAGATTGTCGAGCAGCTGGAGGAGGAGCTGTCACGCTTCGTCTTCTCTGTCATTGCCCCCTTTGTCGTGCCCCTCATCCAGAACATCAAGAGCGAGCTGACGACCGGTTCGGATGCTATCATTCAGTCTTCAGAGAGGGAGCAGCACATTGTTTTCCACGACGACAACTCCACTGACCCTACGCACTCCATGCTGTCCAAGGATCACTTCTCCAACATTCTCAACGAGGTGGCTGGTCAGTGTGCCGCCAAGATGGTCCACTGGGCCACTCCCCAGCTTATGGAGGCTATCGACGACGAGAACACTGACGTTGACCGCGTCCTCGACCGCATCATCCACGGCATCATGCATCACCCTGCCCAGCGTGACATGGGTGAGGATGGCGCTCACGAGGGTCGCCGTCGCATCTACCAGTCCGTGAAGGAGTGGTGGCGCGAGATGGGTGACGATCAGCGCGAGGATTACCGTCGCAAGCTGTCTCGCGATGGCGTGGAGAACGCCGAGAACCACAAGGAGGGTGTCTACGACACCGGACACGGCCACGGCTGTGGTGGGAAGCTCAAGATGCAAAAGCTCTACGGCGGTCCCGAGACCACCGAGGATAAGATTGCCAGTGCTGCTGCCGGTGTCATCATCGAGGGCGTCTCAAATGCCTTCAACAACGGTGGTGCTAGCGGCGGCGATCGCAAGGAGGAAGGCTTGGGCGGGCTGATTGGTGCTGCTGGGTCCTTGCTAGGCCTCGGCGGTGGTGACGACAGGGGCAGCTCGCGCCGTCGCGGCGACGACGATGACGACGACGATAACCGTCCCTCCGAGTCTCGCCGTCAGGAAGAATATAGATCTCACGGCAGTGCGTATGATCAGGGGAGCTCTTATGGAGGAGGCAACGGCTCCCATGGAGGCTCCTACGGCGGCGGCCACGCTGCTGAGTATGCCAGTGGTGGCGGCTATGGTCGCGAGGCGTCGTCAGGCTACGGTCGCGAGGAGTCGTCAGGCTACGGTCGCGAGGAGACGTCAGGCTACGGTCGCGAGGAATCGTCTGGGTACGGCCGCGAAGAACCCAGCTATGGCCGCCAAGAGACCCCAGGTTACGGTCGTCAAGAATCCAGCTACGGGAGTGGCGGCGGCTACGGCGGCGGAGGTCATGCTGCTGAGTATGCCAGCGGTGGTGGCTATGGCTCCTCCGAGCGCCAGGAGGGCGGCTACGGCGGCGGCGGCGGCTATGGAGACAGCTCGTACGGACGTCAAGAGTCAAGCTACGGCCGGCCTCAAGAGTCCAGCTACGGCGGCGGCTACGATGAAGGCGCCGAAGGCTACGGCGGCAGTCGTCGCGAGGAGGGTGGTTATCACCATGAGCACCACCGCCGCAGGTCCGGTGACTCTGATCGCGAGCGTGATCTCGCCTACGGGAGCGGTGGCTACAACCGTGAAGGTGAAGGTGGCTTCAGCCGTGGTGAATACAGCGGCGGTGGTGGTGGTGGCTATGGCGGGGGCTACCGGGAAGGAGGTGGCTATGGCTACTAAGTGTGGCCTTGACTCAAAAGGAGTGAAAGAGTTGAGGTTTTTGTGAATCCACGGGTTTTGCGGATTGAGCGAGGAGTCGAGCGGATGTCTGAGATGACGAGATGATGAGATGAGAGATGATTTTGCAACAGTGCGGTCTATGTCTCCTTGCTGATGAGTAGAACTCGTGTGGTGGTGATATCAAGACTATATCTGTGCATGCAATCTGTTGACTAGTATTAATCTGGACGACGTCGCAGAACGAGGTCAGTGAAGTTATATAACCTCCTTTGCCGTCAATAAAACCGAGTATAAAGCTTCTGAATCGAGTCCCATGCTCTGTTGTAGTGGTGGAGCGTTCATGTTGTCAAATCGTTGGCATGCGCAAACGGTTCGTCTCGATCCTAGGGTAGTTGAGCACGATGAAGTACGGATCACAACGGGAACAAAATCCCAACAAATGTCAACCCACGTGCAGGACTGCAGGTTGAAACTCGACCTCGATAGCTCGACTGTATACAGACGTGTGGATCGCGAATACTAGACTCTTGGTAGTTACGGATAGACGAGCGCGATTTCTAGACAGTATCAATAGTATTAGTGCCTCTTACTCGACTGTTTGTTTGCGGTCAACCGGACAGTGGACTTCACGCTGGAACTGCGAGACGGCTACATGTGTATCACGAGTAAGCGGGGTTGATGAACGGACGTCCGGATATTTGGGTCGACAAGCACGGATACTGCCATGCTGGATGTTTGATTGCTTCCAGGTTCCAGCTAATGCCCGCTGCCCAATGTCGTGAACTTGAGATCGGCATCGTAATTACTTAAGGTTCGGAGACTACGGATAAGATGAGACAACTTCAAATCGGCACAGAGCATTGCTCGTAAAGACAGCTCGATGCGCTTTGGAGCCGAGCGTCAATGGTGAACCAGTCTTCACATGGACAGAACATTGAAGTCTGGCTCACGTTGGTGACAGAGCATGCGATGCACATGCGGGTGGGTGGCGCAGAAGACGTGAAACGATCGTCTATGGCCGTGCAGCTGTAGGAGAAATCGCAAGTTAAATGCCTGTACGTATTGTGAAGCACTCTGCTTGTCGAGTGGGGCCTCAGAACACCTATAGAAAGCCACAGCAAGCTGCATAATACTTCTTCAACGACAGTGGCTTTTTCGAGACCTGCGACAATTCGTGATCGAGACCTTGGATTGTCTGATGTGCAGTCGGAACTTGAAAAGCAAGCATGCAGCGTGGTTCGTTGGTCTCAAAGCTGAAACGAGCTGGCTGAAGTCGACAGGTCAGGGGTGTGGTGGAGACGGGCGCACCTCAAGATATTGGCTCGGGCGGAGTTGTTATAACGAGCTGCTAATTAATATCAGGATATGGGCAGACAGGCCCGCCATCAAAAAGCATTGACGAGGCCCGGAAAGACGTGGACATTGGTTCGTGATCGCAGTTGACTACACTTCAATTACGGGCTGTCAATGGCTGTGGATGTAGACAGTTCGGATACATTCTGGTGATCGACTGTGATCATGATGACAGTAAGCGTGGCCTCTTGTTTGGCTCGAGGGGGCGAAATATCATATTGAACATTGGCTTGCCCCTCGACATCGTATCGACCCAGCAATTGATGACACGCTATTCAGTGACACTCTTACACGTACAGTGACATGGAAGTGCCCGTCCTGCATCACGAGGCCAGACACCACCGTGTGGTCAATTTTCTTTCTTTTTCTCTGCCATCATTCTAGACTAGGGGCTGTCACTGACGCATACTACAGGTGTTTTGCCCACCACTTCGTCTCTTATCTGCCGCAGTGCCTCTTGGATCGCCAGCATGCTTTGGACTTTCGGAGGAGACAATTTCCCCTTGGCTGGGCCACGAAAGGCGCCCAAACGTCAATTGGTCGCGTTCCCTGGGATAAATTGGCCAAGACCATGACATTGCCAGGGTCCTGGCGCGCCCCTGTCGATTGCTCGCCCGAGACACGGATGGCGTCTGGATTTCAGTGGTCGTGAAAAGAGAGCTAGTCCGTAATGGGCTAGCTCTTCCTGCGGCAGTTCGACTGGTTGCTGCGAGGAACTTGTTTGTCCCGCGAAAGCACAAGGCTTTGCTTGTACTCGAACAATGGACCGAGCCTCGAGTCGGCCACGGGTGTGGTCAGTGCTTCTACCCGTGACCGGTACGTATCTTATGTACGTACCTTCCGCTGGGGCCTCTCCTTTCTACCCTTGCAGCTTCCCACTCTCCCATCACCAGATCCCTGTCCGGGCAGCATCTTCACGCAGGTCCCGGACGCCTGTTTCGACTCGCCCGCTCGCTCCTCTTCTTTTCTCGGTTCTGGCATCCAGCTCCCGACTGTAGCAACCTGACCTTCCCTTCTCTTCCTTCCCCCTCCCGAGTGCATTATCGCCAGCATCTCACAACTAGTCGTTCATTTTTTCAGCCAGGGCTCCAGTAGTCAATTGTTTTACCTCGTTGACGGATGGCCCGCTGAGCTTTCCTCTCCTGTTCAGAGAGTCTGGGGTACGCCATTGCGTCGGCGGTAGATACCAACACCCTCGACAACCAACTTCGACAATATCATAGTTCGCCATGGCTCCCTCTCTTAACACCCACTCCTCTTTCACACGCCCGAGAACCAGCGAACGTGATGGCCGGCCCAGCACCCGCGATCAGGGCGGTGCTGACAACCTCTTGATACCCAGCCGCACCTCGTCTCTTCACTCGCGCATCACCCAACCCGCCCCGGCCACGCTCGCGTCGAAGCCTCAACAACGGACTCCCAAGACACTCACACATGCGTACATGGTGTGTGGTGTCGGCCGCGAGCCTTCACAATGGGTCAAGGCCCCAGCGCCCACCCAGGGCAAGATTGGCCACATGAAGGGAGCGGTTGGTCAATTCTGGCTGCCCGAGATCCTTGGCAGCAGCCCCAGGCTGGAGCAGGATAACGAGATTGCCCGTGCGTTGCATGCTGCGATGAAGGTAAGCTCTTTCAAAAAAGCACAACCTGTTCCCATTGTTGACCCACCTAGGCCTGTTTCCCCCACGATGTCGAGATCTGCACTGGCCGTAGCCAGCCTCACTGCGTCCACCACGCCTTCGTCCTACAGCAGGACTCGTCGCACACTCTTTATGGCATCTCTCTGCGTGTTTGGTCGCGAGCAGACGAGAAACGCGCAGAGACAATCCGCGACCTGCGAAAGCGGACCGAGTCCGACTACTACGACAGCCCCGACGAGACATACTGGATCCCATACTGTCTCTCTTTCCTGTCACGATACCCCCTTTACAACCTCCTAGGCGACTATCTCCGTGGCATGTGGATCCACTGGAACAAGGCCACCAACCTCTTCCACGCCGAGGAGGTGTCTCGAATCCTCAGCTTCCCGGCGCCGCGTCTCAACGACCTTGTGCGAATCGACATGAAGGACTATGCGCTTTGCTACCAATTCCCCTCTTCACCAACGGGCTTCCAGAACTTCGCCATGTGGCCCCTGTTCGCCTGTCTGTCAATTCCCAACATTGTGGGTGTGATCGAGGCCGCCATCTCGCCAACCCGCCGAATCATCTTCGTCAGCCATTACCCTGCTATGCTCACAATGGCTGCAGAGACAATTCGTTACTGCGTCCGCGTGTACGAGTGGAGTGGCCTGTATGTGCCTGTCGTCCACGCTCGACACGCTGCCGAGCTCGTCCAGGAGCCCGGACCGTACATCTTGGGCATCACGGCCGAGTGCCGCTCTCTCTTCACAGCTCCCACCGATGCTCTGGTGGTGGATCTCGACCGTAATTTTGTTCTCACGTCTGACCCCCCAACTGCCCTGAACCCGGGACAGCGCAACAAGTTTGTCAACCGCTTGACCCAGGCTCTCAATGGTGACGTGACGCCGTCTGGCGTGCCCCAGCACCTGCGATCTGCCTATGGCGGTGGCAAGCTTATCCCGGCTGGCCAGATCATTGTCATGCGGGGCGAGGTCGAGTCGATCCAGGAGCCCGAATGGTGGAATCTGGACTCCGTCATGGCCGTCATGGACCACGTGTGTGAAAAGGTTGGCCGCAACACTGGCATCAAGGCTGTCTTTGCAGGTCAGCAGAAGAAGCCCTTGATGACAAAGGTGTCAATGCGCCACCTCAACGAGATTGTCCGTGAGCGCAACCAGTACTCGCGTGACGCCCTCGAGGCCTGGCAAGACTTTATCAACCTCAAGGGCCGCATGGACACTGAGCTGAGCAAAGTCAACAAGCGCAACAACTATTTGGTGGAGGAGCTCGAGAACTGGAAGCAGCAATTCCTCAAATTCCAAGCGTTTGCTGACCAGCTCACCAAGGAGACCCAGGATCTCAAGGTCAAGATCGAGAGCCACAAGAAGGAGAACCGTCGTCTTGCGACTCTTATTGACCAGCAGAAGGACGACAACGCCCGCCTCTCGGTACGCCTAACCGGCACCGAGAAGCAGCGCGACGATGCGCTCGAGGCCCTTGTCCTCCAGCAAGAGATTGCCGAGGAGCTGGAGCGCGAGCGCAAGCGCAACAAGAAGGAGCTGTCACAGCTTCAACACACTAACACCACAATCATGCGCCAGCGCGATGAGGCCCGGCGCGTGGTGCTGCACCTGCGCAGCCTTGTGGGTGGCCAGAGCCACCACATGGAGCACCTCGTCCAGACCCTCACCAAGCCTGAGGAGCTGCTTAGCGAAATCGAGGCTGGCTACGACGAGGAGCAAGCCGCCGAAGCTGAAGAGGCCCGTCAGGCTGAGGAGAAGGGTGTATCCCGTGAGGACCACGCCAAGCTTAAGCCTTCAAGCCGTGGCGAGAAGCGCATTTCTGCGTCGAGCTTCATCGACGTGGCCGACCGTCATCTCAAGGACAAGACGGACGCTATTGCTCACATTGTGCGCAACATTTCGGAGCAGTGCCAGGCTGCGGTTGAGAGCCTCCAGCTGGCTCAAGAGTCCGAGCTGCGCAACAGCCGCCGCCAGAGCGCCCTGTCAACGGCGCACAGCGACGACGGTCACTCTGCGGCCACTTCGGAGACGGGAGACGACAGCATGCTCCAGCCTTCGGGCCGTGCCTCGAGCATCCCTCCCACCCCAGACCTGATACCCAACAGGAGCAGCACCGCCATGTCGTTTGCGTCGACAACGGCCACCACACCCGAGCGCGGCAGCCAGCAGTTCCTTGTTCGCGAGGATATCCCGACCAAGATTGTCGAGGACGACGAAGGTGAGTACGAGGACGCCAACGAGAACAACAATGGCGTCGTGTCCAAGCACCCCGACACACTCCTGCACCGACCTTCTGGTGCGCGCATCAGCGCTCTGGGTGGCTCGCGCTGAGCTGCGCAATGCAGCAGAGCGACGTCAGCGCGCCTCTGACACGGCCTCCTCTTCACATCCTTTAGACGCGATATATCTTTGAGCGGCTTTATTTTCGACTGATTGGCGGATTGGATCACACAATACCTGCGGTCTTCTGGCGTTTCATTGTGTTGTTTCTTTGGTGCTGCGAGGGATATGGGGAAAGAAGGCAGTACCACTTCTTCATTTTCATTTTCTGTTATGGGTTTGCAAGCCGGCCTCGGTCCTCACTAGTAGTAGTCACGTCACTTCCATTATGGTCCCTTAGTATCTGTTGTAGTAGGAGGGGACGGCAGCGAGTCTACATTCCATTCGCGACATTCCTTAGCCTGGCGACGGCGCCATTGAATGAACATTCCATTTATGTCTTCACCCTTGGCTCTTCAATTGACCACGCGCGAGAAGTTTGCTACATGCACCAGAGTATTGATCTCTTGTCATGCGGCATTCATCAATCCAGCTGTCAAGTGTGGTTTTAACCGTATGTGGCAGTGAGAAAGGCCCACTCCGTACCACGACAGGCTCCAGCCAACGTCACTGATAAGATAAGCGATTAGATAAGACCTCTCGCAAATAAAGTTTCGACAGATTGTTGACTCTCAGCTGCGCATCTCGACCGAAATTTGTAGACGCTCTTTGCAAACACCATCTATGTACTACACTCGTTGACAGGAAGACATGGCCGATCCTCTTCTCACCTCTTTGTGTGCCATCTGTCACATTGCGCCGCCTCAATACCGCTGTCCCCGATGCGATGTCCGAACCTGCTCCCTGCCCTGCATCCGCAAGCACAAATCATGGGCCTCGTGCTCTGGCGAACGCGACCCAACCGTCTACATACCGCCCAAGAGCCTCAAAACTGCCGCCGGCATCGATCATGACTACAACTTCCTCAAAAAGTTGGAGCGGACAGTAGAGCGGACCGAGAAAGAGCTCGTCGAAGAGCGCGCTCTGGTCCAGAAAGAGGAGCTTCGACCGCTCACGGTCCGGGAGACCAAATACAAGGTTGGCAAAGACGGCCGCAAGAGGCGGGTCGTTGTCACACGGGTGCTGCGGGAGACCAAGGGGCGGAAGACGGATGCGGCGTTGACGAGGCGGCTCCAAGCGCAGGGGGTGAACGTACAGTACGCGCCGACGGGGATGCAGAGGATGACGGAGAACACGACCACGTTTAACAGGAAGAGCGGTCTGATCTACTGGCAGGTGGAGTGGCAACTCGTCAGGGACAACGGGGCGCTTGGCGAGAGGAAGCTCTGGAAGTGCTATGAGGACACGCCGCTGTATGCTGGGTACCATGCCATACCGGGGGAGACGACAACGACGAAGAAGAACCAAGTCAAGGGTCCCGGGCGGGCGAACCGATTCTTCTCCCAACTCCCGGTGGACAAGTCGTGGAACACGGTCGCAGATATGTTCCAAGACCCCGAGACGGGAAAGTGGTCGCTAGCAGCGCCGATCGAAGCCATGGGCGTCTGGCCCGCTGAACTGGACCGGCGTCAACGGGCAGCGTACGACTATTATCTCGCCAATCCCGTGCGACAAGCTGGTCAGGCGCGGGTGGTCACGAAGCTGGACGTCGACGAGTGTCTCCGAGACGGGCTTAAGGATACGAATGTGCTCGAGTTCCCGACCATATTCGTGCTACATCAGGGCATGGCTCTGCCTGAGGGCTATGTGCTTGGGCCAAAGGACTTTGTCAAGGGACCGAAGCGCAAGGCTGCCACGGACATGAGCCATGCTAAGGGCGGCAAGCGGCCAAGGAAAGATCGCGAGGAAGGGGACGTGGGCAGCGATAAAGACGATCTCATGGCCGGCGGACTCGAGGCTGGTGAAGTCGTTGGCGAGGAGAGCTTTGATGAGAACGAAAACGAGGATGGCGATGACACTTCGGATACCAGCAGCGAAGGCACGAGCAGCGAGGAGGAGTGACGAGGCGCATGATACCCAAGCATAATCTTCTTGATCGACTAGAAATTAATATCCTGCAACACAACATTATGATATGTCCTATTAACGCTTTCCTCCGCTCAAAGTCGATGGTAAGCCCCTCACGTGCTTCCGTGACGACATACGTACTAACTTACTACCGTAGCGGGGGGAGCCAAGTTGCAAACATCCTTCCCTCCTCCAACCCTCCAGATCCGAAAATATCTTCATGTACCTTGGAGCCTCCCAGGTAGTATCTACTAAAGCTCTTTCCTATAAAAGTCGATCTAGTGAAGGACTATTTCTTCTCGTGAAATATTCCACGAACATATCACACACGTGGTGTTTGTTTACAAGTACCCCTCTCCCGTGTAGGTAGCACACGCAGTTCACTCACCCCCTGATGAACCCTTGCTTACTATTCACCTCAACAACTCTCTCCAACAATAACAACAACAACACTCAAAATGAGTCGCATCCTCCAATGGCTTCGCAGCCGCGGCAACAAGTCCGCGCCGGAGCCAGCTCGTCCGCCTCCACCACCGCCTCTCCTACCTGTCGACCGCCCCCCGCGACTGGCACCCTCTGCACGAGCGAAGTGATGAGATCGCGCACGGTCGCGGCACGGCGCCCTGGAGCGGGTGCGCGCCAGAGTTCAACCCCCCAGCATGTGCGCGAGTGGCGGTGATACGGCTGCGTCTGTCACCGGCAGATACCCTGGGGCGGTCCTCACTCCCACGTCTGGCCACACCGCGATGCCTGTCTGGTGGGCGAGGCCGACTTGTGTTCAGTGTATCCACCGCCTCCCGGCATGCCGGCGGGCAGCTGCGACTACGTCGTCGGTGCGCTCGGCTCTTCCCGACGCCGGGCCAGGACTACGGTGGCGCATACCGGGAGAAACATCCGAACTGGAACGGGCGGCGGTCTCTGCCACACGTGGGTGGGTTGAAGGCCACGTTCCCGGTCTGCAGACACTCGTCGTCTCTTTTACGGACTACTTGTACGAGGACCACATAACGCGCCCGGCAGCTCGACTGCCCGAGCTCAAGGCCATGCTGCTTGAACCCTTGGCTGATGCGTTCGCCCCGTTAGCGTCGACCCAGAAACAGCCCTTCGTGGTGGAGCTGCCGATCGCCGTCTTCGACGACCTTATCCACCTCAAGTGCTTTGCCACGGAGGCCCGCGAACACCACTTTGTCGAGGGGTGGGAATGGCTGCGGTACCCGATAGCACGCAGCGACAAGGAGCTGTTCTACTACATCAAGCAGGGCACGGAGACCGGTCTGTTCTGGGATTACCAGGGCAGACCTGGGAACTATGGGCACCATTCAGGACATTTGGTTCTTAGCTAAGTGGACGGGAGGGCCCGCGGCTATGTTGGATCATGTCCATGTCTTTCTCCGTATCACATCTCCTCTCCTCCTCGGCTCAACAAATAGTGCCGCCTAGGGATAACAGCACACTGCGGTCACGTCCCCCGAACAGGATGCATATCGCTTTGTGCGCTTTTCAAAACGTCATCGGGGGGAACGCCTCTCCCAAAACGCACTTGAGCGCAGACAGACAATAGATCGCGCTCTCTACTCTTGCACAGACGAACCGGCAAGGCGACACACGAAGCTCATACTCCAACACACACATACACACCTGGCCAGAGGCCTGCACATTCGCCCTCATTGTTAACAGCTGGGTTCCACGTGTAAAAGTTGCTGCGAGTTGAGAGATTTCTGGTCAGCCACTCCATCCGAAAACAAAAAATAAAAAGTTTTCCTCTTTGCAAGTGGTCTTAGGTAAGATGGTCAAAACTCAACTCAGCTCAATCCCGTTGGCGTTGGCAATGGCCCAGCACCCGTCCCCTGATTGCCCGTAGTAGAACTCGCGGCATCCCTGCACCATGCCGGTCTGCGTGGGCAGCGGCGTGGGCACGGCGGTGCCGCTTGCCGAGGGTACTGCTACAGATGTTGTCCAAGGAGTGGTTGCGCTGCCGCTGCCGCCGCCGCCGCCTCCAGCAGAGTCAGGACGCCCGACGCACACGTACACATCTAGCTCCAGGCCGCTGCAGTAATCCTTGAGGGCTGGGTTCCAGTACTTGAGGCTGTCCTGGGCGATGCCGGCCCTCTTGGCGATGGACTCACACGTGTCCGCCCCAGGAACGAGCCAGAAGCGGGAGCAGTCCGCTGCCATCCCATCCTGCGTCGGCCCCGGCGCCGCGATTCCAGCCGGCGGCGGCGTGGGTGTGGGTGCGGACAAGGCCCTGTTGCGCGTCGTCTCTTGGGTATCAAACTGGGCGGCGATAGGTGACAGCTTCACAACAGGCAAGTGCATGTTCTTGCCTAGATTCATCGTCTCCACAAAACGACACTCTCTACATGTAGGTATCGGATCTCGCAACCAGCTGGGCAACAAGATTACACTCAACGAGGACTGGAAGTGCTCGCGGTTCGATTACTCTTACGTCAAAAGCGTGGACAATGCACTAGGTTCCAGTGTCGAGAACTTCCAATTCGAAGCCTGCAGTGGCGACAGAACTGACGACACCTATGACCAAATAGACAACCTTCGGAGCGACCTGGACTTGGTCATGATGACAGCCGGCGCAAACTATCTGTGTCTGGGTGCTATGATCAAGACGTGCGTCATTATGCCGTGGGACGGCGAGGATGCTTGTCAGACACTCATCGAAAAGGCTTAGAGCAACATTAACACGGCGCTCAAGGACGTAAGTCTGTCCGTCCCACCATGCCTCCTGTACACTCCCACTGACCAGCGCAGGACATTCGCCAAGTCTTGACACAGCTCAACACCAAGATGGAGGGAAGGAGGACAGCGTTCTCGTCTACTCGGGCTACGCGCCGCTCTTCAACACGGACAACGAGGACTGCGCGGACACCGCCAAGCAAAACTGGACCAATTCTGCTCGCCCGAGTCGAGCGGAAAGTATCCCGATCCGGACCAGCCAGCTCTACTGTTCATCAAGTTCGACCCGTCGCTCCGACCGAGCGTTATTCACGATGAGACCAAGCGGTGGCGTGAGCTCGGCAATGGCAATGGCACTGCCGGGAGTGGCGAGGGTTCTGCCGACGCAGGTCTTCCCCATATTCATCATGATGCCACCGAGGACATGCAAGGCCACATTGTCGCATACCGAAACCACATGTGGGGCCGTCTTGGCCGCAGGCACCTCTACGACCCGCTGCTCTGGAAGTCGCCTGATCCGCGTGCCGAGATGCTGCATCGGCTAGACGCCCTGCCCTGATCCCACCGGGATGCCCTGGGGACAACGAACCCGGCCTACCCCTGGGCCTGGGTCTGCCCGACTCCTTCCTGAGCATCTTCCACCCGAACAAGCAGGGCCACGAGGCCATGACCGCCTATAGCCTGCAGAACCTCATGTACAAGCGCGCCGAGATACTCAAAGTGAACGATGGCCTCTGCGCTGCTGACAAGGACAAGTTCAAGTGCTGGCAGAAGCAAGGCCGCAAGGCCTTTGTCGAGTATGCCCGCGTCAACGAAAACTACAAGGACTTTTGCAACAAAAAACTCAAGGTCCCAGACAACACCATCAACTGGAAGAGGTCTGAGACGTATCACAAGGGCACTCCCGACGAGCACATGTTCGTCCTCGAACTGTCCGACGGCTCGTCCAAGTTCGACAAGGACCAGTGTCTCGACTCCTTTGACCGCAACATCAACAGCTGCGACCGCAACGACAGTGACAACCCGCTCAACTTCAAGTACGGCGGCTCCTGGACCCGCGGAAACTACAACTACCAGATCAACCCCAAGATGAACCGCAAGATGGTCCAGAGGCCCGGCACGTGTCGCGGGTGTTAGAGTTTGCTCTGCACGGGGTACCGCATCTACGACCGCGGCTGGGTGTCGTCCAACTGGGGCCAAGACACGCTGCTCAAGTCTATGCGCGACTGCGGCTCCGCCGTGACGGGCTGGTCGTTCAAGTACTGCCCGACCGGCTGCGGCGAGAACAACGAGTACGAGTGGAAGGCCGAGTACAGCCTGTCCGTGTACGGCGGCGTCGCCTGCATGAAGAACAACTGGGTGCCCCGCCAGAACGATGCCGAGTGGACCAGCGAGGGCACCTCGAAGCTCGGGTGTATCGGGGCGGCTTAAGATTTCGTTTGTGCTTGTGCTCGCGGGTGGAGAGTGGGTTGTATTCTGGGACGGTTTTGGCAACGGCTCTCTTTTTTGAGTCTATGTGTACAAAGGCATAAGCTGTGCCAAGGCGCAGAACAAAGTGTTTTGTTGCTGTAATGCTATGATGTTCATGCCGAAATCTCGCGATGTCGTTTTGGTGTATAAGTGGGACTGTCACGTGCGGCCGGAACTGAGTGGGGACAGCGCTTACTAAGGATAGCAATATGGATACTCTCCTCGCTTCTGAGTCCTGAGTCCTGACATGCCACCGTCTCTGCTCGGATATTCCCTCCTCCTGATGTAGCCCCCCGGCCGCATCCTCGTGCCTTTACACTCACTGCCCCTGGTCCTCACAACTCGCCTGCACACATGCACCTCGTAGACAGCTTGCACTGAGCGGCATAACAAGACTGCAGCTTGGATGACGTTGCATTGCGTGATTATATGGTGTTTCCTCCGCGAGATCATCTATGGACGCATTGGCCCTGCCAACGTGGTGGGAGCATTTGAAGTCACGCTAACTTCTCCGAACTCCACATACCGGCACATCTCTCCCCCACTAGGCCCGGTACTTACCTCCCATCGCCAAGCTTAAATTAATGTCTGCATGCTCATGCACGGAGATATTCCACAGGCCGACCGACGAGGAGACTCCTGTTTACCCAGGGAGCCTATGTGTCGCCTACCCCACAGGATTGTCGACAACCCGTGTTGGTGACAGGCGCGCCAGAGCACACGCATACCGATCTGAGTTGGGTCTCTTGGCAGTGATCGATACTGTCTGTACTTTCTTTCAACCGGCCGCTGAGAGTACACCCAGGGTCGCATCACTTTGATCAATCCGCGAGAGCGTTGGTTGAGGACGTTGCGTGGCAGCGCCAGGGCTACGGTCGACCTCACTACACCAACCTCAACTACCCGTTTCCCGTGAATCCGCCCAATATATCATATGTCAACCCCACGGACTCGTATTGGCGTGAGTTTGAGGTGCCTGAAGACTGGGCCGGCGAGCATATTCGTCTCCGCTACGAAGGCGTGGACAGCGCATTCCACGTCTGGGTAAACGGAGAGGAAGTCGGCTACAGCCAGGGCAGCCGCAATCCGAGCGAGTTTGATACTACCGAGTATCTCAGCGAGGGCGAAGCAAATACGCTTGCCACACGAGTTTGCCAGTGGTCGGACGGGTCGTACCTTGAGGATCAGGACCAGAGGTGACTTTCCGGTATCTTCAGGGACGTCTACCTCATCCCCTCTTCTGAATCGGCTGTCACAGATTACCACGTCGAGCCCCAAGTTGATGACTCGTTTGAGAGCGGCACATTTCACGCCAACGTGACTTTGCAGGGCAAGTCTGGAGAAATGACTGTCAAGCTCCTCTCCCCAAGGTGATACTTTGGACGAATGGGTCGGCTCGTCGGATGAGCACTATTCACACGAGGTGACTGATGAGAACTTCCTCCTTTATTCGGCTCAGACACCGCACCTGTACACGATTTTGATCACCTTCAACGGCAGAAGCATCAGCCAAAAAGTCGGTTTCCGACGGGTCGAAATTGTCGGAAGCACTTTCACGTCAATGGCCAGCCTATCATCCTATACGGCGTCAACCGCCATGAGCAGCATCACCTTTCTGGCCGCACCATTCCATACGAAGCCATGCGCGCCGATCTCATCAGGATGAAGCAATCTAATATCAATGCTATCCGCACTGGGAGCACGCCTACCTTGACCGCGCAGAGCAACTTGTCGCAAGATACAGAAACCATGCATCCGTCATCATCTGGTCGCTGGGGAATGAGTGCTACTATGGTCGCAAGCAGGCTGCCATGTACAAGTGGATTAAAGAGAGGGACCCTACCCGAATCGTGCACTACGAGCAGGATCGCAAGGCTGAATCGGCTGATATGTACAGCCAGATGTACTCGAGTCCTGACTTGGTTCGAGAGTACATCAAGAACCACACGCATAAGCCCTTGATCATGTGTGAGTATGCACACGCAATGGGCAACGGCCTTGGTGGTCTCCAGGAGTACGTCGAGCTCTATCGCTCTGAAGAACTCGTGCAAGGAGGGCTGGTTTGGGAGTGAAAAAACAATGGCCTATTGCACGAGCTAAACGGGATAGAATTCTATGCCTACGTGGTGACTTTGGCGATGAGCCCAACGACGGGGACTTTATCATGGATGGTCTTGTCCTGTCAGACCATAAGCCAACGCTTGCACTGGCTGAGTATGCCAAGGTCATCCAACCTGTCAGTGTGAACTTGACAGAAAACGCTGGGCAGATTACCATCACCAACTGCTACGAGTCTTCCGATCTAAGTCATCTACAGCCCCGGTGGCACATTGTCCGCGACAGTGAGGCGACAACCACTCAGGACCTCGACTTGCCGAGGGTGGCTCCTCGTGACAGCCGGACGATTGACCTGCCCGTGCGTAACAGCGACTCGACTGAGGAGTCGTGGCTTGTGGGTGAGTTCAGCCTCAAGGAGGCCATACCCTGGGCGCCAGCAGGCCATGTCGTTGCTTGGGATCAACTCTATCTCCCCGGACCCAAAGCACCAAAAGGCGTTCCGCTGGTCCCTCGTCACACGACACTGATGAATATCACACAAAACGGCCCAAATCTCAACGTCACCAACGGTGCTTCCACCTTTGGCTTTGATCTCCTACAGGGCAACGTCACCTGGAACCTCAACGGCACAGATCTCCTGCAACGCGGACTAGAGCTCTCCTTTTGTCGCGCCTTGACACAGAACGGTCTCGGAAGCGGCGGCGATTCCGTCCAGTGGGAGGAGGCGTGGGTTGGAACCATGGCGACGCACGTCCGCGATGTGACGTGGGAGACGTCTGGTGATCAGCTCACAGTACACTACCATGTTCGTGTCGCGCCGCAGGTTCTCGAGTGGGGTGTCGATGCCGACATCATCTACAACCTCACCGCGGGTTCTCCTATTCTCCACATCCGCGCCAGCGGTGACTTTCAAGGCGAAAATACACCAGAAGTCATCCCCCGCATCGGTCTCACGGCCATTCTGCCCGAGTCGTTTGACCAAGTCGCGTACTTTGGGCGCGGGTCCGGCGAGAACTACAAGGGTTCCAAGCAAGCCGCCCGCATGGGGACATACTCGTCCTCCGTGTCTGGTCTCTGGCAGTACTACGACTTTCCCCAGTAGAATGGGAACCGCGAGGACCTACGCTGGCTGTCCCTCACCGACGGCGAGCATACCATGCACATTCGGCGGACAGAGTCAGAGGAGGCGTTCAGTTTCACTGCGCGGCGGTTCATGCCGCATGAACTGAACGACGCGAGGCATCCGTATGAGCTGGAGGAATTGGATTTTACGGTGCTCCATCTCGATTATGACAATAATGGACTTGGGTCGGCGAGTGTGGGGCCAAGGCCATTTGAGAAGTATCGGTGCAACACAAAGGCTTTTGGCTTTGGGTTTGAGTTGCATTTGCAATAATCTAGGTTGAAATTTATATCTCCAAGATCTTGGTCACTGTCATTCGTACGAGCAAGGTACTACAAAAGCAGTGCATAGCTGGAGCTAGCAAGTGGATAGGGGTTCAATGTAAACAATGCCTGCGCAGCCCACACGGCTGGCTGGATTTCAAGGAAGCACATTGCCGCATCTCAATAAATTAATGATGATGTTCTCTTTTTTTATCCTCCAGTTGATCAATTACTATTACATACAGAGAACCTCGTGCATTCGGGTGGGCCTGCAACACAGCTATAGTGACATTATTCATCGAAAGACGGTACTCTCAGATTTGCAAAGACATCAAGTATTCTGCAGGGATCGTTGAACCCGCTTGGAAAATATCTTAAAAGAACTACGGGAGTAAATTTGAAGACGGGGCCACGTACGACTACCTACTCGGTACCTGGTAAGCATTTGGTGTCACGGCTTAGGGTAAGCATTCCACGCGCCAGTTTGGCACAGCCACCTCCGGGCGCGTAGCTTCTGTGCGATACCTGTCCTACCCACAGACCTCGCGATCTCACGACTGACGACGCCCACGACATTCACGACGACACGACTGCTCTTTCACGCTCGCCCGCGCATCGAAGCGCCGGATCAGCGACCACTCCCCCGTACAATGACCTGACCTTCTCACCACAATGGACGACTCGCCCGCCCCCAAGCTCGCCGAGCTCCTCCGGCACCCGGACGACCTCGACAAGATCCCGGCGCTCAAGATGGACTTTGCCCGAAAAAAGGGCGCTGTCGATGGCCAGCTTCGCAACGGCCTACGCGAGCAGCTCGAGCTCACACAATCGGGCATGAACGGGCTCGGTGACGGGCAGAAGACGGTGCAGGCCATCAAGGACGAGATGATGAAGATTGATCTCCTCTGCTCCGAGAGCCAGGAAATGATCAAGGACTTTGCGAGCATCAATCTCGTGTCGCAGGCGCACCGAAACTTTGGCGCCGTCGAGGCCATGCGGAAGAACCTCGAAACATTCAACGACCGGCTCAACGTCGTCGAGGCCATGCTGAGCGAGGACGACGAGGACAAGGAGAATATGCCGAACCTGCTGCCCTGCCACTACGAGCTCACACAGCTGCGCAACGTCCGAGACGATGCGATGGAGCAGATCAAGAGAGCGGACGATTCGAGCCTGGAGGCTACGCTGGAGGACTATTTCAAGCGGCTGGACGACACGATCGACTGGTTCGACGAGCATGTCGGCATGCTGGCGCTGAACCTCATCAACTTCGTCGTCAACGACAACAACGGTCTCGTTGTACGCTTCGCCGTCGTCATGGAAGCCGAGGAGAAGAGTGACCAGCGCGTACTGGCCCTGCAGGAGGCTCTCAAGGACCACAAGGAGATGGCCGTCCGGTTTCAGAGCATCACCGACGGCGCAAAGAAGGTGCGAGGGTACAAGGAAAAGTTCCTCGAGGCCATCCGGATCAGCGCCGAGTCCCAGTTCGACCAGGCGCGCGAGGATTTCCTCGAGGACCCCTCGCAGCTGGAGAAGTCCATGAAATGGTACTTTAACGATCTGAATGCCGTCAAGATCGGCATGACACCACTGACCCCCAAGAAATGGCGGGTCAGCAAGATGTACGCCGACATCTATCACAGGCTCATGCACGACTTTCTGGTCGGCATCGTGGATGACCCGGACACCAGCTCGGCGCACACTCTGGAGGTCATCGGCTTCCCGGAGAAATACTACAAGAAGATGGGCAAGCTAGGGTTCCGCGCCGAGGACCTGAAACCACACGTCATTGACAATCGCGAGGCAGAGCTGGTCCGCGACTTTAGGCAGCTCATCATCAAGTTCCTCGATGAGTGGATCGATCGCATCTTTGACCAGGAGCGACGCGACTTTGCCGATCGCAGTCTCAACGGACCAGAGGGCGGCTCCAACCTGGACCAGGACGAGTACGGGTATTTTCGCACAAAGAATCTCGCCCCGTTATGGCGCATGCTGCGCGAGCAGGTCGACACGGCCGTCAATTCGCAGCGCGCCGACGTCGTCGAGGGTGTCATTGATGCCATGCTCCTCCGCCTCCACGACAGGCAGCGGTCATGGCAGGAGATGCTCGAGACGGAAGCCGCGCGCTTCCAAGACGCCAACGAGACCGAGCTCGAAGGTTTCCAAGCACTGCAGGACTGGCTCGTGGCCACGGCCAACGATCAGATCGCCTGTATCGACGACAATGAGGAGGAGAACCGCCCTGCCTACCTCACCAGCTTCCGGCAATCGTTCGAGCCGCACGTCACGCCCGCCTATGCCGAGCGCGCCGCCACCGAGGTGGCCAACCTGCAAGGCGGCTACGTCGACCTGAGCACTTGGTGCATGACGCGCTTCGCCGTGCTCATCTTCGACGTGGACTTTCGGACGGTCATGCCCGACTTCTTCACGCCCAAGTGGTACACCTCCACCGCCATGAAGCAAATGGTGGTGACGTTTGAGGAGTACGTCAACGACTACCGCGCCGTGCTGCACCACTCGCTCGTCGACATCTTCATCGAGGCCCTCGCCGACGAGCTGCTGCTCCGGTACCTGGGCGCGGTGCGCAACAAGGGCGCCAAGTTCAGGCGCGTGGACCCCTTCCAGGACAAGCTCTTCAACGACATCTCGGTCGCCTTTGACTTCTTCAGCAACCTGCCTAGCCCCGACGTCGGATCCAACATTAAGCAAACGTGGCGCGTCACAGAGTCCTTTCTCCAGTTGCTGACCGCCGACAAGGATGGCGTGGCCGACGCCTTTCAAGACTTCAAGACGAAACATTGGGATCTGCAACTGAGCTGGGTGGAAGCCGTTTTGCGGAGCAGGGATGATTTCGAGCGAAGCATGCTCAACAGCGTCAAGGCCCGCGCGGCGCAGATCGACGTGCAAAGAGGTGGGCAGGAAACCATTATGAGCAGGGTCAAGTGATGCGGGCCCAGGGGCAACACCACCCCCGATTTTGTTTACATAGCGAAATGGAGACTTCACAAACACTATTCCGAGGTGTACTAGCAATGAATCATATCTTCCCAATTTCTGGCGTTCTAGGTACAGCATGAGATTATATACTACTTGCCTCGCGGCCTGCCATGCAGGCAAGGCAGGTCGCCTGTCATACACTGCTAAGGGAAAAATAGGAAAGAAACAAAGAAAGAGGGCAATGAATAAGAGAACGCTGCGCAATGCCATCTCCCTTTGAAGCTATCGAACAAAATGGCCCAAGTCTCTCGAGTCCGCGGTAAGAAAAGAAAGCAAAGGATCGTCGGTGTGTGGGGTGCTTATGCCTGAGAAGCGAGGTGGTTTGCCGCCTGGGACAGAGCGTGTTAGCATGGATTCGTGATTGAGTTCAGAGGACACAATAGGTCATACCTTCTCCAGGTTGTAGTCGAATTTCTCCAGCGCAGCCACTGCGTCCCCCCTGGGATAGCCGAGTCCCATGAGATCCTTCAGGATAGGGTCATCATGCTCACCGGCCTCCGTCAGCGCGCGACCAGGGCCAGCGGGCCTCTCGGGTGGTGCCAGCTCGTTCGTGCTGCTGTTTGTGTTGTTGGCGATTTGCGCGGGCTGGGCAGGAGGCGTGGTCGCTGCTGCTGTCGGCGAATCAAGCCCGGCAAAGATGGCGTCCCAGTCGTGTGTCTCGGCACCCTTTTGCATGTTCCCGTTCCCACTCGTCGGAGCAGGTCCTCCCGAGGTCGTGTTAGAGGAGATAAAGTCAAAGCTGCTTTCATTTCCAAAAGCAGTCGAATCACTCTTTGCCTGGCTTTGAGGTGGGCTGCTGTCGAACATGGGGTTGAAGTCATCGAGACCCGAGCGAGAGACATTGGCAAAGTCGTCATCTGCAGAGCCTTCCTTGGCATCCTCCAGACCCTCAAATTCATCGTCGTCATCAAATGCACCCTTGGCAGCGGGCACGGATGGCTGCGGCTGGGTTGCCGCAGCGCCAGCAGTGCCGAACATGTGATCGGCATCAGATTGGCTGGGTCCACTAGCTGGGAAGTTGCCGCCAGTGATTGTCGCGGGGGACGATGCTTGCTCGGGGCTAGACTGATTAGCACTGCTGGCCTATGTTTGCTGATAGATGCTCACCTCTTGCGCTCCGTGTTGGGCTCCTCCTGCTTCGTCTCTGGCAACGTCTGTTCGCCGAACTTTTGCGGGGGAGCAAAGTTGTCCTCAAATCCGCCCTTCTCACTCTCAGAGTCAGACTCGTCGTCATGCTCAAGCTCCGAGATAGGAGGGAACTCTGAGCCAAAGCCGGCCAGCTTGTTCTTGTTGCCATCAGGACTAGCCTTGTCCTGCGGCTTGTTGGAGGAGAATGCAGCAAAAGCACTGTCAAACTCCTCCTTTGCCTTGGCCTGGTCCTGATCCGCACTGCCGAAAGGATCCGACACACCCATGGGGTTTTCAGAGGCCTTGCTCTCCTCAGTCGGAGACGCTGGGTTGTGCTCTGTGGGGATCGGGGTCGCACTGGGCGTGTCTTTGTCGCCATTGTCGTCGCCTGGGAACGCGCCAGGGACGTCAACTGCGCTGGGAGTGTTACTGGATGCTTCCGGGAAAGGGGTCAGGCTCCCAGCCACCGATCCTTCGCCTCGAGATGCGGGAGGCGACACTTGGCGTGAGGAGGTGAGTGACTCGGAATGATCGGGCAAGGGCAGGAAGCTCGAGTTCATCTGGTGAGACTCGGGGGGCGCAGGAGGCTCAAAGGCCGAGGTTGCCTGGCGGCTCAGGACGGGCGAAGAAGCAGCAGGCGCTGGAGCCGAGCTAGCACTAGTAGTCGAGTTCCCAGTGTGCTGCTGCTTGAACGTCGTGGCAGGCGGAGGGGTGGCGCTGGACGCAGGGGCCTGCGAAGGGCCAAACACATCGTCAAAGCTAGTGTCGGTGTATGCTCTGGCAGGAGGCGAGGCAAAGGCACCCATGATGTCGGTGCTTGCTGTGCGCTTGAAGAAGGGGTTGTTGCCACTCGCGGTCGACAGTGCAGGACTGGCAACGCTGGCCTTGGGCGAAGCAGCGGAGCTTCCTGGAGCCTGACGTGGAGCTTCTTCAACGCCTCTGGACAAGTCATCGGCTTCAGCCTTGAGCTTGTTACGTTCGCCCTCGGTAGTCGACAGTTGTTTCTTGTTGATGGCAGCAAGACCCTTCTGCTGGCGGGCGTCCGACTTCAACTTGTCGATCTGAGGCTTGAGCTGGGCGATCTCAGCATTGACCACGCGGATGCGCTCCCTTAGCCTCGCGTTCTCCTGCTGATCAGCCTGCAGAGCGGCCGACACTTCCTGGTGCTGTGCTTGCGCATCCCGATAAGACCCGTCGAGTCGCATGCACTCTGACTGCAGCTTTTGGGTGTCTTCCCGTGACTTCTTGAGCTGCTCTTCCAAAAGGCGGGTCTGCTCGGCTTCCTTCTCGTAGAGAGTCCTCAACTGACTCAGTCGCTGCTCGAAGTTCTGCTTCTGGGAGTTGGTCTGGTTCAGCTCGGTCTGAGTCGTGGCTCTCTTGCCCTGCGTGTCCTGGGTTTGCTTTGCAAGTGAGCTGATCTGGTTCGACAGGTTTGCCAGTTCAGTGCTATCCCCTGTGATCTTCTTGCTCTCGTCGTCATCGTCGCCGCCCAGCAGGTCATCGCCGCCAATCGGTTGCGAAGTCGCGGAATTACCAGAAGGCTGATGTGTGAGACCCCGGCCAAAGGAGGAGTTTGGGATAAATGCAGGCGGGAAAGTGCTGTGGTTGGCGCCCGTAGTTGTAGTCCGGATGGGTGACGAAGGCCCTGCGGAGCCCGCACCGCCAGCGAAAGGATCGGCGTTGGATCCGTCAGTAGTCTGGGGGGCTGCCGGTGGGGGAGGACTGGAGGGACTCGACTGGAGGCCGAAGAGGTCGTCGAGGGCTGACTTTGGCGGCTGCGGCAGAGGCGCCACCGGCGGAGGGCTAAAAGCGGACGAGGGAGCGGTTTGAGGACGCTGTTGACGCAAGCTTGGTGGTACCAAGCTCGCAGGAAGGGTCGCAGGTAGCTGGTTGGTACGGTTACCACGTTGTTGTCTGATCAAAAACATGGCCACCGCGAACTCGTCACGATTCAGGTGTCCGGAAGATCTGATATCCGAAAGATCCCAGATCTGGGCTAATGCTTCCTCGCCAAGGTTGGACTGACTGAAGAAAGGCACTGCCTCCTCTCCAGTGATGTACCCCTTGTTTCCTTTGTCCAGATCCGCAAAGATCTGGTCGAACTTGACCTTATCTCCTTGGGTCACCAACCAATCTCCTCCTGTTGTTTGCGCGGTGATGGGCGGTCGGCCGAGCGGGCTGCTAGCCCTGGGCTGGGCATGGCCGCTCATCTGACGTGGAATAGCAGAGATTCCAGTGGTTGTCGGTGACTGTCTGGGCGCTGCGGTAGCGGGCCCGCGGCGCGTGGCAGCTTCGTACAGTGGCGCAGGAAGGACGTTTGGCAGAGCACGGAGCGCGCCCGTCTTCATCGAGGTCAGGAGATGCATGGCAATGACAAATTCGGTCTGCACCAGGGCTCCGCGTTGCTCCGTGTCCGCCAGCATCCAGATCCTGCCCAGGACCTCGTTAGGCAGACCGCTCTTCTCGAAAATCTGCTTGGCTTGGTCCCCCGCCAGTGTACCGTTCACCAGCGGCTGGCGCTCGAACACGCTTCCATATTGATAGACCTTCTCGGGGGTCAACGGCGGAATGCGGATGGCGCCACCGCTTGTCTGTGCCTGGATGGGAGCAGCGGGCGCGGTGGGCGAGCCCATGGGGGGGTTTGTGTCGATGCCATCGAAGCGCGGAAGAGGACCTTGTTGAAATGCACCTTCTGTGGTCGGCTCGCGACCAGCTTGGGCGTGGCCGATCAATCTTAGCACGATGCCGAAGCCCGCTGGCGTCAAGAATCCGCGGTTCTCTTTGTCGGCAATCTGCCAGATCTACAACACGATTAGCTCGCGCCGGCGAAACCAAATCGCACTACCCACCTCGCCAAGGATGCGAGAATCAAGCCTAGTCTTCTCGAAGAATTTGACGGCAACTTCGCCCGTGACGACGCCTGCATTACCAGTATCTGCTTGTCGGAATAGCTGCCCATAGAGCCGTTTCTCGTCGGGCGTGAGGTTAAGGTGTGCCGCGACTATCGTCTGTCAGAAACCGCTCCTCTATGATTCGTAGTTATACTCACGCGACTCGACACCCTGCTCTGTCGCCATGGTGGCCGAGAGGCTTGGGACAGGTCAGACAGGTTGGATATTCGTGCCTAGTGGTATCGGATGCTCGGAGCCTGTGCAGGCAGTTTATGTGACGATACGTCCGCACGCTAAAGCTGTGGCGTGGCGCGACAGTCCGGATAGAGGTGACGCAAGTTGCCAGCTCGTAGTCGATCAGTTATCAGCACCTGTCGGGCGGCAAGTCAGGTTGTTGGAGGTGGATGAGGCGGCTCAGGATCACGCATCAGGTTGGGAGGCTGGGCGGGCTGGTGGTTGGCTGGTGGCAGCCTGCGGGGTACTTGTGGTTGGGTGTAGCTGCCTCCAAATTCGGGGTACCCAACAAGACAGACGCGTTGGCATTACGACCGTCAATCTCCACATCACAATGTTGCTGGCATTGAGACGTGAAAACCCCCAAGCTTGGCAGAGTATGACTCTGAGTAGCAGAGGGGGAAAAAACTGTTTGTTGACACGTACATGAATATACGTCTGACCTAAGATAAATCAGGCGCAACCGTTTCATTCACATAGCGCGTGAAGTGATCGTACGGTACTACGCATGTAGGTAAGCAGGACAGGTGAGGTCGCCAGCTAGACGTCGTGACCCTTGGCACTTTCGTGCGGCACAGTAACATTGCAACCTTGCGCATGGACGCAGACGTTTCCTCCTTCTCTTCAACCACCGTGACTGAACCCCCCGAGCGGAAGCCCGCACTGCCATCTGCGAAAAAATCATCACCCGGGACCGGGCATCGTGGAGGCAACTGTCCCCTGTCATGACCATCGCCGACGACGATACCAAGGACTACTGTACCAACCGCTGGCGTGGTCAGAGTGTGCAGGCTTGATGCGAGCAATGCCCGGGACATCATGCTATCAGCTCCTGTTCGCTAACTACGCGATTGTCGGCGGTGGGCTTGCCCTCCTCGTAGCAAAGAGCCTTGGAGGTAGGCTTCCTCTGGTTCTGCCCAGCTAAGTTAGAAGTTCGATCTGGGCTAGCTCATTGATTAAGCCCAAAAAGGCCCTACTTAATGTCGTAGGAATAAGTAGATGAAGAGCATTTGCACTTGAACACAGAGAAATAACAGGCTTGCGCAGTATTGACGGGTCACAATGGATGCAGAGCTCTGTGTTTCATGAGTTCCAGAATCGCAAAATCTAAACTGTATCTGCGTATCATGGAGTTGACTGTCTAAAAAGTGCGATGCCTCGCTATTAGTGCAGATTTTTGTACCTGATCAAGGAAATTGCCCATGATACTCCGTAGCTTCCATGGAAATGCGAAAGGCTGTCGAAAAGCGAAGGACACCTCTGCTGACGCGTTCTGCATGACAGCCTCTCTGGTCCGGGTCTCGAGGATCTGCTGCACGCTGGGATCAATTCCGAGAGCTACAATTGTGACCAGAGCTAGCGCGGACATGATAATGTTTCGTCTCCCAGAGCTCGGGGAGCACGAAGGCTCCCCAGGATTCATGGCTGCACTGGTCAATGAGGTCGATGTGGCTGAGACGCTGCGGCCTCGTGAAGTGCCGCCATTTGAGCTGGGTGATACACGAGACGACGGGGACCATGAGCGATGTTTTGGTGACGGTGGAGATGATGGGCAGGAGGGTGTTCGGCTCGATGGCCAAGGTCCAGGAGGCGCGCGATGCCTGGTCGACCAAGGCGAGAAACAAGACGAGGAGGCCACGGGCGACGATGCTCACGCAGGAGGCTCCGATCTTCCACCGCCACCACGGCCACCATTCCTGAGGCTTCGTGGTCCGCTCTGGCGAGCTGTCTGTGCTTTCATGGTCCCCCAGGAGGGACGCGGCAGCACCACTCTGACTCCGGCGGTCGACGCGAGGAGTTGAAGGGACTGGGTTGCAGAGAAACCTCTGCGGCGCAGGGGAGGCAGTCGAGTACAGGCGGTAGCGGGTGGGTCGTGGCGATTGTCTCAAGACACGATTGAACGGCGAAGGCTTAGGTTAGAGTAGAGGCCTTCTAAGCAAGTACATGTCCTCATATTTATGTGGCGGGTTTCTGCGGCTCTGCGGTGGTTACGGAGTACTACTGTAGTTGTAACTTATCCGAACATGGATGCACATATGTAGTACGTACTTGGACGCAATCGGACAGCAAAACCTACAAAGTCACATCAGCCCACGTAGCTCCCTGTGCTCGGTTTAAGAACACTTGCCAACAACCCGTAAGGCAGTCGCTGAACGCGAGCAGAGAAAAACTTACTTGACGAAGCTTCTATATGGCTCAAGATCTCGCCACACTATATAAGTATGAGTCCTTGAAAGGCGAAGACGCCGGAATTCGGAAGATGCGGATAAGGAGATGTTGGGTTAGTCGTTGAAGCGAGGCTGTATCTGAGTGTTCTGCGAGCCGTTGAGATGGTTGATTTCTTGTGTTCACCGCAGGAGTGTCTTGTGCCAGTACAGACGATTACGGGTCTTATAATAGACTGCTACTACGACAGCACCAAAGCCACCTAATAAAATCGCCGTGTTCCATGACTTCACTTTGAGGCTATTGAACACAGATGCGCGGTTGGCCCGTCGTTACATGGCCCAATGCTGGTTGCTGCGATCTGTCCTTTTATTGCTCCTAGCTGAGGCATTGGACAGGCCAAGGCTACCGGCGCTGTATGTAAAACTCATTGTGCAGTTAGTATGGAGTACATATCATCTGCATCTGAGGGGATTTATAACGTCATTTTCGATCATCTGCAGGCCGTCCTACCTATGTGCACCAACTAGATTAGTTTAAAAAGGTGCGTGGGCAATGCCTCACTGACATCGGTGCCAGTCTCCGTGGGTCTACACATGTCCGCGTCCACATCCCCAGCCCCGTAAGTGAAGCATTCCGGGTGGTCAAACCGTGACTCGCCTCAACCTCCGTACGTTGAATTCCTCATTTTGGACATGATAGAAACAGCCAGCTTGCACCAATTTGCTCGCGGCCGGTCTTGAGTGTCGGATCGCAACCGATCTCCTTCAGAAATGGCGGAACCGGGCCGCCATGAGGTCGCCGAACTTCAAGCTCCACACTGTAAGCCGCTTGTTGCGTCACTTGCCACACCCCTCCCTTATGCCTCGAAGATGGCAGGTGGCATTCGTGATGAATTATCGTCACCTCGGAACCGTCGCCTCGGATTCAATCAATGTTCCGGGCTCCCTGTCCTCATGAATTCCCATCTTAGTCTGGCGAAAAAAACCGCCTAGAAGTGGCCTTCTGCTGGCTAGTTCGCAAGGTGCCGCCTGGGTGTATTTCCCACTACTAGCGTGCCGCCAGCCAACCACAATCTTTGTCTTGGCAGCTGTGGGCGCAATGTGACCACCCACGCAGCAAGGACCCATCTGCACTCCGAAGGGGGCCTTTGCGTTTGACGGTCGTCGCCCCTCGCCGTTATCAGGTGATTCAGAAAGCCGCGCAAAAGCAGTCTGAATCCTCCCCGCCTTGTTCTAACGGTCAACAATCATCTCGACTCGCAAGCCGGCACCATTCTCCCACGACGCCCACCCCAAACAATTGTTACCATGTCCAACACGGTGACAATGTCCAGCATGACGGCCGTTGATGTCGCTTCGAAACCAACTGCTTTTGGTGCTCGATCCCGTGAAGTCGGTCGGTTTGATCGATTGGTGCAAGCTCTCAAGGACGCTCTTGGCCCCTCGTCGGGTCTGACCTCGGACGATATCGATGTAAACTACTTGTCGGACCTAATGCGAGATTATGACAGCTCCGATCGTGAGTGGTCTAGGTATGCCTTTGGCGATTCCAGCCGCGGCTACACTAGGAACCTTGTTGACGAAGGAAACGGGAAAAGCAACCTGGTAGGCATTCTGCTTCGCTTGGATATGATCCACAAGGTCAATGACTAACCCAAGACGCCATAGCTTGTTCTCGTATGGTCCCCGGGTAAGGGCAGCCCAATCCATGATCATGGCAATGCTCATTGCCTCATGAAAATCTTGCGCGGCAACCTCACGGAGACTCGGTACGAGTTTCCAGAAGTTGCCCAGGGTGATGGCCCAATGAAGGTCATCACCAAGAAGACATACAAGGAGAACCAAGTGGCGTATATGGCAGACGAACTCGGCCTCCATCGCGTGACCAACGAAGGTAGCGACTTCGCTGTCTCTCTTCATTGTAAGCATCTGGTAACCCGATATACTCGTATCTAGGGCTGACGTCTGCAGTGTACACGCCTCCGAATGTGGCTAGAGGCGGATGTCACATCTTCGACGAGAAGACCGGTCGACGAAGCCATGTTGCGAGCTGCCAGTATTTCTCGGCGTATGGTCGTCTGTTGAAGGAATCTCTTTGAAGGCCCTGGGCACCTCATGATGAGTGTAATGACAGCGTTTGTCATTTTGTTTCTTGGGACCAAATCTGCACTCCAGGCGAGGAGGAAATGGCCATGTTTGTCGGTCGGCCTGCGAACCCCGAGGGCCGCACCGCAAAGGGGGGTTATACAAGTAGTCCTGATTAGACCAGCATAATTTGAAGCGTTGCTTTGCGAACAATGGTGCGAGTCTTTAACGAGAATGAGAAGATGTAATTAGGTGGGAAAAGAGGAGGTGACGAGTGGTGGTGCTGTTCTTTCACTTCATCCTGTAGCTCTTGCCTCAATTGTTCCGACAGCCGCGCTCTCGATTGCGTGATCGCGGCATTGCCTCTCTGCGTCGGCCAGGTTGTGGCTGCGCGGGCTGTCTGGCGTCAGATAAACCATGATGAGTCATCAGCTGTGAACTCTAAGCAACTGCAGTTCTGGCATGAATACTTCTGAATTGGTGCTTTTCCATTTCATTAATTAGATAGTTGTTGAGCAGCTATGCTGGCGAAAACAACAAGTCTGTGGTTCAATTATTCAGGCACCTCTTGAGCGATAGTTCCGGGTTGCATCCATGCCCTTCTCTCTGGTGTGCGCTGCTTCATCATCGACTGTCAGGCACAACGTCAACTGCAACCCAGGTGTACCGTGTAATAAGAAACGCCAATCCATCACAGTACTGGATATCCCCATTGACAGATTCTTTCATAATCAGGACCCGGTCTCATTACCCGAGGCGGCCGTTCGTCGTGACGTCGCTTTGTTCAGTGGAAGGCCCTGTACACATTAGCGCGACTCAGTTATTAGGCCCTGAAAATACCCCCGGGTCGTGTTGGCGCTTCTGATCTACAAACGCGTCACCACAACCGCGTCTGAGCTGATACAATTGTGAGCCAATTTTAACCTTCGACTGGGATACGCTCAGCAGGATCAATCGCTTCGGCTGTGACGCGAACTCGGTGTTGCTACTTCGGCATCACTCTCCAAACTCAACTGGATGTCCTGTGCTTAATCCTTTGATGAAACTTATTAACCAATACCGCACTCAGCATGTCTCAACTTCGAAAGAGGAGCTGGCGCGACGTGGTCGACCTCACCGGCGAGGACAGTGACCACGAGCCCCCCTCACAGGCAAGAAGACTTTACTACGCGACATCCACATCGACCCCGACGCCTACACAAACCTTCGAGCCGGACTCTGTGGACTTGACTCAGGAAGATGATGGACCAATTAGAGAGCTGTACGGGACATTGGGTACATTTCTCCTTAAATCTAAATACTCAGTGAATCTCTTTGCTGATGAAGACTAGACGGAAAGATCGTTGGTATAAGATATTATAACGGTCGCGTGTCTCCGGGCGAACTTATTTCGTGCATCAGAGAACCACACAACAAGGTACGGCCAGGGCTCACGTATTAACACGTATCTGCTGACCAATGTGCAGTTCGACAGCAACGCAATTCGCATTGACAATGTGATGGGACAGCAAGTTGGTCATCTACCCAGGAAGTTAGTGACGAAGCTCGCTCCCTATGTCGTAGGTCCGACGAAGACTGGATCTCACTGGGCTTGTCTGACGTGCGTAGGACCGCGGTGACTTGGTGATAGAGGGTCAGCTGACAGGCGAGAAGGAGTTCTACGACTGTCCAGTCAAGCTCTCCTTCTATGGACCAAGTGATGCCACACAAAGAGCCACCATCGAAGCCAATTTGAAGAAGGACAATCTCGTGAAAGCAACACAGCTCAAGCAGACTAAGAAGGATGCTGAAGCTCGGAGGCGCATTCAAGATTTGCGGAACGGAGGGTCAACGGCTGGCGTAGGGGAAGCCGTCGTCATCGAGGACGAGCCAACTGTTACACTTGAGAGCCTACTCAGCAACAGCGAGGCCGTGAACTTTAGGGCAGATAAGGATGCGATCAAAACCTTGGCTCTTAGCGAGCAACAGCTCGCACAGATGCCTCAGGCGGCACAGCCTCCTCAGCTGTCCGCGACATTACTACCATACCAACTGCAAGCGCTGGCGTGGATGATGGCAAAGGAGCATCCTTCGCTTCCCAATACCGACAAGGATGATGCAGTGCAGCTCTGGAGACGGCACCCGAACAAGACTTTGTATTGGAACATTGCGACCGACTTCTACACGAAAACGCCACCACAGCTCCTTTCTGGCGGTATACTTGCCGATGACATGGGTCTCGGCAAAACTCTCGAGACGATCAGCCTTATTCTTACAGGAGGTCCAGGCTCGACACTGATTGTCGCCCCTGTGAGTGTGATGAGCAACTGGGAGCAGCAAATACAGAGGCATGTCCGTCAGGAGAACCAACCTTCGACTATAATCTACCACGGCGGCAAGAAGCTAACCGCCGAGGAACTGTTGGAATATGACGTTGTCATCACAAGCTATGGGAAGCTCACGTCAGACAGTATCTTGACATCAGACAAGGTGGAGTGGCGGCGCGTGGTTCTCGATGAAGGCCACACGATTCGAAACTCGAAGACAAAGGTGGCCATGGCCGCTTGCAAACTTCAGGCCAAGTCACGCTGGGTCCTCACGGGCACACCAATCATCAACCACGTGAAGGATCTTCAATCTTTGGTCAGGTTCCTTGGCATTAGGGGTGGCATCGAGCAACCACACATCTTCAACAGCGTGATAACACGCCGGCTGGGAGACAGTGACCGTGTAGGCGAGGCGCTCCTGCAGAACCTCATGCAGGACTTATGCTTAAGGCGCCGAAAGGACATGAAGTTTGTCGACCTCAAGCTACCTGAGAAGAAGGAGTTTGTACAGCGCATTCCATTTTACCCAGAGGAGAAGCAGAAGTACGATGCGCTACTAGCAGAAGCCAAAGGCGCTTTGGAGCAGTTTCAAGCCAGGAAGAGTGTCCAGACAGGTGGTCGCTTCACCAATGTGCTTGAACGTCTATTGCGACTCCGCCAAGTGTACGCTTTTCCTGGCAACTGTATAATTTTACTTGCTTGATCCGGCAGTGGACTAACTTCTCTAATAGTTGCAACCATTGGACCCTGTGCAAGTCTCGCGTGGAGGATCTTATGCGTCTGCTGGAAGACGAGGACGTTGTCGAACTGACGCCGAAGAACACTGCACTGCTCCAAGAAGCTCTCAGACTCTACATTGAGTCGCAAGAAGACTGCGCCATCTGCTACGATACTCCTGTTGCACCAGTCATCACACACTGCAAGCACGTCTTCTGCCGCGGATGCATAACGCGCGCAATTCAGATCCAACACAAGTGCCCCATGTGTCGCAACCAGCTAGAAGAAGATCACCTCCTCGAACCGGCCCCGGAAGAAGGCGAGGCCGATGTCAACTTCGACGGCGAGACGCAGAGCTCCAAGACTGAAGCAATCACCCAGATCATCAAGGCGGTTACGAACAAGCGCGGTTCCAAAGCCATCGTCTTCTCACAGTGGACGAGCTTCCTGACCGTCGTGCAAGCCCAGCTTGAAGCAAAGGGGATCAAGTTCACCAGGATTGATGGTAGCATGAACGTTGCCAAACGCGATCAAGCCATCGCTGCGCTAGACAACGACGACGAGACACGAGTCATGCTCGCAAGTCTGTCAGTCTGCAGCGTGGGACTAAACCTGGTGTCTGCGGATACTGTTATTCTTTCTGATAGCTGTGAGGTCCCTCCCTTTCCATCTGACATTCCCACATTCACTAACACAACTAGGGTGGGCGCCTGCAATCGAGGACCAGGCTATTGACCGCGTGCATCGACTAGGGCAAACGCGCGAGACGACAGTCTTCCGTCTTGTGATGGAAGGATCGGTGGAGGACCGAGTACTGGACATTCAGCGCGACAAGAGGGAGATTGTCAGCAAGGCTTTCCATGAGAAAGGAGAGAACAAGAAGGCTAAGGAGACGCGCCTGGCTGACCTGCAGAAACTCCTGAGTTGAGCACGCCACTCGTGTGCTCCATGTAATATCATCGTCAAACGGCGTCGGCGTATCCGACCTTGGTTGTGCTGTGGATTATTCGGGGGCGCGAGGGCTTAATAAGGGTGTTAGGAACGAACATAGCAAGCACGGCATGCCAAGGGCATAGAGCTGGAGCGAAGTACTTATATTTTTTTACTTCTTCGTTTAAATTTTGAAAGATTTTTTTTGTTTCAATGGGGGGGAACCCATATCTATGAGCCTACTGCAACCATTTTGCGTAAGCCCACCGGAGTCTGTTCAATGCCTTGGCCTGCACGTCGATACCCTTCATCTTCTCAAGGTCTGATAGATCCTCAAGAAAGTCCCGTCTGATGTCATGTGGCATGAGTTTACCGGCAAGGCTCCTCAGCACATGCACTTCGCACAGCAAGAGGCCGTGATCCTTGTAAGACAAGATGTTGCTGTTCTCCGTGGGCCGGGCTTCGGACAATACGCGGTCAATGTTGCGCATAACCCGGACGGCTCGCGTAGATTTCTTGGTTTTGCGTTGGCCTGAGCGGCTTCCAAAGACGTTGCGCAGATATTGGAAGACTCCAATCGAGACGAGAACACCTGGTGTAAGCCCCACGAAGCCAAAGACCAGCTCTTGACTCTTCAGCAAAGCGTCGATGCCAGTCATTGCGACCTCCAGGTCGACTTTAGTCTTCTGTACTTGGATCAGCAGCGAGCGAACCAGGTCACCGCGCACAGCACCCATGAAGGGGCTCCTGAGATCCTGCTCGAAAGCCTTCAGCACGGGCGTTACATCTCCCTGGGCAACCTTTGTCCGAATCGCTGAAATTTGCTCTTGGGTGAGTGATGACGTGTTGACATCAGCAAAGTGAGGTTTATCAGTGGCAAAGTCCACTACCATCCTCTCCAAGCTCTCACGATCAGCCCTAAGGCTGTCTCGGCTCATGATGGCGATCTCGCTGCTCTTGTCGTGGCGGATTGTCTGGATGACCTTTGTCGTCGGCTCTACAACCCAATTGAACCAAAAGTCACGGACGGTCACGCCAAAGTCGGCTATCCAGTTCAAGATCTCAGCTTTGCGATTGACGAGAATCCGGAGGATCGTAGTTGAAGAGACCATGGCAGCAACGCCAGGAAGCCAGTATCGGACAAGGGGCGAAGGACGGCCGCTGTGTTTGACCAGCAATGACATCTGTCGTTGGTGCTGCGGCAGAACTTGATCGATGATATGCAGCAGACGCCGACCTAGGACGGCTGGGCGCCTGGGCTCGTTGGCGTCTTCGGCATGGATCGACAGTTCCGTGTCGCTTTCCACGCCGAGGAACACCTTTTCCTCAAAGTCGGTAATGCTCGTGCCTGTATTGGAGACCTCCTTAAGCACCATATCCAGCAGGGCCACACTACGCTCCACCGTTCCCTTGAGGTCATTGGCGTCAAAGACGTTGATCTTGTCGTCGTCCTGGCTAAACTGCAAGCCCTCGGACATGAGCACACCCAGACCGCAGGCGGTTATTTCGCGCAACTTCTTCAACTGAGCCTGCTTGCGCCTCGCTTCAGTTCGACAGAAGGCGACAGGCGACAGGGCTTTGCGCTGGATGTTAGAGAAGGAACGCTCGCGGATGCTGTCGCTGACGATGCCGTAGAATTGCCTCCATTGTTGGGTCAGGCCCTCATGCGCTGAGTTGATAAGATGTCCTGCCGAATCGGTAGCAGATGCTGTCCGTATCCTGGCCATGCTCTCATGGTAGATGTCCATTGACCATGCACCGAAGCGCCAAGGTGATGTCTGGATTGCGTACAGACTGCTGTATGTATATGAGTTGAGCACATCGTCCCAGTACCAAATATCGTCGTTCAAGGGAATGATCCGATCCAGCAACGTGTTGAGAACCACTCCATGCAGCTGGACAGCTGCCTTGCTCACAAGAAGCCACTCGACCTCATCCTCATATAAGCTTTTAGAAGTGACGTAGTCTCGAGGCTTGCCAACTTCAGGGATCTCGGATTCGAGCAGCAATTCCCGGATATGGGTTGCGCTGAGAAGTGGGCGAGACGAGTTTGTCGTGCTGAGCGATTGAGAAATCAGCAACAGCCTGTCCAGGCGTCGCGCTGCCGCACGGTCTGTTATCGCAAACCCATGCTGGGTATGCTCCTCGGAATTTGAGCTTTCTGCCTCGGACGGTTCTTCGGATAGGACGGGAAAGCGATCCAAGTATGCGTCTAGACGGCGAACCTGGCTATAGATGAGTGTCAGCGTGTGTTTGTATGCCTGGCCCAATGACATCAGGGACCATGATCAGCAGAACTTACTCCGTGACGAGAGACATGGCATCTGGAGATGGGCCGACTCGGGACAACAAGAACCGGGCGAACGATGGGACCAGAAACCGGACTGAATGTTCCCGGGGTACTGTCGACTGCTTCGCACCGGATTGCTGACGCGGAGGGATAGCGAGGTCAGGCGGCAAGCTGATAAGTCGACAGATGGCCCTGACAATGGCACCACGCCCTCATCAAACTTCGAAAAAAGTCGGATGAGCTCGGGTGGAGATTTGCCGGCGTCCAGATCACACCTGCAGCTGCTGGACTGTGCTACGATTTGACAAGATGGGCTGTTGGATGGTGGGGAGGAAGCGCAGCAATCAACAAAACAAAGAATTTAGCTGGGAAACCGAAATGACGTTTACGGATGTTGTTTAGCGTGACGAACCGTGTTCCTCTGTGTGGATCTCACTAAAGTGAAGATGGCAAATCATTGAGATCGAGCTCTCAGCTTTCTCGATCGGCGTTCGGAAGACTGTGGCTTGTCTGGCCTCGGGTGTGCCATGTGGCGGTGCACCCACCGTTAAGGTAGGTGGTTGGTGCCGACAGTGATACGAATACGACGGGTCGGCAACTGCGCAGCGCCCGGCTGCACAACTTTCCGAGCGATGGAAATCTGATCATGGGATCTGGGCTTGCATATTTCGTACACAGCACTGGCTGGCGCTAGTACCGATCGGTTGCCGTTCAACATATCAGGCCATGTCTCATTTGACGGTCCCGCCAAGCAGGGGTCGCGTCCCCATAATCTTTTTTGCCGCCCCTTCTCCTGATCATTGAAAGATGTTAAGTTGATAAAATAAGTCTTCGCGTCGCTACCTTTCCTCCACTTCCCTCACACAACAGTGGTATTGGGTCCGACAGCACTTCCTTCGCTAGGACTTTTTCCTCTTCCCTTCGTTGTATCTTGCTGCCGTCCCAGCCATGGATTTCGTGTGAGTAACCGCGTCGACGGCGCCTTTGTCCATCCCGCAATGCTAACTTGCGCCTTTGCAGCAACGCCACGGCCAGTACTTTCAACCAGACTCAGGACTACTTCGGTGTCCTTGAGGAGGTGTCCAAGTACAATGTCCACCTCAACTATTTCGAGAAGCTTTGGGCTGTATGTTCCCTCCGACTCGTCCGATCGACTACGAATAGATACTGATGGTATTGGCAGGCTTGGTACATGTACATGCAGAACGACACGTTGGCGACCGGTATCATGAGCTTCTTGATGCACGAGATCGTCTACTTTGGCCGCTGCATCCCCTTCATGATCATGGACAAGATCCCCTACTTCCACCAGTACAAGATCCAGCCCCAGAAGATGCCCACTCTGAAGGAGCAGTGGGACTGCGCTGCCATCGTCCTCATCAGCCACTTCACCGCCGAGCTTCCTCAGATCTGGTTCTTTCACCCCATCGCGACCTACTTCGGAATTGACTACGGTGTACCTTTCCCATCGCTCCTCAAGATGGCCGTCACGATCAGCGTTCTCTTCGTCATGGAGGATACCTGGCACTACTGGTTCCACCGCTGCCTGCACTACGGTCCCCTGTACAAGGCAATCCACAAGATGCATCACACCTACTCTGCTCCTTTCGGTCTCGCCGCCGAGTACGCATCGCCCATCGAGACCATGCTTCTCGGTCTCGGAGTCGTTGGGTCCCCCGTCCTGTACCTCAAGATCACCGGCGATCTACACCTCTTGACCATGTACGTTTGGATCACGCTCCGTTTGTTCCAGGCTATCGATGCGCACTCGGGCTACGACTTCCCCTGGAGCTTGCGCCATTTCCTCCCTGTCTGGGCTGGCGCCGACCACCACGATGAGCATCACGAGAGGTTCATTGGCAACTACGCCTCCAGCTTCCGCTGGTGGGACTACATGCTGGACACCGAGGCTGGTCCTGAGGCACACAGGAAGCGTCGCGAGAAGAAGCTCGCCAAGCTCAGGTCTCAGAAGGCCCAGTAAATGCTTGGTCGGACTGCCGCGGCGTTGCCGACAGATAAAGATGAGAGCAAATCGCTACTGATGAGAAGCACGCTCACTCGTAAAGAAGGATAGACCTGCGGGTAATCAGACCTGCTCAGCAAATGCAGCATGGGTGGCGTTAGGTGTAGCGTGGAAACCTGCCGGTTGTAAATACGCGGGTACTATCATGGGAACTATACATTTTAATTAATACTCAAATCCTTCCTCGAAACACTCCGCACTGGCGCCCTAGCTGGGCCCTTTTGTGTGAGAGATGACGCCCACCGGGACCGCAACTACGTACACTCCTGCGTAGTATCAGTGGTCAGCCCATCCCAACGCGCCTCATTCATTTCTTCGGGATACAGCAGTCCCCTGCCGATGTTGTCGCCTTGTCCGCGACGTCCCTGATCTCGCAGCTGGGGGGCTCGGGGGCCAGCTCTCCAAGCTCGGCAGCAATGGCGTCACACTTGGTAGCGAGGTCCAAGTCTTTGTCTGACAGACCTTTGGGGTTATGGGTTGTCCATCTGATAAACGTCGTGTTGTACACCTGTTGGTCGTCAGCGGACTTGTGTACGGGACCGGAACCGTGGTCCTTACGTTGGACCACTCGGGGTGGTGGTTTTTGATCTTGCACTGTAGCGAAACCGCAGTCATAAAATCCTACCGGATTTCAGCTTTGCCAAAGGCAATTAGTCGGATGTTCATTAACATACCCACGTCTTTGAAAACGTCTTGAACTTGAAGCTCCTCTCCAATGCCTCGCCTTCCTTTGCGAGCGTCCAATGTTTTGATAGTAAGGCATTGAGAGCAGGCGTTGCGGTAGCCTCATTTGTGCCATCGGAGAAGCGAGCCTTGGTGGCCATTGTGCGTCGCGCAATACGTCCAAGTATGGGCTTCCTTGTTTGCACAAAGGATCGAAAGATCACCGGTGGCATCTTGTGAGTTGTCAAGGGTAAAAGCGCTCCTTGAATATCTGTACGGTGGGGGAATTTGTATGTGGTGGTGCTGGGATCCCGATCGCGAACAACTGTTAATAATGCTATCGTGACTCTGCCAACCAAGAGTATAAACTATGCGCAATGCATAAGTTCGAAACTGCTGCCATTATTATCCATATTCCGTTGCTTGTTTTCTATCACAGTACGTTTTCTTGTCTGGGATGACCGACACGTCAGAGTCCCGGGTAGTCAGACTCAGACGGGTGACATCGGACGCGCCGTATCAATCCCGATCCGGCGTGTCCCAAGAGGATTGCCAGTGATATGCGCGATTTCACTTGGGATCAGTTCATCATACATTTCCTTGTATCACTGTACAAGAATGCGGGCTTATACGGTGGTCGGTGGTTAAGCAACGTCAGAACGATAGCCGTTGCGCTACTCGAATGTGCGCACGGGCTTCGAGGGGCTGGGACCTCGGCATGCGCATGGCCTCGATCGCTGTCTCCAAGAGTTATTAATCACACATGACAGGGATTGCAAAGATCCAATTTGCTTTCTGGGAGTCCGGGACAGTTGGAAGTTCTGTCACCTGTGAACAATGCTGCCATCGGCCCAACCAGTTTGAATGGCTCCTGCCTTGCATCCATCGTAGCCGCGACAGCCGCGTCACAAGGCGCGCGCACGGATAACTAATAGACCCGGAGGCTCTGTCCAGGCGACAACACTATCAAATTCCAGCTCCCACGAGCTTGCAGATTGGTTCGAACATCGCGGCATTGTTTGTTTGCATCCCTCAAATAAGGACCTTTGGCAAATGCACGATTTCTCTGCTCAGATAAGCGCAAGGAGGGCTGCCGCACATGTATGTACGTGACAACGATAGAAAGCTAAACTCCGTTTCGGAAAGTCCACGACCATCTATTACATAAGCCCATCCTCCACCCACGCGGTAGCTGCATCTCACTTTCATCAGTCATCCTCGCCAGCCTCTCTCTCTCTCGCAATTGCTGAGTAAGATCGCCCATCCCCGGCCATCAAGCTCCCATCATGTCTTCGAACACGGGTACACCTCACAACGGTCAAGGTACGTTCATTTCATTGCGCTCTTCGTCGTCGCCATATCTACGCGACTGGCCTGGTACCCTTCATGTCCCTATCCGACACTCCAATACTCAATCTGTCCATGTCAACTCACCAGCCGCCTTACACGGTCGCTGCATGGGCTTTCTCTCGCTCACCGCGAACCCATTGTTGTAATGCTCTCTTCCACGCTCGCCAATTGACATATCCATTCCGCCCCTCGGCCTTGAGAGCAGAAATCCGACTTCCTGACCGTCGCGCATAAAGCTAACATGACGGCCTCCAGAACACGATCAGCAGCTGCACGCCCAAGTCGAGCTCCTCCGCGCCGAGAACGAACAGCGTCAAGGCACAGCGGATGACTCGCACCACAGCGAGCATTCAAAGCAAGAGACTGCCTCTCCCCAGGAAACATCGTCGAATGGGTTCGACCCCACTGCCGCTGCTGCCCACGACGTCAAACGCGCTCTGAACCGTCCGGGAGCTGAGCACCAGTACATCCACCCGGACCTACGCGGCCAAGAAGAAGCGCAAGCCCAGGCCCCAACTGCCAACATGGAGTCTATGCATCCAAGGAGCGAGCCACCGCAGCAGGAGACGACGGTGCAACACCAGCCGCAACCACAGCAACAACCACAGCAGCAGCAGCACCCTCAGCCTCACCCGCAGCCCCATCAACAGCAGCAGCCACAGCAGGATCAACAACTACACGGCCAGCCCGATCAGCATATGCAGCAACAGCTTCCGCCGCGACAGATAGCCGACCAGGGTCTACAGGCGGCAGCTGGGCCTAACATTGCGCCGGCCCCTCCGGCTGACGATCCAGAGGCCATGCAGCGCTGGCATGACGGACGATCACGGCCGAACCGGGAGCTATCGCAAACCAAGCGCGCGGCACAGAATCGCGCAGCACAGGTAGGTTCTACTACGTATTGAACACTCCGTCACATGGCTAACCGTCGAAGCGAGCATTCCGCGCAAGGAAAGAAACCATGATCAAGCGATTGGAGCAGGAAAACGAAGACTTCCGAAAGATGGAGCAGACGTACCGCCAGGGCAAAATCGAGCTATACCGTATGAGGCAGTATGCCTTGCATCTCCAGGCCCGCCTATATGATGTGACGGGCGAGATGCCCCAGCCTCCACCGGGACTGGACATGGCACAGCCTGAAGAGCCGCCACGTCCCATGACACCCGAATACATAAGGAATGCCAAGGGTCTCGAGGCCGTTGCGCGAGCCGTAGCTGGCCTTGAGGCTGCGAGTGGCGCTTCAAGTGAGAAATCCGAGGACCAGGAGATGAAGGACAGCCCTGGACCTGCCGCGCCCGCTCAGGAACAGCTGGCTGCACAGGCTTCCGAGGCATAGATTGCCGAAGAGCCAGGCAGCAGTTTGGCGGCGCCCGCTTCATAGCATGAAGAGGGCCTCGAGGCTCGTGCCGCGTTTGTACGTGGTGAAACAAACTGACTTTTGGCGTTCTGTTGTACTTCACTTCTTTTGCCCTTTAGCGCGGCAGCTAAGACTTTTTTATGTGTGTGCAGGTAGGCCACTTGGCCACTTAATAGAAGGAAAGCTAGGCGGGCGTTAATGGTGTTTCTCTTCCAGGTTGGTTACGAAGAAATGAGGGGTGAGCGTGTCTGGCTAGACGTGTCCAGCTGGCAGAATCATTGTTATTACATTTACTCATGTTGAACCCATTCTTTTAAAATGAATACTTCACTTAAACTCCATGCAAAAACCGTGTTAGGCGTAGGAATTACCCATGTCGTGCTCCTATATCTCGTTAGCAAGACCGAGGCTTGGCTTGACCAGCTCGGGCAACTCACCTTGATGTATTCTGCGCCTTTCTCTTGGTATTCCTCTCTGGTGATCTTGGCCTGCCTCCACGCATCGGAGCCTGCCCACTCAGCCGCACCTCTCCAGGCATCGAGGACAGCATCTTTCGCCCGGCGCACTTTGAGAGGCGAGCCAGCAGGCAACAGCGCAGTGAGCTCGTTCTGCAGCCGCTGATCAAAGTTCCGGAACAAAGTGCTGCCTCCGGTGAGGAAGATGTCCTTGAAGAACTCCTCCCTGTTGGGGACAGAGGCCAAGCGCTGGTTCAAGATATCGCCGGCAATCTCGACAAGGCCGGCCTGGTCAACGCCAGCGATCGACGGACGAAAGACGACTTCGGGCACGCGGATGCGCTCGACGTTGAGATGCACCTGATTCAGCTCCGCTTGTCTCGAAGGGTCAAAGGGTCTTGGCCCTCGGGTAAAGGCATGGAGGAGAGAATGCGACCAGTCTGATTGCGCCTCATAGGTCTGCTCATAGTCGAAGTCGGCGTCGTACTTGAGCAGATCCTGCTCGAGCTCCTTGAGGCTGGCATGGAGATCCTCCTCCTCATGCTCGTCCTCGCTATTGTCCCCCACCGTGATCTGCCGGTACACACCCCAGTCGTCATCGTTGGCCCCAAAGTTGTCGTCGTCTCCGCCACGTCGCCTTTTCCTGGCTGGGCCGTCTGAAGCAAGGTTCGTAATGTTCTTCATGCGGATCTGCGAGGCAAGAGATTTGCGATTGCCTAGGTCGGCTTTGAGACGATCGCGTTCCTTGATCTTGGCGAGGACCTCGGCGCGGGCTGCGCGCTTGTCTTCGAGCCAATCTTCCAGGTTGTTCACGCGACGGTCCGTGTCACGACGCTCCTCCTCCTCCACCCTTGCCTTTTCAGCCTCCTTTTCGGCTTTTGCGCGTGCTCGAGCATCATGGTTAGATTTCATAAGCCTTTGTTGACGCTTCTGCTTCAAACCCGCATCGTCTAGGTCTTCGTCTGGAACCTCGAGTAGGCTGAAGTCAGGTGCTTCTTCCAATTCCTCCAGATCGCCTCCGACATCCTTGATTCGAGCCTTCTTGATAGACTTTTCGAGCTCTCGAACGATCTTGTCCAACTCAGCCTCGTCCTTCAGCTCGTGGCTGTCGAGGAGGCGGCGCGTTTCCTTCTTCGTCTCGTCCACCAATTGAGCTTGAAGATTACGATAGTATTCCAGGTCTTGCTCCTTCTTAACGAGCTTTTCCAGACGCATCTTGGCCGCTTGTTCTTGTAATCTCCGCCCGCTCTCCTTCTTGCGCTCAGCAATCTTGGCCAACTCCTCTGCACTCTTCTCAATGATGACTTCCTCTGTATAGGGGTATTGAATCACGACATCACGATCTTCCAATCCGGTCCAGTCGAGGTAGCCCGCGAGCTCCTGGTCAAAGTCCCGAGAGACGTAGGCATGGTCCTTGAGTATGTTTTCCGTTTGTGAGGCATTAAGTTTTCCCGTGAAAGTCGGATACTTGAGTCGAATGAGCTTGAGGAGGTACTCAGACATGTGGAAGCCTCCCCAATTGAGGCGCGTGGCCTGCCCCAGCATGGCCTTGGAGTTCTGCACAGGGATGACGTGTGTGGATGTGTATGACGAAGAAACGACCAGACCAGTTGAGCCCTTGTTATGTCGGTAGGAAAAGAGGGAATCGATGCCGTAGGCTATTGAAGGCGCGCCGTAACATTCGAATAGAACCTCCGTCATGGCTGTTTCTCGTTAACATGGGACACCTTTTTCTGGGAGAATTGCAATCTCACATTTTCGAGAGTAAGGCAGGTTGGCCACCGCCTCTGTCATGACAATGGGCACATCGATGGCTCCATCCGCGTCGTTCATCCCCAGCTTGAGGAATATGTAGTCCAGCACATGCTCCATCACGTCCCAATTGGCAACCACGCCCGTGCCGAGCTCGAATGCATTTCGTATGTGACCTTTGGCCGTCGTGTCGGCATAGCAGTCAGACCCCGCGAACGAAAAGGTCTTCCCTAGCTTGCGGTCTCGGTACTTGGCCATGATGGGTGGTATGCTGAAGCGTGGGTTCGACTCGAAAGACCAGCCGGCTCGGACCGTAGACGACCCTAGATTCGATCATCAGACATGCTTTTGCAATCCAAGGGGAGGTTGCATACCATTATCGATGACAATGGTCGCATTGGGTTGCTGCAATGCTCGTTCGCGACCTTCTGGCTGGGGCTCGATAGGACCCTCGAAGCGCATTTCCTTGCCCGGGTATATTTGCGCGGGCGGATACGTCTTCGCGTCGGTCATTTTGACGTCTAGACTGGCCGTGGGGTCAGCAACGGCGGAAGGCGCCATTGTCGCGAAGTTGACGTATGGATGGGGAGAATGTTGCGGATGCGCTCGTTCAGTTCGGCTGCATGGTACGGACCAATGCACCTTGATATGCAGAGGGGAGGCGCTGGGCGGGACCGTCGGGGCAGGAGGCAAAAGCAGTGTTGGGGCACGGTAAATGCACGATGGCTGAAGTCGCGAAGCCGTTCACGTTGAGAGAGTGCATTTCACGGATAGCGGTAGCTTGCAAGTTGGAGATCCACCTTGAATTGGGCGAGGTCGGCTTTCGCGTCTCGTAAAGAATCTCAACATCACCATCGGACAACTCTCCGGTCTACCGCTATTTGTTCTTTCTCTGATCCATATCTTTAAAATTGATGTCATTGATAATTCGGTAGTTTTGCTAAGCCAGTGCTCTTACTCGGACTCACAGTGGAAGCTATGTGCATCTCATCTACTCCAACACACCAGCAACAGTGCAGCGCTCTCGCAAGGAAGCTATACGACAATAAGGTAGCCAGCAGTTGATAATGGCGTCCCTGCCGTGATTTGTGTTCCCTGGTGGCCCGTCTCAGGATGACACTATTTTGTTGTGGGTGGTTGACCGTTGCGTTTGGTGGCCTCTTCTACCTGAGAAGGTCGATCCATGGCCTCTTCCCATCGCGTGCTCCTCATCGAATCTCTTCAAGACGGGGGTTTGAGATTGTCCGTAGCTAGACACTGGTTAGAAAATGACTGTATAAACGACAAACAACTTACCCTCCAAGTGGAACAGCACGTTGGACTGGTAGTTCTTGAACATCTGGGCGACCAGCTCCACATTCATATTCTCGATGTTGATTTCCTATACAGCTTGTTAGGAAGACTGGGCGTAGGAAGTTGATTTTGCTATACCTGAAGGCCCTTGTTCATGGCTACAACAGCTTCATTTAGCTTCTCCTTTGAACAATCAGTTTGAGGCCCTGTTACGATGGGATATGGGGGGGGGGGGGGGGCTACACGAACCACATTGGTGATGATACGGGACAGCAGCAGATTCTGCTGATATTCGTGGGGGCTTTCCTTGAGCACAGTCAGCCTATAACTTTTGAGTATCTCAGATGTCATCATTTACCATTGTGATTTGTGCAAAGGATGGGCGCGTGAAGTGTGACGCAGGCTCACGCGGTCGCGTAAAGCACCTCGTGTGTTGAGAGACGAGACGACCCCACACACTGCCTTCCGACGTACGTCGACCGAAAGTCGAGGTACCGTTGTAGACTCGCTTTCCACGCCGTTTCAACCGACCGCAAGCATACGAAGAAATACATCTTGAACAATCGGCACTTGTCAATCTTCCAAGAACTCGCTGAATTATTGAAGGTACGCGACCCAACGAAATGACGGAGAAAGCCCCGACCGAGGCGCAGATCGCGCATCAGCAACTCATCGAGAAGCTCGACATCCACTCTGTGCACAAGAACTTCCGTAACCCCAATTGGCGTCCCAATCAACGCCGCAACAAGAACCTCAAGGCCATTGTGGGAGATGCCACCCGACGCGAGGCCTCTGCTCTGGTCACGCCCAACGGACAGTCGGGCGTCGCCTCTCCATCCAGAGGCGGTAACCAAGATGACGGCCTATCGACGAGCGGCACATCGACGCCAGCCACAAACAACAGCAACGGAAATGGGCCCAACTTGGCGCAAGCATCACGGAGTTTGTCGAAGCTGGTGTTGGAGAAGACCCTGAAGACGCAGCCTGGCGCGACACCAGGGACGGTCATGACGGCACCGACTGCCACTTACACAAACATTGAGTCGGCGCCCTCGCTGGCGCACTCCAAGAGATACTGCGACATTACAGGTCTACCGGCCCCATACCTCGATCCCAAGTCGAGACTACGCTATCATAATAAGGAGGTCTTCGGGATGGTGCGATCGATACCCCAGACAACGGCGGAGCAGTTCCTCGAAGCACGTGGCGCGCACGTCGTGCTCAAATGAACGGCGGCAGAACATACAGTATCACTTCATACGCGGGACCAGGATGGGACGTCGCGTACAATATCAACAGACGGCACCAGCAAAGATACCTTACGAAGACGAAATGTCCGAACCTCAAAGTCAAGCCCCGACTATGCACCCTCGGCCTTTCGGCCAAGGGATGACAGTTGGCGCTCCGGCTTAATCGGGATCGAGTGCTGTTATCTGCCAGAAAGAAGCGACATAGTACCGAGACTGTATGGGGGAAACAATCTCAGTTACCAGAGCAGAGCTCTGGCCGCCGCGGCAGGGTTGCGAGTGGCCAGCCACCATGCGCGCCATAGATACACTAGGTACAATGAATGCAGACGAGGCTAGCATCCAGTCGTTGATCCAATTGTGTAATCTTGTGATCTAGTGTTTCGAACCGATGCAGTAGGCAGGATAGTGATGCCAAATGATGCGCATCCCAGGAAACTGAGGTCAAGGCACTTGCCTTGGCCATACCTATATTAAGAGCATCAATAGGGCAAACCGCGCGCTCGTCATAGCGCAATGGGCCTAATTGTGGCAGATGGAGATGTTGGAACAGCTGAGGGACGTTGGATGGGTTTTATAGCAGAAAAAACTATCGGCCAATCGAAGGCGCGTCGATAAAGCTGCAGCCCACTTTGCCAGGGGTTGTAAGGGGACAAATTCTTTAGTGCGCAAGTGTCTCAAGACGCTGACAAGATGAAGATCTGGGGCTTGAAGATTGGGAACGTACCAAATAATTATTTTAGGCTTTAGGCAATCTAGATATGAGCGACAAGAGCGCCCACTCCGGTTCTTTCAACGTGTTCTTTTTTTCCGAAACGCCCCTCATATTTCTGGCCTGCAAGCGACACAGATAAGCGGTGGCCGTGTGTTTGTGGTTGCGTCATGTGCTTCAGTTATTCTGTCGGGCGACCAAGGAGGACCCTGCCTAGACTTGCCCGTCGCAAGCCCCCTTGGACTTTGAGATTCCCATGGGACACATCTCTCGACCAACAGATCATTCGCTCTCTGTCCTTTACGATACCCTAATTACCATTTCCCACCATCACCAGAGGATCTTCAATACTAGCCAAGATGTCAATGTGGCTAACGGATACACAAAGTACGTTCTCAGCACACAAGCTCTCCCTTAGCTACGCGACCACGCTGCTCAGCATCAAACGCGACGAACAGAAAGCAGATGGCTGACCTCCCTCGACAGAGATCGGAGTAGTCTTCTGCTCCGGCGGTATGTACTTGGTTTCACCTGGAGAGTCCGGCGCAAACATGCTGATACCATGGCCAAGGTGGCTTCTTCCTCGTCGGAGGTGTGATGCTGTTCTTTGATCGCGCCATGTATGTCCCTACCTTTCCTTGTCATGCAGCTACTGACATGCGCGCAGGCTAGCTATGGGAAACGTATGAAACCCCTGAGCCCCCGGATTGCCGACCGACTTACCGATGCTACCAGATCCTCTTCCTCATCGGCCTGACCATCATCATCGGCCCCCAAAAGACCCTCTTGTTCTTTGCACGAAAGCAAAAAGCCAAAGGCACCGCTGCCTTTTTCGTCGGTCTCGCCCTGATCCTACTCAAGTGGACGCTTATCGGGTTCATCATCGAAGCGTATGGCATCGTAGTGCTGTTTGGAGACTTCCTGGGCACGATTGCCGGTTTCGCGAGGGGCCTCCCCGTCGTGGGGCCATATATCGGCATGGCTGTGGATCGCAGTGGTATTGGGAGGAGGAATGCCGAGCTGCCAGTCTGAGTGCTGTCGAGCTGCGAGCTGAATATCAATGACGGGGCAACGACGGTCATGCGCATCACGAACAGAGCTGTTAGTAGTGGGTGCAATTACTAGGACATTTCCAAGAGCAGGCTCTTCGGGTCGACACAGGCAACTTGGCGGGCAACCGCACGACATTGCCGCGGCGTTCATGGGGCGGACACCATAGACGGAGTTTTAACGACATGCATAGGAGGGAGGGCCAGGCGATCATGTGCGCGAGGGGCATCTCATTATTTATATGCAGACCCCAGAGGCACTCCTCCGCAAGGGAAAGAAGTAGCCTCCCGATCTAACAAGAACAGACGAAAATAATGTTCATCCTCTCTGACATTCAATAGCTCACGGCCACACACCGAGTGGGTGGAGCACTTTTCCCTTGCTGTCGTTGTTGGTATTGCAAATGACCTCCCAAGAACGCTCATGGTCACATCCAGCCCTCCGCTTCCGCTGTCGCTTAGTATCCCTGTCCGATGAGATAGTCGGCGAGGCCCTCGACGACGGAGCTGGCGTTGCCGGCAACAGCGGCCTCGCCATGATGGGCGACGATGATGGCCTGCTTGGTTTTGGCGATAGCGACACCAGTCCTGCCCTGCTGTGGTGTTAGTGAACCTCCCTTTCATATTCCACGTGTGATAGGGCGTACCGATCGTGCGTAGATGCTGCGGTCCTCGGCGCGGGCCAAAACGAAGCGCTCGCCACCAACAAAGAGACCCTCGGCGAAAGCGCCATCCTTGGCCTTGTCGTCACCGCCCACAATGGCGGAGATGGTCTTCATCTCGTCGGGCTTCACCTGCGGGGCTTGTCAGTCGGCCATGGAAAAGTTTTGAGGGGCATTGGTGGGATATCGCACGTCGAAGCCGGAGGATGTAGCCCAGACGCTGTCACCAGCAGCGCTGATGAGGGCGGCCTTGTCGACGTGGCCGGTGCCAACGAGGCTATCGAGGTTTCAGTGCATGGTTCGACGCAGTTCGGTGAGAAGTTTACCTCGAGTCGATGTAAGCTGTTCAGGAAGACATTAGCACATGGCCATGTCGGCTGTTGAGGACCAAATCGCCCAAGGTGGGGGAAGAGAGTTTCTTTACGAGGTGTAGCATGAGCGGACATGACATACCTTGCCAGGACATGGTGGTAATGTGAGGGGGTGGGGGAAACCGTAGCAAATGGGGAAGAAGGCGACGAGGAGTTTGTTGTTGGTGCTTCGTGAAGCTTTGTGGAAATGTTGTGTGAGAGAGTGGCGGTCGGTGGACGGATGGATGAATGGGGTGGATTCGGACTGGAGCTTGTGGTGATCTGGAGTCCTGCTGGACTGGATGATGTCCACTGACGGCGGGCGGTGCCCCTCATTCAGTAGTCGCGGGACATGACATATGGCTCCAGTACGCAAATTGTGTCACCGCCAGCAGTTTGCAGTGCAAAACAGCGCTGTGATAATCATTGAGTCCCCGCCATAGGTGCGTAATTAACGTTTGATGTTTCTGTCGATTGATCACGGCACCGTGAATCGCCCGTTCTCACTAAAGTGACGATCCACGCGCAAGTAAAAGCGCCGCGCTATTTCGCGCGAAGGTCCTTCGGCTCGGGCCTTGGCCGGGAAGGTCTATCTATGAATAAGAATGGCTTCCTGTCCACAGACTACGCAACAGCTCAACAAACCTTGCGGTCATCTAATTACCCCAGGGCTGGCACTCCATCGTATTACATGTGACATGTGACACCTCCTTGCAATCATGCGCGGCGGAGATTTCTCCAAAAAGGCCAGACCTTGAAGTTGAAGGAGGGAAACTAATATGGAGACCTCTTGACGGCGACAGGATCAGTCGCGTGCTTCCAACGCGCCAACTGCTTCTGGCGCCGCCGATCAAGACTAGACCCTGTGGGTGAAGCAAAAGTCGAAATGACGTGCAGTGTGCCCTCACCTTGGCCTAATGAAGAGGCCGTTGCGTTCAAATTATGTTTCACGGCAGCGCAGCGTCGGACAGGCGCTTGGGCGATCCGGCTCCGGCTTCTACTCGAGATCTCCGCCCAGTACGGAGAATAAAAGAGCAAATGTCTGGGCAAGCAACCAATTTAGTGGGCTTCCTGGCTCGTTATCGTTGAAGAATGCAGAGACTTGATCAAGTTGAGCTAATTAGGTGCGTTTGTAACGGGCATAAGATGCTTGCAGCCAAAGTGGTCATGCCTAGTCCTTCATTCTACGATGAAACGCGTGCCCCGGCCAAAGGACGTTTCTGATGCACGGCAACCCCCTGTTTCGTAACCGCACGACATACTAGACTATCTCGGACCTGCCCCCTCAGAGACGGCATTCCCCTCCATACCAAACACACGCGCTTACGATACGGAGTACAGCGCACGCTCGCGCTGGGGGAACAGCTGCCGGCCATGGATTCATCAGCACGGGACGTTCATTTGACGGCTCAATCCAACTCCCTCGGCCTGACCCTGGCGGACGAGTGTTTGCGGGCAGGGTTCTCTGGTCCGTCTTAGTGCGACGAGCGACCAATATCCATCCTCATTGTCCTCCGTCTTCTTCATGCTTCACGCTTCCTCTGTAACATTTGTGGTTCTCTGCTTGGTTTTCGTCCCTCCTTTCGTGTAGCGTGCAACGCTCGTCCACTCCTTTGGTCGAATTTTACTTCTCCTTCGTTCGCTTTCACTTGCTATAGCAGTTGGCACCATGCCGTCCGCTCCTTCACCTCCGTATCATCCCAAGCGCGCGAGGGCATCGCTGGACGAACGCCCCAGCAGCAGTTCTGGACTCGGATACAGCCAACCTTCTTCGAGACACAACGACTACGACAAGCGTCGGTCAAGAGACGACCTCCTCATCGGGCTCATGACAACTGAGAAGCGGGAGCAGGCACAGCAACAGTATCGTCTTCAAGAACACCATCGTCGACAGCAGCAGCAGCAGCAGCAACGGTATAGGTCGTTCCACGTGCCCATTCGGGGCGGACCGCAGCAGGCACAGGTGTCACCACCAGCACCCGGGCTCGCGCAGGGCAGCTTCTCATCCCAAGGATCGACTGCGCCAATTGTGGACTCACGAGGTGTCGGCGGCGCGGGCGCCGTTGCCATCGGCATGGCGTTGGGGAGCCCGTCGCATCCACCGCCAGGCGCAGGCTGGATACCCAGACCGGACAAGAGTGCCGCTGCAACGACATGGACACCAACTGGACCTCGACCCGCGGTAGCAACGCCCGTAGAAGAGGCGACGCCCAAGAAGAGTCGCAAATGGGGGCTCTTCCGCAGCAAATCCAAGTCCAAGAAGATGGACAACGCTTCACCACCGCAGACCTTGGACAGGTCGCCAGCAACGGCGAGGCCCAATGTCTTGCGAAATGACACCGTCGATGCACCTTCATCCAGGCCAGCCCCTCAAGTCGTCCGAGCACAGACCGCACCAGTGATGGCGAGCAATAGACGACCTCAGCCTTCTCAGCCTGCTCAGACACACCGCCAGAGTCCCAGACCGTCACCTAGACATGCCCAGACAACGCCAGCTCCGTCTCCGTCTGCGTATGCCGAGCGGTCTATGCCCTCATCGGGGCCCCAATTGCCGACTCCGAGTGGACCCATGCTCGACGTTGAGATACCCGATATCACGTTGGAGCGATACAGTGTCATGTTTAACCAAGTTTTGATGAACAAAAGACGACAGTCTCGCGACCTCTTGACATCCTCATCCTCCTTGCTGGCGAGACGGCAAGCCACGCTGGAGAAGCTGGCGCCCGTTGCTGATAAAGCGAAAGACGCAGAGTTGAGTCCGCTCCAGCCACCACCCAGCAGGGCTCCCGTGCCGCTGGTCAAGGAGTCGCCTACCTTTCATTTGTTTCCACCATCATCAAGGCGATCAAGCTCGGCGCAGGCGCAATCGCCTCGATCTCGTTCCAACACATCCCCAGCGGGCCTTCCTTCCCCTGGTCTGCCGTCCGCGGGATACAACAATGAATTTGCTGGCATGACTCCTCCTGTGGCCCCAGCCTTGAGGGCGCAAACGCTTCCCCGAGCTGCGCACGAGAATCGTTCTATGGACAGGTTGCCCAACGCCAACAACCCGGCTCATCGGAGGCCCCAGCCCTCCTCTCGCTTCACACGGCAGCCGGCGCCCATCACAACGACCAACATCACGGCATCCACTCCCGTATTTGACTCGCCCAGCAGTATTGAAGAGTCCGCAGAAGCCGTGCTGAAAGCCACATATCAACCCAGCGCCAACGACCCCATATGGGAAATGATCTCCCCGCCCCCATCTTCCCACGATAGCGGCACTCAAAAGAAGAACTCGGTATCTTCCGTCGTTTCCTCCGAGCAGCTCACCGTGGTGAAACCTATCGTGACCGTCACAAACGAGGACGCCGAGGCCGAAAAGGCCCTGCGAGAGGCTGTGCAGGCCTCCATTACGAGGCAGATCAGCGTGTCGAGAGAACAGAGATCGATGTTGGGGTCCATCAGGGGAGGGGCTCCCAGGGGACAACAGCGTTCAATGCCTGTCGGCTTTGGGCCCGTAGTCACGTCTGACGGCAGTGAGCGACTGAGCGAGACAAGGAAGCTGACACCGAGGGTCGTCCATCCTGGTGACGAAATTACACCCAGGTCGTTCCATACGCACCGTCGCAGCGAGCGCGTGGTAGTCGAAGGTCTGTAGACTTTCAGAGTCTGGCTGTGATCAAAGACACGGTCGCATGGAACAGCTCAATAGTCTTTCATGTTTCTTTTCTCTCTCGTATTGGGTTTCGGTTACCCAACGCCTCTCAAAAAGGCACAGCATCCCGCTGGCTCGGGATGAAGAGAGCATGGGCGGCGTTCTCTCTGCATTTCATTCTATGACCGGATTAGTTAGGATACCATGACGCGTGGCGAGGCGCATAAGGCGTTTGTGTTGTCTCAATAACGAAACAGAAAACATGTCACCTCCACACCTTGCTTGCCGTGATGAATCTTGTGCGCCTCATTATGTTCATTGATGGTTGTACCACCCCCAGGGACTTGGTCTTTCCAGCCGGAAGAGTGGCGCAGTCCAGTATATGCTAATTAATCAAGTTTCCAAAGGGCATCGGCCCAGGCAAGCAACCCTGCAAAAGCGCCGTCGCTCCCAGCCAGCCAGTCTTTCACATCAAGACGCAGCAAGAGTTCTGCTTCTTGGCCTGCTGGTAGAACATCTTGCTCTGCGAGCTCAGCCCGTCACTCTTGGCGACCAGGTCGTCAATCTTCTCGCCACGCTGCAGCACGCTCTCAATGGTCTTGTGCAGCACAATCTTGGTCTCGTCGAGCTCCTTCTGGATCTTGAGGATGCTGTCGGCCTGCTGGGGATCCTGGTACTTGCTCAGGTACTCGCGCAGCTCGGGCATGGCGATGGAGGGCGTCCCCGTGGCCCAGGCCGAGCGGGGGTTCTTGGTGAGGAACTCGTCGACGACTTTCGACAGGAGCTGATGGGCGACGAGGGCGGGGTATTGCTGGTCGGAGATGATGATGCCGCAGACGCCTTCGCTGCGACCGTAGGCGTGGAATGTGTAGTCTTTTTTTGGGGTATCTTCGTCAGTCTCGATGCTTCGTATTTCTCTGCGGATCATGCCGGCGTACCCTGCTCTTCGACATCCTGACGCTGGCCAGGCCTCGTCCTCTCTGCGACGGTCTTGGAGAAGAGTGACATGAACTCGCCATAGCTATGCTGGTTAGCGCCTCGCTGGATGGGGCCGGATGGCATGGGGCACAAACTTGTTGCGCGTGAAGCGCGAGTAGGCGCTGAGCTCCTTCTCGGCAACGATCTCGTGCGACGGCTTCGAGTCGTTGCGGATGATCTGTCCGGAGTTATCGTGTCAGACCGCCCGGTCGGTGGTATCATGGGAGGGGCACGGGGGTCGACGTACACCAATGTAAAGGAGCTTCATGATGCCGATTTGCGAGCGCTGCGTAAGATAATCAGGGGTGAGCTGCTGATTTGGCGCCAATCTCCACCACGATTATAAAGGAGAGGATGGTAGATTTGGTTATGAATGAAGAATGATGTGTCGGCACAGCGTACAAGGTTAGCCACCGCCTTGGACGTCACCCGCCCGCATCACATGGTTATCGGCATTATCTAGCGCCCAAGTTAACTAATGCCTTTGGGATCTGCGTACCCGGGGACAGAGGACGTGTCTTCAGTTCCACACCCTCCACTCTGAGTCGGTATGACTCCATGACTTTGAGGTGCTGATGAATGATAATTTCACAGCCACATAGTGCACGCTTTTCTCGCTCAACAACCGAAAAACCAGGATACTTCGAGCTCGTCATTCTACGCCATGGCTTCCAGCAGTCTCAGTGCTGCAGAAGCGCAATGGCGGGAGCAGTATGCTGCCATGCGCGCTGCGCTCGCCGACCTGAAAATTGAATCGTCCAAGGGCAAGCAGCCCGCGATCAACGGAGACAATGACGAAACCGACTTTGAGGGTTACTCGTCGGGCACAAGTGGGCAAGACGTCTGGGACTTTATCAGCGACGACGACGAAGACCCTGACAGCAGCGACTATGCCTACGAAGAAGACTTCGACAGTGGTGCGAACGCAGGGGCCGAATGGTTTGTCACGCGCTGCTCAGAGATCGCAGCCAAGAATGGCATGCCTGCGGATGTATTCGAGAGCCAGGTGGCTGGTATGCTTTCCTCGGGCCAGTCTGAGGAGGAGCTGCAAATGCACCTGACTGACCTGATGGGATTCGACGATCTCGATTTCATCATTGAGATACTCGGCAAGAAGGACAGCATCACGGCGGCACTGGCCGATCCAAACCACTACGGCGAACGCCAGCAGCCTTCGGGTAAACTGCTAAGCCGAGCCCAGCGAGAGGAAGCTCTCCGGCGTCACGATCTGGAGCACAAGTCCGCTACACTCGCCCCCTCTCAGACGCGCGAAGTCCAGTATCCCCACGTGTACAAAGCCTACAATGCAGGAAACACCCTCAACTACGCCGGCAAGAAGTATGGCTTGCCGCCCGGCAGCGAGAGGCTCCAATTCGACAGGTATGAGGAGTACGCCATCCCTGCTGGGAAAAAGGGCGAGCTTGGTCCTGGCCAGAGACTTGTCAAGATCTCAGAGCTTGATGGGCTATGCCGGACCACGTTCAAGGGATACAAGGCCCTTAACCGCATGCAGAGCCTGGTCTATCCTGTGGCCTACAAGACGAGTGAGAATATGCTCATCTGTGCACCCACAGGTGCTGTGAGTCTTGAATGCGGCTGTGTCTGCGTAAAAGCTAATGAAGGATAGGGTAAAACAGACGCTGCCATGCTGACGATTCTGCACACCATTGGCCAGCATGTGACGCCCAACCCCATCGAGAACCCGTCCGCAATGGAGTTTGGCGTCGACGCTGACAACTTCAAGATTGTCTACGTCGCACCCATGAAGGCGTTGGCAGCCGAAATCACGGAGAAGCTAGGCAAACGCTTGGCCTGGCTGGGTATCAAGTGTCGCGAATACACGGGTGATATGCAGCTCACCAAGTCTGAAATCGTGCAGACGCAGATCATTGTGACCACCCCTGAAAAGTGGGATGTCGTCACGAGGAAAGGGACAGGCGACACTGAGCTTGTCCAGAAGGTCAGGCTCCTCATCATTGATGAGGTGCACATGCTTCACGATGAGCGCGGCGCTGTTCTCGAGTCTTTGGTGGCACGTACCGAGCGACAGGTGGAAAGCACACAGTCTCTGATCCGCATTGTTGGTCTCAGTGCCACTTTGCCGAATTATGTGGACGTTGCCGACTTTCTCAAGGTCAACAAGATGGCTGGCCTCTTCTACTTTGACTCGTCATTCCGTCCTGTGCCCCTGGAGCAGCATTTCATTGGCGTCAAGGGGAAATCAGGAACCAAGCAGTCCAAGGACAACCTCGACACGGTTGCCTTTGAAAAGGTTAAACAGATGTTGGAAAGGGGCCACCAGGTCATGGTGTTTGTCCACTCACGCAGAGACACTATGCTCACAGCCAAGATGATCCACGCAAAAGCTATGGAGCAGATGTGCACTGATCTGCTTGACCCCATGGGGCATCCATCCTATGACCAGGCCGCTCGTGACATGAAATCGTCTCGATCAAAAGAGATTCGGGAGCTGCTGCAAAAGGGTCTCGGCATCCACCACGCCGGCATGGCGCGAGCCGACAGGAACCTCATGGAGCGCCTCTTCTCCGAGGGTGTGACCAAGGTCCTCTGCTGCACGGCGACTCTTGCGTGGGGAGTCAACCTGCCGGCTGCTGCGGTCGTCATCAAAGGTACTCAGGTGTACAGTGCACAAGACGGCAAGTTTGTCGACTTGGGCATCCTTGACGTGCTCCAGATCTTTGGCCGTGCCGGTAGGCCGCAGTTTGAGGACACTGGTATTGGCATGATCTGCACCACGCAGGACCGCTTGACGCACTACTTGACGGCTGTCACCGAGCAGCAGCCCATTGAGTCAAAGTTCTCGACCAAGCTTGTGGACAATTTGAACGCCGAGATCTCCTTGGGAACCGTCACCTCGATCCAGGATGCCGTCACATGGATAGGCTATTCGTACCTGTTTGTGCGCATGAAGAAGAGCCCCCTGACGTACGGTATCGAGTGGGCTGAGATTAGAGACGACCCGAGCCTGGTGATGAGGCGTCGCACCTTGGCGATCCAGGCAGCGCGCACACTACAGCAATGCCAGATGATTGTTTTCAACGAGAACACCGAGGAGTTGCGTAGCAAGGACATTGGCCGCATCGCGAGCCAGTACTACATTCTTCATACGAGTATCCAGGTCTTCAACTCCATGATGACCGCTCAGGGGACGGAGGCCGACGTTCTCAAGATGATCAGTATGAGCGGAGAGTTCGACAACATCCAGTCAAGGGACAGCGAGGCCAGGGAATTGACGCATCTCCGACATAACGTGGTCCCTTGCGAGGTGGCCCAAGGTATTGACACGCCACAGGCTAAGACGAACATCCTGTTGCAGTCATACATCTCGCGCACGCAGCCCGAGGACTTTGCGTTGATGAACGACATGAACTATGTCGCACAGCAGTCCGGCCGCATCTGTCGCGCGCTCTTCATGCTGGCCCTGAACCGGCGCTGGGGACACCAGTGCCTGGTTCTGTTGACACTGGCCAAGTCCATTGAGAAGAGGATTTGGCCGTTTCAGCACCCCCTCAACCAGTTTGAGCTCACGAAGCCTGTGCTCAACCAGCTCGAGGCTAAGGATCACCTGACCGTCGAGTACATGAAAGAGCTTGACAGTGCCGAGATCAGCAGTCTCGTGCATAACCAGACCGCCGGCAAGAACATTGCCAGGATTCTCAATCACTTCCCTACGGTTCACGTGGAGGCTGATATTGCACCACTCAACCGGGATGTATTGCGTATCAAGCTCTGGGTCATCCCCGACTTCACCTGGAAGGATTTCTACCATGGCACCTCCGAGTCGTACTACATCTGGGTGGAGAACTCGGAGACTTCTGAGATATACCACCACGAGTTCTTCATCCTCAGCCGCAGGAAGCTGCACAACGACCATGAGCTCAATTTTACCATCCCGCTCTCCGACCCCCTGCCCAAGCAGATCTACGTCCGCGCCGTGTCCGACCGATGGCTCGGTGCCGAGACTGTCACGCCTGTGTCGTTCCAGCATCTGATCCGCCCCGACACCGAGAGTGTGTACACCGACCTGCTCGACTTGCAGCCGCTCTCAATCAAGGCGCTGCGGAATCCTGGTCTTGAAGAGATCTATGGGCAGCGCTTCCAGTACTTTAATCCCATGCAGACGCAGATATTCCATACCCTGTACAACACGCCGGCCAATGTCCTTCTCGGATCGCCGACTGGTTCTGGCAAGACGGTCGCCGCTGAGCTGGCCATGTGGTGGGCGTTCCGTGAACGGCCAAAGTCCAAGGTGGTCTACATTGCTCCCATGAAAGCCCTTGTCCGCGAGCGTGTCAAGGACTGGGGTGTTCGCCTGGCGCGTCCGCTTGGCTTGAATCTTGTTGAGTTGACTGGTGATAACACGCCCGACACCAGGACGATCAAGGACGCGGACATCATCATCACGACCCCTGAGAAATGGGATGGTATTTCTCGTTCGTGGCAGACAAGAGGGTACGTGCGGCAAGTGAGTCTGGTCATCATTGACGAAATCCACTTGCTAGCCGGCGATCGTGGTCCTATCTTGGAGATCATTGTGTCGCGCATGAACTACATCGCCTCAATGACAAAGGGCTCTGTGCGACTCCTGGGCATGTCCACTGCCTGTGCCAACGCAAGCGACCTGGGTAACTGGCTTGGCGTGAAGGAGGGTCTCTTCAACTTTAGGCACTCTGTGCGCCCCGTGCCTCTGGAGTCGTACATTGACGGGTTCCCCGAGGTGCGTGGCTTCTGCCCGCTCATGCAGTCAATGAACCGCCCAACGTTCCTGGCCGTGAAGAATCACAGCCCGAGCAAGCCCGTCATCGTTTTTGTGCCGTCTCGTCGACAGACACGCCTTACGGCCAAGGACCTCATCAATTTCTGCGGCATGGAGGACAACCCGCGTCGCTTTCTGCATATGGATGAGGATGATCTGCAGCTGAACCTGGCGCGTGTCAAGGACGATGCGTTGAAGGAGGCCATCAACTTTGGTATCGGGCTTCATCATGCCGGTCTCGTCGAGTCTGACCGTCAGCTCTCTGAGGAGCTCTTCCTGAACAACAAGATCCAGATCCTGATCGCTACCAGTACTCTCGCTTGGGGTGTCAACCTGCCAGCCCATCTCGTTGTGGTCAAGGGCACCCAGTTCTACGATGCCAAGATTGAAGGCTACCGCGACATGGATCTGACAGATGTGCTTCAGATGCTCGGTCGCGCCGGACGTCCACAGTTCGATACGTCCGGTGTCGCTCGCATCTTCACGCAAGACTCCAAAAAGGACTTTTACAAGCACTTCCTCCACACCGGGTTCCCGGTCGAGTCATCGCTCCATACTGTCCTGGACAACCATTTGTGTGCCGAAGTATCAGCCGAGACGATCATCACCAAGCAGGATGCGCTCGACTACCTGACGTGGACCTTTTTCTTCCGCCGCCTACACAAGAACCCGTCGTACTACGGCCTCGAGATCTCGGCCGAGGACCACAGCTCCATTGCCGCCCAGGAGCTCGCCAACGAGTACATGATCGACATGGTCAGCAACTCGCTCCACGAGCTGGCCGAGTCCAAGTGCGTCGAGGTCTACCCCAACGGCGACGTCGACCCCACGCCCCTAGGCAAGATTATGAGTTATTACTACCTCTCGCACAAGACAATCCGCACGCTCGTCGCGCACGCCAAGCCCCAAGGCTCCTTCCTGGACGTCATGTCCTGGATGGCCCGCGCTGTCGAATACGACGAGCTGCCCGTCCGCCACAACGAGGATCTCGTCAACGAGACGCTGTCGCAGAACCTGCCCTTTGCGGGATCCGCGTTTAACCTGCCCATGTGGGACCCCCATGTGAAGGCGTTCCTGCTCCTGCAGGCGCACATGTCGCGCATCGAGCTGCCCATTACCGACTACGTCGGTGACCAGACCAGCGTGCTCGACCAGGCCATCCGTATCATCCAGGCCTCTATCGATGTGCTCACCGAGCTGGGGTACCTCTCCAGTTGCCTGCGGATGATCAGCCTTCTGCAGTGCATCAAGTCAGCCCGCTGGCCGACTGATCCTGCCGTCACGATCCTGCCCGGCGTCATGCCCGAGACGACCGAGGACAAGTCCACTCTGCAGGACCTCGTCCAGCTCTCCCCCGGCAAGGTCACTGCGCTTGCCAAGTCGCTGGGCGTCCCGATCTCTCAGAACAGCCGCTTCGCGCGCGCCCTGTCCATCCTGCCCAATGTCAGCGTCAGCATCGACAAACCCACCGCCACGGGCCTGACCGTCCAACTACGCCGTCAGAACCCGCTGGTCGAGCGTGACGCCAAGATGTATGCCCCGAATTTCCCAAAGTCGCAGACAGAAGGCTTCTTTGTCATTGTCGCCGACGCGGCGCGCGACGAGATCTTTGCCGTCAAGAGAGTGGGCTGGTACTCTGGGCCGCCGGGCGGCGGCTCGGCGGCGCGGAAGCTGGCAGCGGGGAGCAGGCCGTCGGCCCGGACGAGTATCAAGTTGCCTGAATCGACACAGGACAGAAAGGTGGATGTCCTGGTGGTGAGCGACGGGTACATTGGGCTGGAGAAACGTGTCGAGGGCGTGGAGATCCCCGCCGTGCCCGTGGTGCAGGACGACCTGGACAAGAAGTTGGAGGACGTGGCTGCTGGCACGGCGCAGCCTTGAGCGAGAGAAAATATGTGTATAGTCAATCAGTGTAGCACTTCTAAATTCCAGAGCCATATAAACGCCTGGCTCCGTCGAAACCCAGATCCCCTCCCCCCTCCCATGTCCTTGATGTCCACCGTATGCCTCGTCCACAACGCCTCGAGAATGCAATCAACAGCACTTGTTCTTCCCCTTGCGCTCCGCATAGTCCTCCTGCGGTTGTGCGGCCTGCTCGACCGTGACGGCGGGCGAGAAGGCGGGCGAGAAGAGCCAGGATCGCCTGTCCCTGCCGACGCGGAAACTGCCTCGGGCACTGGCGCCCTCAAAGTATCCATCCGGCGCCGGTCCGCCGTCCGGTATCCCGGGCGTGAGGAAGCCCTGCGGTGTCGCCGTGGCCATGAGCAGAGCCTGCTGTAATCTTCGATTCTGGTCCACCAGCTTCCGCGCGACGACACGAAAGACCTCTTCCACGCCCTCGCCGCTCTCCGCCGAGATCTCGTGGCAAGCGTCCCAGCCGACCTCCTGGCCCCAGAACCCTGAGCTGCGCTTCGAACTCGGACTGTGCGGGTCGACGCTGCTAGCGGCGAGAGCACCCCCAGGACTCGTGCTCATGAGACCGCCCGGCGCGTACAATGGCGTTGCGTTCGCGGTGGGCGGCGGCGTCCCGCCCTGGCCTGGCGCCAGATGCTCGGCCACGTAGGCGATGCACCGCTCAAAGGGGACCTGGCGCGCACTGGGGTCTTTGGCGACAATGTCGGCCTTGGTGCCGACGACGTGGAGGACGACGTCGCGCGGGAGGTTTCGCCGGAGTTCGGTGAGCCAGATGCCCATCTCGACAAAGGACTGGGCGTCGGTGATGGAGTAGCAGAGGATGCAGGCGTTGGCGCCGCGGTAGTAGAGGCGGGAGATGCTGCGGAACCGCTCCTGTCCGGCTGGTCTGTGTGTCAGTGATGGGGCGCAATCTCAAAGTAAAAAGAAAAATACCTGTATCCCATATCTGCAGACGGACAGTGGTGTCCGAGTCGCTATCGACGACTCGCTTGGTGAGGAAGCTGGCGCCGACTGTCGACGTTGTGGTCGCGGGACTCCAGGCCCCCTTGCAATATCGCGTGACGAGGGATGTCTTGCCGACACCCTGGGCGCCGAGCACGACGATTTTCGCCTCGAGCGAAGCCATGCCTCTGGTGGGCGGGATGCGTCTGGGATGTCTCTATTAGTTGCGTCGCGGTCGCTGCAGGCAGCGGGTGGATGATGGATGACGTGAAGAGCCTTATCGCGAGCCGCAGTGGAGCATATCGATGCCAAGCCAGCGGTCGAGGAGGGACCAGAGGATGGAATTGTAGAGAAGGAGGAGGGTAGCGAGAGAGAAGAGAATAGAACAGAGGTGCGGTCACTCGACGACAAACATTGTGTGAATGAGTGACTTTGTTCTGCCTTGCTTGTGTCGAGTCGAGGCGAGGTGACCAGCCCAGTAACTACCTGTAGGGGGTACTCAGTACGTAGCCTCGGCGATCTGATGCGCCCCGGAGACGAATCCGGTGGGCATGACAAAAAGACGACGTAAAAGGGTCTTTCGGGATCGATTTTGGCAAAAGCCGCCTCGAAATCCCACTGTCCCCCCAGGGTGATTTACTTGTACAGAGGCGGGTGGGGAGGATCGTCTGAGACCGTGTGCGTCGAATTGCGACTCCAGAGTCCAGTCTGGTCTCGGGGTGAGTCAAGCCACGAGTGTGGCTTCACGTGGCCCGTGGGTGGGCAGCGCCAGAGGCACGGATCGAGTCAGGCGACGTCATTGAAGGCCCAGCGACCACGGCAATGGAAAGCCGTGGCGCTGGGGCGGACTGGCCGCGATCAAGTGATGCCTGCGCCAAGCATACACCGCTTTGTTCGAGCAAGACGTCGTCCGTAGAGGGCAGTTGTCGACGGCTGTCATGGCGCGCGCCGGAGCAGATGGTCCTAGAGGCAGGAGTAACTTAATACGGAGTAGGAGGAGGTGTACATCTCCTCAACCACCGGCGAGTCGAGTGAGGAGAAGCGCTGATCGCAGCAGACGGGCGCGTAGGTTGGGCTTGAGAGGAGGAGGAAGTGACCGACAAGACTCCCCCATCTTGCCTACGCAATTCGAGGAGGCCAGTTGGTACGTAGACGTGTGTTGGCGACATGCCAGCCACTGCAGCCACTGACATATCGTAGGCCAGGCCGTGTGTCCTGAGCGTTGAGTTCAATAATAAGTGAAAGCTCGAAGACAAAGACTTGAGCCTTTGAGGCTGTTCATATCTAACTAGAGTCCCACGAGGAGTGGCTGACCGCCTCCTCCAGCCTCCAGCCTCCAGCCTCCTGTCTCCAGTCTCCAGTCTCCAACGTCCCCAGACGCCGCTACCGCCAATACCAGAGTCCAGACTAGCGGCCAGCCCTAACAGCGTTAGCGCCGCTAGCCTACCTTATGTGGTGGGCTACCATGGCTTGTCGCCTGTGATGAGATTTCAACTGTCTCTCATCGGAATATTTCTCGACCGCATGTCTCTTGGCCCTTCCTTCATGCTTCATTGCGACTGAAAGATAAATTCGGAGCTTTACAATCCCTTGCAGATCCCCGTCCGTTGTACCCGCAAGGGCCGCAACATGCTCGTTGACCCAGCCCTCGGGTGTAGCCGCCGCCAAAATTGATGCTCCACGCCTGTCAACCAGCACATGTTCTGCTTTGACATCTCCCAGACGCCGCCGGCCTTCCGTAGCTCTTTGAGGATACTATTGGCCTGGTCATTATGAATGACGACTTTGCGAGCGTCCTCGGGATCGTGGAGATTCAATATTATCTCGGCGGGGATACTATGAATCGAGGCTGCCAGACACCAGGTGGCTGTAGGGTAGGGTTTCTACCTAGATACGCGGGCTCATCTACAGGCCACCCACTGTCTGCCTCCAGCAATTGCCTGATGCGCAGCAGTCAAGTGGCAGCACCACCATCCACGACTTCCAGTCCATCCATGTCAAAGCCCAGTCCGTCTGTAGATAGGTAGGATGGTGGGGGATAGACATTGCAAGTTGAAGCAACGCCAGTCGCATGGATTGGGGCTCCAGCAGGCTCTGGCTCGTCCCGTCGGCAGGTCAACCGGATGACGTACCACCAGGCGCGAGCGCCAGCCAACGACTGAGCTAACAACGCCAGCACCCGCCAAACAGGGTGCTAGGAACTCTTCTCGTCCACTCAACACCCTGGATGCGCTTTTCTTTCTTGACGTGGCGGCTGGCTGGGCAAGGGCCGCATTTCCTTCTTTGTCGCCGGCCTGCCCACACACAGCCTTTGGCACCGCGGAACGTGGCGTCATGGGCCAGCCGACAATGATCTTTGTTTCCGGGGCTGGGACGCGATGGCCCACCGGTGTCGTCAGTTGGCATGCCCCCCTATAGCAGCCCAGATATCCAAGACTCAGCTCAGGTATTTAGACGGTGACACAACCCTCCGCGCCGTGTCTTGGGAGGGAGGCCCTTATCCCGACTGCGTCTGCGTTTGCTGCGTTTGTCGTTTTCTTATCAAGTGATTCACAGCGCCTGCTCGAGTGACGAGTCTGTCAGACCTGAACTTGTCCCCATCGTACAGGATTGCAACGACACACTCGCGACAATGGCTCTTCTCACGCGGCTTCTTGTGCTCATCCCGCTGGCCCTGTCCATTGTGGGCATGGTGCTATCCGCCCTGTCCCTCTTTGCGGGCCACAAGCAGGGCTTCATGGAAGACTACGCCATCGCACGTGTACGTCCAGCCACACTCTGTCACTGACGCTTCTCCGAGAGCGCACACTGACTGACCTCGACAGCTCAATGTGTCCATGATGGGACAGGAGCTCCTCCCCACCAGCAGCGATGAAGTTGAAGAGGAGGAGGGCGACGGTGACGACGGTTTCCTCGACAGCGTGGGCGACAAGATCTCCGACTTGAAGGACGACGTGATCGACTACGGCAACGACCTGCTGGGCGACGGCGTGGACCGCGTGACGGAGGAGCTCGGCATCGCGGATTGGTACTCGATCCACGTCATGGACTCGTGCGAGGGCTACTACGAGCCCAACGTGACCGACGCCAACCCCTCGCTCAACTCGACCGGCTGCACCGACTCGGAGCCCGGCCAGCGCTTCAACCTGTCCAAGATCCTCGACAAGCAAATGTCCCTGGGCCCTATCGAGGTCAGCATCAACGACCTCGGCTGGACGCCCGAGGTGCAGGAAAAACTGGACATTCTCAACGACGCGCTCCTCGGCCTCTTCATCCTGTACGTCCTGGGCATGGGTTTCAGCGGGCTCGCCATCCTCGGCTGCATCGCCGCCTTCTTCCTGCCCGAGAAGCGCGCCGTCCACCTGGCCAACTTTGTCGTCGCCACGCTCGGCGCGCTGTCCCTGCTCGTGGCCAGCATCCTCGTCACCGTCGCCGTGACAAAGGGTGTCAACGAGATCAACGACGTGGCCGAGGCGATTAACATTGAGGTCGACCGCGGCACCAAGTTTTTGATCATTAGCTGGGTCGCCGCCGGCGTGCTGCTGACGACTGTCATCTTCTGGGCCGTCAAGCTCTGCGTCGCCTGGCGGGCCAACAAGCCCTTTCGCCGGTCCGAGAAGGGGATGGGCGGTTACCACTCGTAAGGGGGCGCGTGATACCCTATAAGCACGACCTGGGACATGGTCTGCCCATCTCAAACTCGAAGGAATGAAGCTACGATCTGATGATACCTGGAGACACTGATGTTTCAACTGTAAACCCGCCTTGTGGAAAGGAGGCTCTATGTATTGACTACTACATGATGGGACTTGAGCGAACCTTATTTTTGATACCACCCACGTTAGCGATGAGATAGACTATGAAATTCAATTCCTTCCTACTTGCTCATACCATCCATTCATTTTTCGGTGCCAAGATGAATCGATCTAGGCCATCGCGACAGTCGTAGTCTCGTACATCATGCATATGCGCCCAGGAGCCAGGGTCTCCCCGCTTGCGTCAGTGGCTTCATCACGCCGCGGGGGTCGATCTTCACCGCAGCTGGCCTTATCAGCAATCTTTCTCCCTAAAACAAATGGATGCCGAGACCCTCACTACTGTGAGCGCCTCGCCCACGTCCATCCACCATGGATACGCTCAAGAATATGCTTCGCCTGCGCCCGGAGCCTTCGACGCAGGGCTCAGCGGCAGGCCCGTACCAGTCCGAATCCTCAGAGACGGAATCTCTGCTCGGGCGTGGCCGACGCAAGGCGCAGCGTTTCTGGGATGGCTTTGTCGACTTTGCGTTCCAGGGCAACGTCCTCCAGGTTGCGTTCGGATTGATGTACGGCCCCGTCCACAGCAGCAACAAAGGCCCAGTGCTAACCGTCGTAGCCTCGCGTCCGTCTTCACGGACCTCGTCAAGTCGTTTGTGGGCGACATCCTCATGCCGCCCATCTCCATCATCCTGCCGCTCAAGCACAACATTGAGGAGAAGTTTGCCGTGCTGCGGCCGGGCCCCTGCTACAACGCCACGTCCGGGTACAACACGCTGCAGCAGGCGCAGGGGGATGGCGCGGTGGTCATGGCGTACGGCTCCTTCATCTACCAGATTGTGTCGTTTCTGATGATTGGCCTCGCGCTGTACTCCATGGCGCATCTATACATGCTGCTCTCGGAGGAGCCGATTATCAAGCGCACCAAGAAGTGCACGTACTGCCGCCAGTGGATCAACGAAAAGGTACTATGAGACTGCCATTTTTCTTCTTCTTTTTTTTTTTCTCTTCTTTTTTTCCCTTCCTCTTGGGATATCTCGCTGATTCTCCAGGCATCGAGGTGTATCAACTGCACGAGCTGGCTCGACGGGCGGGAGGACAGGGTGCAATACTGAAAGTATAGAACAGCAGAGGGTATCCAAATAAATGAGCGATCACTATCCACTATTTACAGCAGGCCAGCCACGCCGACCACAGCCGCCAGCCCAGCAATGAGGGTGCTCTGGCCCAGCTGAGAACCGGCGTTGTCGCCGTCAGCTGTCTCCGTGGGTGTCTCCTCCGCATCGCTGCCTGTCTGGGACGGCGTCTCGACGATGGTCGTCTCGATGACGGTCGTCTCCTCGGTCGCGGTGCTCGTGGCGGTGGTCGTCGCCTCGACGGTGCCCAACTTCTCCACACCTCCCGTCACGGGCACGGGTTGGTACAGTTCGCTGAGACCCTCCATTGTGCCCTCCGTGCTTGTGGAGAGGGTCGTGCCATCAACTTGGCCGCTCTGCATCACGGTGCAGGAGAGGACGTCTGCCTTTCGGTCGGCGTCGCAGCTAATGTCCTGGATGCTAGATTTTTTTTCTCATTGTCAGCGACCCTTTTTTCTTTTCCCCACGGACTGGCTGGCGGCAGCAGCAGCGACAACGTACATGGAACCGTCTGCGGGCGACATGATGAGCTGGGCGCTAAAGGTGCCGTCGCCCTGGATGATAGTCCGGGGAACCAGGCCGCAGCTGTCCTGGTCGTCGCAGTCCATGGCAAATGTCGTCAGCGCGTCCTCGACGGCGACGACGGACGCGTGCACGGCCTTGGCCTCGCTGCCCATGAGCATAATGTCGACGGTCGTTGTCTGGGCGGCGACGAGGGTCGTGAGACCGAGCACGGCGAATCCACGAACCATGGTGAGCAAAAAAGGATGTCAGTTGAGTGAGCGACAATAAGTTGGGTAATTGGTTTTCTTGGGTGTCGTTTGAGAGATGGAAGAGAAAGGATGGATGAGTCCCATTCAACCTTTGGCGCGTGGGAACTCACGTATACATGCAGAGTCTTGACAAAGTCCCGAGGCGCAGGGGTCATGATCCTGCCTGTCAACAAGCTTGGCGCAATTTGGATGGAAGTTGTGGTTGCATTACATCACGTCAAGCTGCAGGATTTGTCCTAATAATTTGTGCATACCTATTCGACGCCACCACCATTCACCCTGAACCGTAGGCCTGCAGCGATCAAATGATTCACTATCAGAAGCTTGGAACGTCGCGTGTTGTACTTTGCCAACGCTGCCATCAAATGGTGACACGGCAGAGCGTCACAACGTCACGCATCCGAAGGGGAGAGTATTGATCTTGGCGGGGAATCCTCTTGTGACGGACATTCGGCACTAGGTGATGTTCAGCACGTCCGAATGGAACATCATGGTTGATAGACAGATGTGAGCAAGATTCTAGCGAGTCTACTAAAAGCTCATACCTGACCTGCAAGAAAAGTTATTGGTACCGGGCTCAGCCGCTTTCCATGTCTAAGACAGAGGTGCACAGCTTGATCGTACTCTGATCCATCATCACATGCAAACCAATCTGCGGCGTTTAGTACTGTCAAAGCTCGGAAAGGTTTTTTTTATTTAATTTTTTTTTTTTTTGTTAAGGAGGAGACTCAAAACTCGGATGGCTACTTGCAGAGTAAAAGTACGGAGTACCTTGTCACCTATTTCGCGCGACTTAGTATGGAGCAGCGCTAAAGAGTAGGAGCCCACCCTAGCTGCAAGGGACCACGAGCATGATTTCTTTTTTGGAGAACAGTGGCCACCGCGGCGCACCATCTACTTTTCTTGTTGGGTTGTCGCAATGTTGGTAGCACGCATGCTGGGTGATTATTGAGGTACAAATCCCCCGCCGCTTGTTGCTCAGGCTAGCTAGCTCCCGTACCAGGAGTGAAAGGTCTGTTGTTGTATGCTGGTGTTTCGATTCAGTCAGCCAGGGAAAAGGATGGCACGTGGTCACCGCACACCCACGGAGGCTAAGTAAGTAAGTAAGGGTTGATCTTTGTCTCAAAAGGAACGAACTACGTACAGCGCTACTGGTAGCCTGGCTTCATGTTCGCAGCAACTACATGTACCCGTTGAGTTTCAGTTCTCAATAGCGGAGTGCCGCGGGAATAGCGGGCTCGCAGGTGAGATACGGAGGATTTGTTTGGCCAGCCCCAGCAGATCCACCCCGATCGCCAAGGCAAAGAGGGTCCGGCCAATCCTCCCGATCGGGCATCGGCGCAGATGCAGGCCCAGCTGAGCCGTCTGAGCGAGTCTGGGGTCCTTCCACAACACCAATCAGTGGGCGCCCGCCGCTGTCCAGAATCTTGCGCTGCCGACCATGTCCGCAGGTAATGGAGGGCATGGCGACAAGAGGTGAACCAGAGCGGAGCAAGGGAGGAAGGACACCCAACGCAGCTTGGGGGCTGCATGGCCGAGGCTGATCGTTGGTTCGAGATGTACTCCGTAGAAAACTGTGATATATTGGTGGTTGCCGCATCCAGATATCTCCAGTCCACTTCGTGTTGCACCCTACCGACTCGTACTTCGCAATAGCGCCCTCGAGCCCTCCTCGAGTCTCGACAATGTCAAATCATGAGCACCTCGCCCAGTACCAGGGGCAGATAGTCCCGCAAAGCTACCACGTCGGATTCGTCGTGCTGAGTTGCCTGGTGAGCTTCGTCGGGGCTGCCTCGACGCTTGAGCTCATCAATCGTCGTACTGGATTCCGGGGATGGTTCAACAAGTCAGTGGCCTCTCTCTTCTCTTCTCTTCTGCTTGTGCTTTGTGTCTTGGGCCACTAACTGACAGGGACAGCCTCCTGCTCGTAAGCTCTGCCGTGACGATGGGTGGCGTCGCTATATGGTCCATGGTATGTGCGTGGCGCGAAGGGCGCGCATCCTGCTCGCTCGCTCGCTCGCAACCATTTGATCCAATCCTTGCTGACTGGGCGGTGATCATTAGCACTTTGTAGCAAACAGGGCCATGGAACTAGCATCCGGAGAGCCAGAGATGCAAGTCTCGTACTCCCCAGGCTTCACCGTGCTCTCCTTCTTTGTGCCGATACTCGTCCTCCTGGCAGCGTTCACGGCCGTCGGATCCAACGATCACATATCCTGGTGGAGGATTGCTGTCGGGGGCACCATCTGCGGCGGCGCTGTTTGCGGCATGCACTATCTCGGCAACGCCTCCATCGCCAACTACCACTGTGTCTACAACGGCGTCAACGTGGCTGGCGCCGCTATCATTGCCGTCGCCGCCAGCACCATTGCTCTCACCATGTTCTTCGTTTTCCGGTCCATGTGGGCCAACGCATGGTGGAAGCGCATCATCTCGGCCGTCATTCTCGCCAGCGCTGTTTCGGGGATGCACTGGTGTGCGGCTCTCGGAACCGAGTATAGGTTGATTTCTCCCAACAAGGGGGGGACCGACCGCGACGCCATAGTCATCGTCGTCATTTGCCTGGTGCGTTCTCTTCTCCTCGCTCCATCATGGGGATGCTTCATTTCTAACTTGCTGCTCTGTGACCAGGGACTAGCTGCATGCCTCATCGTCGCCGGATTGGTCGCTCTCAAAGCCAGAAGTATGCGCAAGTCGGCCCGGACAGCTCAGCAGATTAACCTCGCCGCGGCTGTCTTCGATAAGCAGGGGCGGGTGTTGGTCGACACAAATGGCCTCATGCCTAGCGTGGTTGTTACGGATTCGTTCCTCGAAAAGGTGAGTCGTATTCCGGCTTGGCCAGACCAGACGTATCCGACTGGCAACATGAATTAAACTTCGCGCCCAGGATGGCAAGAGTGGTTTCAGCGTGTCTCACCCACTGTTCCTCTGGATGTTCCAGGCGTCGAGAAACTGGGCCAGCATCTCGAGTCTGATAGGCGGCATGAAATCGCATCTGAGCCAGCTGCCGCACTCCGGTCGCGGGAAGAACGGCAGCCTGGGCATCGATCTCATCAACAATCTCGGAGAGCTGGTGGACGATTACAATGTCATCTTCCGAGAGCTCTTCTGCGTGGCCGCACTGACCTTGGCAGAACGGCTGGGGGAGCCGCTCCCTTCGACCAGAGTATTGTGGGATGAGATCCTCGCCACAGGAGCGAAGAATGAACACGAGCACCCCGCGACCAACAAGCGGGCACGCACGCCACCAGACTCGCCCGTCAATACGACTGATCTAGCGGAGAAGGGGGGAATTGAGCGCCCACAAGAACATGGGCGCGGTTTGTTGATGTTCTTGGTCCGGCGTGTGGAGAGCGATGGCGAGGTTGACCGCCTGGCCTCGGCAGGTTACCGATTTGCCGAAGTGCGTCAAGTGAGTGGCTTGATTCGGTCTGGCATGCAGATCCAGTCTCCGGATGTGGAATCCAAGTTGCGAAGCATGGCCACATGCGCGGACCAGCACTTGGAGTCCCCCCTCGCTGCTGTCAGCCTGGGCTTCTTTGCCATCAAGGCGAGCATCGACAGGTCTGGGTTTTACCTGCTAGCACAGAAAGGGGCCATGGGTTCGCTTCCATCAACGAGTCTGCCCGTGGCCAAGCTCGAGGCGTGGCATCAGGACTTGTTGAAGCGGTTCGACGGCATGTCCGTGTCATACATCTTGCATGCCATTGCAACGCCAGCAGCAGCGGAGGAAATGATGGGGCCACGGGAAAAGGCATTTGCCAGCCAGCTCGCCAGCACCATACAACGGCTGCGAAGCACCATCCAGGATCCCTTGTTCGACGATGCGGTGCTGACATCGACCCCCCTCACCGTGCCATACCTCGACCACGCCGGCGTCGAGACGACCAGGAAGCTCTTGGCATTTCGACTCCTGATTCCACTTCACAGTGCCATACGCAGCCCCGTCTGCGCGCTCACCCCCCTCAGTCTATTCAAAGTTCGTCAGCTGTCACAGCAGCAACGGTTGGAGTTTGTGCAGGGTGTCCACCGGGACTTGGGGCCCTTTGTCAAAAATCTACCAGACGATGCGGCTACTAGACGCGGAAAAACAGAGCAACGTGGCTGGTCAAAACGCTTGCGAGGCACGCTGCCGGAGCCAGCGATGTGGGCAAGGGGCGCCCCTGTGGACATGGATGTAGACGACAAGCTCATTTCGACAATATCGCATCGGCGACTGTCGTCTTGCCGATCGGATTCTACAGCGGATCTGTGTCCTCCGGGCAGCGGCAGAAGTATGAGTTTGGGGGCCGACGACGACGACAAGGCCGCAGCGGATCCTGCAGCAGTCCAACGGCCGCCGACTGCCGCCGCGCCACAGCCCTACAGCGGCATATTGGTGTCGCAGGAGGTGACAGTCCACGACGAGGCCGAGGATACAATGGACTACGAGATGTATCGACGCTCGGATCGGTCGCGCACCACCAATATCTGGAACCCGGCGAAAAGTTCCCGCAGACTAAGAGGAACCGAGTTGAAACCAATCCGGCCAGGGCAGACGCGTGTGATGGGAGGGTGGCGAGCAGCCCTTGGTCACTCGCCGACCTTTGTGGACGTGTTGTTTGCGCAGTGTGTAAACAGCCATTCATGGGACACGGAGGAAGGCGTCTTTGGCTAGGTTCCTATTGTATTAGCAGAGCCTGGCTATTGGGATATGATCAATCTTATGACGATCTGGAGTAGAGAAATGTACAACCTCCAAGGGGTGAAATTCTGAACAATTGGCTGGCTTCGGCGACGAACTCGTAGGGTAGCGAGTGCGGTTTCCACCAAGGTGCTCTGCGCTATTTTGAACTTTGGGCGGGCAACTCTAATAAAGTTCGCAGGCAGGATTAGGCATGCGTGGAAATGGTGAGTCACCAGAAATGACTCCTGGGTTGATGCCTGTTGAAGGATGGAAGGATTCATCACCAATGCGCGATCAGATCACGGACGCGACGGGCCCTACAGGGTAAGCATGAAGACTGAGAAACGGTCCTGGCCTGGCCATCTCAGGAGTTGGTCAGTAGTCATTCAACCCCCGACGCACGCCAAGAAGACATTTTGTTGGCGTGAGATTTCACAGACGCCACGGTGCGCCGCTTGGCACGGCGCGGCTGCCCGCGTGACCCAGCGACTGCCAGCCTGACAAGTGCCAGCCGCCAGCCCAGGGATCCGATGGATAGATCGACAATCTGCGCGCCTCAACGACCAAGGTACCTGGTACGCGATGCCCAACAGAGGCTGTGCGTCCGTGACGAACGACGCTCTCTCTCTCTCTCTGCCTCTCTCTCTGAAGCGCTGCTCACAAAATGCCAGAGATGGAAGAAAGACGGCCGGAAATGAATCAAATGTCTAGGCGCTTGGCTGCTTGGGCCAAATGTCTTGGCACGTTGCCGTGAAGAGCGTAAAGAAGGACTGAACCCCCCCCCCCCCGAGGCTCTTGGCCCTTGACGCTTGGCACTTGGCGTCGTCGTCGTCGTCCCTAGCTAAGCTCGTGGTCACAGGAATCATTTCTCTGCTTAACCCTCCCCGTCTCATCAGCTCTTCTCATCCTCCCTTCTCGACCATGAACATCAGGTCTGCTTCCCTTTTGCGTCCTCCTCCCGCCGCCGTCGCCGCCCAGCAGCACCAGCCCTCGACTGCAGCCATCACCACCGACAAATTCCACCGCGGCTGAAAGCAGGCTGAGAGTCGTCTTGATCAGCGTTCGGCTCAATTCCCTATGCGTACACAGTCGCACTCGCAAACGACAGACAGCAGACGCGAGCTAGAACTAAATTGTGTTCCGCTATATTGGAGACCACGACGACTACCACTTGCCATGCGCTCCACCCGCTCATGCGGGTCCCACCGCCCTCGACATATTCAGCTGCTCTGCTTCGTCCTCTTCGCTCTGTTCTTGCTGGCCCAACCTGCCTCAGCTGAGGATACTGGCGGAGACGACGACAGCGAATATAAACCCGCGGTGACGCCCACGCCGACGACGGGGCCCATCTACCTGCCTCACTATGATGCCGACGACTGGGACCTCGTGAGGGGAAGCATCGTCTCAAAAGTGCGTACTAGACAGGACACGGTGCTCTGGATGGACGCCTGCGCCCTGCGGCTATTGAGGAGCCCTGTTGGCTAACGTCGGGGCCTCGCCCCCCCCTCTTGCAGAACGAGCGCTTGAACGAGACAACCTACACCATCTTCTGCCCGACGCAGACGCCGCCCGCCTGCGAGATTGACATGGACTTTCCGTTCATCGTGGTATGCGGCGAGAGCACGGTCCGCTTCCACGGCACCGTCACCTCGACATAGTGAGTCTTGGACTGGCCTTGGAGGACGCAGACGGGGGCTGACCCCAGACCTAGCACTGTCAACGTGGAATGCGAGTTTAGCGAGACGACAGAGGTGACGTGCTCCGGCTACTCGAGCTTCGCGCCCGACTACTCGAACGCGCCCCGCAGCGGACCGACGGAGCTGTCGTGGAAGTCGACGCTCGAGGGCACTGGCGTCGAGTGGGGTGTCCTCACCATGGCCGACAAGCCCACGAGGACGGCCGACTCGCTGGGCATGACCTTCACGACCGCCTCCCAGGTGTTTGAGTCCGGCGAGCAGTATCACATTCCCGAGGAGACGGACAAGCCTGACGCGGCTGCGGGACTGGCCAGCGGGACATGGGCGTACGCAGCCGCCTTATGGAGTGGCGTGCTCGGACTGTACATCTTCCTGTGAGGAGATGGGGCCATGTTCATGTCCACGTTGGACGCCGATCGGCGATATGTATTACTGGGGTACTACGGAGCCCCATTTGAACGACTCACGGCCGATACACATACACATACACATACATACACACAACAAGCATCATTGCATGGAGCGTGGGGACCGGGAGAAGACGAGAGCGTGCGTTGGGAGCCAAGTTTTTATCATGAAGTATACCCCCACCCGGCTGGCGTTTGGGACGCGAGATTGAATGAAATTGGCGTTGCATTTCGCACGTGGCCTGGCCCTCCTATGTGAAGTTTCATGTTAACGCGTATCCCCCATCCACAACCAGGTTCGCCCTTCATCATGTAGCTGCTCGCGTCGCTCGCCAGGTAGACATGGGACCCCTTGAGCTCGGGCGCCGAACAAAGCCTCGCACCGGGGATCATGGAGAACCACTTGTCGCGCCACGCCTTGGGATGCACGTCGAGCATCTCTGTGGACCGCTGACGCTGGCCGTGAAGATGATGCTGCCGCCGCGCGTCTTGTTGCGTGCCTTCATGACGTGGGCCGTCGCTTGCGCGGTCCAAAAGCAACGGGCCCCCCCTCTTTTCCATGTTCACGTCCATCATCTGGTGGAACTTGTCCTCGGGGCAGTCCTCGGTGGCAACGTGGTCCGCGATGCCCGCGTTCGCTACAACAATGTCGAGACCACCATCGCCGAGGTCCGTCGCGGCCTGCTGCGTGACGGCGTGGACGGAGGCCCGGTCCGTCACGTTGCACCGGTACGCTTTGACGAGGCGGCCGCCATTCTCGGACGACGGGGCTTTGGTCAGGGCGGCGATCTCGTCCGGCGTTGTGGCTGAGTACGTGAACCCGACGGACGCGTCGGCTTCGAGGAGGCCATGGACGACTTCGAGACCGATGCCGCGTGATCCGCCCGTGACAGGGGCCGTCTTGCCGCGTGATCCGCCCGTGACAGGGGCCGTCTTGCCGCGTGGACTCTAGATTCCGTCGCGGACCATGATGGCATCCGACAGACTGACGATAGAATGAACAGAGATGCCCACGACTTGGATGGCAAAGTGTTCACATCAACTAAAGGTGGCTTCACGCGCATCAGATTGTGATCATATTCGACATGGTAATGGGGAACACGACGTCCTCGCGCCCGTCTGCTCAATGAAGGCTGGAGGTGTGATGCCTGATGGTAGAGTCATTGTATAGGGTACGTCAATACATTAGACGTCAGCGTCAACCCTTTTTCTCTTCCGTCTCCCGCAAGGTATTCTTGCGCTACTCCTGCCGCGCCCCACCTCATAGGTGGTGGGCGCGGCACGAGTAGTAGCAGTTCTAGGCTAGAATAGGCAAAGCTAGTCTAGAAGCAGCGACCTCCTTCGTTATACGGTATTTAGTAGGGCGGAGTCCGGACCTTCTCCCGTGATAACGCAAGCCTGCGCAGCTTCCTTGTATTTTATATATCAAACATTCGCAAGCCGCTTCGCAGGCTTGCTCAATTAGTATTATCATCACCTCCGCATTACGATTATCACTTGTTGTGCCCCTTGCTGAATGCGAATTTCTTGTGACGTATAAGCGACAGACTTTACTCGGGTAAGACATAATTATAAGTTGCACGAGGTATGTCAAGGGTGCATACACCATAGATATAGCATAGCTATCTTCTGTTATTCTGCGATAGCATGCGGTTGTATATAAAGTCATGGGCAAGATTCAGCCCTGATGATGAAAAGAAACTGCGTAATTTAGGCCACCAAGTTCATCGGCCATGGTGCGCCACTCTTATGACAAACTCGCAGTCCGATGATATTATCAAATGTTTCCTTGTTCTGAGAGACGTGCGTATGTTCGCTATCAATGGCATAATTTCCTCATGCACCATGTTATGGCGTGCAACCACCGGTACCGAAGCCAAACCTGCCACAGATTTTGCCGTAGAAAACATCAACTAGAGCTACAGAGAAAGGGTGAGATCGTTTGAACATGATCAATATATATGATTGGGGATTGGGACTTACAGTTCCGGGTGTCGCTAATCATGCCAATCCACCCTTGGTTATCACACAGGTCAGTCCCATGACGAAGAATATCGGCGAGCCCGCTTCGTAGAATAGCCAAATCGGGCTTCTTTTGCTCAACAGCAATAGTACAGCCGGCAACAACTTCGCGGAAAGGGAGCGCGATATAGCCATCCTGGGCTTCGATCTCGTTGGCAGCATCACGGCAGTTGTCCGCGTGGACAGCGGGGTTCCAGCCTCCGCAGGACAGACCCGGCTCAGGGCTGTCCTGTCTCTTGTTCAATTCGGAGGATGGCTCAAGTCCCATGTCGGCAACGTCTCGTTTCAGGGGGCCCTGACCCGGATCATCGCATGTAGCGCATACACCGTACGCGCAGAGCTCGCAGCGGTAGACCGTCACCTATACACAAGCATGTTAGTAATCAATTGCAGAGCTAAAAGGTGCCATTGAATATCTTGCCTCGTTCCCACGCTGGTAGACATAGCCAGGGCCACCACACGTGTCCAGGACCTCCATAATGGAATCTTTGTAGAGTTGACCTTCGATAGAACCGCTAAAGCCGATCCGGTTGACGATATCGATGATACAGTTTCCGTATCGAAACTGAGCGATTTGCTTGTAATAGCCTGATCCAGTATTGATCATCTCGGCGGCACCGCGGCAGTCGTCAACGTTGAGCTCGTCGTCTCTTGAATCACAGTACACTTGCCCGTCTTGTTGGCGAGCTTCAATGGTAGCACCAAAAACGAGTGACGCCATGGCCGAAATGATGAGGAATAAAGATGAATGCATAACGGCGTTTGTGGTTAACAAGACCGTTTCTTATGGAGTGTCTCTGAAATTGAGCGCTGCGATCTGTTGGTGAGCTGGTTTCTCTCCAATTAGAACGCGATCATTGGGGGACTTTATAATCTTGAAGTAGCCGTCACTTCCAATTTAGCCAACCTTGCATTTGTATAAACTAGGCGAAATTGCGTCAGACCGTCTAAGATGAGATAACGCCAAGTTTGCCAAAGATGCGTGGCGATATTTGAGTAGATCATTTCTTCATTCACCTTGTAGTTGTTGCGAGATAAGGAAGCTATAGAAAAGATACCAGACTTGGCAAGGCATTTGGATCTCACCAAGACCTATAATAGACTTGGCACCTCTTGGAAATGATGCAATGCGTATGTGGTAATCTTGGCGCTTACATGTATCATCAATGGACATAGTCTCATTCACATTGCTCCCACACCTCATCTTGGTAACTTACATGGATTGATAGGTATAGCAGGCCTTGGCTAGCGAGTCACAGTGTGAAGGATCAGGAGCCTGCAGCAATATACTTTGGAGTACTGGATCAACGATTAGGCTGGAAGTAGGGACGTGGACACCTCGGAACAGACGGCACCCGCACTTTTGCCATGCCTTGAGGGGTTTAACGGCACTGTAGCAAAGGGGTTGTAGCGATTGGGACGATTCGGTTGCGATTGTGAGCGGGCAATCGTGAGTTGGAGGAGCTAGCTAAGACCAGCGGATCTTGGCCTTGCCTTTGGACCTTTTGCGGACTGGAAGCCTGGGCTGCTATATGACGAACAGCCGCCCGATGGTATCGATCATGACGTGGGGTAGAAGCTGCCAGGGAAGAAAAGGCCGCGATCGATCTGGAATCGAAGCCCAGGGTAGTACTATGGTCCCGAACGTTTTGAGAGCATGTCTCAGGATTGGTGCCACTTTCCGAACAACTTGAATGGCAAGAAGTTATCCATGCAAATGATGTTCTACCATGCAGAGGAAAACAGCAAAGCAGCTCCCTATCCGAGGCGCGACTACCTCTTGATCCACTGAGGACAATGCTCGGATCGATGCTGAGACGGCCATTCTAGGCGAAGCTACCAGCTGGAGGCGAGTTGTTCCGCCATGACTCGTGGTTGCTACTGGCTAGTATCAACCTGGTATTTTGTCTGGACTAGGGGGCCGTCCTGTCCTGGCTTTGCCTCTTGCCAAGCGAAGCCCTGGCCAAGTAGGAATCGTAGGATGCAAGTGGGGTTCGCGGGGTGTTGTTGTCGGGGAAGAACACGCCGGTGTCGTCTGCCTCGTCAACAACCATGGAAAGCATGAGTTGATGTTGTCCCCTCTGCAGCTAGTTGGCGGCGAGCAGAGGCTGGAGAATAGAGGAGACGGCGAAACCATGCGAGGCCGACCGATGGGCCTCGTTCTCCTGGCGCCTCGTTGATGGAGCGGGCGCGGCGCCACGGGCCGTCCCGCGACCCACAGCCCGTGGCGGAGACGGCAAGCCGCGCGCATAGTATCGAGCTCCAGTCGGCATCGGCGCAGGAGAGCACCGAACGCCAGCGGCAGATTTGCAACGTCGGTCGCGGCGGTCGTCCTCCAACGCTCGATGGGTGGGCTCATCGTCGCATGATGACAGCGCCGCCCCTCGGCTCGACATGATGGGCACGTCGGACCAGGCCTGCAAGGAGTGTCGGCGACCCAAGGCCCGTTGCAACCGTGACCTGCCGACGTGCAACCTCTGTCTCAAGTATCGCCGGCATTTCCTGCCTCTACGAGAAGCACGCACCGACGGCCCTGACGCGCAGCTACGTATTGTGGCCCCCACCGCAGCAAACATGAACATTGACCACCAGACCTGTGCTGACCTAGCAAACACCTCACCGAGGTCAAGACGCGCCTCGAGAGGGCCAAGGGTCTCGTTGGGCAGATGCGCAGCTGAGGGCGGACAGTGACGAGGGGGCTTGGACGGGCGGCTACAATGCTGAATGATCAGGTATCTAGGTGAAATGCTAGTTCTGTTCTACCAGGCCCTCCCCTACTTGCTCTCTGTCGCGCCCAGCGCCGGATGCCCCTCGACGACCTGCAGCGTCCGCGCCCACGCGTCGTCGCCATACAGCGCGGTACGCAGATACGCAGAGGAGACGCGCTGCACAATAGCCAGACGCTCGGGACTCTCGTCATCCGTCTCGGCCGCCGACCAGCCCGCCACGCCGCCAAAGCCATGCCCACCACCACGGACCTTGAACAGGTCCTTGGGACCGGGTGCGTGGGTGTAGCCGTCCCAGTGCCAGTCGGGTCCCCTGTCGGTGAGATGGGGGCTCAGATCCGCGTCGCCGGCCATGATGAGCGCGGGCGTCCGCATGGTGCCAAAGTCGACGTGGTAAAAGGGAACCATGGTACGTCCCTTGTCTGACAGGCTGGCGCCCCCGTGGCCCGTGCCGCCGAGGACGACGCCCGCCTTGATGCGCGGGTCGTGGGCGCGGACGGTGGTGCCCGTGATGGGGGACGTATTCGTCGCGCCGAGGAGGAGACTGGCCGTGAAGCCGCCGAGGGAGTGGCCGGCAAGAGCGATGTTGGCCTTGTCCAGGCGGCCGCGGAGCTGAGGGACAAGATTTTCGAGGGTGTCGAGGTGGTCGATGAGGAAGCTGATCTCGACGGGGCGATCCTGCCAGAACATGCCATTGTCAGCAGCGGGCGGGGGCAGACCCAGGCTGACGGCAGCGAGGTGGGTGGGTAGGAGGACGACGAAGCCCTGCGAGGCCCAGTAGTGGGTGAGGGGCTCGTAGCCAGCGAGCGAGTTGAGCCAGTTGCTGCGGCCCATGCCGTGGGAGAGGATGACAATGGGGAGGGGTCGCGACTCCGTGTCAGAGGGGAGTACCGGGGCCGAGACGCGCAGCTGGAGGTCGACGGGGCGGTCGGGGTAGGGGATGGTGACGGGGACGACGGTGAAGACGGGTAGAGGGGGCTGCGTGGGGAGGAGGGAGGCGGCGCCCATGGCTGCGTGGTCGGGGAAAGGCATGATGGTTTGTAGTTGTCCAAATGGCTTGGGATGGCTTGGATTGTGGCGTGTCTGGAGGGGCGCTCATGGTATTTTATAGCACTAGACGTGCCCAGGGTCTGTCGAGGAGGATACTGTCCTTGCGGCCGGACTTAATAATCGGTAGTTGTGATGTGTCAATACACCCATCAAAATGCCTGCGAAATACTGCCTAGTATTCTGGTTGGTAATCCAGCAGATACTAGGAGCGCTGGACTCTGGCGATATTTCCGGACGCTGTCGTCTATCTCCGTGCGAAGAAGTCCGTGAGAAGTCCGTGAGAAGTCCGGCCTCCTGTAGGTCCGGCGTCCCCCTGCCGGGTGGATCCACATCTTCCCGGTCACGGCCGACTATGCCCCGCTCCATGTCCGCCCAGACCTCCGTCAGCACAGTGGTGTAGCAGGCCTTCCTGTACCCGCGAATGGCTTCTCAGCGCAACCACTGAGCCAAGGAGAGCAGCAAAGATGCTTTCGGTTGGTCTCTTTAGGAGATAACTCAACTCGGTTTATTGATATTGGCAGTTGATATGACGATTAATAGCCGGCGTCCCTGTTGATGTATGCCTGCCACACGGGATGAAGCTGCGAGCCTACAACTGCGAGCTCGTGTTTCTTCTCAAAAGCAACGACAATATCTGCCGCAGTCAATGGCTGAATAATGCGGGGGGTTTTCTATAGCTAACTCTTTCAACTATTGATGATATCAAAACTTAAGTCTCTGCGTGCTGTGTGATCCTTGGCTGCAGTTCTGAGTTCTGATGCAACGCTCCCCTGTCATACAGACTACCCTAGAGAAAGAAGCAATGGGACACGACCGCATGTGCGGCATACCATCTGTGTATATTTATTTTGAGCGCAAAAAATGTCTCATAAAGGATCATGTGTAGAAACACTTGATTTGGAATCATTCAGAGCGCAAAGGGATGCTGAAATGAACGTGCTTTATTATCCACGCCTCACAATACTGTCCGTGATAAGGACAAACAAAGCGGGTGCTTTGTGCATTTTGCTTGCATCCAGCGTAGAACGAGCTTGGACAAATTATAAGCGTAAAACATACTGCCCGCAGTTAACCAGCCAAATGTGAACATAGTTTTGACCTTTCTGATAGACATGGCCTTGTTACTGAGCGGCTCGAACAAGGAGTCAATGACGCTGCGTTTCGAGTTTCAAGTTGGAGCGTCTTATGCAAGCGCCTTCGAGGGACACGATTCGCGAATAGAAACGTCAGACAGACGGGGGTCGAACTCCGCTTCCATGTCTCTCCCCTCACACTCTCTCGGTGTCTCCTCCAATTGATCAATCGGCGCGGCCTTTCCTGGCCTAGGGTCTTGGCCCCCTTGGCCCTACTTTTCCCCGGATCTTCCTCAATACCTGGCTGGTGCTTCAATCCGCTGCGTCATGGTGCCGCGCGCTCAAACAAAGCGCCTCTTTTTCTGGTTGTTCGGCGCTATCCGTAGAACGAGAGACAAGGCGAGATGGCGCAGGGCAAGGCAGCGCACCGACTGGTCATCGTGTCACCGTCTGGTCCATGATCCATCCATCCATCCATCTATTCACGGCGGCTGAATGCGCTGTCCGACTTGCAGGCGACCTTGCACCATGGTGTAACGGTGGATGGGCCATGGCACACGTATAACACCCAGCACCGCCCGCGATCTTGGTGCTGTCAGATGATGGCTGTCTGTCCGACCACCACCTCTTGGCCTCACCTCTTGGCCTTCCTCTTGGCCTCACCTGTGGCTGACCTTTCACTCACCCAGCCCGGCGCTTTCTCTTCTGATCCTGTTTAGATACTGCTTTTTCATTCCTAGATAATTTCATCTTCTTTGCGTCGCACTTTGCCGTTCGCTCGAGTCTCACCCACCCTCAGTCGAAAGCGACGCGCACCTGTCGCTGGACGATAGCCTCTCTCACCCGAACGAAAGTATAAGAAAACCGACTGGTATGAAGGGATTCCTCGACATGATGATGAATCTCGAAAAATTCATCACCCTCGTGGGCAGCCTTGGGGGCGCTGCTGTCGATGGCGTCCTTCCCCCCAAGTATCTCAACCTCGACATTCCTTGTAAGCTCATCCTCACCGACACCACGCTCCTTTGACGGTCTAACCGGCGTCCGCAGACTCAATCCGCAACGTGGCCGCGACCATTGCCCACGACGCCATGACGTACTACAATGGCAACACGTCCAGCAACCCATTGGTAAGTGACCTTCACCCGCGCCCTGGCCCCTGGCCATCACACCCCTCGCAAGAGTCGACACTGACCGACGCAACAGGCCCTCGGTGATCTCCAGGAGCCGTACTACTGGTGGGTAGCCGGCGCCCTCTGGGGCACGCTCCTCGACTACTACCACTACACCAAGGACCCGAGCTACAACGACGTGGTCATCGAGGCCCTGCTGTCACCCTACAACCTCGGCCCCAACCACGACTTTATGCCCCCGGAGCACGCAAGCGAGGAGGGCAACGACGACCTCTACTTCTGGGGCTCCGCCGCGCTCGCGGCCGCCGAGCGCAACTTCCCCCAGCCCGACGCGACCAAGCCCTCGTGGCTCACCATTGGCGCCAACGTCTTCAACTCGCTCCAGTCCCGCTGGAACACCACCCACTGCGGCGGCGGCCTCACCTGGCAAATCTACCCGGACAACCCCAACGGCATGAACTACAAAAACTCCATCACCAACGGCGGCTTCTTCCAGGTCGCCGCCCGCATGGCCCGCGCCACCGGCAACGACACCTACCTCGCCTGGGCTGACCGCGCCTGGGACTGGTCCTGGGACGTGGGCCTCATCGACCACGACACCTGGCACGTCTACGACGGCGTCGACGCCGCCAGCGACTGCCGCGAGCCCAACCGCGCCAGCTACACCTACACCTCGGGCGTCTACCTCTACGGCGCCGCCGTCCTCGCCAACCACACGGGCGACCCCCGCTGGGTCGACCGCGCCACCAACCTCCTCGCCGGCGCTGAGTTGTTCTTCGACCCGTACGGCAACGCCACCGACATCCTCCACGAGGGCATGTGCGAGCCCGCGGACAGGTGCAACGCCGACATGGAGACACATAAAGCCTACCTCGCCCGCAACATGTGGCAGGCCACCTGGATGCTGCCCTCGCTCCGGCCCACCATCGAGAGGTACATGAAGGCCTCGGCTATGGCCGCTGCCGCCACATGCACCGGCGGCGCGGATGGCCACCGCTGTGGGATGAAGTGGTACGTTGGCGGGCACGACGGCAACGTCGGGCTCGGTCCGCAGATGACAGCGCTCGAGACGATTCAGGGGTGGCTGATCGAGGACGCGGCGCCGCCGCTGCGGGGCGACGCCATCCAGACGGTGAGGGGTGTCGAGTGGACGCCCGTGGACCCGTACCGGCGCGATATGTTGTAGTGTATAAATCTATTGATGCAAATGAAAGAAGTTCTACCCCAAAACGCCGTGTCCGTCTTGTCTATAGAAACCCCCCCTTTGTAGCCTATGCGATGACCCCATTAGCGGCCTTCTCCTTGGCCTCCTCCCCCTCCTGCGGCGTCTGCCCCCTGACCTCGGCCAGGACACCCTTGATCGACGCCAGGAACCGCGTCACCTCCTCCTCCGTGCCGATCGTGATGCGCAGACAGCCCAGACACCCGTGCTCCTTGCCCCGGAAGCGGACCACGACGCCGCGGTTCTCCGCGAGACGCTCATACACGGCGAGCGCCGTCGCATTGTCCGGTCGGCCCTGGGCGTCCAACATCTCGTACAGCAAAAAGTTGCTCGCCGTGCCGCCGCGCAGCCGTCCGACGCCATCGATCCGCGGCAACTCGTCGACGAGGCGCTCACGCTGCCGCACAATCTCGGCCCTGTGTCGCCGCATGACGGCCAGACCCTCCGGGCCGACGGCCACCTGCGCCAGCTCCGAGGACGGGTTGGCAATGTTATAGGGGGCCTTCATGCTGTTGAGAATGCGCGCAATGGGCTCGCTCGCGAACGCGACGCCGAGACGGATACCCGCCATGCCAAATGCCTTGGAGAGTGTCTGCATGACAACGAGGTTGGGCCACTCAGCGACCCACTCGGCGAGAGAGGCATCCTCGGGCGCAAAGTCAATGTAGGCCTCGTCGACGACGACGACGCCGTTCCAGGTCGGGTGGCGCAGCAGCGTCTCAATGTCGGCCTTGGCGAGCAGAGCGCCGGTGGGATTGCCGGGCGAGCAGAGGTAGGCGAGCTTGACGTGCGCGTCCTCGGTCAGGGTGCGCGCGATGGCGTCGACGTCGAGGCCGAAGCCCGGGGCGGGGAGAAGGGGCACCTTGACGAGGGCGACGTCGTTGACCTGGGCCGAGACGGAGTACATGCCATAGGTGGGCGGGCAGACGAGGCACTTGTCCCGGCCGGGGACGCAGAAGGCCCGGAGGAGGGCGTCAATGGCCTCGTCGCTGCCGACACCGACAAAGAGGTTCTCGGGGCCGATGGCCTTGGGCGTGTGAGCGTGCGTGTTGCGCAGGGCGCACAGGAGGGCCTTGAGATCGTGCTGGTGGGGGTCGGGGTAGCGGTTCAGGCCAGCGAGGGAGACGAGCGAGGACGAGGACGAGGTTGGCAGGGACGGGCCGTAGGCGTTTTCGTTGGCGTCGAGGAGGATGTTGGTGCCGTCATCTTTGTAGTCACTGCACGCGTGGATGTTAGCTGGGTGAATGGCAGGCCCCTGAGGGTGGTTGGCAAGGGGAGACGGACTCGCGCGCGCAGCGATAGGGCTGGAGGGCGAGGATGTTGGGGCGGGCGCAGGTCTCGAGGTTGAAGGGCGACATGGTGGTGGCGGCGTCTGCAGGGGCAGGTCAATTGACCTGGGGAGGTGGGAGCTGTTCTCTGGCGGTCCTTGGTGAGACGGGTTCTTACGGTCGTGATGTCGCGTTGGTGAAGACGGACAATGAGCATTCGTGGTCACTCCGAATCGTGGTCACTCCGAATTCGTGGTGGGGTCGGTGACTCTGCCATCATTTGGTGGGGTTCACATATTCTCGGCTGGTGCCTGGCGGGGGGGTGGCCGGCACCGGAAGCTACAGGGTCGTCACGCTAGTTCCAGGAGTCCACTGACTGCAGTCATCTGAGAACTCGGCGAGAAGAGGCCCTTGCACGCAATCGCCAGACTCATTCTGACGGCGTCTGCATTGTCTCGCCGAATGCTGTCACAGCGGACTCATTTCTGGTGGCCGAGACGCGATTATGTGCCTTCACGTCCTGCCAGAGCCCTCCACACAGCGGCCGATGTCGGACATACCGCGATGGCCGGTCTGCGCATGCCGCTCACTTGAGGAGTTGAGGACTCTCCTTTCCCTGGGCAACAGTGACATGCTTGTCGCAAATACCCATGGGGAGTATTAACTCTGTGTAGCGTCTCAAGCTCGAGTTGCAAGAGTCAAGAGAAAGACCACGCCGTATGTATCCGACTTGGATAAAAATTGACCCCTGAATCCGAGGCCGCGCATCGACGCCAGCACGACAGTGATATGACCAACGCTTTTACGTGAGCACGCAAAGACGACATGCATCAGCGCTCAGTTAGCCCAGGCTCCTCCGTACGAACTACGACGCACGAGATTATAAAATGCCTATCTCGCATCGACTCCAATTTGGGGTCCTGGACTCCTGGTCCCTTGGACACGATGGAGAGGACCCGCCGCTCGGCGATCCGTCCGACGTTGACAGCACGCGCGGCAGTGCGGCACCCTCGTCGGCACTTGATCCGCCTTTGGTTGATTGGCTCGCTACCAGCAGCTGGACTGCGAACTACTGTAGCTGCGAGATAAGGACGCTGGACGGATCTCCGTATGGCGAGGAACATTGCTCGAGAGGGTACGGTATGGCCGGACGAGTACCCCAATCCGCATCACAGTCCCGAGGATGGATCGTCTTCGTGTACACGGGCCGTGTGAGGCAGAGATGCAGACTATAAGAAGAGGCAGGCTGGCACACTCCAGCGCTGTGCCGTGTGCATCAAGTCTGTAGCATCTTCAAACCAGACACCACAAGAACATGGTCAGCTGGAAGTTCCTCATCTCCACCGCGCCGTCGCTCGACGTGCCCGGCCTGGAGACGGTCGACCTCGCCGACAGGGACATGGAGCGGCGCATCGTCCGCAAGCAAGATCTGCGCATCCTGCCCTGGATCTGCGTCACCTACCTGCTGAGTGCGCACCACGCCCGTCCAATGCGGCGTCCGAGTATTCTAACAGCAGACCAACAGACTACCTCGACAGAGTCAACCTGGGCAACGCCCGCACTCTCAACAATGACACGCCCGAGGACAACATCATCACGCAGTTGAACCTGACGGGCCAGCGCTACAACATCGCGGTCGCCCTCTTCTTTGTCCCCTACGTCCTCATGGAGTTCCCCTCCAACATCCTCCTCAAGTACTTCTCCCCCAGCCGCTGGATCTCCCGCATCATGGTCTCCTGGGGCATCATCACCATCTGCACCGCCGCCGTGTCCACCTACGGCGGCCTGCTCACCGTCCGCCTCCTCCTCGGCCTCGCCGAGGCCGGCTTCTTCCCCGGCATCATGATGTACCTCTGCTTCTGGTACAAGCCCGAGGAGCGCGCCACCCGCATGGCCATCTTCGCCTCCTCCATCGCCGTCGCCGGCGCCTTTGGCGGCCTGCTCGCCACCGCCATCTCCTTCCTCAACGGCAAGGCCGGCCTGTCCGGCTGGCGCTGGCTCTTCATCCTCGAGGGCATCCCCGCCGTCCTCGTCGGCGTCATGGTCTGGTTCTGGCTGCCCGACTATCCCCAGACCGCCGCCTGGCTGACGCCCCACGAGCGCGCCTTTGCCGTCAAGCGCCTCGGCCCCTACGCGCCCTCCATGGGCGACAAGCACTGGGACACGGCCATTGCCAAAAAGACCGTGGCCGACCCCTTCTTCTGGGTCTTTGCCGCCCAGTACTTCCTCATGGCCAACTCCCTCAACGCCTTTGGCTACTTCGCCCCCACCATCGTCGCCTCCCTCGGCTTCGAGGGCCACGACGCCCAGCTGCTCACCGTGCCCCCCAACGTGTTCGCCATGATTGTCATTATCGGCAACTGCCTGCACAGCGACAGGACCAAGGAGCGCTCCCGCCATGTGATCGGGGCCTGCGCCTTTGTCGCCACGGGCTACCTCCTCCTCGCCGTCGTGCGGCACTGGGGCGCCCGCTACGCCGCGCTCTGCATGATCGCGTGCACCAACGCGGCTGTCCTGCCATTTGTCGCGGTAAGCAAGCTTCTTCCTGCCCCTATTATCAGCCCGTACTAAGACAATCCCCACAGCACAGGACGGCCACCGTGCAGGGATCGACCGCGACCGCGCTGGCGACGGGCGGCATGATCGCCATCTCCAACACGGGCGGCATCACCGCGCCGTTTCTCTTCCCCAGCTACCAGTCCCCCATGTACAGCATGGGCAACTGGACCATCTTCGCCTTTTTGACCGTCACCGCGCTCACGACCATTTACACGTGGTACGCCTTTGGCAGCCACTCGGGGTACAGGACGGGCGGGAGAGATGCCGAGGGCAACCTGGAGGTCCTCGATGCCACGGCCGGCACCGATCCCAACGAGGTGATGAACAGGGCCATGGGGATCTCGAAGAAGGTGGAGGGCGAGGATATCTAATCGACTGGGGGCTGCGAAATCAATGGGAGAGATGTGTTGTCAAGCTTGACATGCCTTGTGACGATGTTATGTGAACTGCACTCCGGTTTCTGTTGTTTGGGGATTGTCGCTGAGGGTCCCTGGTACTGTTCAAGCCTCATGGTACATCGGAGTATGGCATACGGTCCTGAGAATAAAGGACTCCCACAACTAGGCAGCCATGGACACACTCTCAAGATTCCAGGTTGCCGATGCTCAATAGTGGTGTTGGCCACGTCACATACGTAGTGTGTACCTCTTCTACAGGAAGTGCCAGATCCGACGATGATCAACAGACGTGTCGGTCACGCCGCGATGGCCACAATGTGTGATCCCTCGTAGGTGGCTTCGGTGCATGTGCGTAGGCCACATGAAACAATACACTCCAGAGACATCGACCGCTCATGCAGGAGCCCTCGCAGACTCGAGTCGTCCAGCCCGGACGCCAAAGGTTCTCGCAGCCGGTGTGAGTCTTTGAGTTGGATGTCTGCGAGCTGGTGCGCATTGCCCGCTTCTCCAGGTGCTGGAAGCATGCGATCGGCGCTGCAACAACTGCGGGGCTGCAGAGACAAGCTGTAGTAGTAATAAATGCCCTGAGTCGGAGCGACGAGTATCCGTAGAGTAGAAAGAGGAGCCGTGGACTTGGCCTAAGCCACTGCGTTGCGGACGGATACATACCATGCAGTCGCTGTGGACGAGGTGTAGTGTGACAGAACACTGATGATGTACAGCCTCGCCTGTGAGTATCGGACCAGTATCGAGTGTGTCCAGTCGTAATTAATTCGTACCTGAGCTCCTCGTCCCGATCAGCTGCATCTGCAGGCTGCAGCTGGTCAAGCCTCAAGCCAGCTTCGCTCCGGTCCGCCCGATCCACCTGGCGCAGGATCGGACAAAACAGGACAGGACAGGACAGGTGGGCGGCCTTGCTCGACACATTTCGATTTTCAGCCAGCAGCTCTCAAGTTCTTTGCAGAATTTGCAGAACCAGGCATTGGGTGGCATTCATGTTGTATCTCCGTTGATGTTCAATCTTGTCCCTCTCTGCCAATTTAACCCCACCAGCCTGTCGCCTTCCTCAGGTAAGGGTCGCGTCGATCACGTGTTCGTATATCAAGCCGTCGCTCGACCGCCAAGCCACCCTCCCAGCCGCTAAACACCACCCTCGCGTCTCGGGACGACTTGACTATTTCGCCAAAAACCTCCCTTATACGACTCCGAAGGTTGTTGTTGAGATCGCATCTCCAGGTTGAAGATCTACATCACTCAAAGTCCAGCACGCGATACGCAGCGAGTCCCCGAGCCGGCAGTGTTCCTGTGCACGTTTTCCGCACGCATCCTTCAGGGCGCGACGTGATCATAAAGTGCGACAGCGACGCGGGGTGAGCAGCCACCATATTGCGCAAACAAAAGAATCGGCACCATCGACGACTTGCGAGACCACGCCTGGGCGATTGACCTCGAATCCTGCGATCAGCGCTCCCAGCCCGTCCCACCAAACAAGCGAAAGCGCCTTGCCCTCCCTGCATAACACGTTTGCGAGCCAGCCATGTACTCGGGCGGCTATGGCTTTGGCAATGCCGGCGCAGGCAACTTCAACAACGCCGCACCGCAGCAGCAGCAGCAGCAGCAACAACAACAGGCGCAACAGCAGGGTCAACAACAGGGCCAACCGCAGCAGCCGCAACCACAGCAGCCACAGCAGATGATGTACAACCAGCAGCAGCAGCAGTTCGCTGGGATGAACTCCCAGGGCGCGTTTCCTGGTGGCAATCCTCAGATGATGCCGGGCGGCATGATGCAGAACCCCGGGATGCAGCAGATGGCCGCCAATGGACAGAGTAAGTGCTTCGTCGTGCCACGGCGCATCAGGCTCGCTTTCCTTGTTCCATGCTGACGGGAGGGGGCGCCCAGTGGCAGGTTATCAGCAGCAGTTTGGCGGATCGCCATACAACCAGGTCCAGGTGAACCCCCCAAACTTTGCGGCCAACAACTTCATGATGGGCGCAGGCGGCATGCAGGGCTTCCAGATGCAGCAGCCTGGCATGCAGCAGACACCGCAGATGATGCAGCAGCAAAGACTGGCCCAGCAACAGGCGAACCATCCCGGCGTCAGCCAGGTGTCCACGCCGCAGAGACCGTCCAGCTCTACCCAGGGCACCCCGACGAACGCGATGCCGACGCCGCATGGCCAGTTCCAGCCGCCGCCGCCGCCGCCCGCACAGAGCCAGACGCCGACCAACTTCCAGCAGCAACCGGCCGACCAAGCCTCGACGCCCCGGACGCCGACATTTGCGCAGAATCAAGGGGCAGCCCAGGCTGTGGCGGCGCCCAGCTCGACTCCCATGAGTCCGGGGACCGAAGCGCGGGACAAGGAGAGGTTTGCGCTGCTACTCGACATCAACCACGAGCTGCTGTATGAGTCAATACAAATACAGACCTCGCAGCAAGAGATTAAAAAGGAGCTGGCGGCGGCGGGAAAATTGACCCCTGAGCGCAAGCAGACAGAGGAGGAACTGGGACTGCAGAACGACTACATTCAGTAAGGCGCCCCAGCTTGACTAAGACGTATGTGTGTACTGACGGGCTTAAAGGTGCATGAGGCGACTCCAGGCGAATCTGTCTTACATGGCGGCCATGGCCGATCGTAAACCAGACACCAAGCTGCCGCCACATCCCGTCTACTTGACAGCCCCGAAATTGACACTCTCCATCAAACTCAGGGCGCAGCCGATTGTGCCCGAAGGGAGCGACCTCAAGCTGGACCCCGTGACCGACCGGGAAGAGCGGGATCTGGCGATGAAGGAGCTGTACGCCCGCCTCGCGGCTTGCTACCCAGGCGTCGATCCCAACAAGGAGCCGAGCCAACGACCGGCGGGAATGATGCAGAAGCCCGGGAACCCAGGCTTCCACCAGGCCAGCCCTACGACGCAGAAGACACCTCAGATGACCAGCATGGCGGCCCCGCCCAATCCGAGCAGCATGGGGTCGTGAGACTGGTCTGGCTTGTCTGTATTATAGGGAGGGCGGCGGCGGCGTTGGGAGACTGGAGGCTGCTTGCTTGCTTGTTGGATACCCCACGGCGACATCGAATACATGACTGCCGTGGTTTGGACATTTATGAATGAACGGCGTCTAGCATGGCGATTCTTTACCAAAATATAGACATTTTGCGGTGCCTCAAGGTGCAACCCTTCTTATCATGCTGTGTACGTAGCCCTCCAGCCATAATGCTCACAGGCTACGTATAACTGTTGCTCGGTCTGGCACCCCCACTGTCAAGGATATTGCCTTTGTCGACTCATCCGGTGATTTACGCACGGTACCTGAGTCCTGATGCGCATGCAGCGGCCAGCAAAGCGGTCCATCGATGTCGGTGAGGCAATGCGGTTAGCGCATACGCCAGACGAATGGATGGATGGGGGGCACTGCCCTGCTGAGGGGCAGAAGGCTGGCGATCACGCAGGCCAAGGCATTGGCCAATGATCGGCTGTCAATGGAAAACCCCAACTAACATACCTTACCTTAGAGTTTGAGCGTTTCTGTGCCGGAAACGCCAATGGCTACGGATACAGCAACCTCCAGTCCCCTCTCAAATACAGCCGACAGTCTATTTTGAGTAGTAGCAGTAGTAGACAGTCTGTGACTACAGTCAAAGACATGGACACTGCGATGACGCGTGTGACGTCTGGGCCTGGACACTTTAGGGACCCCAGCGTGGTGGGGTCCAGACTCAGAACCTCACTCACCGGCAGGCTTCAGCCAGAGCAGTTTGGAGCATTGCTGGAAGCTTTCGCAAGCCCGCTGCGGGCTGAAAACTCCAAGCACAACGAATGACTATGACAGACAGAACTGGACCTGACCTTTGACATCCCGCGTTGGGTTAGCCTGCCCCCCATCCGTGGCGTCCAGGCTCAGCGCCAGCCGGCCCTGGAGAGGTGGGGCCACATCCCGCTGCCGCTGCAAGGCGAGCGAAAAAAAAAAAAAAATAGTTTCCTTCAGCTGCTCCGATTCTCGCCCTCTCTTCTCTCCTCCTCCTCCTCAACTGATCGCGTGCCACGATCAACCCTTCAATCCATACCCTAAACTGTTGTTGTCGTGGCATCTGGTTGAGGAGTTGGACGTTGCAGACATGGCAGTTCAGCTCAAGCCCCCTGCGGTGGCCCGCACCGCCGACGACGACGGCTTCGTCTGCCTCGAGCTGGAAGATGGCTCGACCTTTCAGGGCTACAGCTTCGGCGCCAACAAGAGCATTGCTGGCGAGCTCGTCTTCCAGACCGGCATGGTCGGCTATCCAGAGTCCGTCACGGACCCTTCGTACCGCGGCCAGATCCTCGTCATCACCTTCCCCCTGGTCGGCAACTACGGTGTCCCGTCCAGGGAGACCATGGACGAACTGCTCGGCGACCTGCCCGCGCATTTTGAGTCCTCCCAGATCCACATTGCTGGTCTCGTCACCGCGTCCTACTGCGGCGAGGACTACTCACACTTCCTGGCCGAGTCCTCCCTGGGCCAATGGCTCAAGGAGCAGGGTGTCCCCGCCATGTACGGTGTCGACACCCGCGCCCTCACCAAGAAGCTCCGCCAAAAGGGCAGCATGCTCGGCAAGATGCGCCTCGAGAGCGCGCCCCAGCCCAACGGCGCCGCCACCGTCCATGGCGGCAAGAGCCACACCTCGCTCGACGCATTCGAGGCTGTCGACTGGGTCAACCCCAATGAGCAGAACCTCGTCGCACAGGGTGAGTCCTCTCCCTCCATTGACCAAATTGAAGCTTGTCGTGCTCATTGCTCTCCGTAGTCTCCATCAAGGCGCCCAAACTGTACAAGCCACCCCCATCCGTGGCCCGCAAGCACCCCTCCGGCCGTACCATCCGTGTTCTGTGTGTTGATGTCGGTATGAAGTACAACCAGCTGAGGTGCTTCCTCAAGCGCGGTGTCGAGGTGCTGGTCTGCCCCTGGGACCACGACATTGTGAAGCAGGCTGGTGACGAGTACGACGGTCTCTTCGTCTCCAACGGGCCCGGCGACCCGGCGGTGCTCGAGACTACTGTGAAAAACATGGCCGCCGCCATGGAGAAGAACAAGACCCCCGTCTTTGGTATCTGCCTTGGTCACCAGCTGCTCGCGCGCGCGACCGGTGCCAAGACCAAGAAGATGAAGTTTGGTAACCGCGGCCACAATATCCCCTGCACGAGCATGGTGACTGGAAAATGTCACATCACGTCGCAGAACCACGGTTTCGAGGTTGACGGCACCAGCTTGCCCACCGGCTGGAAGGAGCTCTTTGTCAACGCCAACGACGGCAGCAACGAGGGTATCATGCACGTCGACAAGCCGTACTTCAGTGTCCAGTTCCACCCCGAGAGCACCCCCGGCCCCCGCGACACCGAATACCTCTTCGACGTCTTCATCAACACCATTGTCAACTGTGCCAACGACCCCAAGCATCTGTCCGCCCCTGTCAGCTTCCCCGGCGGCACGATTGAGGAGAACGAGGCGGCGCACCCCAAGGTCCACGCCAAGAAGGTCCTTGTCCTGGGCAGCGGTGGTCTCAGCATCGGTCAGGCCGGTGAATTTGACTATTCCGGCAGCCAGGCCATCAAGGCGCTCAAGGAGGAGAACATCTACACGGTCCTCATCAACCCCAACATCGCCACGATCCAGACGTCCAAGGGCTTGGCCGACAAGGTCTACTTCTTGCCGGTGAACGCAGACTTTGTGCGCAAGGTCATCCAGTACGAGCGCCCCGACGCCATCTACGTGACCTTTGGTGGTCAGACGGCCCTCCAGGTCGGCATCCAGCTCAAGGATGAGTTCGAGTCGCTCGGCGTCAAGGTCCTGGGTACCCCCATCGACACCATCATCACCACCGAGGATCGTGAACTGTTTGCCCGCAGCATGGACTCTATCGGCGAGAAATGCGCCAAGTCTGCCTCGGCCAACAACATTGACGAGGCCATGGAGTGCGTCAAGGACATTGGCTTCCCCGTCATCGTCCGCGCTGCGTATGCCCTTGGTGGCCTGGGCAGTGGCTTCGCCAACGACGAGGACGAATTGCGCGAACTCTGCAACAAGGCCTTCGCCGCCAGTCCTCAGGTGCTCATCGAGCGCAGTATGAAGGGCTGGAAGGAGATTGAGTACGAGGTCGTCCGTGATGCGCAGGACAACTGCATCACTGTGTGCAACATGGAGAACTTTGATCCTCTTGGTATTCACACGGGCGACTCCATCGTTGTCGCTCCCTCGCAGACACTATCTGACGAAGACTACAACATGCTGCGCACGACAGCCGTCAACGTCATCCGTCACTTGGGCGTTGTCGGTGAGTGCAACATTCAATACGCGCTGAACCCCTTCTCCCGGGAGTACTGCATCATCGAGGTCAATGCTCGTCTGTCGCGCTCGTCCGCGCTCGCCTCCAAGGCCACGGGCTACCCTCTGGCGTTCATTGCCGCCAAGCTCGGTCTCGGCATTCCCCTCAAGGAGATCAAGAACTCCGTCACCAAGGAGACGTGCGCTTGCTTCGAGCCGTCGCTCGACTACGTCGTCGTCAAGATGCCTCGCTGGGACTTGAAGAAGTTCACTCGTGTCTCCACCCAGCTCGGCTCTTCCATGAAGAGTGTTGGCGAGGTCATGAGCATTGGTCGATCCTTTGAGGAAGCCATCCAGAAGGCGATTCGATCCATCGACTTCCACAACCTTGGTTTCAACGAGACCAAGGCCCTCATGAAGATCGATGATGAGCTGCAGACACCCTCTGACCAGCGTCTCTTCGCCATTGCCAACGCCATGCACGAGGGCTACACAGTCGACAAGATCTGGGAGCTGACCAAGATCGACAAGTGGTTCCTTCGCAAGCTCAAGGGCTTGAGTAACTTTGGCAAGGAGATGGGCAACTACACAACCAGCGACATTGTCCAGTCGCCTCACATCCTCCTGCAGGCCAAGCGACTCGGTTTCTCGGACCGCCAGCTCGCCAAGTTCTGGAACTCAAACGAGATTGCCGTCCGCCGACTCAGGCTCGAGGCTGGCATCCACCCTTTTGTCAAGCAGATTGACACTGTGGCCGCCGAGTTCCCCGCCTTCACCAACTACTTGTACCTGACGTACAACGCCTCAGAGAGCGATGTCGACTTTGAGGACCACGGCGTCATGGTCCTCGGCTCTGGTGTCTACCGTATCGGCTCGTCCGTCGAGTTCGACTGGTGCTCTGTTCGTGCCATCCGCACCCTCCGCGCCACGGGCTTCAAGACCGTCATGGTCAACTACAACCCCGAGACCGTGTCCACCGACTACGACGAGGCCGACAAGCTCTACTTTGAGAACATCAACCTCGAGACGGTCCTTGATATCTACCAGCTCGAGAACGCCAGCGGTGTCCTGGGTGCCATGGGTGGCCAGACGCCCAACAACATTGCCTTGCCGCTGCACCGCGCTGGCGTCAAGGTTCTCGGCACCTCCCCCGAGATGATTGACAATGCCGAGAACCGTTACAAGTTCTCCCGCATGTTGGATCGCATTGATGTTGACCAGCCTACGTGGAAGGAGCTCACCAGTTTCGAGGAGGCCCAGGCGTTCTGCCAAAAGGTCACCTACCCCGTGCTGGTCCGCCCCTCGTACGTGCTCTCGGGTGCCGCCATGAACACGGTCTACTCCGAGAAGGATCTCAAGAGCTACCTCGAGCAGGCCGCCGAGGTCTCCCGCGAGCACCCCGTCGTCATCACCAAGTACATTGAGAACGCCAAGGAGATTGAGATGGATGCCGTGGCAAAGGACGGCAAGATGATTGGTCACTTTATCTCCGAGCACGTCGAGAATGCCGGTGTCCACTCTGGTGATGCGACTCTCATTCTGCCTCCCCAGGATCTCGAGCCTACCACCATCCGACGCATCGAGGAAGCGACCAGCAAGATCGGTGCTGCTCTCAATGTCACCGGCCCCTTCAACATTCAGTTCATCGCCAAGGACAATGACATCAAGGTCATCGAGTGCAACGTCCGCGCTTCGCGCTCTTTCCCCTTTGTGTCCAAGGTCATGGGTGTTGACCTGATCGAGATGGCTACCAAGGCCATCATGGACCAGCCCTTTGAGGCGTACCCGCCCACCGACTTGGCCCCCAACTGCGTCGGTGTCAAGGTGCCGCAGTTCTCCTTCTCGCGTCTGGCTGGTGCCGACCCCGTTCTCGGTGTCGAGATGGCCTCCACTGGCGAGGTGGCTTGCTTCGGTGTGGACAAGAACGAGGCCTACCTCAAGGCCCTCCTCTCGACGGGCTTCAAGATCCCCAAGGCCAACATTCTGCTCTCCATTGGTTCCTACAAGGACAAGAAGGAGATGCTGCCTTCGGTGCAGAAGCTCCAGAAGATTGGCTACAAGTTGTTTGCCACCTCGGGCACGGCTGATTTCCTGCAGGAGTATGGCATCCCGGTCCAGTACCTCGAGGTCCTGGGCAGCGACGAGGACCGCAACTCCGAGTTCTCGCTGACGCAGCACTTGGCCAAGAACAGGATTGATCTGTACATCAACCTGCCCTCCAACAACAAGTACCGCCGTCCGGCCAACTATATGAGCAAGGGGTACCAGACGCGTCGTATGGCCGTCGACTACCAGATCCCTCTGGTAACCAACGTGAAGAACGCCAAGATCCTCGTTGAGGCCATTGCCCGCCAGTTCGAGCTCGAGGTGTCGAAGCGCGACTACCAGACTAGCCACCGCACCGTGGTCCTCCCCGGCTTGATCAACGTCGCGGCCTTCATCCCCGGCATTGTGACCCCGGGCAGCGAAGACGTGCAGACCGTCACCAAGAGCTCCATTTCCTCGGGCTTCAGCATGATTAGGGTCATGCCCATGGGCGCCGACGGCTCGATCACCGACGCCATCTCGCTCAAGACGGCGCAACAGAACGCCCGGAATGGTGGCTTCAGCGACTTCAACCTGTCCATCTCAGCCACCTCGGACAATGAGTCGCAGATCAGCACCGTCTCGGGCGAGGTGGGCTCGCTGTTCATCCCCTTCAACCACCTGTCGGGCAACATCAGCAAGGTGGCTGCCGTCACCGCGCACTTTGACGCCTGGCCCGCGCACAAGCCCATTGTGACGGACGCCAAGTTGACGGACCTTGCCTCGATCCTGCTGCTGGCCAGCCTGCACAACCGTCGCATCCATGTCAGCTCGGTCACCAACAAGGACGACATTCGCCTGATCGCGCTCAGCAAGGAGAAGGGACTCAAGGTGACCTGCGACGTCTCCATCTACTCGCTGTACCTGAACCGGGACGACTACCCCGACTTTGACCACCTGCCAACGGCCAAGGACCAGGCGGCCCTCTGGGCGCACATGAGCAGCATCGATGTCTTCTCGATCGGCAGCCTGCCCTACCATCTGGCGACCTCGCGCGGCCACAAGGGCGACCCGTCCATGGGCATCACCGAGGCGCTTCCCCTGCTGCTCACCTCTGTGGCTCAGGGCAAACTCACCATTGACGACATCAAGCTGCGTCTGTACCAGAAGCCCGTGGAGATCTTTGAGCTCCACGAGCAGGTCAACACATCGATTGAGGTCGAGGTGGACCGCCCTTATACTTTCCAGTCTGCCACCTGGTCGCCCTTTAACGGTCGCCAGATGTTTGGCTCCGTCAAGCGTGTCACCTTCCACGACCAGACTGTCTGCCTGGATGGCGAGTCCCTGTCGATGCAGCCCACCGGCAAGGACATGTCGGCGCACCTGGCCCCTCCTACGTCGCCGTCCGTCAGGCCCACGACGTCCTCGATCGCGCAGATCACCGAGAGCCCCTCCCGACCTCGTCAGCACACCCTGCTCGATGCTGCGACCATGTCGCCCACCCGTCGTCCTGTGGAGGACTTTTCGCTGCCTGCCAGGCTGCAGCTGTCGCCCAGCTCCTCGCTCCAGCAGGCGTTGTCGCAGCCGTCTGCCTTCAAGCACTCCCACGTGCTGTCCGTGAAGCAGTACACCCGAGCCGACCTGCACCAGCTCTTCACCGTCGCCCAGGAGATGCGTCTCGGTGTTCAGCGTGAGGGTGTCCTGGACGTCCTCCGCGGCCGCGTGCTGAGCACGCTCTTCTACGAGCCGTCGACACGCACCTCTGCCTCCTTCGACGCGGCCATGCAGCGCCTGGGAGGACGTGTCATTCCCGTGGCCACCTCCCACTCCTCCGTGCAAAAGGGCGAGTCTCTCAAGGACACACTCCGCACGCTGGGCTCGTACGCCGACGCCATCGTTCTGCGACACCCTCTGGAGAACTCGGTCGAGGCCGCCGAGAAGTACAGCCACGTGCCCGTGATCAACGGCGGCAACGGCAGCAAGGAGCACCCCACGCAGGCCTTCCTCGACCTGTACACGATCCGCGAGGAGCTCGGCACGGTGCAGAACCTGAACATCACCTTTGTCGGCGACCTCAAGTACGGGCGCCCGGTGCACTCGCTCATTTACCTGCTCCGCCACTACGGCGCCAAGGTGCAGCTCGTCGCACCCCAGGGCCTCGAGCTGCCCGAGACCGTGCGGGCGCAGCTCGTGTCGTCCAACCAGCTCATCAGCGAGTCGGAGACGCTGACGCCCGAGATCCTGGCCCGGAGCGACGTCTTGTACTGCACCCGCGTGCAGCGCGAGCGGTTCGCCAGCGAGGAGGAGTACGAGCGCGTCAAGGGGTCCTACCGCGTGGACAATGCCGCGCTCAAGCACGCCAAGAGCTCCATGGTGGTGCTGCACCCGCTGCCGCGCAACGAGGAGGTGGCCGAGGAGGTGGACTTTGACCAGCGCGCGGCGTACTTTAGACAGGTGAGTTTTTTACCTTCTTTTGACTCTTTGAGCGGCCACTAACTGACCTTGCAGATGCGCTACGGTCTATACTGCCGCATGGCCTTGTTGGCTCTCGTCATGGCGTAGACTGGAATGATATGATATGATGGGAATGTTTTAGGGCAAAGATTGGGATACTGCAGGGAGGAAAGAAAACTAGATGTTCGAGATTGTGTTTTTGATTGATACCTACCATAAAGATCCAACGGCGACGTTGTGCATGGCGTTGTTCAGGAGCATCCGTACGTTATATGTACGTTGACGGCGTTGACTATGTTTACCATTAATATCACGGTTTATTATCTGTGCGTTTGGCGTGTATGTATGTATGTGTGTGTGTATGTCTTGTGTGGTGTTGTCTGTGTCCAGGTCAGGTTCCACTACAGTCTACGGACTCAGCCTCTGCAGCGTCCACTTGTCACCGTCCTTGACATATTCGAATCGATCGTGAAGCCTGCTCTCCCGGCCCTGCCAGAACTCGACCCGCTCCGGCACGACACGTAGGCCACCCCAGAACTCAGGCACGGGAATGGCCTCCTGCCCCTCGAACTTGTCCTCGTACTCCTTCACCCAGCCCTCGAGCTGCTTCCGCCCATCGTCCTGCTCATCCTGCGGCTGCAGCACCTCACTCTGCCGACTCGCCCAAGCACCGATGCGCGAGCCCCGCACGCGGGTGTCGTAGTACTTCTGGCTCTCCGCGCGCGGCAGCCGGGACGCCGTGCCCTCGACGCGGACCTGCTGCTGGAGGGTCTCCCACCAGAAGAGCAGGCTGACGTGCGGGTTGGTGGCCACGTCCTTGCTCTTCCGGCTCGTACCCCAGTTGCTGTACACGACGAAACCCCCCGCCGCGTCGAGTTCCTTGAGGTAGACCATGCGGCTGGTCACCCGGCCCGAGGGCAGCTCAGCCGTCGACAGCGCGCAGGCCTCGGCGTGGGGGGTGGCGTTGGACGCCTGCGCCTGGGCGAACCAGGTGTGGAACTGGTTGATCGGCGAGGATAGATCTAGGTCCCCGACGGAGAGAGTGGCTCTCGTGAATTGGGGTGCCTGCTGGTTCTGGTCGGAGCCCGAGGGGGCGACTGGTCGTTCAGTGTGAGTGTGAGCTGGAGGGGGGGGGGTCGGGCATGATGGCCGTCGACGTACAGATGAGCTTGGACGATTCCGAGTGGAGAGCCATGGCTGTGGAATGAAGGCTGCGTCGCGAGGAGAGAATACAAATCGGTGTTCTCAGCATTGGGATTACCACATTCAGTGATGTTGGGGTTTGTGAGGCTGAGGCGGCTCGTTTGTCAGAACATCGATGATGCTAGCAGGCTGGCGATTTGTGGTCTACCCTATACCTCCCCTAATCTAGAAGGTAAGCCCCGCGCGTAAATAGTGTCGGCTCTTCTTGCTAACAGTTTCGTCCTGCGATGTGATATAAGGGTTGAGGTATTGATGAACGAAGGTCGCTTTATATTGTGCACAGCAATTATACTACCAGCTTCCCTTCCAGATCAGGGAAGATGTACTACACGAACAACCGATGGATATCATAAACACTGCCAAACGCCATGCCTGCCATGCCAGATGATGAAAGGAAAAGTCCAAACCCCGAGAGAAAAAAATCAAGCCAGTGGCGTCGCCACGTCGGATGCATCAAAGTCGAAGGCCGTCACGCCAACCGTCACCATCGTCTTGGCCCGGCTGTGCGCGGGAACAAACACGGTGGCAGCCACGTCCTCCTCCTCTTCATCCTCGCCGCAGCTCTCGGGCGGCGTGAGCTGCCTCTGGTCCCAGCTGCTCTGGCACTGCTGCCGGCCCGCGAGCTGCATGTCCACCATGGCGTCTGCAATGCACGCGTCCTCCGTGAGCGGCATGAGCCGGTAGTTGAGCGACTCCATGATGCAGCGTTCCGTCGCGTTGAGCTGGGCCGCCGTCCACTGGCCGCGGCCCCAGCGGTCGACGTAGTAGCGCGTGCTCTCCTGCGGATCCTCGGTGAACTTGGCGGCCACCACCAGCGCCGAGAGGACGATGATCTCGGGCGCGACCGAGTCAATGTGCAGCAGCTGCGCGGTGTGCGGGCTAGGCGGTAGGGTGTGGCGCTTGCTCTGCTTTGGTGTGGCGAGAGGGCAGGAGACCCGCCAGTGACGGGCAAAGCGCGCGTCAAGGGCGTCGAGGATGCAAACGGCCAGGGCGATGGTCTCGAGCGGGAGGTGGCAGCGGGCGAGAAGGGCCTGGACCAGGGGGACGGAGGCGTCGGCGAGCGAGGCCGACGAGGGTATGAGGTTGACGAGATGGATAGCGGGGCCTGGGCAGGCTTTGTTAGCTCAGCACTATTGAAAATAGGATACCTGACGACACATGGGAGTTTCTCGGACCAGGTCAGGAAAACGCACCTTTGAACTTGGCGAGTTCGGGATCGCCCTCGTGCACGTCGTAGTCGAGGGTAGAGGATGATTCGCGGGAGCTTGGCGGTGGTGTCGGTAGGTTGGACAGAGGGCGATATGTGAAGTAGCTGTGGCCATCGTCCTCCTCCTCTGATGGCGGCATACGGCCCTGTCTCTTCTCGCTCTGGCGCATCATCTTGGTCGCTGGCCGCTGCTGTAGACTGTGTCTCGAAGTTTGTCTTCTGCTCGTCGAAAGGAGGAAGAGGTCGCTCTCATGTTTTGGCCAGGCGGGTATAGTGTATTTCTCGAGTTTACATCCGTCGAGCTAGCTAGCTGATCGGTCGATGGTGTAAGGTATGGTGAATTGGCGATGAACGAGTGACTGTGTGAAGCACGCGAGCAGCAACAACGGTTGGTAGACTGGGTAAAGGAGGACAGAGGGAGCTATATTCGAATATATACAGATCATCCGCGACTGACTGTAAATAGCGGTACGTAACTCAAGGGGTGGTGGGTGTGCTGCTGTCATACATATTGTGCCCTCGAGTAGCACCGAGACAGCACCCGGGAGGAAATGGAGGTGAAAACACGAATACTGGTTGGGCCCTGGCCTGGAAGCCCGGTCTAGCCAAGCCCAGGGCCCAAGACTGGAGTGGGGGACCCCTAATCATCAGGGGGGAGCTCAGCCGCCTGGAGGCCCAGGCATGCATGGTCCCCCCCGTTCCTTGTTTTAGAAGCGCAGGCTGCACAGCAGATCTGTTCATGGTCCGGCCCTGTTTCTTTTCGAATGTCAACGTCAGACCAGTATTCGGAGGCTGGCTCCTGTACCCGTACCCTCGAGAAACTGAGAAACTGGACATGGCTCAAGCATATGTCTCTTGGCTGCTGCTACGTACTGACCTGCCAGCACTGTCTGACCGCTATTTCCCGACACTGCATTGAGCAATGAGGGGACTTGGGGTTGCATGCCCCGGCTACAAGTAGTTAGCCCAGCAGAGGCAGATCTCACTTCTTTTAGTGCTCACCTATCTGATCTCACCGGGGCTTGGCTTGGCCAGCTTGGGCTGACTGGACTTGGCGTAGCTGAGGGACGGGGCTCCTTACCTTAGTTTCAGGCATGAATTAAATGCGTTCGTCGGTCAGACATGCAGCGGCAGCAACTAGACTAGTGCATCATTATCGACTCACTCACATGCAGGCAGGCAGGTTCTCGTCGGTCTGGAACCAAACTCAAAGCACAGAAATTAGAAAAGAGGCACGGCAGATGGACGGTTGCATCGATCGAGCGAGGTCTCGCCAAGCCGGTAGCTACAAGTGCGACCCTAATTAATCCCCGTTCAGTGCGCCGGTTCTGTTCCTAGGTCGTCAGAGTTTGAATAATGACGCTCGCCCTCCACCACGAGCAGCGCGGTCAGCATAGCGTCAAATTCTGGAGGGCCGAAAATAATTACCATCTTCAACTCCATCCTGGCTCATTGCTGATGCTGACTACGTACCCATGAGCCAGGACCCTGAGTAGATCTCGTGACAGCTTTCCGTTCCGCGACAAGCAGCACATTGATGTGCATTGAAGGCCCATCATCATCATCAGATCTGCATGCCTCGACGGTGCAGTGACGTCGGGGGTTGATGCTCTTCCGCAGAAGGCGTTCGTGTACAGCGTCGGAATGGCTGCCTTGTTCACGGCATATTAGCATGGATCACTGATCCCCGTCGAGCATTTGCAGAGGTGGCTGTGAGAAGGGGCATGATTATGGACATCCGAATGAGGCCTCGTGAATCTGTCGTCATTTCCAGTACCATATGCCAAGACGCGCACACACCGACTTCACCTGTGCCGACTTTGGTAGACGAATAAATAAATTAAGACTGCCTCGTAAAATTGTGTGGCCCTTCTTGGCCCAGTAACTTTTAATGGAGCGTGTGGATCAGGAGCAGAAGCCATTCGCATGCTGTCCCGTCGGACCTTGCATGGTGCAAAATGCGATATGCGCCCGAGGATTCAGGGCATGTTCCCCTTTCTGGGCGTACGGTAGTGCTGCTGCTGCATTGCATTGCTGCGGACGAATCGTGGATCCCTCTGGAGGAGGCCCATGCAAACCGAGGGTACTCGTAATGATCAATTGATGGCCTAGCCTGGGCGGATGCTAGGCACGTGTACGTAGCACGTATAACGATTGTATGTACGGAGTGTATACATATTCAATGCATGCGCGTTTGTTCCGAGGCGTGCTGAACACACCCAGGAGCGGTAGCAAGACACTGAAATGACAGCCAGACACTACTTCGAAGAGGCTGGATGGGCCGGAATAGCAACATATACAACCTATTTGTACTCCGTACACTGCAGCTGAGCTGCACAACTGACAAGTCGCGGCTTTGCTAATGCTGACCATCTGAAGTGGAGCGTTGCTACGCGGCATCGGAGTGCGGTAGTTTTCCGTGATGCGTTGCGCTGCCGATGCACGTCTACGTGAAGCATACTCTCCGTCTGCGACAAGTCTTGCCTCAGCTACGCCATTTCGTGACTCGCTAGAGACAAAGCGAAGCAGAATAGCCAAAGCGCACTGCCATTGAGTTCCCGAGCACCGACTCGCGTCCTGGCGGTGACTATGCCAGAAGCACGGCTTCGTCCTGCACGCGCTCTGCATCTTCACGAGGCATCCTCATCACAACCACACAACCGTGTCGAGCTTTCGGTACTTGGATCTTGGGTGTCTCTGATTCCACATTGTCACCTAGCATTATTATGACCGTTCGCACCTCTTGACTCTGTGCCGTTCTCGCTGTGGAATCCCAACCATTCGCCGAGCATGCCGCCCGGCCGTGGGACCGGACACTCTCTCTTGACCGCTTTCCCGCTCTCAATATCCTCACCAAACTGTACAATGCCGCTCTTGGCTTCGTCTGGGCTCTCGCGCCGGCGGTAGACCTTCCTCCTCCCGTTCTCGTCCACCATGACCTGTCCGTCGGCAAACTTCTTGGCGGGGACGGGGCACGGCAGCATATGTGGAAGCGCCACGACAAAGAAGCAGGCGACGAGCGTCGATGCAAAAAGTGACGAGGTCATTCGGGACCGGGGATGGAGGTGGGGTGGCATGGCGTCGTCGTCGTTGTCGTCGTCGTGTTCGATGGCTCTGTCAGCCTGCGGGAAAAAAAAGGTGTCAATGTGATTGTCGCCGAGCTCATTGTGTGTCAGCGCAACTCACAATGCCTGGAAATAACCATGGTCCTCGCACCGCAGGGTGTGGCGGCTGCCTAAGGTGCTGCTAAAAAAAATTCTTTGCGCCGTTGTTGAAGATGCGTAAAGTCGCGACGGTCATAGACGGACGACCCCGGATGATTACGCACCGTAATCGCGGCGGGCGGGCTTTGGTATAGGGTAGGCACAGGTACTGGTGATCAACTTAACGCCAACTACCTACCTACCTGGTACGATTCACTTGTTTTCACAATACATCAGTCGAATTCGTAGTAAAAATGACTGTATTGACCATAATAAACCTTATGAGTCTTAGCTCCTGTTTCTCATATGCTTGGACACGGCCTCTTTGCCTCGGGGAATTAGCAAACTACCTAAATACCTTGGATATTGGCTTCGAGAAACCAAAAGCCACCAGCAGATCATTTGTCCGCTTGTAGGCACCCACCATAATAAACTTGTGGTTAGCATCGTCACACATCAAACCTGAGCAATGACCAGTCACTCACTATGACTGTGCTTAACCATCGTGTTAGCCTCTCACGCTGCTCGATGACCAATAACAGGATCGAGAAACCTGGTCTCACAGCGCTCTGCCATGGAAAAAGCCCTCCATGATCTGCCCGATTTCGCCCTGTACATCAATCAAAACATTCGCGACAATGCCTTGGACAATGCGCAGCTGGAGACACGATGTCTGCTCGACGATGAACGACACGCCGATGCTTCCATCCCCGGGCGTCGTTCCGCTGGCCAGCTCGACCAGGTCTCAGCAGAACTTCTCATCATGGTCCTGATGCACATAGACATCCCCTCGATGATTCACTTCCGTCGCGTCAACCGCCATGTTGTCGTCCAGTGCTCTACTTGCGTAGGTGATCCCAGCTGCTTCGAGTCAGTCAGTCTCAACATACCGCTGATGATGGCCCCCGTCAAACAGCTCCATCGGAACCTCCATCATGAGTCCCGCACGCGCGCAAATCATGGACGAATTCCACGTCTCGAGTCCGGTCGCCCTCCCGCCACTCTCGCTCTATGTCGTCGCCCTTGGTCTCCGCTCTATCGTGGGCAGCCCACTGTCAGAGACTGTAGGGAGACACCCCGTGTACCTGAGTACTGTCCCGCTCGGCGCCGGCTTCACGCACAACTTTGGAGCCCTGTGCTTTCTGCGGTTCATGGCAGGCTTCTGCTGGGCGTCCGTGCTGGCCACGGCGGCGGGCTCCCTTTCGGGATCTCTTTGCGCCAAGAGCGCGCGGTCCACCGTCTGCGGTTTTCATTCTCATGCCCTCTCTGGGTCCTGGCTTGGGGTATGCTATTCATTCTGTTGCCATCTATCCAGCCGCTGACATCTGTAGCCCTGTCATAGGCTCGTTCCTCGTCGTCAACAAGAGCTGGCGTTGGACACAATGGACGTTGCTCTTCCTGGCAGCCTTTTGCGTTGTCATCATGGCCTTTACGAAAGAAACCATGCACCATCTCATCCAAGAGCGAGCGGTTGGAAAGTCAAACAAGCAAAAAGGCGCCGCCAAGACGTCCATCTCGCGACCAAAATTTAGCGAATTCGTGACCATTGCGCTGGTACGGTCGGTGCACATGCTCGTAGCCGAGCCCATTGTCGGCATGATTGCCTTGTACGTGTCAGCCGAGTTTGGGACACTTTTCAGCTTCTTTGCAGGAGTTCCATATACTTTCGCCCGTGTCTATGGCTTTCCACTGCAGCACTCTGGTCTCGTCTTCCTGTCCATCGTCATTGGCTGCCTTCTCGGTCTCGTCACCATCATCCTCTGCGACACCCTGCTCTACAGAAAGAAGGCCCAGACATATGCGTCGCACGAGGTGCCCCCCCGAGCTGCGCTTGTTCCCTGCGATGCTCGGAAGCGTGGGACTGCCAGTGGGACTGTTTTGGTTCGCCTGGACGGCTGCCGCCATGATCCCATTTGCATGGGGCAACCTGTGCGTGTTTGTGGTCACGATTCAGTACATGTCAGACACATATCCGGGAAAAATTGTCGCAAGCGCTGCTAGTGCCAATACGCTAGCTCGATACAGCTTTGCAGCGGCGTTTCCCCTATTCACAATACAGAGTAGGTACTTGTCTTCTTTGCCCTCTTGGAGCTTGAAGACTGACATGATGAAAAGTGTATGAGACTCTGGGGATCGACTGGGCCACGAGCTTGTTAGAGTTCGTGGCGCTGGCACTGATGCCAATTCCCTGGTGTTTTTATAGATCCGGGTCGACTATACGTGCTCGCAGCAGATATACTTGACGACCGCGTGTGTACAAGAGAGGCCTGATCTCGGCTATTCTTTCCCAATCATCAGCGCGCCGTGAACGAGAGGCATATCCGCGCCACCTCGGGCAATGAGTGGGATCAGAACAATCCTGTACCGAGACATGCTGAGTATAGAACCATATATAGAAATATGAAGCCACTGCTCACCATTGTTAGTCATCATGTGTTCCTAGCTCCCTAGCTATCAGCATGACTACAATTGTCAACATAGATTATATTTGCAATACCTGGCAAGCAATTGCCGATGTCGACGAGAACGAAATCGCGATGTGCATCATCATGCTCATGATATTGATGCATGGTACGTGTGTTTTAGGCTAAAACGGCTCTCGGTACGCATTTTTTCCATTCAACCGACAAACCCCATTTACGTTATAACGTAGTTGCGTATTGACAGTTAAACAAAGCAGAAAGCAGATCACTTAAGCCTAAAATGATATTGGTTCTAGGCGAGCATTCAGGCTTGAGCCATCCTCAGCTGGGACTGGGGTCCTGTTCGCGCATGGCCTCTTACTGCCAGCGGGCTTTGCTCTGCTGGTCCAAGAGACCCGGAGACGCTCCCCCCGCGTCCAAAAGTACCGGAAAAGTCAACAAAAGCACAAGTGCCGATGTCAATGGCGGGGATGAAGCTGATGTCCCGAGTCTGTCCCTTGCCTGTGTTGGATAAAGCAGCCGAGGTCCTCGACATACACAGTTGAGGCGGCCTGCTGTCATACAGTCAACTCGTGCTGCCGCCGATCTCTTGGGTCTCTCCGTTCAAGATGCGGTTTTCCACAGTCTTTTCCCTGCTACTATGTAGCCAATCTCTGGCTGCCGTGGTCTCGCGTCCACGTGCGTGTGCAAGCCACTGGGTCCTCAGTTGGACGTCCATGCAACAAGTTGTCGAGCCATACAATCTCCCTCCGCCGCCATTTGTAAGATCAACCAAATTGCCATCAGCGAGGACATGATGCTCACATGTGGCAGAATGAAAACGACGGGCAGTTTGTCAACTCCACACTCCGTCAAACCTTCCAGGTGTCACTCGATGCTGAACAAATCCGCGTCCAGCTGTCCAATGTCCTTGGCCAGAGCCCTCTGCCCATTACCGAGGCTACTATCGCGTTGCCTGAGAATGGGCTGGCCGGAGTTGGGGAGATTGACCCCAAGACTACGCGTGGGCTGACCTTTGCTGGTCAAAGCTCTGTGACGATTCCACCCGGGGAGGAAGTCTATTCGGACCCCATTGACTTCAGCGTCGATGCGGAAACCATCGTTGCTCTCAGTCTTTACCTCGAAAAAGGCCAGAGTGGTAGCATTATCACAGGTCATCCTGGCAGCCGCACAACGTCGTGGATGCAACGGGGAAGCGGTACCAATGCCACCTCTATCAGCGGGGAAATGACGAACCACTGGTACTTTGCAAGTGCTATCGAGGCTTGGAAACCCCGGACAACGTCATCTCTCATCATTCTTGGTGACAGCATAACGGATGGTCGGGGCAGTACTGACAATGAAAACAACAGGTAATATGAATGTCATCACGTTTGTGAAGAGATTGACTAATGAATACACCACAGATGGCCGAATCTCCTATTGGCCCGGATGCGCGACGAAGGGATCGAAAACATTGCCGTCAACAACAAAGCTGCTGGAGGGAATGCTGTGCTATCTGGCGGGCTGGGTCCACCACTAACCACTCGATATGAACGAGATGCTCTGGAGCAACAGGGCACAGAATATGTCATGATTTTCGAAGGCGTCAATGACATTGGCCCAAGCCAGACCGACGCTGCTACGCAGGAGACGCTGTACGAAGACCTCATCGAGGCCTACACGAAAATTGTCGGCGACATCAAGACCGCAGGCTATGCCACGATTGGGGCGACAATCACACAATTCCGCGGGAACGGGTACCACGACCCGGCCCGCGAGGTCACGCGCAACAAGGTCAATGCTTGGGTCCTGACAAGTGGCGTCTTTGACCATGTGGTGGACTTTGCCGCGTGGATTGGCGACGGGGATACTCTGGTGCCAGAGTATGACTCGGGCGATGGGCTGCATCCAAACGTTGCTGGATACACCAAGCTCGCAAGCGACTTTCCCCTGGATATATTTCAATGATTGTGGACTCCGGGTCACGATGGTCGAGCCAAAGCCATTGTCGGACAATGGAAATCAGCCCTGAGACAGGAGCCACTGTCGCGTAGTGAAAGCCGGAGACTGAATACACAGCCTCAAGGCAGTCCAAGCCCTGTCGGGGATTTCCTAGGCGAAGTGAAGTGTTGACGCAAGACGGCTCGTACATGTATCTCAGACGCTTGGTGTTTGTCCCTGTCGGAGAAAGTCCGGCTCCGAGTCCCGACGTCGGCTCCCTCGAGACCAACCCCAACGCAGAATGCGGCTGGAGGGGCATCAGCCACATCTGCATGCGCATTCGTGATTTGAGTCCTTCATCCAACGGGCACGCGACCGACATTCATCTCCAACAAGCACCATTTACTCGACAGTAGACTACCACACGTGCACAGTATCCCCATAGACCGAGGGAGACTCTCACGCGCGTAACAGTCGTCGTCGGATCGCGCGCGACATGTTGTGAAGGACATCATCTCCTGGACACTGACGTCGAGCACGCGCGGGCTGGTGCTGCGACTGTCCAACACACACAGACGCTCTCCACCATGAGCGACCTTGACAAGTGAGACAGACGCTCTTGTTGCACGGCCGTGCGCACGCAGACTGACATGGATGCTTTGCAGGGCCATTGCGCAGCTGCGCTCGTGCCGACCGATCCCCGAGTCGCAGGTTCGCGAAATATGCCACAAGGCACGAGAACTCCTCATCGAGGAGGGCAACGTCGTGACGGTGACGGCACCCGTGACGGTACGCATTGGCGGCAGCGACGGGCATGGAGACGTTGGGGGCTGAGCTGATGGGATGTAGATTTGCGGCGATATTCACGGACAGTTCCACGATCTCATGGAGCTCTTTCGCGTTGGGGGCGACGTCCCCGACACAAACTACCTTTTCATGGGTTCGTCTCGCCCGCCCGCGGCATCTACACCCCCAAGAGGCTAACCAGACGGCAGGCGACTTTGTCGACCGTGGGTTCTACTCTCTCGAAACCTTTCTCCTCCTCCTCTGCCTTAAAGTTCGATACCCCGACCGCATGACCTTGATCCGCGGCAACCACGAATCACGACAGATTACACAAGTATACGGCTTCTACGACGAGTGCAACCGCAAGTACGGCAGCGCCAATGTGTGGCGGTACTGCTGCGACGTCTTTGACTACCTCGCGCTGGGAGCCATTGTCCTCGGCGCATCGAGCACCCTGTCGTCGACCATGGAGCCGATCGACGAGGACGTCGAAATTGAGGTGTGCGACCAGAGCGGCGGCACCCTCAGCCGCTTCTCGCGCCAGAGGCACCGGCAACGACCGGACAGCTCGTCGAGCGCCAACGGGGTTCCCGCAGACAGGACGGGACCACCAGGCTCCGGTGCGTCCGGATCCAGCGGAGGCACCGTCGGCAACCCGACGGGCGCGGTCCTGTGCGTCCACGGTGGACTGAGCCCGTTGATCGACACGATTGATAAGATCAGATTGATTGATCGAAAGCAAGAAGTCCCCCACGAGGGCGCCATGTGTGATCTGCTGTGGTCCGATCCGGACGAGATTGACGGCTGGGGCCTCTCGCCGCGCGGAGCTGGGTTCCTGTTTGGAGCGGATATTGTCAAGGCCTTCAACCACACGAACGACTTGAGCTTGATTGCGCGCGCGCACCAGCTGGTCATGGAGGGCTTCAAGGAGATGTTCGACGCGTCCATTGTCACGGTGTGGTCCGCGCCCAACTACTGCTACCGATGCGGCAACGTGGCGGCAGTGCTGGAGCTGTCCGAGGACGACACGGGCACCGGCATCTTCTCGCGGAGCAACGGGGACGTCGGCCGGAGTAAGCCGCCCATGCTGGAGAACGGCGGCGGCCTGGGCAATGGGCCGGCCAGGCGGTACAGGGTCTTTCAGGCGGCGCCGCAGGACTCGCGGGGCATGCCGGCCAAGAAGCCGGTGGCGGACTACTTCTTGTGAGCGTGGAGGATGAATCATGGGGTGTACAATAGAAGGACACACATGCACAGACGACAGAGGTCCCCATTCGGAAGTAAGGAGTTGGTATTCAAATCAAAACATTATTGTTCTTCTGGCAGCCCCGAGCGGCACCTCTACACTGAGAAGCAACACGCTCGTACATCTTTCTTTTCCCCTGGCAAGCATCCAAACGGGAAGACCAGTCAACCAAAACGCCTCAACCCGCGTGAACGACAAACATGCAAGACGACCATGGCCCCAATCGACCCCGAATACGCATCCTCGAGATCACTCCTCGGGCTCACCTACAATCCACTCGTCAGCCCACCACCTGCTTCTGCGTCCATGGTCTCGGAGCCTACTCAAGCGTTGCCTCCTCGGCCTCGGCCTTGTCCTCGTCGTCTCTGTCCCCAGGTCGTCGCGACGACCTGATCTGCTCGAGGATCGAGTTGATACCATCCAGCGAAGGCGCTGCTGGTGCGACAGGCCTGGCCCGCGGCGGTTGCAGAGCGGGAAGACGGCTGCTGTTCAAGTGCCGCATGGTACGAGGAAAATTAAAGGTGCCCTCCTCTGCAGCGTTGAGAGTCGCTTCCACCGCCGCGAGTCGCGCCCGCTGCTCGTCCGTCTGCTCGGTTGTCGGAGCTGGCCCAGGCGTCTGCTGGCGGTTGCGAAATCCACCGGAACTCAAGGCGCCCGCGTAGGGGGTCTGCTCGTCCTCGTCCTCGTTTTCGTCCTCATCACTGTCGGTGTTGCTGTTTGTAGTACTCCCATCGTCATCGCCATTGATCATTACGGTACCGCCTGGGCTCCTGGTAGCCTCTCGCCTCGGCAAGGTCCTCCGTGGCGCTCTACTCCTACGGCTACGACCTGAAGCCCTGGCCTCACGGCTGCTGGGGAGGTTATCGGCCTGGCCTGGGTTGGCAGGCGTTGGTGTGAGGGCACTGGACTGACCAAGCCACCAGTCACGCCCGGCAGAGACGCGCGGCGTTGTCGCCGTGAAGAGCGAGCCAAACGTCATATCTGGATCCGCTTGCGGTGTCCGAGTGGAGGCAGGACCTGCTCGCGAGGAGGAGAGGGAGGAAACCATCGGGGTCGGCGTGCTGTTGACCCCCTGCGATGCTCTGAAGGAGCCTGCAAGGCTGGGGCGAAAGCGGGACAGGCTTGGCGGACTATGACGTTCCGTGCCCGTTCCGCGGGCCGACCTTTCGAGAGTCTCGCGGCGAAGGTTGGGCTGTGGCCTGCCGCGTATGCTACCGCGGAGCCCCCTGACGCTCCGACTTCCTGAACCCGAGGCGGGCCCAAGCGTACCCGCTGCCGGGGTCTCTGCGCTTGGAGGCGAGGATGGGCCATTGGCTGGCGTGTCTGGTATCGGGTGAGGCGACGAGAGCACCATTGTGCTGTCGTTGCCGAGTGTCGGCGTGGCTGGATCAAAGGAAGGCAGGCCGAACGAAGAGTTGTTCGCCACGTGCTCGCCGAGGAAGGGCGTACGGGCAGGCGGCGCGCGCGCAGCTGAGCCAGCAGGTGTGCGCCATGTGGGCAGCGGGTTCTGCGTGCGTTGGAACGACTGCTCTGGAGAATCTCGCAGTGTTTGGACGGGCTGGAGGGCCAAGGGCGAGGTGGCCTGGGCTCCTCCTCGGTGCGCCTGTGCGGAACCAGTCGCTATAGCGAGCGCGCCAGAGAGTTGCGCTGGCGTGCGGTGGGGAGATTGCATGGAGCGGTTAGGGGTCTGCCAAAGCGGGGGAGCTTTTTGAAGATGAGGAGCCCGCTGGAGCTGGGGTGCTGGCTCAAGATGGGGAGCTGGCTGCAGCTGGGGAGGTGACCGACTCCGAACCCTTGGTGCTTGACCCCCGGTCATACGACCTGACCTGGCTCGTCTCAAGCTGTTCTGCCTGGCGATACGAACGCGTCTTTCTTGCTTCTGGCGGGCCCTCTCGGCCAGCAGTAGGGCGTGCTCGCCTGCGGTCGACCTCGTCTCGCGGCGGGTCCTCCTGCTGCCGTCGATGATGACACTGTGCTCGTCGAGCCAGCCACGGGCTCGTGGTTCCTCTGCTGTCGTGACGCTGCTGCTGCTGCTGGCACCGGAGCTGGTGGCGTTACGAGCTCTCTTCGCGCTGCCGCCTGTGGCAGTGGATGATGATGCCTCGCGCTTCTTGGGCTGGTCTCACGTTAGTCATCAGTGTGCATGGAGCACAAGAGGGATGGGGGTTCTTACAGGCATGGTCTTGAATGCGAAAAGCTGGTAGACTGGGTAGTCTGGTGGCCGACGAGGCGATGGAAAATCAAGATATTCGATTTGTCGCGGAGGGACGTGGGATCGTTGCTTGTTGTGTTGCTGTACCCCATGAGAGGCGGCGGCTTGCCAATTGTTATTTATGCTTGTCCCAGCGGTGCAACCGATTGACACTGTTTGTTCGTCGACAATGAATAAGGCCATCTCGGCCAGTGCTTGCCACTGTTTCGAGGACCTTTGTTCAGGGAGCTGGCGTCGGTGCTTCACAAAGAGGCAGAGAGCCTTTGTCACGGTCTACATCCGCCAAGGCTCCTCCGATGCTGCTGTTCGACAAAGTATTCTTTTTGAATGAATCAGGGGCCAAGTCCTATGGAGACAAGCAAGGCCCATGTGTCCATCACATACACCATACATGTGTGGTGCGGCTGTGATAATCTCCGTTCCTCGAACACCGAATAACGTTGCGCGGCTTCCTTTGCCAAGGTGTGTTTGCACATGGGAACCTTTTTTCAAGAGACGACTCCTGTAACGCCTCGAGACGTCGTCGACGCTGCCAACGCCAGCTGTGCCAAACTCCCACAAAGACAAGACACCGCCCTCCCCTTCCCCCCAAAATACCGCACGCGCCAGGCTCCTTTCAATGCCTATAGCGCCTAGATTACCCATCTTCGGCATTAATCATTGTACCATGGCGGTCGAGAGATTGTTGATGGCACTGGACCTTGCCCACTGCAGCATCGCCCTCACTCGACTCCTGCGCGCTGCTGGAGGCGGTGATTGAGGTTGGAGTGATCCTATCGTTTGACCAGCCGCCTCGATCTGTGTCGAATCGACGTGTTGCATGTAATATCGTAACATCGTAATATGCCGTGTCGCTGCTCGTATCCTCGGGCCCCCCTGACTCAGCTTCAAGCGTAGCTTCTCGTGGCGTCATGGCTCTACGCGCCATTGCCTCTGGTGTTTTTTCTTTTCCCGCCGTCGTGGTGAACCACGCCCAAGTACGAGGACTTGATCACCGCCAGCGTCTCCCTCCTGATCATCAATAACCGCCCAGTCCGCCGTATTCACGCTGACTCGGGTGAAAGGGCGCATGCGGATCGGTGTAGGTCAGCGACGACCCGGGGAGATGCTGCATCTGCTGCGGTGGATATCTCTGTGGTGGTGGTGGTGGTGGTGTTGGTTGCTGCTGCTGCTGCTGTGATGGTAGTTGTTGTTGCGGCGGCGGCAGCTGATGCTGTTGCTGCTGCGTCTGATAGGCGTCCTGTCGAGGCGTCATCTCTGTTGAGTACACTGGCGTCCCGTACACGGGAGCGCCGGTCGGATTGCCCATGCCGGCTGCGCCAGGGGCCATTCCAACGCCTACATGATGCGTTCCATAGCCGGACGGTATGGCCTGAGGAGGCGTCGCGTCCCACAGCGAGGAGGCACTCGTGGAGGCGCTCGCGATGGACGTCTCGCGGCTCGCCTGCTGCCCCGAGAGATGCGGCGCGTTCGATCCCAGGGGCGTGGGTCGTCGTGGTGCGAGGAGATGCTGGAGCGGCTGCACAGATGATCCTGCGGCGCCCGCAGGAAGCTGTGCTGCCGCGAGAGGACTGAGGTCCGGATGTGCGGCGAGCTGTCCCGGCGGCTGTTGTTGGTGCTGCTGCTGTTGCTGCAGGTAGTGCAGGATGTAGTCGTCGCCGACACCCTGCTCGTGCAGCATTTCCCGGAGGAGCCTGTTCTCGTCCGCGACGCGGCGGGCGGCCATCTGGACCTCTGCCGAGGCCTCAATGCCCTGGAGCTCGCATGTCCGGAGACGCTGCTCGAGTTCCTGGAGGTATTCCCTCTTGCGAGCGCGAGAGCGTCTCTGGTTGTCCCGGATGCGCGCGAGATTGGCCCTTTGCTGGGAAGAGAGTCAGATGGGTACTTGAGACGTGCATTGCAGTCTTGCAGAGTGTGTGGCGGGGAGGGGGGGGGGAATGGATATCAGTCGGGGGACCGCCTTACCGCAGGTGTTGACATTTAGCATCAATGTGATTCGGCGGGACGCGAGGGCGGTGGCAGCTTCTGCAGAGCTCCGTTGCTAGGCATTGACCCGTGAACAACGAATACAGACTCGGGGACTCGGGAGTGTCAAGGGACTCGAGGCAGCGGAGGGTCTCTTCTCGTGTCCTTGCTCAACATCAACGGGCGCGTCTTGTCACTTGTGCGCAACCTCGTCCTTGTCGATATCAGCGAGGCACGATGATGTACATGTACTCTGGCCCGCCCAGCGTGCAAAATTAAGCATCAATTGGTAGAGGGAGCTTGCGTAGAGTGAAGCCGCGAGGGAACAGGGTTGATCCAGGTCTGGTTCCACGTCCAAGAGGCGAAGATGTTTGGTGAAAGGTGGCCCCGTTCGGTCAATCGGCCGGTCGGCCGGTCGATTGCAGTTGATCTCTTGTCGGGATGCCCACACCTTTCCTTTCGGGGGGTGAAGTACATAGATGTAATTTGCGAGCACGCAGGGCTGACGCTCCCAGTCAGTCAGTGAGTAGACTAGACTACATGGGGGATGAGAGAATATTCCCAGCCTTCGCCTCACCAACCAACGCTCGCTGTCCTGGAGTCCTGGGAGCTATCTTTATTCTCGTGTACGGTGTTTGGGAAAGTCCCGTAGCAGGCAACTAGTGACTTGGTCGTGGTGTGCATCGCAGTGATTGCACTGCCTGCTCGCAGAGAATCCGACATGCACGGAAGGAGACAGAGGACGTAGCAGATACCAAGCCTGTGCTGCCAAGCGTGAGCTGGCCGATGTAACTTTTAGTGAGGTACGCTAGTTGGGTCGTGGAAGGACGGACGGCTCGCAAACTTGCCCGGGAGGGTGTGCCATGGGAGCCTTGGGAGGACTGAACCCTTGATGTCGCGGTCGGTCCATGCCTGCTGTAAATCTGCGATCAATCATCAATCGAGTACTAATAGTATGTGAAAGTGGTTTGAGCACAGACCCCCGTTTCGAGCTGCCATAGGCCGCCGGGGCTCCTATGGGGCGGCAGAGATGTTGTTGGGAACTTGGGACGTCCAAGGGGACAGGGGACATGAGTCTTGCTGCTGCAGACGACGCATAGGCGCAGCTCCACCATGGTGTCTACTGGGCAGTGCGTATCAGTACGCAGTACACGTACAAGCTTGCGGCTCGCGTGCAGTTGCTCCAAAGAGACAAGGGAGTTGAATGTTGGCGTGGGTGGTGGAAGTTGCCCGATGGTGTTCGTTCCCCGATAGCGTACGTAGATCATCCATGCTCGGAGGGGCGAGGGCGGGCAAGCGGGAGACCGACAATACCTTGGCCATGGCCCAGTGACCAGTCTCGTGAGTCGTGATCATGCACACGGCATTTCAGCAATTGTCGATGCGGCTAGGCGCCGGTGCCGTCAGGTCAGGTCCACCACTGTCCACACCACCGCCACCACGAGGACCGGACCACGCAAGCAAGGCCTACGTGCGTACTCGTTCCGCCAGCCAGCCAGCTCCGCTCTCACGTGAGTGACGTGACCAGCTGGAGACTGGAGTCTGAACTGCAGAGGTCCAGACTGCAGAGTCCAGACCAACAAGCGACCGCTCGTCCCCGCGGTTTCGCCGCCGCGGAAGCGGTCCAGGACTCCAGGGACCAGGGCTGAAGGTAAAGTCGATCATTCAAGGCCGGGCTGCGTTAGTTCGGCCTCATGCGCAGCGCTAATACCATGACGGGCAGATGCCATCCATGCCCGTGCCGCTTCCTTGGGTGGGTGGGGCGGGGCCTCTGAGTTCTGTCTGGATGGATCAAATCAAATGGGCGTGGTGCTGGGGCGCGGCCGTTCCCAGGCCAGGTCGTGTGCGCCGGAGTGGCGAAGGCTGGAGAGACGGCTTCGCTTTCTGCTCGATGATGATAATATTCACTTGAGTCGGTGGATGATGTTGGTACACATGGCAAGGATGGAAGAGGGCTGAAACTGACCATGTCGCTCAAAATTTGACGCCACACACGCCATACACGTTAATTAACGCGGTCTCCACCACAGCTCGATCATGCGAAGCCTTCCTGGAGTTCCTGAGGAACTAACCGAAGAACAGGCAGCTCCTTTTGTCTGCTACGTTGCAACAACAAGTCATGTCAGCCCTCGAAGCTGGTCAGATTGACTCAGGAGGACCAGAGCTTGTTCCATCTACGATACCGAGTACGCGGCCTGTCGGTCACGGCCCGATCACGATCCCGATTCCAAGTGTGGCAGGTGGACAATGGCGTTGGCACTTTGCTTGGCTTGCTTCATGTTGCTTGCTTGCTTACTGTCAGGTATTGTCCAAGTAGCCCGTTGAGCAGCATGAGTCCATGACTTGGGATGTCCGCGGGTGCCGGGTAGGTAGCTTTGGATGGGCGCGTCAGCCTCAGGATGACCTGACCTGATCTGCTTGACTTCATGTTCATCGCACTCACCTTGATAAAACAAATACTACTCCGTACACCTACAATCTCTAGTCAGTCACTCACCAACCACCCCCGCCAAGACTCTCCCTTGTGGCCTCCTTTTCGCACGTCAAGCTCTCCTGGTGCCGCTGGAGAGCATCCACTGCCTCGAGCAGTTCCCCAGGGATCGACAACAACTCACCTGTCTCAACAGACCTCGCGGGCGCGGCACGCAACCTACCCCGGGCGAGCGCCAACTGGGCAGAAACGGAGCGCTGCCGGGGTGCAAACTCGGCGACCAGGACGCCATCGACGCACTCGCGACAATGATCCGGGATCCCACCCCCGTCGGGGATCGTCCTGGGGAGCTTCCCTGACAGTATGTCCCGGCGGGTGAGGTACCTCGTCTGGAGGCTATGCTTGCAGACACCGTGGCGCAACATTAGTCGACAAAAGGGACAGGTGGCGGCGGCGTTGCCGCCTTGGCCTTCTTCTTCCTGCTGCTGCTGCTGCTGCTGCCAGACGCCCAGGCACGGCGCACAAGCCACATGACCACACGGCAGGATGACAAACGAGTCGTCCTGGTTAGGCGCGTCCGTGCTGTTGGCCGGGTCGAAACGATTCTCAAAGCAGATCTGGCAGATCAGCGCAGGGGCGCGACCACCATTTCCCGGCAGGAACGTGCACCGCGGGTCGGGGACGAATGACTCGGGCAGCGTCGCACGCCTGAGGCTAACACGCGTCCGAGTACCATGGGTGGTCGGGCTTGCGACTTGTTGAATTTGAGGGTGTCGCGACCGCCTGCTGCGTAGATACTTGATGGGGGTTGCTGGCGACGCTTCATGTGATGAGCCAGCATCACAGTCCTCCATGTCTACCTTGAATTGGAGGAATGGTTTACAGATTTACTAACGAGCGTAAGAGGGAAAGAAGCGTCCATTTCTATCTAGATAGAGCATATCAACCTGTTGAACGGTACGAACAGGAGTGGACGCTTAGCAGAGTGCCATTGTTCACCCGCACCAAACAAAGTCCCTACCGCCGTGCGTGCCTTTGTTCGTGTGGCACATCCTATACGATTACGAACCACGCTGGGATCCCAAGATGAACGCAATACTTGTTGCGTCTTGTTCCCCAAGTGCTTTGCACTGCACACCCGCCTCGACACCACACCTGGTATAGGGTAGTCACACCAAACATGACGCCGCCTGTCGCCAAGAGTCCAAGACGCTCCCTTGACTCGAGGTTCTGGCGGACATGTCGACTGGCGCCCGCCATCCAGACCAGAATCCACTAGCCTTGGTGAAAAATGCGCACGTAGATCGAGCGCTCTCCCGGCATTGCCTCTTGGGCCGACGATGGTCACAACTGACAGTACGTAATATAGCCGCCCACTGCCGATGGAATTGTTCTCGAGCCCGGGCCGGTCGAACGTCGGACGGAGCCCGATGTGGGCCACAGGGACCGTCATGATACCCAATTTACCTACTGATTACTAGTATCAGTATCTACTACGTAGTCTTTTCCTCTGGCGGCAGGCTGGTGGCACTGGTGTCCAGCTGTTGGAGCTCCGACCACGGCCGCCAACAGCTGCACTTGATCAAATAGCGGGCTTGTCCTCAGCCATTGCGAGGAACGCCGTCGTCTTGGACTCTTGGCTGGTCCAAAGCATTGCGGACACGAAGCTTGGCAGACTCAGAGACTGACGTTTCTTTATCCCCCCTCAGCCAGAGTCTGCCATGCCAGCCCACCGATGATGTCGCTGCAGGCCATAGTCTTGGCCCAGGGAGACTGAGACGGTCTGAACTGGACCTCTCTGCTCCCCAGACTGCGGTTGAGCGGTCTCATGCAGGTCTGACAATCAAGCAGGCACTGAATGCACTGTCTTGCCACGGAGGAAACGAAATGACCTCTGGACAGCACACATGCAGCTTCATGTACCCGCCAAAGCAGATAGTCAAGACTCGCCAGCTCGCCATATCTTATCATGTGCAGACACGGAGAAGCATAACAATTCATTACACACAGTCAACTGAGTCTCTCCCAAGCATTGTAAGCCACCCCTTATTGAAACATTCGTTGTCGTCGCAGAGGTGTAGCACTACTCCGTACGCTTGGCAGCATCATCAGCCCAGCACGCTGCTAAAGGGAGGCGAGGCAGCTGCTCGACTTGTCTCACGGTCATCCGGATAACCTGCGTGTATAGCATCATTGCTGGAACAGATGCGAACAATGTCTGAATACCTTTCTTCTTGGCAGTGGTGAGCATAGGTGTATATATATGGACAGGAGACTTCCCTTTGGTGTACAGCTCATCATCAATGCACGAGCACAGAAAGCCAGCGCAGACACTCCAAATACCCATCTCTACCTATCTGATAATACCATGCCTCGCACACAGACCTTCATCGCGGCCGCGGCCATGCTGCTCTCCGTGGCGCGTGCCGACACCATCACCATCACCGCCAAGGCAGACAACACCTTTGAGCCCAACAACGTCCAGGCCGACGAGGGGGACATGGTCGAGTTCCGCTTCGCGCGGGGCAATCACAGTGTCGTGACCGGTCTTTACGAATTTCCCTGCGCCCCTCTCGATATGGGCTCGGGCTTTTTCTCTGGCTTCGTGGACACGACGGACGATGAGGCAGTAAGGACCCCGGAATGCCACCTTCACAGGATGAGTCGCTGATTGAAAACCCTCACAGGACAAGCTCTTCCGCGTGAGGATCAACAACACGGAGCCCATTGCCTTTTACTCGTCCGTCGATGGCCAGTGTGCAGACGGCATGGTGGGCATGATCAATGCCGACGACGACCACACGCTGGATGATTACCGCAGCAGGGCCGAGGCCGTCGCCAGCAGTATCTCGCCGAGAAATGGCCCGTACGGCGGGGAGTTGGACAATGTGAACGACAGCAATGAGGATGGCGATGATAGCAACGACAACATGGACGACGAGGAGAACGACAACAGCAGTGGTAACGGCAACGGCAACGGTGATGACAACGGCAATGGCAATGCGGCTGGTGCTCTTGGCGCCCCGGCAGCGGGCTTGATCATGGCTTCTCTGGGATTCGCAGCTCTGCTGCTTTGATCATGGGTCGAGGTGGTGATTCGGTGCGCTCGCGAGCGTGATACCCATCTGTTTCTTACGGCGCTGGGAGCCAATTTGTCGACTTTTTTTTTTTTTTTTTTTTTTTTTTTTTTGTGTTGTTTACTCAATTTCAAGACTGGGATTTCTATTTATGCCGTATCATTGGGGTTTTATTGACTGTTGTCTCTTGAGAGTTATTCATAACATAGTCCATATGCATTGAGTGTGTCTGATGCACAGTATTCAGTAAAATCCATAAATAAGATGGTCGATTTTTTATTCACTATTCTCGTATCATTATTCGGTAGCACTTGTAGCATACACCATTTATATGAACAATTTCTACTGGGATTATTTAGTTCTATTTTCTTTCACTTGTACGAATTCATGAATGTTAATCGTGGAAGCGCCCGGGAATAAGGCTGTCCATCTCACGGAGACGCCACCACGGGTTGGTTGGGGCGCAAAACCTCATTTCCTAACCAAACGCGACGCGCGTTGATCCTGCAACGTACCCCCAGATCAGGACTGTCGCCATGTCCCTCCCTCATCGAGCATGGTACATCTCGAAGGTCAGTCATTGCTGCTCTCACAGTCGTCTCCATGGATCGACAAGGTGGCCCGCTGGGCTCAGTCGGGGTGGCCACACGCAGCGATAGCTCTCACCGCGGTGCTCTGGGCGGCTGCCTCACGCCTCTCTCAACCGGGCGCGCAGTCTCACTCGAGAACTCTGCTCATGGTATGGAAATACGAGCTGCCCATCCAGGCTACCAGAATCGCCCCCATAGCGCTGCTCGCCGTCGCGCACGCGTATCGCGACGCCGCCATACTCGCGTACGGCCTCACGCTCGGTCTCGCGAGACACGCGGGCAGCCCAGCACGGAGACGCTCCAGCCTGCACCAGGTCAACTTTGTCTACACAGCTGTGTTCTGCCTGCATCTCGCAGCGCGATATCTCCCCTGTCTTCGTCGAGACACGCACTGCCACCACAGCCCCGTGGTCACGGTGGCAACCGTCTTCCTGGCCCTCCATGTCGTCCTCATCGCCGTGACGCCGCACCGTCTCAGCGGTAGCTCGTCGCCCGAAGAGGAGTGTAGCTTGCTTGGGTCCTGTACGTATGCGTGGCTGGACCCCGTCATTTGGAAAGGCGTGACCAAGAGGTTGGACATGTCTGGCATGCCCGCCCTGCCCTGGTACAATGACCCCAAACTCCTGTTCCGCCGGCTGCAGAGCGCTCGTAGAGTCTCCCGAAACACTTTTCGCGCAATCCTGCGCTTCCAGGGCAGGCATATCATGCTCATGGCCGCATGGAGCATGGCCGCCCAGTGTTTTGACAATGTCGCTCCCTTTAGCATGTTCAAGCTCCTAGAGTACCTGGCAGACCCTGATGCTGCCGTCTACAAGCCAGGCGTGTGGCTCGCTCTTGTATTCCTCGGCCCCGTGGCCAGGTCACTCTGCCACCAGCAGTACATCTTCAATTCGACGCGCCTCGTCGTCCGCGTCAAGTCCGCCATGACGCAGGAGCTGTACAGCGTCGCCCTCTCCTCGATGCAAGCTGACACCTCGACTGGAAGGCTTCTCACCCTCATGGCAGCAGACATCGATGGCTTCCTCCGGGCGCGCAGCTCGGTCATGGCACTTGCAGGGATTTCCACAGGAACCCTCATCTCGTTCGTCGGCATGTATCGAATGTTTGGCTGGCCGTCGCTCGTTGGCATGGCGATTCTGCTTCTGGCCATCCCCGTTTCCGTGTGGCTTGGCCGCCATATCTTCAAGCGGCAGAGGCTGGCGCGAAAGGCCCAGGACTCGCGAATATCATTGATAGCAGAGTATCTGTCTTCGATCCGTGTCGTCAAGTACTTTGCCTGGGAAGAATATATCAACGCCCAAGTTGGCGCACGTCGCGCTGACGAGCAGAAGGATCTCTGGCGCGTGGCGGTTCTCCAAGCCCTCGCCAACCAGATCACCCAAATCTTCCCTTTCTTGGCGCTGCTGATCATGTTTGGCTTGCACGTCGGCCTCCAGAACAAGCCACTGACGGCTTCGATTGCCTTCACCACCTTATACCTGGTGAGGAACCTGCGCAGAAACATTTTGCAGGCAAGCCAGGTCGCCCGAAACGTTGCCGGGGCTCTTGTGTCCTTGGAGCGCCTGGATGAGTACTTTGACACGGCAGTCCTCAAACCGAGGCTTCCGCAGGGACCCCTTCGAATGCAGAATGCCACGGTTCGTCGGCATGAGCTGGATCCCGGACTGAAAGACGTGTCCATTGACTTTGTCGAGGGTGGCCTGAACGTGGTATCTGGAAACAGTGGGAGTGGTAAGACGACACTTTTGCTGGCTATTTTGGGCGAGATTCAACTCATGCAAGGCTCCATAACCGCCCCCGAAGACATTGCCTATGCTCCACAGACAAGCTGGCTCCAAAATTTGTCCATCAAAGCCAACATTGTCTTCGGGGTTGAATTCGACCAGCCATGGTACAACCGCATTGTCGACGCATGCCGCCTCCGGATGGACCTTGCTGGTTTGCCAGAGGGAGAGAATACCCTTGTTGGTGAGAATGGCGCTTCATTATCGGGCGGTCAAAAGGCACGTGTAGCCCTGGCGCGGGCACTGTATTCCCGGGCACCTCTCCTCTTGCTGGACGACATATTCTCAGCACTGGATGCCAAGACGGCGGCCGGTATTTGGGAAGCCTGTTTTTGCGGCAAACTTCTGCAAGGCAAGACTGTAGTTCTGGTAACACAATTGCCTCGGATTGCTGTGCAGGCTGATCTGAGCATCGTCCTTGATGGCGGAAAGGTCCAAAGGACCGAGGCTCACCTTGGCGTAGTGCGCCGACCTATACATGCTCAGGTAGCCAAGCAGGTTGTGGAAAGAGACCGAAAAGATGTGAATGGTCCAAATGTCGCGGCGAGAGAAACGCAGAGTGCTTTGGTCGATCAGGAAACCAAAGCTTCCGGACACATTGGTCGCCTGACATGTAAGTTTCAACCCCGTCAACACGCCCGGAAGCATGCTAATGAATAGTCCTCCACTATATGCGCTACTTTGGACATCCTCTGTTCACCGTGGTCTGCCTGGCATGTCTTGCCGGGTGCGGATTACTGACGTTCGTCAGCGCGTACTGGCTGTCGATCTGGGTTGAGGCGTACCGGCATCAGGGCCATGTCAATGCGGCGTACTATCTGGGTATCTACGCCGCCTTGACAGTCTCGGAAATTGCGCTCTTTGCCTCACTGATCATCCTGTTCGAATGGGGCGGTTGGCGCGCAGCACGCATGCTGCACGGGGAGTTCATCGGGGCCGTCACGCGCGTGTCTCTGTCTTGGTACAGAACCATACCTGTCGGACGGGTGACGAACCGGTTTGCAGGCGACATGGCGTCGATCGACAACTCACTCAGCAGCGTGCTGCGCCTCAGCCTCGAATCACTGAGTCAATTGTTCTTCCGTCTGGCCGCCGTCAGCTCCATCATGCCCATCTTTATGTTGCCAGCGCTGTGCACGTCGCTATGCGGCATCGTGGTGGCGGAAATGTACACACGGACAGCGGTTATTGTCAAGCGGCTCACGTCATCGTCGCAGAGCCCCGTTTTCTCACAATTTGCCGATACACTGGCCGGCATGTCGGTGATCCGCGCCCGAGCTGGCATGGCACGGTCGTTTCAGGAGGCCCTTGCGCAGAAGATGAGCATCTACTCCCGTGCTTTCGAGACTAGCCTTGATTGTAATCGCTGGGTGGCCGTGCGCGTAGATTTCATCACGAGTCTCGTGGTCTTGCTGGCCGGTATCATTGCTATTTCGAAAGCCGGTGTGATCGGAGCCGGTCTTGTGGGGTTCTCGCTCTCCAATGCCAACGACTTGAGTACGACCATCTTGGTTCTCGTGCGAAGCCTCAATGACCTAGAGGTTGAGATGCAGAGCTTCCATCGCGTCAGGGAGTATGTGAAACTAGTCCCCGAGGAACAGGACGACAAACCCTATCCGGAAGAAGGGTTATACAGTGACGGCCCGTGCGTGCCAAGAGACTGGCCGTCATCCGGCGAGGTCGAGTTCCGGAACGTGACGGTGCGCTACTGTGAGGACGGGCCAGATATTCTGAAGGATGTGAACCTCAAATTTAGGCCCGGGGAGCGTGTCGCTATCGTCGGGCGGACAGGTTCGGGAAAGAGTACGGTAAGTTAAGCTGTGCACGCGCAGGGGTTCGGTGGTTGCTAAGTCAAGTCAGCTTGTGCTCTCGCTTCTCCGGTTCACGCACGTTGTGTCGGGCCAGATTCTGTACGACGGGCTTGACATTACCAAGGTGCCTCGACAGCGTCTCCGCAGAGCACTCACCGTTATTCCGCAAGAAGCGGTCCTCTTCACTGGGACGGTAGGTTCAAACATGGATCCTTCGGGGCAGACGTCTGCCGATGCTCTGCAGCGAGTTCTGGACTACTGCCATTCTGTCGCCTCCTTCGATGATGCTGAGGCCGAAAGTGCCATCCAGCTGGACACTGCTGTCCAGGCCGGAGGCGAGAACTTTTCACACGGCCAGAGGCAGGTTTTGTCTCTGTGCCGTGCCATATTGCGCCATAATCGACTGATGCTGTTTGACGAGGCCACGGCCAATATGGACTACGTGACAGACGAAGGCATACAGCAGATCTTGCGCGCGGAGCTGGGCAAGGAAAGTGAACGTACGCTGGTGACCGTGGCGCATCGTCTACGCACAGTGATAGACTACGATCAGGTGGTCGTGATGGGTGCAGGGCGCGTTGTCGAGGTGGGCAGCCCTCGGGAGCTTTTCGCAGCAAAGGGGCCGTTCCACGAGATGATTCAGCACAGCGGGGAGAGGCACATGCTGGAGGAGTTCTTGCGCAAACAACAGGGGCAGGACGGGGTCGGTCAAGAAGAGGCATTCTCGTTTGGATGCGACAGTATTACAGATAGCCCAACACTTTCATTTCCTACATTGCCATAGCACTACATATCCAACAGGACTCACCAGCCGTCTGTTTCCTCCGTTTCCCGGTCTTGCTCGTCTGGCGAATTCCACTGGCCAGATCCATCTTCCTGACCATCTTCAGCATCTTCACGCGAGCCATCTCGGTTCTCTGTGTCGCTGGCAGGGAATCGAAGTTGGGACGCGATAGTCTCTCGAAGCTTGCCCATGGCTGATGTCTCTCCATCGGGATGGACATCACGAACCTTGAAAGGTGCACGCTTTTTGGGCTTGGCTTTATTGTCACCGAGAGTCTTGTTCACTTTCGTGACTTTGCCATGGTGCTTGGCCGCTGCAGCTGACACGCCGTATCGGACTGACGGAGGCTGATTGTCAGGATGAGGGACCGGCTTGAGCTCCGACAGATCGCGCGAATATGTTCCAGCCTGCTCTGATGCGGGCGGGTGCTGGTCAGCCACTGGACAGTTCCGTGCAATGTGGCCTGCGGGCAGTCCAGCGTCATTGCAAGGATTGCAGAGAGCCACAGTCCCACACGGAGACCCAGGGGTGTTCACATGTCCATGATTGCCACAGTGGTCGCAAAACATAGTCAAAGGACTCTTGTAGCGCAGTTCGAGTACAGTTGAGTTGCTCTCGTGCGCGTCGAGCAAGTCTTTCGCCCACTTGCCAGCCAATCCCCCCTCAGCCACGATAAAGAAGCTGGCAGCTCGGGAACGTGTTGAGCTGATGCACAAGCGATCGTGCTTGCTTTGGAAGACGCCTGAGGTTGTTCGAGGGAGATCGACGATCACCATATCGGCTTGATGACTAGGAGACTCGTCAATTGTCCGAACATCGATGAGCGCAAGAGGAGCTTCGGTGGGCCGAATCTCCTGGATCATGTTCTTCAGCAAGTTCTTTTGAGCCGCGTAAGCGGTGACGACAAGTATTGTGCCGCGTTGAATCGGACGGTGCTCGTTCTTCATAACAGCGTCATTCAGATCCTTCGAATTGTAAAGTGGTGCTTCTTGGTACAGCTGCACAACGAGCTTCTGGACGATGCGGGCGTTCTCCTCGTTGATGAACGAGGTGCCGTGGATAACCTCGCTTGAGTTCTTCGGCATAAGCATGACGGACGGTACTCTGACGTGAGACACCTCCATGAACGCAGCAATGTATTTGAGCCAAGCCCAGTTTTGCATGGGCATATGTTTCAGATGGACAATGCTCATGGTCTCGCGGTAGAAGAGTTGGCGAGCAATTTCGAACGCGGTGCCGAAAGGACGATGAGAGTACATAAGAGTGAAGTCAATCTTGTTGCACTTCGCGAGACGGTCGAGAAAAGATGTTGCGTGTTGATAGCCGAAGAGATCTTGGTACTCATCCGTCTCAGCGGCGACAGAGAGAAGCGTTGACTGGTTGACGTCCCCAATGATCAAGACAAATGGAGCCCGGGGATACTTGGCCATGGGGATGAACGTGGCGGCTTCATTGAGGTTCTGGGCTTCGTCGATGATGATCATGTCGGGCATGAACGAAACCAAACGACTGGCGCATGAAGCGATTGCAGCGGGAGTGGCATAGACCACGCCGGCCTGCGCAATCGTGAAGTCGAGCAACTCGACGGCGGCTTTCTTCGCTTCTGCCTTGTTCTTCATCCAAAGGGTTGGATCAGTGTCCCTATAGGTCAATCCCTGACGAAGTTGCGTCCACCTTCCAGGGTATGTCTCAAGGTTGCGCTTTGCATTCTCTGACACCGAGTTTGGATCTGAAGCAGGAGAGACATCATTCCAAGTCTCTTCCCGAATCTTGTTCTTGTAAGCCTCCAAAGCACTCTCACCAGCCGACGCGAAAACGGTGTCGAACTGAACCTGGCGAGGACCGCGTGACTCAGTGGACATTATGTTGGCAAGCTCTTTCTCCCATGAGTAGCACCTCATACGCTTGATGTCGGGAGCGAACTTGTGGCCTCGAAGCAATGCATCGGCAACGTTCTTTCTGGAGTTGACAAGGTAAAGCACTTGACCTCTCTCGACACGCTCCGGCTCAGCATCCCCATCATGCTTGTGCCCGGTAGCAGTGTCCTCGGTGGCAGCAGTGTTCTCGGTGGCGGTAGTGTCCTCGGTGGCGGCAGTGTCCTCGACGGCAGCGTCATCATCCCAAGGGGCTCCAGCAGCAATGTTCTCGACGGCGGCGTCATCATCCCAAGGGGCTCCAGCAGCATTTTCGTCGACATCGTTGTCCCCGGTAGCATCGTGATCGGTGGAGGATTGTTCGGCAGCAATGTGGCGTTCATGGCTGCGCTGGTACGATGTGGCCATCGCTTTGGCAACCTCGCTCTTGAGCTTACGGGCTGCTTCACGACGTTCACGACGGCTGGGTTCTTCCTGAAGGGGGTCGATGCTTTCAAAGTATTCATGTGATGAATGCTCGTTATCCAGATCATTGTGAATCGCGTGATCGAAAGCTTCAGTGTTGACTGCACCACGTGCGACCCGAGGGATAGTGCGAGCCACATGTGTGCTCAAGGAATCTGCAACATATGATTTTCCAGAGCCGGGACAGCCAGTGATAGTAAAGACGCCGCCGACGGTGCGCTCCATGCATTTAATGAGCTCGGCGAACTGTCTTGATGTGTTTGACTTCGATAGGGTTTCGACGAGTGCGTCGAAACCGAACAGTGTAGTTATGTCACGCTCTTGGATGTGGCCATCATTCGTAGCGAAGTTTGTCGAGTACTTCTAGTATGCCGACAAAGCATCACCTGGTCCAGGATTGTTCAAGGTCTGCACGGCGCTGGCTTCGTGCTTGGCTGTTGTCGACAAAACAAGAGGCTTGACGGTGCCTCTGACAATGTTCATCTTTCGCAGACGGCTTGATGATAATGTCTCGCAGAACTCCTTCAGGCTGGTGCGCATCGGAGTGAAGGGCAGTCCAGTCTTCTTTGGCGGAGCTTTGTAGCAAGAAGCCCACTTGTCGTCTTTGGGAATCGACGCCGAGAACATGGCGACACGACCAGGGATACCCGGAGGGAGGGGCAAGCGGCGCGCGGAGACTTCGAGTGTTTGCTCGGGTTCGGGTGTTGCTTGCTGCGGTACGCCATTGTCACGAATCCATTTGCCAATCTCGACGACCATGTCTGCGTGCTCGTCCTCGTAATGCATAGCGAGCCACCGGCAACCCTCATACACGGCAGTGATGGCTTTGCGCATGACTTCGTCGTCAAGGTCAGTAAGGAAGGGCTGGGCGCCGGCTGAAGGACGGTTGACGTAATCAAAGAGACGATCGGCAAAGAGGTCGAAGGCACGGTCGGCACGAAAGTGGGCAAGTTCGGCTTCTGCATCTTCGTGCTTTTCCTGCTGTGCTTCGGTCTCTTGACGCATGTTTGCGACCTGCTGGACTTTCTTGTCGTAAGCAAACTTGACCTCTTCGGCAACGGCTTGCACAATCTTCTCAATCTGGCTCGAAAGTTCTTTGTGAATGTCTTCGGTCATCTCAATGTCGGCAGGCCGTTGACGAACTATCTCTGGTTGCTTGAGGGTGATCACACAAGGCTTGTTCTCCAAAGGAAGGTCGTAATGCTCGCTGATCGAGCAGAAGAGCGTCATCTCTGTTGGAGAATCATCAGCTGGTATACCGTACGTGATGAGATCGTCTTCAGTACTCTTCCATCGAGAGAAGGGGGATACAGTGACGATGAAAGAGAGCTCGACTTTGGCCATCTTGTCAGCGGCCTGGAGCTCGTACATGATGGAGTCCGTACTTCCACCGACCAAAGCACAAGTTCGATGGGTAGGGTCCTTGAAGACGTAGGCTCGAGGAACAGATTTGGATGGACGTTGTGCTTCCAAGTTGAAGGTGGCGAAAGACAGATCTTGATAGCGGTAGTTGCAGTTACTTATCAAAGCATCAAAAGCATGCTCATCTCGAGAGTACTGTGTGAGGTTCGTCCACATCTCGCTAGCGAGAGGACTATCCGCGGTGGTGATGGTGAATGTGAGAGGATCTGCCGACGCAAAGACGGCCTTGAGCGTGTTCTCGAGTGCTTCACAGTAGCGCACCTTCGCAATGTTGTTCCATTGAAGGCAAATATCGGATCGATGGAATGTCAGTTGAACAGAATCGACAGAGACACACTTCAAGACCATCAGCTCGGCAGGCTCGATGTCTTTCTCTTGAGCTTCGGGACCAAAACGCGACAGATCTGCGAACAGATCATGCTTGACTTCTGTCATGTCGTCGCGAAGACCTGCAATGAGGCTCTGGTCGTCGGGGCTGAGGGAGAACGCAGAGCGAAGCCACTCTGTCTGGTTGGTCGAAACGTTTTGTCGAGTGGAATTTGTAGCGCTGCCCATGTATAGAACAATTTTGAGACTCGACTGGAGTTGACGACCATTTCGAACATGAAATGTCAGGATCAACTGTGCGGGCGAATACTGGCCAGCTCGGTAGTCGATTAGCGTGACCAGACCTGCACCGCCTCCCGCACCAACACGAGCCAGGGTTTTGGAAGAATAGCCCTTGAGAAGATCGCCGTTGACATGAACAAGGGCTGGGATGATGTGAGAATCGCCACTTCGAGGGATGGAGACGGGATCGCGGATTTTGTCATCTTCAGTTTCATCACGACCGGCGGCATCAACCATGACATTGACTTGAGCTATTGAGACATAAGTTGACGCCTTCAAAACTGATCCACGCAGACTTACATAGCGAAAGGAGTTCATTGTCGATGTTCAAGTATACCTTTTGACCACCTGGAATCTCGACGGAACGGATTGGCAGCATGCGTGGATTCGCGATGGCGCTCTTATCCAAGATGACCGTTCGACCGTTGTGGAGGTTCAGGACAAAGTCAGCTTCGTCAGTGGCTTCATTGTTGTCCACATGGTCATTCGTGTCCATGGTGTGATCTGCGGAAGCTACCACCAATCAGTAAGTCGTCAGACAGTAGGAGGAGGTCACCCACATTGAGCTGCTGTCTCTGTCTCCTGCTGATCTACATGCTGATTCTGTAGAGAGCCGCTTCCGGAACCGTGGATGTCGTCAGGATTGGAACCGTCAGGCTTGGGGCTCGCAGGCTTGTTTTTTGGCCAGCTTTTGACCCGTGTGATGGGGAGCGGATCCATGCCTGTGCCGAAAACGGGAAATGAACGGCCGCGCTGCTCTTCAAACTCTGCGGCAGTCACGTATTTGGTTGACTGGATCTCCTTCTGGGTCTTGGAAGGACTTCCAGAACGGATGTGGCCAGCATCCAAACCGGTTCCAGGGATGGACTGACCAGTCTTGGGTGCTGCACTCAGTTAGCACGATGTCAGCCAGAATGAGCAAAGTCTTACATTGAGCTTTCGTCTCTACAGGCTGATCCTGAGAGCTTGCTTGGTCGAAAAGCGGGGAGACGAAGAACCTGTGATGGTCGTCATTAATGGCAGATGCATCTCCGCGAGACAATCCAGGCCAAAATTGCGTGGTGTTGAAATCGCGAAAGACTGAATGCTTTGTGCCATAACGGCCCAGGAAGGGAGCCACGGTGAGTTAGTAGTCAGTAACAGTCTGGATAGATATCTACTCACATTGAAATGTTGCTCCAGTTTCTTCGGGTGCCTGGAGCTGATGCTGGGGAGAGTAGTTCCCAAAATGGTGGCATCAACTTCATCGCCCTAATGATTTAGAATTTCCAGCTGGGACTGCAAAAATGACTTACAACGCATTGTCTCGAAACCGAAGTTGAATTCCTGTCGAGTGTTCTTCTTGGCATCTTCAACCGTCTCCTTGGACAGCGAAGACCCATTCTCATGATCGAAAGGGTCGGAGTAGGATATTGTGATGGCAGAAACCAAAGACTGAGTTGAAAGTTGGATGCGAAATTAGAAGAGGAGTGCTGTCGAGAAGAAAGTCTGGATCTCAAGAGCGTTACAGCTTGTGAATGAAGAAGGAGAGTGAAGAGAAATCGAAGAGGAAAGAAAGAGAAGTGAGAGGGAAACGTTGCTTGAGAATAACAAAGGGAAGTGAGTGGTAGCTGCGTTTTCATAAACAACAAAATTTTCACTTCGTGTGTGAACAAGTTCAGACGAAGCTTGCTGGTGTCGAGCGCCTGTGGTGAAGCTGAGATGTCTGCCCAAGGCAGGGTCGACGTGGCTGGTGCTAGAAGCGTCTAGCAATATGTGGTTTTGGGAGTGAGTCTCTAGTAGAGTAGGTGAAAAAAACCAGCTAAGTGACTTGGCGAGATCGAAACACTCCCCTCGCCTCGTCAACAAAGCTGGCTGCCCCCGAGCTGCGTAATCAAACGGCGGCGTTTTGGTTCCCGTTGTGAGCCTTATGTCACATTGGGCCATCCATCGCATAATCGAGATGAATATCTCGATACGCATCGATAGAAGTCAAGGTACATCGTTATTCACACCGACAAAAGTCGGGTCCTAACTTCACCGAGCTTAGGCAACTCGAATGAGAAGCTGCCTCTACTGCTCGCCAGCATTACCGGTGGGTCCTCGCAGGTTTTTGTTTGATATGGACTCTCTGCTGGTTTCCCCTGGCCACAAGTCCCTGCAGATTCACAAGAACAAATTGCAGAAAGAGGTCTGGAACGATATATCACCTATATCAGATCTAAATTCGATTTCAGAGAATACGAAACGTATCCTCAAAGAACACCCAAAGAAATAGACTTAACTTCGCTAGGGCCTGATCTATAAAGACACTGATCCGACCTTATGGAAACATAATAAGGCAGAAGCGAAGAAGGCCGCAATTAACCTGCTCAACTTCACTGTTTCTTAGGGCGGGTTGATTATCCACGCTACTCCTACTGCAATTGCTTCATGCGCCAGTCGTCTCACGTCGTTCATGCCCGAAATGATCATTATCGACGAAGCGCAAAACCTTAATAAAGCTGCCACGTTCATCGCCATGGCAAATTATCCTCGGGCCTCCTTTGTCTTGATTATCGGAGATATCAATCAGTCGACGCTCGTATCAGCCGCCGCCGAAGATAATGAATACAACGACTTTTTCGATCGTCAGCACGCAACCTCCCTGCTTGATCGTCTGGCCAAGTGCAACAAGATCGACTTCACTCTGATGAACACCCACCGTCCTTTCGGCAACGCGTTCGAGATTCCTCGTCAGATGTTCTATCGCGAGACCATGAGTGTCGTCCATGGGAGTCATCTAGTCCAACAGAACAAGAGCTGGCTTTCGGTGGGTTGAAGCTCCTGAACTATGCTTCTAAGCAAAGTTTTCTGAGCAGCGTAAATCAGCGACTTATCTTCCCTACGTCGAACACCCAGCCCCCGATCGAGACCAGCTTTTCCCGTGACGACTACGTTCTCTCTGCTCGACGGTCTGTCCAGGGATCATTCCTTGGGCGCAAGCTGGGGCACGTCACAGTCACAACACGAGAGCCTCAGGCTCTTGTCTATGACACCAAAAGACTCACCGCGACCCAATGTACCTTCGGCATGACCGTCGAGCGTAACCAGATCGATCTTTATTGGGAATCGATCAGGACGCAGCACGAAATTGGCACAGACCTCGCACTTGGAGTTTTGCTCTGAAAAAGTCTGGACGGATTCCGCTTCGGACTGTGAGCAAACGAACCTCTGACACAGATAGGAATTGGAGTAAAATCCCCCCTGCCATGAGAATGCCATAATTGTTGGTTCATGTTGAAGATGCGACGCGCAAAAACTCTTTTACTTCACCCAGACCAACGGACGGGCCGGATACAACCATGAGGAGAAGAGGATGTCGGATGTCTGGCTGGATGTACTAATTGATTTTACTATACCCAAGATATTTGATAACAATGTAGATCCTGGCCCATGATATCAAAGTTTTCAAACAACCTTCTACACTATATCCCTGTCAACCTCAGCACCACGACGAAGTGTTGGTCAACCTTCTACACTACACCCCCTCAACTATCAACGTCACACACACAGGGGTAATAAACTTCGCATGATGCGCTAGCACCATGACACTGATAGGAGCGGTGCACCCTGTTTTCTGAAAAGTTTCGCGCAATAGTAGGGACGAGGACGTCGTTCTGCATCTGGAGCATGGGCGTTCTCAGTACAGTGGCTTGTGTTGGACTGCAAACGAAACTGATTGTCAAGTAGAGGCTGCTACGTGAGACCGCACCTCGGAGCTCAATTAGACGGGTGACTATGTTACTGCACGAGTGGAAGTCTAAGCTTACACAAGTTTCTGTGTAAGCTTAGACTTCCACTCGTGCAGTAACAAAGTCTAAGGTTGCAGCATGAACTGGGAACCGACCCAACACCACCGGCCGGCGCTGCACCTGTTTACTCTTTCAATACCTTGGATGTTGGGTCTCCCTGAGAGCCGGGCCCGTCCTCGTCGTGGCATCGTCATTCTCAATGTTTATCCGAGCACGCCATAGGGTCGGGCCGGTTCTCGTACTAAATCGACCAAATTGTTCAAATTGTATCAGTGTCATGTAGTCATTTCCTTGACCGGCGCCATGGACATAAGATCGACTGGAAAGAAATCAGGCTGTCTAAAGGCTGTTACGGCCGACGGTCACGCGGCTGAGGTCGAGGTCGAGGTGGAAGGGTCGTGCGCTGGCCTATTTCTATTATGCAGCCTGTGGTGATTAACATCTTAAGTTACTGCATCCAACATGGCTTCCTTCAGCCTGTATTGTACATGAAGAATTATATTTTGAGTCAGTGGCCTTCTCAAACTCTCGATTTTGTATCACATAATTCAAGAGTTTGCGGACCCATGGCGGACGTTATTGGGAGCACCGTGCTTGCGGCCTGGGACCTTTTCGCGATGGACCTCTGGGTCCTGATCATGTTGCTAGTCATATGGTCGGCCAAAATTCGACCAGAGTCTCGAAGGCTCCTGATCAACAACATGGAGACTGCAAGCTGCCGGGTAAGCCACGTTGCAGCGGCAACCCTGTAGCTGACAACCTCAAGACGGGGTTGCCAGTAAAAGTTTCACGATGGAGGGAATCAGCTATACTGATACGTGAAGTCACTTGCGTGGGCACTATTCACTCGAATGCAAGGATATGGTCGCAGCAAAAGAGACAAAGGACTTGGAATTACATACCCACAGCCTTCAAGTGCGGTGTTGTCAGAACTGGGGGTGATGAAAAGAGTGAGAAGATGCAAAACGTCGAGAGGGCGCTACTAGATAGCTGCGAGTATGGGGTCCTTGGTGACTGTATTAATCTCTTGATCTTCCTAGGAGCATTCCCCGGCTGCGAAGGTTCTCCCCTCTTGTGCCCCTTGCACGTGACCCAATTGGGCTTCCTGCGCCACATCTAGCCACAGGCATAGAGGCCCCACCCACCCTGCGGCTACCACAACTCCGATGTGCAACAAGCGTCTGACGAAGCGATATTTATAAGAACCTATAGTATGTAACACATATAAATTATAAGTAAGAATTACTTTGTTATAAAAAATTAATGTTAATTTAAATACTAACTTGAGTTTTTTGGCTAAAGTCGGGGACACCGCCCTGAATAAAGGGTGGTACATGAAAACGGCACTCGATCTCATCCTGATCTTTTGCAACTAGTGATATAATATTTAAAAACATAAAAGACAAATAACTGGCCACTTGGTCTAGTGGTACGATGTGTGCTTCGTTGGTCTACCTCATAGCACTCCACAAAATCCGTTGCGCTAACTAATCCAGGGGAATGCTTCTCGATCTATCCAATAGTTCATGCACGAGGTCGGGAGTTCGATTCTCCCAGTGGCCCTTCACTTTTTGCCGTCAGTGCGCCTGCACTCGGCTTTGTGGAAATTGCCAAAACATGTGATCGACAGTCGATTCAATTCTCCATTCATTGGACGTTCCTATGATACCATGTGAGCTCTATTGCGTGAGCAGTGCATTTTTGAAATGTGTGGGTTTCTGGAGGTTGGTCTAGCGCGAGCTTCCTCTGCGGGCGGCACCCACATGTGCACATTCAGCCGTCGCACCGGAATTCCGAGATCATGGAATTTCACGTCAACGAAGCTTTGATGTGCCACTCTTCATTATCCCTCGGGATGCGGTACTCTGTCCATGGAGACACTGAAGCAGCGAGGGGTGGTGAGGTGTGGCGCCCTTTGCCTTGGTCGCTTTCATGTGGCACGCAGAATTCAGGATGTATCACGATTCACGAACTGTCGGATAGAGTCGAGTTTTATTGTCCTCTTTTGCCCCAGCAACACGGACACACACTTGCGCATCGACACTCAAAGATCCATCCACTTACACGGTGGTTGTCGTCTGTCGTTGCACTTGCGCGTACCTTCCTCATTGTCGAATTTCAATCTGGGGTACGCGCCACGCCACACACAAACCTGGGGTAGCGCCGTAGGCTCGTAGCGGGGTTTGGGCCACGCGGACAACCCACGAGTCGCTCGCTTGCCGGAAATGTCTAGTAGCTGCTGATTGTAGCTGCTAATGTCACTGTGTTGACAGCTCAGCCATCACTTGTATGTAATCGAAATTGATTGAATATCTCGGAAAGCGCACTAGTCTACAGCATAGATGAAAAAGGGAGCCCCACAAACAAGGGGAACACACGATGGGGCCTTCCCACAGTCTCACTCACGTTCAGTGACGCCGAGGTCCAGCTGGCGAGCAAGAGCAGCAGAGAACGGCTCACTTCCGGCGGGCATTGTTTTGATCAGGACCCGACGGTTGCGAGCTTGAGAGGTCTTGTCCGCCATTGCCTGTATGTTTGTCGGCCAACCAAGAAAGTTCAGTCGACCGTCACTCTTGAGATGATCAGCGATGGAATTGCCGCCCATGATACTGCGGTTGTAGTCCGTCCAGGTGCACGGCCGGCCCCAACCCTCGCAGACAGCGCAACTCCGGGTAGCTTCATTCCAATGGCTGGCAACGGTCTGTGCAAGGTCAGAAACGTCCAGAACTGGTGCAGTGTATGTCACTTACATCGGCCAGAGAATGGTTGAGGTCGCAAAACTTTCGACTGCCCGCAGGCTTGCGCTCCACGGCAATAGAACTTTGCCAGGAGGGCGGTAGCTGATTAACCTTTGCCTGGATAATGCTACCGACTTCAGCTTTTGTTCGGTTTGGTGGCCACTGTATAGCCTTTCGGGTAATAGGGTCGGTCAGCACAGCTTTCTGCTCTAAATGCTTCACCTCAACCATGCGAACCACAGCTCGGTCGATTGACGGCATCCACGACGGACCATTCTGGTAGACAGTCTGAGTCACCGAATTAAAAAGATTCATGGCAGTGATGGTACCAGAGTACATGTTGGGGTGGGTCTGGGACCGGCGACGAGAATCAAACACTTGGAGAAGCGCTGACTTCCATGAGCCGGAGGCTTTGTCGACCCATTGAATTTGTGTGGTCATGGAAGCAAGCTTATCAACCTCTTGGTTGAAGCAAGGGACAGGAACCCGAGCGAACTGGTGGTCATGCTTGCGGCAAGTGCCATCAGCATTCTTGAAGATCTCGACCTGCAGAACACATATATCGCGGTCCTGGAAACCCGCTTCCTCACGAAGCGCCTTCGAAATGTTTAGGCTATCATCATGCTTGAAATAGATGGCAGCCTCGGTGCCACGAGAACCCGCAGCAGTGACGAACACCTTGCATCGCAAGCGGTAGATAGTGGACATCCGATCAGTGTCTTCCCAACCAAGCCACTCGTACTCCTTGGGGAGTCTGCTGAGAAGTGGGATATCCCAGTTCATGCCAATCGAGCGGCGCGGGCGCCAGCCACTTGCGTCAAAGACCGCCTTGGCCAGTGCAGTGATCTTCTGGGCAGTTTCTTGGTCGCCGGCTGCCACCGCATTCCGCGCCGTGATCTCAGTACCATCGACCAGTCTAGGCCAGAGCGATTGAAACATAAAAAGCATGGTAAACTCGGCAGTGTTCATCAACAGTGCGTTATCGAGCCCATGGACCTGAGGGATATTTTTGGTGTTGAATACCACAAGGGGATACATCATGAAGCTCGAGGCCTTGCTCATCACCTGGTAGGAGATGGCCGACCGACTGTTGGCCTCGCGAACATTCTTTAGATGTTCAAGCCACCGGCGATTGAAGTTGACCGACTGACCAATGTAGATGGCATCTTTGCTGGGAGGGCTGACTAGGTTGGAGTAATTGCCGGACACAGACTTGGCGATGACGATGTATACACCAAAGGTAGTCTCAGGGGGGTGCGCCGTGGGGGAAACAGGGGACAAGAGATTGCAAAGGTCTTTGGGGTCAAAACGGCCCGTCTCTATGGCGTCTAAAGCCCGACGTGGAATGGCGTTCATGATAGTTTCGGCGTACCGATGAACCTGAGATCCAAACAGGGCTCGCTCTTGAGTGCGTGTACCATGGCCACGAGACATTATGGTATCACGATTCATGGTAATGCTCTTCCAAAGAAGCTTGATGGTTCGCGTTGCCACTCGATCATTGGGAATCGGCTCGGGGAACAGCGTTGGGGGCATAGGAGCAGGCATGCTCAGGGGCAGTGGTCCATCTTTGACACTGGCCCCGATTTTGATGATGGCGGCAGGTACGTAACCTTCGAATGGGGGATCTGCGTCTCCTGGAGCCCTTAGTAGAGCCCAGGTGTTGCCTTGGACATCTTTGGTGACCAAGACAATCCACTCCGACAAGCGCCGGACGGTGAGCTTGGGAGTTGGGTATTTCGCAGCTTCGGTGACAGAGGGAGACCAGTCGAATCCAACGATGGCAGCGACTGGCTTGGCGTTTGAAGGCACAGGAGGTGCCATGCCGGAGATGAACGAGAATGCAGAGGGTGATGATCAAAAGGTGTCGACAGGTAACGTAAACGGTAAACAGAGGCCAGATTCTTCAAGTGTTGTGCAAGAAGAAAATCCAGATCGAAAATACTTTGGGATCCTTATAGTGGAAAACTAAGCTGAACATTCACCGCAAGGGGTCAACAGAAGGTGACTAGTGACTGAAGCCTTGGCCGCAACTAAATACATTTGTGAGTCACAATCGGTGCACACCAGTTCCATCGCTTCAAACATACATGCGATTGTCCGCCCAGGTTGGCCACATAAAAGCTCCGTAGACTCTGTTTCCCCGCCTAAACAGGTAAATACCAATATTTGCCTTCTGCGATGGAACAGACTACACAAACTCGAGGGAAGCATCTCCATCTCATTGAATAGAACATGTTTGTGTGAAACCTAGTAGGCTGAAATACAAATTCAAAGCTTGAAAGAGGGCAATCAATGCCACTATCCGAGGTTGTTTGGAAGAAGCAGATGCGGCCAGCCATTGCCCATTGTTGCGTGGGATTTACAAATGTGCATGGTGCGACCAACCCCTGGACATTGTTTGTGCAAACTACATGAAGTGTGGATCCGGCCGTCAGTACCCAGACTTGGTGTATCTCACGCCCTTGCACGGCTATGTCTGTGTGACTGTAACACCGAAGAACGTAATCTCGGCGTTTTCATCAGAGAACGCTTGAGACAAGGCCACAACGCATGGAACTTACCTTCGCACTCTTGAATTCCCTGCAGCAAGCTCAGAGTAACTGCAGCGAGCTCCATTCTTCTTGTTATACATCCATATCTCGAACGCAGTGATTGAGAATCGCCTGTATCGTGTAGAGTTTGCAACGCTTCACTGCAGAGGTTGGTAGGTTGAATGCTTGCTTACGTGACAGTATGAATTCGAAGCATGTAAGATGAATTTGCGATCCAACTCGCGGCACGTTTTGAAGCAGACACTCGGGTGTACACATATTTTTCTATACGAGTACTAAGATCTAGGCACTGAAACGGACCTGGATTTGATAGTGATGGAGGGCGTCCGTGCAGTCATGATCTTTTGCAGCGAGCACTGGCATGAGAAGCATGTATCTTCACATTGGGCAATGGTAAAACAGATGTAGACAGATAAGGGTGAAGGAAATCGGATGAACGGAAGTTCTCAAGCACCGTGGGTATACAGGGGCGAGAAGATGCTTACAGAAGTGGCTACATGATGTACGGGTCGTCGCAAGTGGACGTATGCGTCATGCGCGTCCGCCACAAACAGGCGGTGAACGAAAATCTGATGAATTCAAAGGTTAGGAATTCTCATGACATCCTTGTATAGTTCTCCAGCGCCTATTGTTGTTTACGGTGCACTTGATGACTCTACGCTTGGACAAAAACTCACAGATCGGTATTCATGCAACAAGGCGCAAGTCATCTCCGCCAGTCTCATAAAGGAGCGACACTAGCAAAAATTAGAGAGGCACTGTGTGGTTCCCCTAGTAGGGATTTTGAAGTGTCTGAGCCAGCTTTGCGACAGCCAACGTGTCTTTAATCAGCTCACGTTGGATCCGTCAGCACATGCACCGTGCCATGTGGTGCTGGTAACAGTCGTTTGTTCCACTGTTCAGACTTACAGGCTTGTCACGACTCACGCCACGACAAAGCCTTGACCGATCATCTCGGTCTTCTATGATTATCTTTCTGTGCACAATGATTGTGTCTAAGAGGAAGCTTTAGAGCTACCGTGCGCTCACATTGATCGACAAGCCTATCTGTTGATCCTTTATAAACCCATCAACAACCAAGAAGTGCGTGTTTGATTGCTTCGACGCCGAGATCGGCTGGAGGAAGTGAAGAGCTCATGATCCACAGATTGAAAAATTTCAACCTCGTGGACACTAAACCTCCGACCTATTGGAGCAATGTCTGCCAGTTGTTCATATTGTTGATTAATATCTGTGCTGTAGTCTCAAAAAATGGTCCCTAGTCGTTGCGTAAAATGGTGTATGCATTCCATCAATGTTATATCCATCCAAATTGCCCACGCCGTATACTTGGGCGGATATACTTTGGTTTACTTCAATTCCTCACAAGTTTCGTTCTTAGACACTGATAGGAGTCTGATCCATTCTTCTCAATGTCACCAACTGCTGCACAACACGTCGAAGGCCATCATCAGTCAACGCAAGACACGCAAGCACCACTTACAATGACAATCTGCTTGAGCCAAAGCAAGAGCAAGACGAAAAGATTCATTTGCGGTGAATTTCCAGAGTCGAAGCCTTGACGAGTCTTCGAAGGGGGCAGCGTGTACCAACACTCCGACCTTGATAACTCCTCGAAAGTCCAGGAAGGGATGGCTCTCACCACCACCACCGTAACCCACATCCATGTCCCACCAGGCAATATCTGGTTCCGATTCATTTACATCAAATGTAAATCTCAATTCACTTACCACGTGAACTCGAAATTCTGACCGATTCTCTACCTCGTATAGCATGAGTTACATTCCAATCGGCCGCTGCAGACAATTGCTATGCCACACCGATCTTGGGAAACATCTAATTCAAACAGATAAATGGGATGGAATCACCTGAAACTCGGAGTCTATTGGCATGAAGGCCGTGGAACAGATGGTGGCCAAGTCGACGTTGGAAAACAAAGTTTGGGGAAATTTCAAGGTTTGAATAAGAGAAGTTGGGCAGATGAAATCCGGCGGGGACAGAAAACATAAGGAGAATTAGTACTCACAGGTCTAAAGAAGCTTGCGCTTCTTGCGCGCAGGGCGCGGATCGACGTCCGAGTCTGAGTCCGAGGACTCGATGTTGATGAGCGCGGAGGCTCCGCCCGTTATCGAGGGCGAAATCGGTGATGGCTTTTCGAGTGGAGGGGGCCACTCGCCTTGGTAGAATTTCGTGAGGTTGATGCTCTGCGCAGGCACGGAATCTGCCTCCCCCTCCGCCGTGGATGTGGCCTTGCTGAAGAAAAGGTAGGGTCCACGCACGGCGGGCGCGAGCAAGATCATCAACGAATTGACGAGAGACGACACGTCCGGAAAAGACTTCGGCATTTTCAATGAAGCTGGATGACGTTGTGTCGGTCCAGGAACAGCGAAACGACAAGTGGGAAGGATGGGTCATTATATTAACGAACCCATTCGGCCTCACGCACTGAGGACCTCGTCGCTCTTTCCGCATTTCGACAGACTCGAATTTGCCGCAAGTCTGGGCAGGTTCCCAAGAAATCCAAGCGATCGCTGTGGGTTGACGAGGAAGGACCTCCGGAAGCTGTCCAAGATACCGGAAACGTGAAGCGTGAAGTAGACCCTGAGTCAGGCCAGAAAAAGGCGATCTGGACAGATCCACCCGACATTTGACAGTCCGGGCACAAAATGATCATAACGTCTTCCGGAACTGTGAGAATCATGATTGAAGGCCCTTGACACCAGCCTACGTGAGCTTGAAAGGTGGCCGGTGTGTAGCCGTTCCTTCCCAAATCATGAGCAGCTGCTCTGTTATGTGGCGTCCGATGCGTACCTACCTGTAGCCCCCACATGCCACAAGACGGACTACTCTGAAGCGGGAGACGTCACACTGGTGGTGCCTGAATCATGTGTCAGTGCGCGACCAAGATTACTTTTCCCATACATGTCTGCAATATTGTGTAAGAAGCTCGTGGATAATTGGTAATAGCTTGAAAAGCGGCTAGCCCAGAGCAACAGCAGAAGCGCTTCCATGCAGATTATTTTCAATGCAGATATTAACTGCTTAAATCTGATGTCGCATGCTTCAGTTGGCGTGGCTGGTTACTGGCCCTAATTCACCCAAGCGGCCAACCCCTGAAGTCAACAATTGGACCATAGTGCGAAACCGGAAGTCTCAAAGAAAACCACATAGTTAGACCTTCCATATTAGACTAAATACCTGTGCAAATAATAATGTATTTTGGAAAAGTCTCGATTTGAGAATTCCCTGGCTACTAATCAGTGGGAATAGATTAAGGGAGCAATACATCTTGGTTGCTGTTCTCTGGGAATGGCAGGACCTCGAATGTTTTCATACCTTAGTAGGCATCCCAACCACTAGACCGACTAGTCAAGCGACATGGGATGCTAAAGAGTATAGCTTCCAAACGCATCACATGGAACTTGTTGGGATTTAACAATGCGAACGAACCTAATATTGAGCCGGCCCTGTGACCAACTGGAACGGACCCTGCGCTCAAGAACTCCTGAGCAGTACGGCAAACCTGGCTGATGGGTATCAAATCATGTGAGGAGACGGACCATACTACTATATACGTGTATTGGGAGGATTATCTTGCTGTTATTGGTGCGTTTGTGAACAAGAAGTATCCCACGCCGCAAGCAAGTCTGAGGCAGCACTAGTGGGTACTGATTACCTCCAAGAACTCGTCACTAAATTTATTTGACCCATAAGCTAGGCAAAGGCAGAGAGAAAAAGGTTGTGAGGACTGCAAATAGCAGTCGAGACAACTTGAAGGCGCTAAGGGATACGTGGCTCGATCGGTCCGACAAGGCACCATGGAGTTTGACCACGACGCAAACAACCAAGCCATTGTCGCTATTCTACCTTGCATCGGAGTAAGTCGCCGCAGCCATCACTACAATCGACGACAAACAGAGTTCATATCGTGGTCACATAACAGAAATACACAAAATGCGAGAATGAAGCATGATATTGTCTGCTCCTCTTTCCGACACGAGCTGTCGAGCATCTTTCGACTTGTACGTGTCTTCCCAGCCGCGACTCGCTCAAGCTCAAGCACACCCCACAAAGTTACCCATCTTGTCAAAACGGGCGTCCCCAGCAGGGCAACTCTGCAAGTCCGCCTCGCGCTGCGCATATACGCCATTCTTGGGGCAATCCGGGTCCTAAGGTTTGAGAAATAACGTCAGTCGTGTCAAGTCCACGAAACCTGCGCTTGGCCGGCACAAGAGGGAGCAAAAGGTGACTCACAGGGCAAGTAGGTCCCGGACAGATGGGGGCGGGGCAGTTGCAGGCACTACCGCCTCCACCACCACCGCCGCCGAGGCCTCCGAGGTTCAGGGTCAGGGGCCGCCAGACGGGGGGCTTGAACCACCAGAAGAGAGCTTCTGTGCTTCCCGCGAAGAGGAAGAAAGCGGCTATGCCTGCTGTTGAGGTCTTCATGTCGTCTGTGCGTCGCTGACTAGGTGGTCGGGGGATGCGCAGGAGTATAGGCTACGCAGAAGAGAAGGTGTATGTACTCAGCCCGTGGAGCAAAATGAGCAGCCTCGAGGGAGCAAAGAGAGTATGGGTCTTGCAGAGGAGAAAACCTAACCAGCGCGAGGCGGTGCCGTTCTTTTAGGTCATGACAAGTTCTAGGGGCACGACCTTGACTAGGAGCAGGTCTCCGTGACCTCAGATATGCAGGGAATCAGTGCTAGATCCTAGGCAAGGCATCTCTCCTTGTCTTCCCTGTACTAATCACTAGCGCCGGCGATTTGAGACGCATGTCCGTGTCTGCCGTTAATGTCTCGAGTCAGCAGTGTCTCGATTCCGATTTTCGTCACGAAGACCCCTTTTGGTAAAGAGAGGCTCTCACCGACATGGAGTCGGGGAGCACATGCAGTGAGTGGCTGGCTGAAAGGCCCAAAGACCTCTCGTATTCCAGTCTCGACCATGGACCGAATCACCTTGCAGTCTCAGCGAGACATAACGGGTGGCAAAGAGACTGACCGGCTGCATGAAGAGCTGCTGATTAATTATCACACACATGAAGACGGAGGGAGGTCCAGTGCAGGGGCGGAAAGTGCCGATGAATCACTGGACGGCCCGCGGCGATCAGCTCCCGCTCATCATCATTTGTCTTTTTCAGCATTCCCGATGTGTAACAGCCCCCGCCCATTGCTTGAGACATGCTGGGGTTGGCAACTTTAATTCTCGCGGCTGCCGAAGGATCACCAGCCGCGGAACTGTAGTGTGATGCAAGTTCCGGCCAAGATCACTGCTGAAAGCCGAAGCAGATGAGACAGGCCCCATGATCAGGCGGCATCAACGCCAGTTGTAACCGAGGAGAAACTTTGGCGCACATGAATCTAATCAACGCTAGCAATCTCTGGTGCAGACTTGCCATCGCAGCGTCTTGAAAGAAGATGTCGACGTGTGGAGAAAAAGGGGGCTGGCTGGCGATATGAGAGACTGAGACAAGATGCATACGAACTATGTACCTTATTGATGAGCTTGGCCCGCGTCCAGCCTAGCGTTGCCTTACCGCCGTCACTCGGAGCGGCCCGTGTCCGCGGGCGACGAATGAAATCCCGGCCGATTTAATGCCCGAGGTGAAACGAAAACATCCTGTCATCCTTGACAAGCGGCGCGAGATGTCCTTTCTTCTGCCGGCTGGGTGGAGTACAGACAACAGATAGTGTCTCACAGACGACTAGAGTCTAGCGGGGGTTCACAGTTGACCGTACAAGCACGCAAAGGAACGTCAATTCAGCAAGCAATGTTCCCAGATTGTCGTTCTACCTTTCCCACAATCCTCCAGCAGGTACGCGTGCTGATGTCCCCATGACTTGGCATTTCCGGATGCCGTGGCCCCCCTCTCTCCCTCTCCTCTTGCTCCCCCAGCCCATGAGAGCTCTTGCGTGCCTCATTGTCCAAAGTATCGTCGTGCTGTATCCAAGGCTTGGACCTTGGAGAGGGCAGTCTATGTGCATCCGGCCGGTCCGCCACTCTCGGTGAACAATCCTGCGGTGAAGCCAGCGATAAGGCAATTGTATTGGTGGTCGGCAATTGGCTCGGGATCAAGCTGTGGAAGACACGAAGGTACACCGCAACTCTTCCTGGCACAGACGGGCGTGGGACAGGATCTGGCCGCGGGAGTAGAACCACCACCGCCACCGCCGCCAGAGGCGATTGGGATAGAAAGGGGGATGGAAATGGGCCGTATGAAGCAGAAGAAGGCGTTGGCTTGCAAGATAATGGCAGTAAAGGCCAGAGTATGAGCGAGAGAGAACTTCATGTTGGTTGAAAGGGCAGGTGGTCGGATAGGATGGTAACGAGGTTGCTTGGGGAGAGTAGAGTTCAACTTTGATATAGCGGTGGCACGTACGTCTGGAGGATGAAAGAACAGAGAGGGAGGGATGGTTATGAACTTACGGCCGAGTCCCAGTGAGGCCTTGAGGGGGCCTCAAAGGGATCACGGCATGGAAGAGGCAGAGCCTTGAGACACAGCCAACTGATACGTACGTACGGCCGACCAGGGGTCAAAGTCCGAGTCACCAGCTGAGAGAAGCGGGTCCGGACACTCCTCCATCTGCACCTTTCTGCGGCATACCTTCGCCCTGAATTCGGCGACTCGAACTCACCAGGCTTCAGAGACTTTGAGTATCGTGCCGCAACTTGAATCACGCATTGCATGATGCGATGGCACGGACTCTTCGCGACTAGGGAAGAACCAGCGACTGAGACAGAGCTGAACCGAGACGTGAGCTGAGAAGAAGCAGTCCACAGTATAACCTCGGCATGCCGCTCTTGGTCTATTCCAGGCAATGTTCCTGCGGCCCGCTGTCGTTCGTTTTGCGCCGATCAGCAGGTGTTGACCCTGCCGTCACTCTATGTCTGCAGGAGGCAACGTCTCGTATGTGAAATTGGCTCAACTCAAGACCCGAGCCGGCGACAAGGGGGAGGTGCCCGAGCCTCGCAGAGGCAGATCAACGACTGAGGTCAAGGACACGAGGTCTATAAACCTCGGCGGTTCGCTGCTCTCCATGGGTGTTGTCTCCTCAAACCACACCAAAGGTTCTCCCCACCATATCTGTACTCGTTCTTACTCGCCACAACGATGGTTAAATCGTCGATCCTCCATCTCTTGGTCCTGGCGTCGGCTGCGGCCGTCCAGGCCGCGACAGCCCCCACCTGCCCCGACGGCCACGAGCAAGAGGCTACCATGTGAGTGCGTCAAGGCTACCGAGTGCAACGCGTGCTGACCTATGCTCTACCAGCGCCGGCAAGCGATGGAAGCTCTTGTGCAACAAGGGTATCCGCGCCCTCCCCATTGAAGGCACAGAGACGGCTGCCACTGATCCCGCCCAGTGTGCGGAGCGATGTGCGGCTTATGACGGCTGTGCCCATGCTTCGTATGTCTACAAGCGCAAGGACGGCGTCATGGGCAACTTCTGCCAGCTCAAGGAGAACGCGGAAATCTTTGACTCGCAAGGGATGACGACCTGGTATTACCTCGGGGAGGCCAACCCCACAGAGGAAGGCGAGGGCAACGGTGTTGGTAATGGCGATGGCGCTGGCGATGGCGACGGCGCTGGAGCTGGAGGCAATGGCAATGGCAATGATGGCGACGGCGACGAGGAAGACCCGCAGAACCTCGAGACGTACACCTGCAACGAGCACAACGGCAAACGATACGTAACCGGCGGCATCACCTACGAGCTCAAGTGCAACACGGGACACAACGGCGGCCACCTTCGAACCGAGACGTCGACGGACCTCAAGGCTTGCGCCAGGCTCTGCGCCCAGACCCCCGAGTGCTTCAGCGTCGACTTTGATGTCTCGACCAAGTCTTGCAACATGAAGAAGATGGGCACCGAGACTGTTGCATGGTCCTCTGGACACACCTGGTACCCGACCCAGTGTCCAGCCACTGGCGACGTCGAGACGGTCGAGAACAGGAAGCCCGAGATCACTAGCAGCCCCGTCAAGTGCCCCAAGGACAATGGCAAGATCTTCATGGGCTCTGACGGAACCTGGTTCTATCAGCAGTGCTGCACGGACGCCGACGGTGCTGTGCTCCTCAACTACGCGAAGGTCTCGTCCCACGACGAGTGCGCCGAGGCCTGTGTCAAGGACAAGGCGTGTAAGAGCTTCATGTTTGTCCCCGACATGGTCCCTACCGAGGAAACCGCCAACTGTCGCCTCTACAAGGACGGCAAGTTCTCCACGTCAAGAGTCGAAGGCGCTCACTACGCTTTTGTCGTTGACCCTCCCACCACCGAGCCTGTCATCAGCGAGGCCAAGCGCTGCGCGACGACCTGCCCCGAGGCGGACGGCCAACTGTACGCGACTCCGAGCGGCGAGAATTACCTCATGACCTGTAAGGCCCGTCACGGCACCACTTATCTCAAGATTGACCACCGTCCCTCCTTCGAGGCCTGCATGTCCTCGTGCGCCGCCATGCCTGCCTGCCAATCTGCCGACTACGAGCCTCGCACCAAGAAGTGCTTCTACAGCACCAACACGGCACGTCCGTCCATCTCCGCCGACGCCTTTGTCAGCGCCCACTCCCTCGGCTGTGCTGGTGCCTGCCAGGGTTGCAAGAAGAACTGCGACCAGCTCAACGGCGAGGCCCTCCCCGCCGACAAACCCGAGTGCAACAAGAACAATGGCGAGCTCGTCATTGCCGGCGGTGAGGACTTTAGGGTCTATTGCGGCCACTGCTATAGAAGCCACGGCAGCTGGAATTTCGCGGAAGCAACGGACCTTGGATCCTGTGCAAAGGCCTGCGGCGAAGACCCTCTCTGCCATGGCGTGAACTGGATCGGTGACAAGACCTGTAGCGCGCACGGCGCGCACGACGATGCCGGAAACAGACCCAGCTTCAAGCCAGACAGTGAGTGCAATGCCCTAGCGCCTCAGTCACGCTCTATCCCGGAGCCCTACTAGATGGTGGACTGCGCGTCGCTGGTTGATGTGTGGTGGCGTAGGCCTCACGCCGCCAGCAGCCACCGTTTTGCATCGCCGAATTTGCAAAGGGGCCAGAATAGGAGAGAGCTGAGGCCTTGCTGGACATTGGGAAGAATGAGGTTTCAGGGAGAAGAGTCTAGTATTGACGTAGCTGGGCTGAGGGCTGTTTGTGGACAGATTGATATGTCGTAACGCGGCATGATTCATGTAACCAACAATCCAAACCTCGCATTTCCTACAATTTTGTGGCACTACAAGGTCAATGCAGCCCCTGAGCTAATAGCCACCCGAGTCTGCCCGTTTTCCGTCTCGCTCAACCCCCGTGTTCCGCCCGCCAGCCCCCTTGTCCTCCCCATCGCCTTGCACTCCTTGGGCTGGATGCGATCATGATTGAGTTTTTGCCTTGGCGGCGTTCTTGGCGGCTCTGTACGCGACTTTCTTCATGCGGGATTTGGGGGCCATGTTGGATTTCTTGCTAAACCTGAGTGACCGAGGCTGATTGTCGGGATGCGGGACAGGCTTGAGCTGCTGTATACCCTTCGAATAGGTCCCCGCGAGAATAAGTCTTCGCTGCTCCGCAATGTCCAGACGTCTGTTGCGTCAATCACGGTTGACGACCTCCTCAGCTCGACCGAGGAGCGCACCTCGTGATTGGCCCGGTCACGATTGACAACCTCCCGTAGCGGGATCAGACTTGGTGGTGGATGCGGTCGTGCCACTCGTCCAGGGAGTTGGGACAAGCAGACTGGCCGTCGGCAGTCATGAATGTATTCATGCCAAAGGCAGCCTCGTTGAATGCGGAAAATGTTGGTGATTGGAGATTGGGAACGCCGTTGGGTTGTGTGGTCATGAATGTATTCGTGTCCAAGGCAGCCTCGTCGAATACGGAAAATGTTGGCGATTGGAGATTGGGAACGCCGCTGCGTTTTGTGTTCTACACGTTGCAGAAGCTCCATGAACTTTCTCTGCGCTTTCTTGCTTCGTTGGCGCCTCGACGGAACGAGGTACGCAAAGCCAAACGGAGTGGTCCCGTCACTCTCATTGGCATGACCGCCATGCGTGCTGAAGTATGTCGAGTAGCTCGAGTACTTCGACGAGCTATCAGCTAGAACGGGTTAGACACGTAAGTCATTGACACGTGAATGATCTCACATTGGTTTATCCCGGACCTAGACATGGAATTTTCCCGAGCCTCCTGCTTGATGTCGCCAGCCTTTTTGTCGGACAGCGGGACCCATCCTCATGGCCAGATGGAGTGAACGCAGATATTGCCACAGGTTCCACGCTCCAGTGCGAGTTTTGCCGCGAAAAGAAGAGCGCAAGCTCAAGAATGAAATTGACGAAGGGATGGCAGATGCGGACGACATTTTTCATGGACAAGGCGTCAGGCAGCGCGCTCCACGGATACCTTTTCCTTTTGATGGCGCTCTTTCATGTCGGTGGGCTTGCTGCTGTGTGACTGCCCGTCGACCTCTAGAGTGGAGTGAGATGAGGCTGCCGCCCGAACCGACAGCGCGAGAGCTGGTCATCTTGGCTGGAGAAATTCGCCCGATTCTGTCTCGATGTCCTGATGCTGCGTGTCTGGATCTTGAACTTGACCGTGGGATCAGGGCGCTTCGAGTGCGTCAGGGAAAGACACGCTGCTGGGGTGCTCGCATGGCTGGAGAAACCTGCCCGATTCTTGAGGTCAAGCTCTTCTCTGATGAGGAGGGCCGGTTTCATGTTGAGGCGCTTCCACTGCATTTTTGCATCCTCATCCGCGTCAGGGAAGGGCACGCTGCTGGGTTGCTCCGCCCGATTGTAGGTCAATGTCCTGATGCTGCGTGTCTGGATCGCTGAACTTGACCGTGGGATCTCGCTCTTCGTGCGGCTCATGAGGAGTCCCTGCATGCGAGATGCGATCTTGCCGAGCAGAGCCCTCTATTCCTCTGGGGTGGAGTGAGACGCACCCATCGCTTCCAGAGGCTGCTTCTTGCTCTTGAGGCGGGCGCAGATTTCGTCTTCACTTTGGGGGTCTCGCTCTTCGTGCGACTCATGAGGAGCTCCTGGATACGAGCGCGCAGTGCCGGAATTCCCAGTCGATCATCGGGCAGCACGCTCCATGAAAGTCGATTTGCCGACAGAGATGGGGAAATAGTTGCCCAAACGATCACCTTGGTCCCGTCGGTGCCAAAGGCAGGACGCAACGGGAAGAAGGCACTGCTGACATTCTTTCGGTCAAGACGGTGGACGCCAACGGTCAAGCGCCCGATGTGAGAATCTGTTCTTTCTAGTGAGGTCCTTGACGATTGGGTCGAGCTTGGTTGAGACACCTGGCGTCCTCTTATCTTCTGGGTGTGCGTCTGCAACGTAGCGCAGGACTTTCTGGTTTGCAATGTCGCCATTGCATGGGACAACGCGGGGAGACGATGGTGCGTGATTCTCTGAACAGCCTTCTACCGGCCTTGACCAGCTTCTCCCCTGACGATAGTGCGGGACTCTCTGTTATAGCGTCCCGCCATGCACTGTCTGTAATGGACATGATAGAATTCTAAAACAAAGAATCACGCACCATAGTCAGGAAAGAAGCCGTTCATGGTTGGTTTTCAGGAGAAGGTGCAGATGCGAAGAAAAGAAGGAAGCGGAGAAGGGATAGGTGAACGCGCGAGAATATAAGTAGACCGTGACACTTGTGTTGTAGATCCAGGGCGCAGCCTGACCAGTCACAGGGCAGGACTATTTTACACAAACTTGTACTGAGCTTGGACTTGTTGAGACCAATGATCAATTGAACTTGAACTACTTAATGAGGGTGGGGTCACAGGAGCTTGAACTAGGTACTATGGATTGAGAATGGGTGGAGTCAGTTCAATAATAGGTACATGAAGAACTAGGAAGTTCAGAACTAGTACCAAGTACGTACGTATACACAATAGGACCACAGAAAGAATAAATTTATCGCGAGCGGGTGCCTGAGACATCAACTGAGGGGTCGTGGCTGATTGACTTGATGCATAGGGCGGTTGAGAACCCAAGTCTGACAAACTGACACAAACTGCCCGAGACTGAGAGACCGAGACTTTAAGGTTTGAGTCCCGACACATAAAATTTCATTCTTCAGGCATACATAGACGTGCTTGGAATATCAATAACAATGAGGTGCTGCTCGTTGGGGCCGCTGCTTTCCACGCGGAGGTGTGCATATGTGCGGAGCGACCATGGTTCTGATTTATACTGTTGGTAAAACAACACGACGGCCAGGATGATAGTGCGCGATTCTGTGATGGAGCCTTTCACTATAAGTAGTCTTGTTGACCAGTTGGATATCCGAACCCGTGGTGAGTCCAAGTGTATCGTTCTCGAACGTGACCAGTACATCATGACGGTGAGTCTTGAGATGCTGCTCGCTGGGGCCGCTGATTTCACGCGGAGCGGCGGTGTGGCCCGTGTGGGTGGGGCACACTCTTAAACAACTAATAAGGGTCCTTCGCACGTAGCCTTCCTTGTTTGAAGAATGTATGAATCGAATTCTAGCGCTCCCCAAGCACATCCGTCTACAGTCCACTGCCGATGGAACTGTTTCCGAGTCCGGGCCGGTGTTGCTGGTCTCGTGGCCGACGTGTATGGCGACGTGTGCCATACGTACCTGACCTACTAACCAGCTGTAGGCGGCTTGCCGCTTGAAGCTCCGACCACGAGCCACGGCCGCCAACGGCTGCACCTGGGCGGCCCTGGAGAAGAAGTGTCCTTCATTTGACGGAGCTCACTAGACATACATGATACCGACGGAAATTCCAAGGTCAGTATGACGGTGCCAGTTCAGGAAGGATATTCAAGCAAGCGGCCGCCAGCTGCTTGAGACCAAGCTGTGGCGACTCACTCAGAAATCGACACATGGCAGACGACTCGATGCAATAACCTTGGTCCGCGTAATATTCTACTCAGATTTTGAAATCTTTAATCATGTTGGATAATTCCGAACCGTGTCTAATCTCGAATCTCATCATGTTTGCTGCATAAGACCTACCACGGGAAAAGCATGCAAGCTGCATCAGGGCAGTGTAAGTGAGCGAGAAATATGGCGGGTGGCTTTGAGTGCTGTCCCATGACCCCTAACCCAGACAAAGGCGAAGAGGATCCGGTCTCAGATTCGGGTCGTTAGTCAAGCCAATCAACTATTTATAATTCTCGGCGAGAGTTGTTGAAACATTGTCGAATGTGGTGGCAGTAAGGCCCGAAGCAACATGAATGCCCGTGAAGTCGCCAACTGTCATCCCTCACCACCATCACCAGCGTTGGGGCACAAACGACAATCCCGCTATTTGCAGAGTGTTGCACATAAGGGAATGTGCTTCTGGGTATTGGGATATCCATGTGCTATATGTACGCGGCAATCAGCGACCCAGATGCAGGAAATGTGAGTTGGCTCTGTCCGCCAGACCGCGCCTGGCGAACGAGGGTCAGCTAACTAAAACCAGGACAAAATCAGCAGAGTATAATATAAGAAACCCGAGGGCGAGTTTCGCATAAGATAATAAGAGAAAGCTTCATGACCTGGTGCTTATCGTCCACGGCCAGAGGGGACTGTAATGTCTCAAGACGACGAATGACAGATGTTGGTGTTCCCATGCCTTTGACATCTGATCAACTCTCACCTGAGCTCCTCATTTACATCAGAAAGATGACTGAGCTAGGCTTGAACTACCTCACAGGTTTGCTAAACCGTTCTGAAACTCGATAGCGTCAGGTTCAGAGACAGAGGCCCGAGGACTGGACAACTCGTCGCATGATTCGCACTACAAAGTATGTGACGGAGAGACGCTCCAAAGATTTCATTGATTCCAGCAAGAGCTTGATAAGGCAGAGGATTCATCGACCTCATGAATGTCCAGGTCTTTATTAGGTGGTTGCGAGCCGGCATCACCTCCTCGGCTCTTGATGTGGATTACTGTCGTTCGGGCCGGCTCCCAACGTTCCAACCCTTTTTTTCCAACCTACAGGAGTCGTCTGACCACCAGAATACGAGCGCAATGCAATCCAAAGAAGCCATTGCGCCATTGGAGAACGTCAACGCATCTGCCAAGCTCTAACTAGAGCCGCAGTTCATCTCAGCACGGACGGGACGGTCCCGGCAAGAAAATAATATTTTTTTTTCATTAGGCAAGATCACCAGAGGCGTCTTGGCTCAAAAACTCATAACCTCATTCCGCCCTCAAGAAGACACCTTCCTCCACTGCTCGACCTCCTGGGCCGAAATCTCCCTCAGCGCGTTCACCGACGCTGGCTTGCCCGTCACGGCGCCCGTAGCCACCTCGGCAGCCCGTGAGACAAAGTTCTTGTGGGTAACTGAATACGTGGCAGTGCCCATCTTGATACGGATGATACCGATGCGAGGGTCGTTCTCGGAGCCATCGTGAGTGCCATCGCCCAGATCGCCTAGCCACGCCTTGAGTGCAGGACTGTAGTGCTTCTTGACATAGTCGCGGTCCGTCACGACGCTGGCGTTGCCGGCGACAGAGGCCCACTGGCCAGAGGAGTCAATGAAGGACATGTTGACGTGGGGATCAGCGGACAGATCGTCTGTCTTCCCAGACTCGGTGTTGGTGTGGAAGAGGAGGTCAATGCCTTGGGTTTCCTTCATCGTCTGTCAGTATTGGTTCGACGGTTGCGGATCTCGCTTGACGAACAGTGGCGGCAAGGGCCATGGCGCGCGATACTAGATTCTGGCTTGATGAATCGTGAGTGGTCATCATGCCAAACTTGGTTCTCGTCATAAACTCCACGAGTTCATCGATCTTAGTCTTCAGGTCAGGCTCTTCAGCGTTCGATTGCTTATAAGGGTCGGCGGGCTTGTCGCCGGTGGAAGTATTGGAGAAAGACATTGTTGATGTGTGTCGCGGTCAGAGGATAGTAGTGATGGCGGGTATTGAGAGTTAAGAATGTGAACAATGGTCGAGGATTGCTTTTAGTCCTCTGGAGGATTACCTCAGCTCTCAATATCATTTCATCATCGACAGCTGTAGGCTGTTGCGAGGGGCTCCAGCACAATCATGACGTCAAACATGAGGTAGCAGTGAGCACTGCGCGCGGGCGCCCTTACGTAGGTAAAATGGGGATTATTCGATTATGAAGGGCACAATTATCAGGTAAGGTACCATGCTTGTCCGATCGACAGTGGTGCTTGCCCCGATCTTGCGAAGGACCCCTTGCATCGGCGATGGACAAGCTCATGATCGTGGATCACGGAGTAATAGCACCAGACGCCGTGCCAACCACACAGCCGTAATTATTGGCTGCATTCATGGTGTTTCGGATGACTGGCTTTGTCTTTATAAGATGTGATTAGAACGAGTTATTTAGGTATGCAATAGATTCTAGGAAGCAAGGTGAAAATATTCTGTGTCTGATGTTCAACAAACCCAAACAAAAAGCTCCCAGATCGGGATCATGTTTACAAGCTACATCAGTCTTTTGTTTGACTCTAACACATTTCATAGATACTCTTCGCATGATATATATTTCTTGCTAGGACGAAATATACCCGCCCTCAGAAACACTGGCAAGCCTCCGAATGCTAGGACGACGAAGCGAGGTGCACCATCGGTTTAGGGTAAGCTTCCCTCCACCGATGGTCAGAGTAGCCCGTTTGACAACCGGCAGGTGCGCTCTTTCCCCGTACCATCTCATCAAACCTTCACCTTCTGATTATTGCGGTGTCGAAACCAAAGAACTCTACCGCGACTGCCACGGACGCTTTGAGTCTGGATCGCGAACCTTGATGGTGGCAGCTCGATGGCCCGCTGTTGCCAATTCTTCGCGCCCGGCCCCTCTACGCTTCACGCTCGTACCGCACTCGCCGGCATCACCACAACTTTCTTCCTTTTTCATATGATTGAAAGCACCTCTCCCTGTGCCGCTGAGCTGAATTGTGCCACATCACCATCAGGATGTCACTTCATCTGGTGCGTTTCTCTTGCAGTGTGCTGGACACGGTGCTGACAGTCGCAGAACGCGCCGATGGCACACGACTGCCGTGACAAGGAGGACCTGGCTCAAATAGCCTTCAAGAATCCTCTGCGTACGGAGAATCAAAGGCTTTCTGAGGAGAATGCTAGGCTGAAGAGAATCCTGCTCTCGCACTCCCTTTCCTGGTCTCCCGCCTCCCAGGCTTTTTTGGCTGGCAAGGGAAGCTGCACTCAGCGCAAGACGAGGTCCTCCATGAGCAACCCACAGAAGAGCGGCGGCCTATATCTACCGGCCGAGATTGTTTTACGCGTTCTCAAATTTGCTGTGCAGAGTCACCACCCGATTCTCGATCCATTGTCGCCATCAAATCCGGCTCACATGACCGAGGCTGAGAAGAATCGGGGGAATCAAGTTGCCGTCAACTTTCTCGTCACTTGCAAAGCGATTCATGTAGAGGGCACCAAACTCTTCTGGAAATCAAACACATTTGTTTTCACAACACCTGAAGCACTCACGACGTTTGGTGCTTTGAGTGCTGGCTTTCGGGAGGACATCCGCCACATCACCATTCGCGTCATTGCCAGGTACTACGATGATCAAAAAACGCGGAAGTTGAAATTGCCTGCCACCTACCACACTGATTTGAAGAGGGACATGAAGCTCAAGGTCGCCCAGCGACCCAAAGAAGGTGCGCTTGTTCGCGGGGGGCTTCGATCCTACGCCTGGACCCAAGTTGTCGACTTTCTTCAGGCATTGCGCGGCCCTTTTGACATCCACTTTCGACATAAAGACAAGCCCAGACCGAATCTTCTACCGAATTTAACCTCCATGCGCATAGATCTTGTCAACTTTACTGATCGGTACCTGCCGCCATCCGGCGCCGAACTCCATGACGTCGCATCGCACGAATTCGGCTGCACATTGAACGAGTTGCAGATCACAGGGATGCCCGACGGCGATATTGGAAGCAGAGCAAACGCGGAACTCAGCGGTATGCTCAAAGACGAGGGTCTATTCATGGACGGCATCGCAGCATACTGGGCACCCTCGGCAGGACAGCTGCAGCCACTGCGAGGTTACTATTGGGCACCTCGCGTTGTGCGCGCCGCAATGGAGGATTTCAGTGATGACGAGGATGACCTTTTGGGGTTCGACGGAGAGATCACGGCGTGGTACAACCAGGGGCACTCGCATAAAGGGTTTGCCCCTCCGGCACCATCGGAAGAAGGGTGCCCAGAGACTTGTATGCCCCGGGACGAGTACATCTGGAAGCGGGTGCCAAGAGGCCGGGACGAAGACTCTCGTGACTGGGTTCTGTTTGATCGTCGCACTGGCCGGGAGCATTTCGATGAAGATGAGGACCTCTGCCCCTGTTGCGGCACGTGGCACGAGTCCGTTTACGGTGCAGATGATTTGGACCTGAGTCTAGACTAAACCTTGTAATTTTGGGGGCTGTCATGTCTAACATTGGGGTTTGGGTGCATATGGACTGGCTTGGGGAGTGGAATATGGACGAGATACCCATGGACAAAATCAAGGCGCGCTGGCGATGGTAGGAACATGTATTTGGAAGACATTTCGCACTGGGAGAAAAAAACCATCTGAGCAGATGCAATTAACCACTTTTTGTGGACAAGATGCTGAGTTGGCTGAGGTTGACTTTACTCCGATCACGGGCTGTGTCTAAGAATAAAAGCACATGCTGTTTATGGCGAGAACCCAGGATTGAGAAGATCAGCCTCATCTGGATTTGTGCTTCCTGAATCATTAGCATGTCGGCATCAGGCCGCATTCCAGCAACGAAATTTTCGTTAGGCTGTTTTCCATCAGCCAGTGGCTGTTGTTCCTTCATGTGAAGGGTTGAGGTGATAGTATGCCGTCCGGTTGACTAGGCGTGCTTGTCTGGGTAGGGGCCGTAGGGCCATTGACAAGCAGTCACCATATCGATCCTCGAGCAGTACTGCGCTTCCGTATATCTTAAGAGTTAAAAACGCGCAAAGCTGCGCGTGGCCATGAATCGAGCTTCGAGCTACTCCTCCACCCTTTCTTTGTCAAGGTGGGCAGCCAGCCAGCCACGTGTAATCGATCTCAGATCTGGGCCGGCTCATGCATGTGCATCTCAAACGACTGCCACGCGGCGACAATGAGCGACACTTCGACCGACGCAGCTCCAAAGTCAATTGTTAGCGGGAGCTCCACGAGGCGATCGACGGAGAAAAGCGAAGGTGATGTAATGATTGTGCGATTTCCGGTTACATACGATGTTAGCTGCAGCGACCAAAGAGGCTGCGAGTGACTGGGTGGTGGCAGCACGCAACTGTGGCAATAATCGAATGATACACTGAGCTTCAATAGTAGATCAACAAGACTGCTTCACGTGAATTGTTGCTTTTTTGCTCGAGTAAGTATGGCATGACTCCTTGGAATCCAAGACGCCATATCCAGCCATGAATACTCAGTCATTCACAGTGAAGCAGGGTTCAGGGAACCCAGCGCAGCTGATTTCAACGCTCGCCTGGCACAGGGCAGGCAAGGATACTGCTAGTACAGTGCTAAGCTATTTGTTGATGAGTGTCATGCTTCCACAAAAGCAACAGACCGCAGTGAAGATTCTTTTTAATTATCGCGCGCGCGCAGCTGCGCTCTTGTGTATGGTACAGGCTTCGAACCGAGACAACCGACCGGCCCAGAGCTCAGAACTGCCGAATCTGAGACAAGGTGGTCGCTGCGTTGAAGCAGGTGCCTGATGGGACCTCGAGCGCCCTTTGTTGGAGATTATGGAACTGCCGGATGTGACAATCACGTCGAGAGCGAGTGCATTGTCGACAATACGTACGGTAGACTGTCGACTGTGGCTGTCGTGGACAGGATGTTGGTCTTCGTTCTGAATGGCTTACATGGTGGTGACAGGCAGCGCGCGTGGCTCCTGAGGGCGACGCCATTCGTCGCGACTCGCGAGGAGGTTTTCGCAGATAAGGTGCCGGTGCATCTCAGGCGGCAGCGCGCGCGCGTCTGTGGAGGGAGGTCCACGCATTATTAACTTGTGAGCTGAGCCCAGGGCAAGGGATCTCCTCGGCTGTATCATTTTGAATTCCAGTCGCGCCAACTGTGCTTTAGAGTACTAGTATTGCTGATGATCTGTGAGAGCAGGCAGACTGCCCCTAAGTATTCTCCATTGTTGCCTGCCGGGTTGGTACGCTGCTGGAGGCCGGAGATAGTCTAGACTGTTGGTAGGTGCAGCTCCAGTTCGACATGGGGGTCACCATCCTCTTTTTAGTCTATGACATCCCCTGAAAAGCATCCCCAACGTGGCCCATGTGCTTTTGAATCCTCCAGCGCCAGTGAATCTAAGACCCGTCGGTCTTACCGAAGGCTAATTGACGTGGATGGTAAAGCTATAATAAAAGTCCGTTTGAACGTGCTTTTTGGCACGACGTCCGCAAAGACAATGAGAGATTTCCATAGCCAGCCAGTATAAAGCAAGGCGCATGTAATGGACCCCCGCCTCATCCCGACCCCTGACCAACGTGACGCTCACCTTACCTGGTAAGGCATATATGCCTGTGGGTTCCTGTTTCCAGCCCACGCCTCGGACGGGGGCTTCCATTGAATTGATCCATCACATTTCCCAACTTCAGTCACCTGCTCGTTGCTTCTTCCTCAAATTGTTTGGTGCTTCTTTTCGAGGCAAAATTGACCTGACCCAGCCCAAGGCAAACGTCACGGGATCATCGAGCGCTGCATCCTGTCCACGTTGCTTCCATTCATCCAAGGCCAAAATATCGAGTCGGCTCCCTTTATTATTAGCTGCTGGATTCAAGCATTTGCCCCGGCCACTCCACACCACGCACCCTCGATGCCAATTGGTGCCCGTCGCCGCCGACTTGTCATCATTGCTCTAGTCTTGCCTTGACGACCCTCAACCTCTCATTCCCACGTTCCAGCTCTCCGACCGTCCACCGGGCTGACCAACCGTTAAGGCCCCTCAACCTGCACCACTACCATTGCTCAAAACCAACTATCGGCGCGAACATTCATTGCAACACTTTGCGGCTACTGAATCTCCCGACACGAGCGCCAGCGTGGTACTCGAGCACCTACCTTCAGCCTCCGACGACATCTCCCCCCGGTTGCACTGCTACCGGGCCTCCCGCCGCTTGCCGGAGCTCTACCGCCTGCTCACAGAGCAATAACCGATTGGCAGGCCATGCGCCTGTGACCAGGACAGCTTTGCGATTGAAGAATCACTCGTCGCAACTATATACCACCTACACATCAGACGAATCGAACCCCCAGACCGGCAGGGTGCACCGCAGTAAACATGGGCATCTGCAATAGCACCAGCAATGAGGAGGCGGAGCAGAAGAAGAAGAGCCAACACATAGACAAAATTCTGGAAGAGGACTCTAAGAAGTTACGGAAGGAATGCAAGATCCTCCTGTTGGGTAGGTTCACGCGCAGACCGCTCGTTCTACTCACGTACTGACCGCAATGATATAGGCTCGGGCGAGAGCGGCAAGTCGACCATTGTGAAGCAGATGAAAATCATCCACCTCAAAGGATATTCCGAGGAAGAGCTCTATAACTATCGACCGACCGTCTTCAAGAACCTCGTGGAATGCGCAAAGGCCGTCATCAACGCCATGCAGCAATTCAACATTGAGCCGCACCGGGAAGGCAACCAGGCTCACGCCGACTATCTATTAGAATACCAAACAGAGTCCGGCCCTCAGGCGCACATTGAGCCGCAAGTAGGTGCTGCTGTGCAGGCCATCTGGAATGACCCGGCCAAGAACCTGCTCATGGATCACCAAACCGAGTTTTACCTGATGGACTCGGCCGAATAGTAAGGCGACTGTGGCTTGGCTTAGATTCCCCGCTGACCACTGCTGAACAGTTTTTTCCAAGAAGCGGATCGCATCGTCGCGCCCGACTATCTCCCCACAGAAATGGATGTCTTACGTGCGCGAACAAAGACGACGGGGATATACGAGACCCGCTTTCAAATGGGCCAGCTTAGTATACAGTGAGTGATAGCCTGATGGCGCAAAGTTCGGAGCTGACAAGTGATAGTATGTTTGACGTCGGCGGCCAGCGTTCTGAACGCAAGAAGTGGATTCATTGTTTCGAGAACGTCACATCTATCATATTCTGCGTTGCTCTGAGCGAATACGACCAAGTCCTGCTCGAGGAGAGCAGTCAGGTGCGTTGCTGAGCTCGAGCTGTACCCGATGCACGCTGACTGTTGCAGAACCGAATGATGGAAAGTCTCCTGTTGTTTGATAGCGTGGTCAACTCGAAATGGTTCATGCGAACGAGCATCATCCTCTTTCTAAACAAGGTCGACATCTTCAAACAAAAACTGGGCCGGTCGCCATTGGGCAACTATTTCCCCGACTACTCGGGCGGCAGCGATGTGAACAAGGCCGCCAAGTATTTGCTATGGCGGTTCAACCAGGTCAACAGGGCTCACCTCAACCTCTACCCACAGTATGTTGCACCTCGGCTCTTTGCTCTTTTTAATGACCTAGCTAATTCCCACGAGTCTTACGCAAGCGACCGACACATCGAATATCCGGCTCGTTTTCGCGGCGGTCAAGGAGACGATTCTCAATAACGCCCTGAGGGATTCGGGTATTTTGTGAACGCAAAAACATTTTACGAGCGAATGGGTTCTCTTGTTCTTGCTTTTCTACGCGAAATCGCCCTAAGGGCACGAAGCGTGCACGTATCGGCGTTGGGCGCAGTGACTTCGGGAGCCAGCGTCTCGAATTATTTCAGTGTTGGCGCATGGGGTACCATATGGTCACATATCATCAGAGGCTCTGTCGCAGAAGGCAAACGTAACGTGGGTTGTTGCGGCGTGCTGGGACATTATTGTTGCGCCATTGCAGCAGAGATGGGGTATCAAGTGTATTAATGCCGTATGGCTTGCGGAGTTGTTGGGTTCGAACCGAGAGGTGTGGTGTCACGGGCAAGCACCAACATTTCCTGGCGGCTAGGGAGCGAACTGGGTTCTTCTGTAGGCGAGGTCCATGGGGCCATCGTGAGGCTTTGATCTAGTTTACTACCTTACCAAGTAGCATCGCAATCCGAGCGACCGTGGAAACAAGGATCTTGATACGCAATGGGACGCCGCATCGATATGACGGGAAGACATGCTACTTTGGTGGTTCGTCGCAAGCGCTTGTGGTCAACCGGCATTTGCGGAGTCGCCCGCCATGCTTGTACATGCGTTAGTATGCGCGCGCCGCGTACATGTTCATCGGCACCACAGGCTCAGATCGAGGAAAGGTATGCGGGGGACGGACGGGATGCTCTCGAGTTTGTCCATGCATTTGGGGTGGTAGCTAAGCGGTTACTGCGTCCTGAATGGGTCTGACGGCTGCCGACTGTCGGGCGGAGGCAGGCAGGTATATGGATTATCGACTGTGGTGCCGCGTGAGGTTCACGAGACTGGACGTGCGCTTGGTAGGCTGGGTGGCGATTGGGTGGCCAAGGTTCACCGATGCGGCGCGGGGAATTACTTGGAGACTGGGCAGGAGATTGGCGGACTTGTTGGACCTGGATTTCTTGGTCTAGTAGAGACGGGTGGAATTGCACACTACTAGGACCTTGAATAGTCGCCCAGCAACTTCCACCTGCAGCTTCGCTCGCCAATGCATTGGCCATGGTGGACACGATCAAAGCTGGGGAGTGAGTGGCTGGTGCAACTGTGACGACTGCAGTCTCGCGCGTTGGTGCAGCATCCAAACATTGACCCGTGCCATCTGCGGGCAGACACCCGTTGGCCGGTCCGGTTCCGTCTGACCTCCAGATCGTATCACTGCTGAGTATGGCGAAGCCCGCAAGGTCCATGTCGGACTGGATGCAGCCTGGCACGCTGGTTAGCAGCGTGCCGCATTAGCAGCAAGGCCGTGGCTTCCTTGGACGCAAGGAAAGTGCGTATTAGAATGGCCTGACTTTGCCCACCTCATTCCTCACTCCGCTATCTTACGAGCTCCAGTGCCCTCTTTAATACCCACTGTCTGCTTTTCAAGTTCAAGTTCTTCGCTCTTCTTCGTGGCCCTCTTTGTCGGAAGCTTCTGTCGTATTTTCCTCAAGTACCAACAGTCACCTTCACCCTCCCTCATCCCAAGCCCCCAAGGCCTCGACCATCAACTCGCGCTCGTCCAGCTGCATCAGCGTGGATCCCTGGCCTGTCAAGCTTCGTTTAGGTCGCTGCTGCCCCGCGAATTGAGCGATCCCCCACCTGCCCCACCTCGACTTACCAACTTCGGCGTCTAAGAGCTGACGAGTAAGTGCCAATGCCATCCCCCAACGTCTTGCACTTCTCAAGCATTCGCATCTTCTCATAATACAACAGTGGTGCTGATCAAGATGGCTGAAAAAGCAGAGAGCATGGCACCCGCTGGGCAAAACTCGCAGCCGGAGCGCATCCCCCTTCGACAGCGCCGCCCTTCTTCAGGAGCTCCCATCGTCGATATCCAAGGCTCCGTCGGCCCAGCTGGCGTCTCGCGTCCCAAGCACACACGAACTATAACCGGTCTTGGGCCAGGCGAGATCAAGAGTGTCGAAGCCTCGATTCCTGAGCCTCAGCGTGAGGCATGGAAACGTGCCCAAGCTAAAGGCTTCAGCGGCAAAGACGGCTTCGAGAAGGAGCTGGTCCGCCATGTTGAGACCACACTTGCACGCAGCATGTTCAACTGCGATGAGAAGGCGGCATACTCGGCCACTAGTCTGGCGTTTCGTGACCAATTGATCCTTGATTGGAACCGAACCCAGCAGAACCAGACTTACAGGGACTCGAAGCGTGTCTACTACCTGAGTCTGGAGTTTCTCATGGGTCGTGCCTTGGACAATGCGATGCTGAACATTGGCCAGAAGGACATCGCTAAGGCCGGCCTTTCTGAGCTGGGCTTCCGCATTGAGGATATCATCGGACAGGAGAACGACGCTGCGCTGGGCAACGGTGGTCTTGGTCGCCTGGCAGCCTGTTTCCTGGACAGTTTGGCGTCGCTCGACTTTCACGCCTGGGGCTACGGCCTGCGCTACCGGTATGGAATCTTCAAGCAGGAGATCATCGACGGGTATCAGGTTGAAGTGCCCGACTACTGGCTTGACTTCAACCCCTGGGAGTTTCCTCGTCACGACGTGACGGTCGACATTCAGTTCTTTGGCAACGTCCGTAAGGAAGCCAAGGAGCAAGGCAAGGAGGTAGCCATCTGGGAAGGCGGCGAGATAGTGCAAGCCGTCGCCTATGATGTTCCCATCCCTGGCTACAACACGCCAACCACCAACAATCTTCGATTATGGTCGAGCAAGGCCTCTGGCGGCGAGTTCGACTTTCAAAAGTTCAACAATGGCGATTACGAGAGTTCCGTCGCTGATCAGCAGCGCGCTGAAACCATCAGTGCCGTTTTGTATCCCAACGACAACCTCGAGAGAGGCAAGGAACTCCGCTTGAAGCAGCAGTATTTCTGGGTGGCCGCCTCACTGCACGATATTGTTCGCCGCTTCAAGAAGTCGAAGCGTGATTGGAAGCAGTTTCCTGACCAGGTTGCAATTCAGCTCAACGATACCCACCCGACGCTGGCCATTGTTGAATTGCAGCGTATTCTCGTTGACATCGAGGGCCTGAAATGGGAGGAGGCCTGGGACATTGTAACCAGTACGTTTGGCTACACCAACCACACCGTTCTTCCCGAGGCTTTGGAGAAGTGGCCCGTAGGTCTCGTCCAGCATCTTCTGCCTCGACACTTGCAGATCATTTATGACATCAACCTCTACTTCCTCCAGCAAGTCGAGAAGCAGTTCCCCGATGATCGCGATATCCTTAGGCGGGTGTCCATCATCGAGGAGTCGCAGCCCAAAATGGTGCGCATGGCGTACCTTGCGATCGTCGGTTCTCACAAGGTGAACGGCGTTGCCGAGCTCCACTCGGATTTGATCAAGACGACCATCTTCAAAGACTTTGTCGAAATCTACGGCCCGGACAAGTTTACCAACGTCACCAATGGTATTACGCCGCGTCGTTGGCTGCACCAAGCCAATCCACGCCTGTCCGAGCTCATTGCCTCCAAGATTGGTGGAAACGATTTCTTGAAAGACTTGACCAAGCTGAACAAGCTCGAGTCCCTGGCCGAGGACAAGGAGTTCCGGAAGGAATGGTCTGAGATCAAGTACGCCAATAAAGTACGACTAGCCAAGCTCATCAAAGAGCTGACGGGTGTGACTGTCAACCCGGCTGCTCTGTTTGATATTCAGGTCAAGCGTATCCACGAGTACAAGCGCCAGCAGCTCAACATTTTCGGTGTGATCCACCGATACCTGACACTCAAGGCCATGAGCTCTGAGGAGAGAAAGAAGCAACTTCCCCGCGTGTCTGTCTTTGGCGGTAAAGCAGCTCCCGGGTACTGGATGGCCAAGCAGATCATCCATCTGATCAATGCCGTCGGCTCGGTGGTCAACAACGATGCAGACATTGGCGATCTGCTCAAGGTCATCTTCTTGCCAGACTACAACGTCAGCAAGGCCGAAATCATTACGCCGGCTTCGGATATTTCCGAGCATATCTCGACGGCTGGAACCGAGTAAGTGTTTGCCCAAACGGCAGCGAGACCTCTGACTAACGACCCATAGGGCTTCTGGCACGAGCAACATGAAGTTCGTCCTCAATGGCGGGCTTATCATCGGCACTTGCGACGGCGCGAACATTGAGATCACCCGCGAGATTGGCGATAACAATATCTTCTTGTTCGGCAATCTGTCCGAGGACGTGGAGGATCTACGACACGCGCACAATTACGGCTCGCACACGATCGATCCTGACCTGAACAGAGTCTTCGACGAGATGGAAAAGGGCACCTTTGGGACACCTCACGACTTCAGTGGCATGGTGGCAGCCGTGCGACACCATGGCGACTACTACCTCGTGTCGGACGACTTCCACAGCTACATCGAGACTCACAAGCTCGTGGATGAGGCGTACCGCAACCAGGACGAATGGGTTGCCAAGTGCATCGTGGCGGTTGCACGCATGGGCTTCTTCAGCAGTGATCGGTGTATCAACGAGTATGCCGAGTCGATCTGGAACGTCGAGCCTTTGGCCGTGAAGAGTTGAAGAAGACTTGCGGTGGTGATGGCCCGACGGGCCTATTCTTCGTCTTCTCCTACTACACACGCTCTGTCGATAGCCAATTTTGATTTAGCAGTACTTTTAAGAGCTTGAGCAATCTATAGGACACGGTCAGTATGCCTCGTATTCGCAATTCTTCGTTCGCTGTGTCAAGCTGTGATAACTTGATAAGGCTCGGCTGTTAGACAGTCAGACGCGCGTAGAATCGTGTCGATCAGCTGCTGTGACGTCGATGCGCAGAGCTGAATGACGCGCTCGGTGATCGACAACACTACCGTGCAGAAGTACCTTCAAGGCATAATCTTCCCCAAAGATACCACACCGTGCTAGCGCGTTTTCAGATGGTGAGCTTGGTCTTGGCCCCGCGCTCCCGCTACGCGAGGGGCATATGCATCAGCTGTTGCACTGGCGGAGGAATTGGTCCTGCGATGGCTTTTTCCCATCCCAGGATGCCCAGTCGCGTTTTGCGTTGTGGTACAAAAACCCATCTGGAGAATATCAGGTTTTCCGGCTTTTAGAGGGGCATGGCCCCATGGATGACGGGGTGACGTGGGATCTCGACAACCCGCTCCGCCCAACTGGCATGGCGCCCTTCTAGCCCACTGTCACCAACACCACCATGTATGCTTGTTGATCTGGGATGGTATTGTCCGCGGAATGCATATTTTCTGATCAGTATTTGGGGTTTCTGGTACTCACTGCGAACACAGTATTTAGTGTGTCGACGGCGTGGGGCGGTCAGTAGTAGCGGGATAACTACTTGGATAGACTAGTGACTGCTGCTGCTCTATCGGTACTAAAATGCGAGATGGTAGCGCAGGAATCTCGATCGATCCGGAAAGGCAAGAAAAAGGATGAGACTGGACAACGACCGACGGCGGTCGAGCAATGCGTGAGCCAGGGCACGCACGTCCCCTAACTCAACTCGTCCGTATGTTTGTTCCGCTCCTCTTCTTTCCTCTCTGCACAACATCTACGTAAACTATTCACATACATTCGTGTAGCTTGTGCCTCGTCTTTAAAGTTTGCCTCTACCGCCCAGCAGCAGTGGCAGTCAGCCAGCCAGTCAACGCACGCACGCACGCGCATGCAGGGTTCCAGAATTCCTCCCGCCAACCGACAGCAATCGACCGCCGGCAACACGTTTGTTAAAGGGAGCGCGCATTCGCCCTCTCCTCTTGTGTACCGCTCAACTTCGGATTACCACTATTCGCCGACCACACATCGAACTCGCGTTCTATATCTTGGTGAGTTTTTTCTTTTTCTTTGCCCCGGGGCTACCAAGGGCTGGAGGGGGATCTCTGAGAACGAAGACCATCCAGGCACTGGAGACACTGGCACTTGGACGCAATGAGCGGCACGCTGGTTGAGACTGGAGCTGCTGCAGGCGACTAGCATAGCCTGGCACCCAGCAGTCAGCGCACCGCACGAGGGCCAGCCCACCAGTGCTCCATTACCACGGCAAGCTTGTTTGCCGCTCATGTCGGTTACTCTGACAAAAAATGGACATGGACTGGAGCGACTCGATCCGGCTCAGCAATCTCCAGAAGGTAAAATTGCGCATCGTACGGGCGCATGACGGCTTTGTGCTGCACGCAGGGACAAATCCAACAAACACCAGCGCCATACCTTGCGTCCTTGGAGCGACCCACCACCGCGCATCCTAGCAGAGACTGGACGGTACAGGGTGAAGCGAGGTACTTTTCCTTGAAGTCCAGCCGTCGGGGGTTCGAGAATGCAGTTTTATCTGGTTCCTGTGTCGTCATCGCTACCCTGGGACATCTTGGCCCCTCATTCAGCGCGCCGCGCAGACCAGACCAAACCTTGACCACCACAGGCTTTTCCTCCAACGGACCACAGCTTCCCCAGCCCTGAAGTCACTATTTCATTCGCACATATTTAACCTCAGGACTGCCGCTGACCTCCCGCTCCTGACTGCAGAACCCCGACCGGTGCCCATCTTCCCATTCAAACAGCAGGTCTACCCCGCTCTGTCGGCAACTTCAATCACGACCTGCGTGTGTCCGAAATTGAGCTCCATCCTGCCTGTCAGACATTGTCTCGCCATAATCGATCGAGCAGACAACCTTGAAGAGGAATCGTGCAAAGAACGCCGCACAAGACCCGTTCCTCAACAAGATTCAATAGTCCAGTACTTCCTTCGACATACACTATCTCTCCCCAGACCGATAAATCCGACGACCCTCCAAGATGGCCGAATTCGTGCGTGCCCAGATCTTTGGCACGACATTTGAGATCACGTCACGGTATTCGGACCTGCAACCTGTGGGCATGGGCGCCTTTGGCCTTGTCTGCTCAGCCCGCGACCAGCTCACCAACCAGAATGTTGCCGTCAAGAAGATCATGAAGCCCTTTTCCACTCCAGTCCTCGCCAAGCGCACATACCGCGAACTCAAGCTCCTCAAGCACCTCCGCCACGAAAACATCATCTCTCTCAGCGACATCTTCATTTCCCCGCTCGAGGACTTGTACTTTGTCACAGAGCTCCTCGGTACCGATCTGCATCGCCTGCTTACTTCGCGACCCCTCGAAAAGCAGTTCATCCAGTACTTCCTTTACCAGATAATGCGCGGTCTCAAATACGTCCACTCGGCTGGCGTTGTCCACCGTGACCTCAAGCCCAGCAACATCCTCGTCAACGAGAACTGTGATCTCAAAATCTGCGACTTTGGCCTGGCCCGTATTCAAGATCCTCAGATGACCGGCTACGTCTCTACGCGATACTACCGTGCCCCCGAGATCATGTTAACGTGGCAAAAGTACGATGTCGAGGTGGACATTTGGAGTGCAGGCTGCATTTTTGCTGAGATGCTAGATGGCAAGCCCCTCTTCCCGGGCAAGGACCACGTGAACCAGTTCTCCATCATCACTGAGCTGCTAGGCACGCCACCTGATGACGTGATTAACACAATCGCCAGCGAGAACACTCTGCGCTTCGTCAAGTCGCTGCCCAAGCGCGAGCGTCAGCCCCTCAAGAACAAGTTCAAGAACGCCGACCCCGCTTGTGAGTACCGTACCTTGTCCCCACCCAATGAGGGTCCTCGTAGCTGACCATGACAGCAATCGATCTGCTTGAGCGCATGCTCGTCTTTGACCCCAAGAAGCGCATAACGGCAGGCGATGCCCTTGCCCACGAGTACCTCGCACCCTACCATGACCCCACCGACGAGCCGGTCGCCGAGGAGAAGTTCGACTGGAGCTTTAATGACGCTGACTTACCAGTCGACACTTGGAAAATCATGATGTAGGTCCACGGCCTGGAGACAGAGGGATGACGATGACTGACCACATTCCAGGTACTCCGAGATTCTGGACTACCACAACATCGAGACGGGCGGTACCGGCATGGACGAACAGTACAACGGGCAATGAAACATACAGGAATAATGTCACGAGAACAAACAACCCCAAGAAAAACGATGCGCGCTTCTCTCCGCGACGGCACGCACCACCTGAGGCCTCGTGGGAGAGTCGATCACGCAAGGGTCCGGCGTTTGGAGATGGGAAGGGGGCATTGTCTTTTGTTTTTGTTGTTCCATTCGTCTTTTTTTTTAAAAAAACATTGGTTCATTGGTGAACAGCCTTGAAGGTGCATACATACTTGCTGTGGGGACAAATCATATACGAGAAGAATTGGCCTTTCCAACTTCTATGTCCCAAACTTGTTGTGCCAGAAGTGATGGCCAGTGTACTTGTCATGTATGGGTGAACTGACTCGTTGACGTTTGAGCTTTCTCGAACATGTGATTAAAGTCACCAACGGGAGGTCAGAACCAGGGCCCGGAAGAATATGGCAAGATGGATGAATCGACATTCACTGTCAGTACGATATTGATAGGAGAACCGATTATGAGTATAATGTCCACTCAGATAAGACCTGAACCAGAGTCCATACGGGAGCCTATGGAGCCTCCAAGAAGGGCATCCTGCCACTGTCCATCCTCGACAGTTGTGACCGATCACAGTCTGAAAAGCATTGCCCTGATAGCAAGGCATCCGCAGCCACACTAAAAAAAATTCCACGTGCAAAGTGGCCTGATCCCAGGTAGTGAAGCACGGCCGTGTATCATCTGTCTGAGGCCACTCCATGAGGTTGTCCCTCACGAGTCCGCGAGCCAAGTCTCGCTGAGAGGTCGGCAAAAGACATCTCAGAGTAAACATATGGCCCATGTTCAAGGACTAACAGCAACTCACAGGGATCCTCGTGGTCTGAGGACGGTTGGCTGTTGTCTGTACTTGGCATGCAGTTGTGCATCAGGCTCAGCGGGAGCACCGTCTGGAATCTGACCAGTCGAATTGTGTTGAAGTGTGTCGTTCCAGCAAGTCGGGTATGGCTGACAAGGGCAGAGTCGAAGGTTTATCTGAAACAATTTCCGTTGTCATCTTGGCTGATTGCCGATTCTTAGGCCAGTGAATCGTCGCTGATCGGGATGCTTGTCGAGATGACTGCGCCAAAGAATTGACAGGCATTGAAAGTAGGAGGTAGACTGAAATTGAATGCAACACTTCTCAAAATCGGCTTTCCATAATCCTTGGACTGCAGCACTGGTGTCAACCTTGCAATGATCAGGACTGTTGATGCCAACGACATTGGCAGACAAGTCGTCTCCGACGGTGTTGTAGTCAGAGATGTGAATACTTCGCGGCTGGATGGATTTGTTCAGCAAGCAGAAGGATTAAGCTGTGTCAAGCTGAGGAAGCGAGAATAGCGTACCCGGAGGATATAATCTGCTATTTGTACAAAACAGATTATACCGTGCCTACGGAGCAGAGACTATCGTGCTCAGAGGACACAGGGGCCAATTTCAGGGTGCCACATGATGTATGGAGTGTCGTGAACCCCTTTTAGGAGGGTCCCTGGACTGCCCCCAGATGCGTGATGCATGTCGGGCAGTCTGTTGTGGGAAGCCTTGCCATGCAACAGGCCACAGCAATGATATGCCGTGTCCAACTGCGCCATCAGCAGCGGTTTTGAAAGAGCAGGCGCCAGTAGTCAATCATTGACATTGTGCCAACAATCCATGCTGGTAACCATGATACTGAGTCGTCAAAGCGCTTTTCCTTGACCTTTTGGTTGGCGAGTGAAACACAGATATCTAACACTGCTCAAGTTGTCATCAAGAGCTGACTCTGAACCTGGTGTCTCGGACAACACCGTAGTTGATATCCGGATTCTGTCGGAGTTTCTGGTCTCTTCGAAAAAGGTTCTTGTACCATGAGAGCAGGTGGCGGTGACGACTGCGGTAGCTGCGTGCGTGTCTCCAACGACGCAGCGACTGCCCAGAACAATCGCAACTCAGTTGCCAGAACCAACCGACTCTTTGGTAAAGCCGGTAGAAAAGACATGCACCATGGAGATAGCACGTACACAAAAATTTGCTTGATCTGTGAAGTTTTTTTCACATTTGATTCTTCTGCAATTTTGTTCTATATAAGGTGCTTTTCGGATGGGTCTATCTAGTGGAAGAGTCAGTGGTGGTCCGTACGTCGAAGGGCTTGCGATGTCAACAGACCATGAAGAAATGAAGGCCGGTGATGATCTTAGAAAAACAGCCGCCGGCGTTCTAAAGAAGGTTTATGTTTCTGTAGGCTTGTTTTCGACAACATTGATGAGTGCCGCTGGTGTAGGTGTGGATGACGGGTGAAGCAACAGTGTGGTACAAGGATGGAGTTTTGAGAATGATTCAGAGCGGGTGAGAAAGATGAGCTCTTCACGAGAGAAGCGGAATAATGGAAACCATTCTTTGTGATTGATCGAGGGCTCGAGCCCTTCTAATGTTGCTAGAAGCTACTGACGGTGCTGAATGTCAGAAAGCTCATGTGAGGCTTGCCGCAGCACTCTAGAGTAGCCTATTGGGTGAGGACGGGGTCATAAAAGCTCTGGATGTGGCAGCACCTCGAGCAGGCAGTGATATACAGTCTTAGGACCAGTATCCGACCCCTGCTGGCTACAGTCCCCATGACTTGCTAAGGTGCGGCATCGTCTTCCAACGGCAAAAGCTCCCCAGTACTCAACAAGAAATCCCATTTGGGGTCTCTTCGTACCAGTGTAGCCCTTGTTCCCCTGGAGTTCAAATGTCATGTAACATTGCTCGCGGATTCTTTTCTTCCCAAAAGGGCCAGAGCGGTGCCCCATGCACAGCGAACCGTCTACACATTGAGCGAGCCCAATCCCTCGCGGCTCGGGGCCTTTTCCGCGACACATACAGCTACTGCGTAGTCTCCGTCGTGGGATATCGAAATCAGCGCTGTCGAGTCCTTCTCGTCTCCTGAGGCAGCTTTTATCCTCGCGTATGGCGCACGCCCACCCAGTCGCTCTTCTCCCTCTTGAGCCTTCAGTATCGATATATCATGAAAGGTCAACTTTCTGTGCGAGTGGGCCTTGATGGCAGCCTCCTTTGCCGCGAATCTGGAAGCAGAGGTCAGCTTATCTTACACGGCCCCCCTTTTTATGTATTGAGTTGCTCACCGTGATGCCAGGAACCGAGCACCCGCCCACAGATCGGGACGTTGCCGGCTCAGAATCTCATATCCATGACCATCGGCAGAATCTGACTGCCATTCCGACTTGGAGCGCAAAGTGTCATGTATCTTCTGCCGCACTACGTGGACGGTGGGATCATCTTTTGCAAAGACGCGAGAGATGAACCTGTCGGTATGCTGTGGGCTTCTGCCGACAATCCGAAAGATGCGACTGATTTGGCAAATGTCTATACCAACGCCACAAGGGTATTGAAAGGCAGCTAACTGTTTGGCCAGCGCTGTCGACATTTCATGATGAGCGTCCGTCAGGAGATAAACCGGTCGAAAAAGATCCACTTGAGAGCGCGACACGCGCTTATGCAGTCGCGCTGGGGCCACTTATCGATAACACCGACTTCCGGATCAGATCCACAATGACGCAGGCTTGCTTTAAGCCACCAAGATCTTCAACAAGTTTGTTGGTATTTATATAACATGCTCCATCAATGTTTTAGCAAGGATGCGCAGCCTTTTATTTCGACTGCATTAGCTAAACAAGGAATGTTTGACAAGACCGGAGCAAAAGATCCTACATTCCGTGCTTCCTTCGTTGTGTCAGACTGTTCCGGCGCAAACCGACAAACCAGACCACCGTCATGAGCGCAAATCAGAATGATGGCAACTCTTAGATAATGAACTCCAGCACGCCGAAATCAATGAGTGCAAGTGCTGCTGGGGCTAGCTTTCATGGCGAACAGTCTCGTGGTAAGGACTGGCGCGTCATGATGACGCGGGCGCTGGGTGTGACCGTATAAGTACAGTCGCTTAAGGCTCATTGAGCAGAGGGGCGCGCTCGCCCTCGTCGGAGGAGCGTTTCCACCTGATCTCGCGACCGGTCCAAGCGGGAACGGCGACGGCGACAGTGGCAATGAAGAGCATAGCCATGATGACAAAGGCAAAGATCCACTGCAGGGCGATAATCTGGCGGAGGAACTGCGAGACACCAATGGCGGCCGCCAGAACACTGAGGGAAAATCCCATGGTGTAGTCCTAGTGCAGACGGGTCAGCGATCAGGCCAACGTCAAGAGTGATCTACGTTTGCTTTACCTTGAACGCAACAATGTAGAAGCTGCCGTAGGCAAGGATGCCCCAGATGAAGATGTTACCAAAGATGCGGGCCACGAGGCTAGTCGGGTGGGGGACCATCAGGGCGCCGTTCCAGTGCAGCGCAACGTAGGTCCAGGCCAGGGGCATGGACGCGACGGGTGTGTGGATGAAGCGCGGGTACGTGTTGTGGCGGAAGTACAGCGAGGTCAGGTTGAGGAAGTTGAGGACCAGGATCACCTCAGCCCAGTGGAAGTGGGAACGGACGAAGAGCATGACAAAGGCGAAGTGGAACAGGTTGTTCATGATGAAGTGGCTGCCAACGCTGGCGGCGGCGTGGACATGGTCGGCGTTGGAGGAGAAGAGGTGGCCAATGTAACCAGCCTGGAAGATGAAGAGGATGATCCTGGGAGCGTGGTCAGCATGAGCCTCGGAAAAAAAGACGAAGATTTGGGAAATGATACCAGTAGATGGATGCGATCACCGAGTTCATTGTGAAAGCGCTGGGGTACAGGTCGTTCTGATCCCAGATGCGCTTGCGGATGGTGAAGCCATCGTGGGGAGCGTGGATTGTGTAGTATACCGAAACAACGAGGGATAGGAGCCAGGTGAGGATTGTGAGGACCTTGTAGATGGTCACCGACATCGCGCTGTGGTTCTCCCTCTTGCTGAAGGGGTTGTCTGCGCATGTCAGTATGTCGTGAACATGACCACGAAATCAATAGAGACCTACGTCGGTTCCAGTCGGTCATATTGGCGGTGTTTCAGTGAGCTAATACTCGATGAACTATTGCTGGAAGAATATGTGCGAGGTTGGAGAGGAAAACAAGTTGAAGGCAGGAGGAGGCAGCTCTCGGATGGTGTTTAACAAGATAAACGCTGACATGGAGCTCTGAGGTCACTCGGTGGTGTGAGTGCTAGCGACGGTGGGCAGAAGCGGGGCCCCTTCCTCAATTAACAGGGTGCCTGCAGCTGGAACTTGGCATTGCCATTGTGAGACTGCAGCCCCGGAGCAACAAATGTGACTCTAGTCCAGAGTCCAGACTCATGCCCATGACAATGTGTGCCTGGCATTGGTTGTTTTCTCTATTGGCCAGTGTTTTCCTCTCACAACACCCTGTCGCATAGTACGACAGCCTCAGCCTTGTTGAAGTCGCGTTCATCGTCGAGAGCAGCAGCGCCTGGCTTGGTGGGAGCTTGAGACTCTGCGTCACCCCTCATCATCGTCCAGGCGGCTCAGCGTGTCTCGCGGGTTGTTGGGACGCCCCTTGCAAAGCTGACGTGCGTCACACGACCCCCTCCGAACCGCCCCTGTTCACGCAGGAAAACATGCCACTGTTCGGATCGGGCATGTTGCTGTGGCAGGTGACCTCTGAGGAGTCCGTTTCCAGGTGAGATCGCCCGACTTGAAGAATGGCGCATGGTGGGGAAGCATATTTGGAGGCTGTACAGAGTAGCCTATAGACTATATATAGCCCACTTGTCTGTCCGTCTCGAATGCAGCTCCTACCTTGGTCGAGACTAACTTATGCAACGGTCTACCAGCCTACCCTGTAGCTTTGTCTATCCTATCGTTCGCTGACCTGCCAATACTTAATAAGTTTTCGGTGGGTGAGAGCTTTGGATTGTGAACTCTCAAAGGACACTAATATAACCGAGGCTTTCTGTGTTCATTGCCGAGTTTCAAAAATCCAATGCTATCGTCCAAACGTCATTCCGGGACGCTGTTTACACGAGCGACCAGATCTACGTTATTTGTATTTTGAAGGCACAACGGCCAGGATCATGGACATTATTCTTCCCCACGCTGAGGACCAGTATAAATTTTGAAACCGACCTCCAGTCTATAGAGTCGCATGCTTCTGCAATTGACTCAGAGTGTACCCTGTGTAACATCACAATACGAGGTGCAGTTGCCTCTTGCAAGGCTGTCTCCTGAGATCAAGATACCTTAGGTAGAGCGCTAGCCTCGTTTGTCCTCCTCGCCTCCTTGCCTCATCATCCTCATTCTGGACACCAACGTGCAGAAAACTCATTTTCGCATTCAATGCAATGTCCGTGCTTTGCCGATATACGGCGAGTCGCCAGCGTGCCGCCACATCCTTGATCTCAGGCCGTACTCCTTTCAGAAGCTTGACGCCAAACCGCCGTTTTACAACCATATTGACAAGCAGCGGTCAGCCGATTCAGCCCAGATCCTACCCAAGGGAAACTCGATTCCATGGGAAAGGTGCTGTGTACGCTGGCTCGACGACCAGCATCCGGCTCTTTGCAACGAATCCGCCCAAACCAAGTCAGGACCCCAGCCTAGATGCTACAATCGAGGAAGCCCAGCCACCAGCTGAGGAGCCAATGCAATATGATGAAAACCACGCAAAAATCCGCTGGAGGCCACTTACCACTCACGTCCTCGACGCTGTCCGTAAAAACATACCCAGGCACCCCAGCCTTTGACAAGAAGGATCCCGCACGCTTTCAAACACACTGGCGTAATGTCTTTGAGCAGATGAGAAAAGGCATCTCAGCCGATGGTGGCATCGGCAAGTACTTGACCGATCCGCCGGTCGAAAGAGCAAACGTCATGCTCTTCGACACATTGCCAGCTCGAGAGGAAGAACAGTGATGCTTCCAGCGTCGCGGAGGACTCTAGAGTGGACTAAGCAGAACATGTCGGGCGTAAGGCCATTTCTCTAGTACGGTAACTCAACTCCTGGGCGCATATTATTCGTCCCATGTACATTTGAAATCAACTTAGCCCCCTTGTACTTTATCTTACCCAAACCCTTTCCCAAAATCGCTATGCAGATGCTGAACTCTATATGTAGTATAAATGCAATCACTTTTCACAAGATGATGCTCACTGTTCGCTTTTGCTCCCGCCCTCAACCTCACCAAGAAAGAACTTGTCAAACACCCTCGCCTCGAGATCCTCCTCACCCAGCTCCTCACCCTTGCGCAGCATGAGGTTGTTGCGGCGGAGATACACTCGCTTCGCCCACTTCCACGACTCACAAGACGCGACGAAGAAGAAGAAGGCCGCAAACACCACTGTCCACTCCAAATCGATCCCCGTATGGAGGAACACGTAGGTGTTGAGAGTCGGGATGTACAGGGTCGGGATGATGATGAGGATACCGCCCACAATAGACCAGAAGAGGAACGGGTTGCGCCAGAGACGGTGCGCCCAGTTCCTCGTATCGTGAATCATGCCGTCAAAGAAGGACCGGCGCGCATCACAGAGGACCCATGCGAATACCAGAAAGATCCACGTTAAGACAATGAAGCAGGTGGAGCGGGCGCGGAAGACGCCCTCGCAGGTTGGTCCCCATTCAACGTTGCAGTTCTCGCCAAATTTGCCGTCCCAGATGCCAAACATGACGGTGACAAAGGTGCAGATTGTGCAGACCGCCATGAGAACGCCGTAGACGACGAGGTCGAGGAGAAATTCGGGCGTAAAAACGCCATGCTTGAGCTACACAGCGTTAGATTATACCGCAGATTACGGGGATTCGGCCGCAAGCACTTACACTTTGAGGGGGGCGCCGCAGGATATCTGGCGAGGCGCCCTCGAACCCAAGGCCAGTCTCGGTAAAGGTTCCAGCGACGAGCAGCATGAAGAGAATCTCAATTGGGGTCATCTGGAAGACGGACACGCCCGTCGAGTCCTTGTAGGCAAGACCAATCAGAAGAGCGGTGACGAAGCCGACATTGGCCGCCAAGACGTGCAGCATGAATTTTTGGATATTGTCAAAGATTCGACGTCCCTCCTCGACGGCGTTCAGTATACTGGCAAAGTTATCATCGCTCAGCACAATATCCGAGGCAGACTTGGCCACGTCACTGCCGTTGAGACCCATGGCGATGCCAACGTCCGCGCGGTGAAGACTGGGGCTGTCGTTCACGCCGTCGCCAGTCATGGCCACATAGCGTCCACGGCGATGTAGCGCGTCGATCATGCGCACCTTTGTCGATGGGGCACAGCGGGCGACGACCAGGGGGAGCTGAGGTAGTTGATCGACCTCCTCGTCCGACAGCTTGTCAAATTCATGAGCGGTCATGACAATCTGCTTCGCAATGTCGGCGCGGAGGAGATCCATACGGCTAGGCAGGATGCCCACCTCGATAGCAATCGTACGTGCTGTCTCGGGATGATCACCCGTGAGCATGTGGACAGCAATGCCTGCTTGGTGGCACTTGAAGACGCTGGGTCGAGTCTCCGGGCGAGGAGGATCATAAATGCCGACCAGACCACGGAAGACCATGTCGTCTTCAAATTCCTCGCGCTTCAAGGACCCAAGACGAACCTCGTCCTCGGTCACAGCGCGCGGCGAAGCGCGACTAGCGAACGCCAGCACACGCAGGCCACGACGAGCAAAGGCTTCCATGTTGGCAATGACTTGTGCCCTGACCTTGTCCGACATGCCCTCAATCAAGGTATCGTCAGCAGCGGCAACCTTATCACAGCTCTCAAGGACGCGCTCGACGGCGCCTTTGGTGAGAACCATGACGTCTCCGCTGTGCTTGTTCCGGCAAAGGACTGACATCTTCTTGATGCTCGAGTCGAATGGGAACTCAACCAGCTGATTCCATGCCGCGTCATCGAATGAGGGTTTCACGTCCCGACTGCGGCCAAAGCGAGCGGCAAAGACTTGGATGGCAATCTCGGTGGGGTCGCCGTTGACGTTCCAGGATGCGCCATCTTCGTCGGACACGGCGCGCTTCACAGTAGCCAGGTTGGCGAGCTGTGCCACATCGAGGAAGTTTTTGAGAGGCGCGTGGGCTTTTTCCTCTTCGAGCGCCTTGATGCTCTGACCGACGTCGCCGTCGGTCATGTCCTTCGGCAGGCCAGGCACAAATGTGAGGTCGGCAATTTCAGGATTGTAAGGCTCGTTGGTGATCCCGAGGCTATAAGTGCCATGCCCTGGCATCCACGCCATGCGGGCGACCATTTTACCCTGGGTGAGTGTGCCAGTCTTGTCAGAGCAAATATTGGTGACACCGCCCAAGGCCTCCAGAGATCTCATGTTGCGAACGAGAACATGGCGGTCGACCATGACCTTGGTACCCGCCGCCATGGTGATGGTAAGAACCAAGATCAAAGTGACAGGTAGAGTGCCGATAGCGGTGGTGATGGCATAAATGATGACATCTGTCCGGTTCGAGAACTCGTTGGCGGCCATCACGATGATGGCGCACAAAACAGCGATGCCAAAGATGATCAAGAATAGAGCAGAGAGCTTGCGCTGCAGAGGCGTGCCGACATTGAGCCCAAGAAACTCGCCGATTACGTCCCAGACTTTGCCAAGAGCAAAGAAGATGTAGTCTTTTGTCGAGGACTTGCCGAACTCATCCTTGTTGAGCTTGCGCGTGTCGCCTTGGGCGCGAAGCGCCGCGGCGATCGCACCGATTTCCGTATACATGCCGGTAGCGAGCACAATGGCCTTGCCACGTCCCTTGGTGATGGTAGTGGAGCTGAAGACCACATTGAGACGATCGCCGGGCCCGACATCGTCAGACTCGCTGTCACTGTCGGCACCACCTCCGCCACCAAAGACCAGCGCCGGATCTTTGCGTACCGGGACAGATTCGCCAGTCAGGGCTGCTTCATCAGCTTCGAGGTTGACGCACTCGATGATGCGGGCATCGGCAGGGACCACATCTCCAGTCTTCAGTTCTACAATGTCGCCAGGGACGAGTGTCTCGGCATCGACCGTCTCGCTGTGGCCCTCGCGAACGACACGAGCAGAAGGCGAGTTCAGAGAGCTCAGAGAGGCAATTGTCCGCTGAGCCTGTAGATCTTGGTAGAAGCCGATGAAGATGTTGAGGAGGATCATGCCGCCCAAGACACCCCCCTCTATCCAGGCCTTGATGGCGAAACTAGCAGCGAGGGCAAGCAGCAGGACCTAATAATGTCAGCCTGCATGTCGGTACCAGCGTAAGAGAACCCAAGCGTACCAATGTCATTGAGTTGAAAATCTGCTGCATAAAGATAGCCACAGCGCTGACACCCTTCTCTTGGCCCAGGTTGTTGGGGCCATACTTCTGGAGACGCTGAACCGCCTCGTCGGCACTGAGACCCTGGGTCTGATTGGTATCGAGCTCGACAGCTACCTCGTCTGCGGTCAGGCTGTGTGCTGGCCGAGAGATGGGCTCGTTGGACTGGCCCGAGATATGGGCAGCCACATCTTCCGATGCTGTCTTTCCCTTCATGGTCGAGAGTGGTGAGAAGACCAAGAGAGATGGTTTCAATCAGATGGAAAAGGGAACCGATATCCAGGAGGTATAGTCGACGGCGAATTAGTATTAGGGGATAACAGCTACACTGTCGCCATTTAAACAGTTTCGAGTAGTGGCAAACTTCACAGCAGCGCGGCCTCAGCTAGTTATTAAGAGTCACCACGCGGGGCCCGCGGAGAGCGGTGGGTTGAAGGTCTTTGTAATGATGGTTCTTCGAAGGCTATGACTTCTTCAGCAACAGGTACAGAAAAGTAAGATTCATAATAGTCGGCTGGGTCTAGAAGCCAAGACGCACATGGTCGGGACATGAAGGGTTTATGTGGGATGAGGTAGTGGGACGTGACGCTTATTCCCCATAAAGGGAAAGGCCGGTGAGCGACGCATCGAAAACATTTGGCAGGTCCAGTCGACAGAACACTGAATGATTACGCGAGATCTGGGAAAGACGGACGTAATTCGAGTTGAGAAGTTATGTCGATCGGGAACAGACGTGCGGGAGACGTGAAAACTGAGCGGGTCCGCCAGGCCACATTAGGCAGCCAAGACGCATGTTGCTCGACTTTGATCTGGGGCGCTAGTATTGCGGCTTATTTTGACTGGAGAAGAAGTCTAGAAGAGAAATCTGGGGTTCTCGCAGTTCTGCAGAACTGAGTAGGTTTTCGAATCGAGAAAACAGGATTGCATACTGGACTCAAGCTGGCTGGGTCTCTGCAGTCCCTTGATGGATGCCCCGGCGATGCCAATCGGGACGGAACTGGACAAAGCGGACTCGGGAGCCACTGTTCGACAGGATTGCTACGTAGAAGGCTTCACTTGACAGGAGTATGCGTGTGCCCAAGAATGCCGCGGCGAGAGCGATACCAGAGTCGCGATGTTCAATTCATGTTCATGGAGAACAAGTCAAAGTGAGTCTGTCCTACGGGGGCGCGGTCACGTGATAGCGCGTCACAGCACGCACCTGCCTGCCATGCGACGCGCCAGCCCAAGCTCATGCATGCCCCGACTGGCCTCACTACTCCCCCTTTCTCAAATGGTCGACTTGGACTCATCAGACACACCGTCGTCGTCATGAGTGAATCAGGGCGCCTGAAGAGACGGAGTCAGAATCTGCTGCACTTTTCCCTCAACAGGACAAGCTCCGATGCCGAAGCACAGTACAATGCCGGCGCACCGAAATCTGAGGCGTTGCCTGCCCGGTCGGCCACGCCACAGGTTGGCAATCACCAGCAGGCCCCACTGCCCACAAAGAAGGAGCTTGCCGCTCTAGCGAGACTGCCGACGAGTACGGCACGACCGAAGCCAGCGGGCAATTCGCCCAGGAAACCCCTGGGCGGTGGTATCAACAATGTTGTCGTCCAACCTTTGCCCGACTCTCCTCCAAGGAAACTCCCATTGGGCCGTATGGATCAGATCACCCAAGTCTTCCGACCACAGCAAAACCAGATCCCTGAGCCAGCACCCGTCGCTGACAAAGAAGAACATGATGAAACAAAGTCTATCTTTGCAGGGGACTCACTGCCAGATGATTGTCTGGCTTCAGGCTACACGACAGAGTTGATGGTGGGCCCAGACGAGGAAGCAGACAATTTCAAGGCTCGGATCCAGGCGCAAAACGAGGAGCCACGCCAGACGGCACCAGACAGGCGCGAGAGCGAGAGCAAGCCAGAGCGCTCCGAGCGCCTTGAATGGGGCAAGAAACACCATCATGCTCCCAAGCCAGCGAATGGCGGCTTTGTTTTCCACGCGGATGGAAGCGGGAAGATGGCTGTCGCCCATGTTCAGCAGCGTCTAGAGGCCTCGCAAGTCGGGGATGGGTTCAGGAACGAGCCTTTGGCAGAACGGCGACCATACCATGCAACACGACACTACCGCCCCGCGACGACTCCGCCGCCGCCACCACAGGCCAGGACAGAGATTCCCATAAGACAGGTGAATGTCACAAAGGAGCAAAGAGCACACAAGAAGAATCACCATTCGAGGAACTATTCCTCTGCGTACGAAAAGGACCCGGCACCCAAACAAAGCCGGCGAGCGGTGCGCAAGCAGGAGGCGATGACAGTGATCAACTTGACGGATGACGGAGGCCCAGAGAGTGATGGTTACGAGGACGAGGAGGATATCTACGAGACCCCGAGACCCAGAGCAAAACAAAGCAAGGCCAGGACAATTTCAAAGGATCACCTCTTGGAAAGTGCCCTGCCGCCGCCAACGATGGATCTCAGCAACCACCAGAGCAGGAAGCGCAGCCGCCCCGCGACGGACTACGACGACAAGGTCCTCAGCTCCATGTCCTGGGCTGACTTGCAAAAGGAGCCCTTTGACCATGATCCCTCCCAGGCCGCCGCGCATTCCCACGGGCAGGGCGGTAGCGAAATAGACCAGTTGACCAAGAACCTGGAACAGCTCAAGTCCAAGAGCGACGAGGACCAGCGGGCCTTCTTCTGCACAACGTCCATGGAGGACTGGGAAAAGTCGGGTGACTGGTTCGTCGACCAGTTTGCCGACCTGATGAAGAAGCTCCGCGATGCGCGGCGGGCGAAGCGGGAGATGGTGAGCGGGTTCGAGAAGGAGGCGGCGCAGCGCGAGGAGGCTGTGCGCCAACGCAGGGAGGCGATCGATCGCAAGCTGGCTAAGATGAAGCAGGACGGACGACGGGTTGTTGGGGGGAGCTGACCACGCACGGATAAATGTATGCGGGTCCCTTTGTTTTTTTTTTTTTTTTTTTTTCCCTCTCTTTTGCCGCGCACTTGGAGGAGACAAATACCCCCTTGACGATGATGATGATGATGATGACGATTGACGGGATCTACTATCTTGGTGCACTGAGGTTCAGTTGCTAACTTGTTTGCTCAAGATCATGCGTGGAGTTCTTTTGGTACGGGTCATATCTTGCTTGAGATCAATTCAGTCACAGACGATGAACCTCCTTGACCTTGCGGTCTTCATCCACTACCATCCGCAGCTGCTTCCCTGGCTGTCCTGGCAGGACCCCAGCCCTCACGCCGTCCGTGTACAGCTCGTAGGCGGGAAAATAGCCGTCCACGAACCTGACGACCTCCTCGACCGACATGCCCGCGTTGGGGTCTCCCTTGTCCCGGCGGAGATGCTCCTCCTGCTGCGTGCGCCAGGCGTACACAAAGTTCAAGTCCTCGGCGTCAATGTGGATGAATGCGTCAAAGAGGTCCGTCAACGCGTCGTAGTTCCGTAGCTGCTCGTTGATGAGGAGCAGGTGCTCCAGCTTGTGCAGGCCCAGCGTGCGGCTGGGGGCCTCCCACTTGGCCTCGGCCTCCGCATCGCTCAGGGCGCGGAAGCCAACGCACCAACCCTCCAGGATCACCGCCTTGACAGGGGGCTGGCCGGGCTGGTTGACGGGTTTCCGTTGCGCCTCGGGGGCGCGATCGCCATGGCCCGCGTACGCCGACTTGTCGTACACGGGTAACTTTGTGGGTTCCCCTTTGATCACCTTGTCAAAGAACGCCTTGGCGAATGGCAGATCGTGGGTGCCTGTGTCCCAAATCAGTGTTTGCTGTCGACGTTTTGAAGCGCAGACAGGAACGCACCTGGTTCCCCGCGATGCTGCCACAGTGCATTGTCCGCGTGGTCCCGCCCGAGGGCGAGTAGGTCCTCGTGGTTGAGGTAGAAGTCGTCGATGCTGCAGACGAGTGTGGGCACGCCTTGGGCCTCGAGAGCCGACGCGAGAGCCCTGACGAGGGTGGTCTTGCCGGCGCCCTGGATGCCATTGAGGCCGATGACAAAGGGCTTGGTGGAGGCGGGGTGTGACTTTAAGAGGTCGAGAATAAAAGGGACGCAGATGGGCGTCTTGTCGTCTACAAAGGTGGCCATGGTGGTTGAACGTGAGACGACATCCTCGGGGGATGTGGGAAGCAGCGTGAGCTACATCTTGTGGTGAGATTTGTGAAGGTTGGGGTTGCTGCCGCTGTATGTCACGGTTACATATGTGTGGGGTTGGCCGATGGGCGGAGGTGTTCTAGTCCGGGGATTAATAGGTCGGGGTTTACGATCACTCTCATTAGCTGCTCAACTAGTAGCAGCACAGTAAGCGATTGATTGAATGGTTCTTGGAGAAGCACGCGGCATGCTCTGGCATTGCACGAGAGCACTCCTGCAGTCAGTCTGCGTGTGCGTGTCCTACCCTACCGTCTAAGCTAGTCACACACAAGTGTTCTGGCGTCTCACTGATCCCAATCTCCTCGGCTGAGAGAAAAAGGGACAAGGGACTGACTGGCCTATCTATTGCTCGCTCAGCACTTGGTAATTGTCTTGATCTCAGTGCTGCCGGTTTTTGAGGGCAACGGCCTGTGTCAGTCAGTGGTCAGCGTTGATGGCACCATTACATGAGGTAGTGTGGTCTGACAATTGAGGCCTCACTGATGTCTGCTGCAGTCGTTGCAAGTCCAGGGTTTGTCGTATTTAAAAAACAAAGGAAAAGTCATAATGATCTTCTCTAGCCGGCCACTTCTGGCACATTGGCTTACATGTATACGCTCACGTACATGTACTTACATAGAAGCCGCTCGACTGTTGCGAGCATGTGATGATGGCACTGATGAGCACTGTCAATTCGGGACAACTGCCTGCGGACAGTCGCCCCACAAATGAGGTCACTGACAGTTGAAGCATGTGAACGTCACGCGATGCCGGATCCAGCCTAGCGTGCGCCCCACGGGGCCCTCGGCGTTCCCCAGCGGCTCCAGGGCCTCCAAAGGCTATAGGCAGCGAGCGAGCCGAGGTCCTTGGGGAGAGCACGTCGGTCGGTCCCTTGGACTCCAGATTTGTCAACCACCTCGCTGCGGAGAGGAGTGCATTGCCGAACAACTCTTTTAACTATTCCCTCTACCCTCCCTCTTCAACCTCCGTCTTCTGCTTGCTTCCCCCATTCCTTCATCTCCCCCCCCCCCGCCGTCGATCGCCCCAACATCACAACCGATCCGACACGACGCATCCCACACCCACCCACACACACAGACACGCCCGTCATGGCTGAGCAATTGCGATACGATGGCCAGGTGGTCGTCGTCACCGGTGCAGGCGGTGGCCTGGGCAAGGTGTACGCCCTCTTCTTCGCCTCGCGGGGCGCCAGCGTCGTCGTCAACGACCTGGGCGGCTCCTTCAAGGGCGAGGGCAACTCGACAAAGGCCGCCGACGTGGTCGTCGACGAGATCAAAAAGGCCGGCGGCAAGGCCGTCGCCAACTACGACAGCGTCGAGAACGGCGAACGCATCATCGAGACCGCCATCAAGGCCTTTGGCCGCATCGACATCCTCCTCAACAACGCCGGCATCCTCCGCGACGTCAGCTTTAAGAACATGTCCGACCAGGACTGGGACCTCATCAACCGCGTCCACGTCAAGGGCGCCTATAAGTGCGCCCGCGCCGCCTGGCCGCACTTCCGCAAGCAAAAGTACGGTCGTGTCATCAACACAGCCTCGGCTGCTGGCTTGTTTGGCAACTTTGGCCAGACCAACTACTCGTCCGCCAAGCTCGCCATGGTCGGCTTCACAGAGACCCTCGCCAAGGAGGGCGTCAAGTACAACATTATCTGCAACGTTATCGCACCCATTGCCGCCAGCCGCATGACCGAGACCGTCATGCCCCCGGATGTGCTCAACAACCTGCGCCCCGACTGGGTCGTGCCCCTCGTCGCTGTCCTTGTCCACAAGAACAACACCACCGAGACGGGCGGCATCTTCGAGGTCGGCGCGGGCGCCATGGCCAAGCTCCGCTGGGAGCGCTCGAGCGGTCTGCTCCTCAAGGCCGACGACTCGTACACCCCTGGCGCCGTCCTCAAGAAGTGGAACAAGGTCGTCGACTTTTCCAACCCCCAGTACCCCACAGGCCCCAACGACTTCATGACCCTCCTCGAGGAGTCGATGAAGATGGGCCCCAACGAGCAGGGCGAGAAGCTCGACTTCTCCGGCAAGGTCGCGCTCATCACGGGTGCCGGTGCGGGCATCGGCCGCGCCTACGCGCTGGCGTTCGCCAAGCACGGCGCCTCCATTGTCGTCAACGACCTCGCCAACCCCGACACCGTCGTCGAGGAGATCAAGAAGCTCGGCGGCAAGGCGGTCGGTGTCAAGGCCTCGGCCGAGGACGGTGACACCGTCGTCAAGGCCGCCATTGATGCCTTTGGCCGCATCGATATCCTCGTCAACAATGCCGGCATCCTGCGCGACAAGGCCTTCACCAACATGGACGACAACCTGTGGGACCCCGTCATGAACGTGCACCTGCGCGGCACCTACAAGACGACCAAGGCTGCGTGGCCCTACTTCCTCAAGCAAAAGTACGGACGCGTGCTCAACACCACCTCGACGAGCGGTATCTACGGTAACTTTGGCCAGGCCAACTACGCGGCGGCGGTAGGTCCCCATGATCACCAATCCCCATCTCGATGGAAGCTGACAATCTTAGAAATGCGGCATCCTGGGCTTCTCGCGCGCCCTCGCGGCCGAAGGCGCCAAGTACAACATCAACGTCAACACCATTGCGCCCAACGCCGGCACCGCCATGACCGCGACCATTATGCCCGAGGAGATGGTCCAGGCTTTCAAGCCCGACTACATTGCGCCCGTCGTCCTCGCCCTCTGCAGCGACAAGTGTCCCGACCCGACCAACGGCCTCTACGAGGTCGGCAGCGGCTGGGTCGGCAAGACGCGCTGGCAGCGCGCCGGCGGCCATGGCTTCCCCGTCGACGTCGACCTCGTCCCCGAGGAGGTCCTCAAGCACTGGAAGGCCATTGTCGACTTTGACAGCCCCAAGGTCGACCACCCGGAGAAGATGCAGGACTCGCTGTCCAAGGTCATGGCCAACATGGAGAACAAGCGCAACAAGGTATGAACCACGATAGTTCTCAGCCAGACATGTACATAGCTGTAAATACCAAGTTCTGCTTTTGCTGATCATCGCTCCGTCTCCGTAGTCCCCTGCCTCCTCCTCCCCCTCCAGTCAGGAGCCTGCCAGCGAGCACCTCGCTGCCATCCAGGAAGCCGTCAAGAAGGAGGGCCACCCAACCGAGTACAGCTTCACAGACCGCGACACTATCCTCTACAACCTCGGCGTGGGCGCCAAGAGCACCGACCTCAAGTACGTCTTTGAGGGCGCCGAGGATTTCCAGGTCCTGCCCACCTTTGGCGTCATCCCCCCATTCAACGCCGAGATGCCGTTCGACTACGACACCATTGTCCCCAACTTCAACCCCATGATGCTCCTCCACGGCGAGCAGTACCTCGAGGTGCGCAAGTGGCCCCTCCCCACCGCCGCTCAGCTCTCCTCCAAGGCGCGCCTGCTCGAGGTCGTCGACAAGGGCTCCGCCGCCATCCTCAAGAGCGGCGTCACCACCACCCTCGCCGAGACGGGTGAAGAGGTCTTCTACAACGAGATGACCGTCTTCCTCCGCGGCTGCGGCGGCTTTGGCGGACCCAAGCGCGGCGCCGACCGCGGGCCCGCCACCGCCCCCAACGCTGTCCCCAACCGCCACCCCGACGTCGTCGTCGAGGCCAAGACGAGCGAGGACCAGGCCGCCATCTACCGGCTCAGCGGAGACTACAACCCGCTCCACGTCGACCCTGCCTTTGCCAAGATGGGCGGCTTCAAGGCACCCATCCTCCACGGCCTGTGCACCTTTGGCTTCGCGGGCAAGGCCGTCTACGAGCGCTTCGGCGCCTTCAAGAACATCAAGGTGCGCTTCGCCGGGCCCGTCATCCCCGGCCAGACGCTGGTCACCGAGATGTGGAGGGATGGCGGCAAGGTCACCTTCCAGGTCAAGGTCAAGGAGACGGGCAAGCCGTGCATTGCCGGGGCGGCGGCGGAGCTCATGGACGCCAGCCAGAGCAAGATCTGATTGATATCTGGAGTGTGATGTGTAACGAACGCCCCCCAAGCAGAGGGAAAGTGAATCATTTATAGTCATGTATTATACAAGCACTGTGCTCTAATCCATTGTCCGTCAACGCCGTTCTGCTGCTGCTGCTGCTGCTGCTACGCCTGCTGCTACTGGTTGCCCATGCAGGCGATCTTGTTGTTGTTCTTGTGACCGTAGTAAAAAGGGGGCACCAGCAGTGATAATAATGCCCTTCCGGTCTCGTCTATGTCTGATCAGCACCAACGCCGCCCCGCCCAAACGCCAGATGCCATGGATCGCCAGATGCCGAGGCTGTCCCCATACCCACATGATGAGCCCGTACTAGAGAAAGAAGCAATTCACAACCAAGTCAAACACCTCGGCGGTGGTAGGTCGGTGCCCGCGCAGCACGTCCCAGCGGAACGCGGCGAGCTCGCCTCCCCTCGACGCGACGCCCGTCTCGAGGAACGCCTTTTCTTCCCCGGACAGGTCGCGATCCTCCTCCGCCTTCCACTTCCGCTCCGCCTCCTCCCTCGCTTGGCGGAGGATCTTGTTGGTGTCCTCCGACTCCCAGAGGTTGCACCGGTCGCACTCCTTGCACGGGCGCGGATCGCCGTCCGGTCGGAAGTGGTCGCAAAAGTGTCGGTATCCCTCTTCGCTCAGGTCGGCGCGGCACACGTAGCACATCTTGTACCCGCAGGGACACGTCAGCTTGTTGCAGCCGTCGTTCTTGACAAACGATGTGTTGCACTTGGGACACACGCGCTTGATGGCCAGGCTCATGGCCGTCTCCACCTGCGTCCGCAAAGCGACCAGGGACGATTCGTTGCAGACGTGCACATCCTTCCACGACTTGCCGCACGTGAGACACGACGGCCTGCCACACTCGGGGCTCTGACACGTGAACTTTTGGCCCCGTCTCCGCCGCCTGTGCCGCGTAATCGCCGCGTCCCACTCTCTTCGAAGATAACGGCCCCAAGCGTGCTGCTGGCCGAGCAGGAGGATCAGCACCGAGCCTGCTAGCGACAGGAACACGGCCATGGGCGCGAAAAAGAGCACACCGAGTGAAGTAAATGACAAAGAGACAATGCTGGCAATGTCGACCCGCAAACGCGCCTCGTGCGCCGGCACATAAATGTCGTCAATTTCCGCGTAGTTGCAGAACGGGCACCGCACGAGTGGCACGTTGGATGCGAGCAAGCTGTGCTCCGCAAGCCGCTGGTCGAGCTTGTGCAGGATCTCGGCGCCCTTCTTCTCCTCCGTCATTGCCCGCTGCATGTGATCGCGCTGGACATGCCCCGTGCACCCGTCGCCGTCCACGGCCATGCATTTCAGCGTGCCCGTGTCGGGGTTGATGCTGCTCTGCCAGCCTTGCCCAAAGACGGCCTCCCTGATTGAGTGCTGCACGCAGCGGAAGCAGATCATGTGGCCTTCCTTGTTGCAGTGGGTGAACTCCTCAAAGGTGCCGGGGCAGAAGCAGCAGGTACAGTCATACGTGGCGTCGGCCGCCTCCGCCTCCTCGTTGTTGATCTGCACGGCGTATTCCCTGTCGGCCGCTTCCTTTCGCTCGGCATCGCGCTCCTTCAGGGGCGCGATCAGGCGCGTGAACAACTCGCGGTCAAACTCGGCATTACCAGTCGCTCGTATGGCGGGATAGATGGCCCCTTGCCCTGTCGACCGCCAGACCACCAGGGGATGATGCTCTGCCTCGCCCGTGGCGATGGGCTTCCGTCGGAGGAAGAAGGAGGAGATGGTGAAGCGCCATGATTTGGACGACAGGGTGGCGAGCGTTTGGCGGGCCTCGAGGTACGAGTAGTTGGACTCGGCGAGGACGGCATTGATGTTCAACTTGGACAGTCCCTTGAACTCTTGATAGGCCAGATTTTGCACGGCGGTGATGTATTCCTTACTTCGAAAAGACTCTCCGCGGGGGATCGGTTCGGATTCGCCCGTGTGATTCTCAGCAACCCTCCATCGCCCCTTGACCCACTGAACGCGATTCTTCAGTAGCGTATCAGCAACCAGTGCCAATCGAGACTCGCCATCAAAGCTTCCGAGAAGCTCGCGGAACACTTCGATCCGGATGTCGGGGAAGACGGCAGCCAGGGCCTCCAGGCTGTTGTTCAGCTCCCGCAGGTTCGGTCGCTCGGGAGGTATGCACGGGAGCTGGATCTCGTCGTGGATGTACTCGGGGAGCAGTTCGACTTCGGAGGCCGATGAGGAGGCTTTCGGACGACTGGACGCGGATGCTGGCCTTGGTGGCCTATCGCTCGAGGTGAGCAGGCCAGTGAAGACCATGGTGGGCGATGCTCATACTGCAGGGATCGGTGCGAGGGTGAACTGCTAGATGGACGAGGATTGCCAGTACACACAGATGTATGCGCGTTTCGAAGTCTGTATGAGACTATCAATAACTGGTATAGAATTGTTGATGTTGGTTTGTCCTTTGTCTGCCGGAGGAGATCAAGGATGTATGATGATTCCTATGAATCTAACGTCACGTGCGAATTGTCGGGTCCGTGCAGAGGTACCTTACCTTGTATATCCGATACTCTGGTATCCGTACTCCGGACTCCGTCGATTAATATACCTAGGAGTGCACGTCGACTTGTCTCACAGTAATTAACCTCATTCCTTCTCCTCTATTATACACCGATACCTTTCTACTTTCTGTACCCGCTTGACTAACCGTTTTTCTTCATCCGGCCTTGCTTTACTATCAAGCCATTTCGGAAATGACACGCACCCAGATGGCATCCCCACTAATACGCCGCCGCTGCCAGGGCGCGCAATCCGAACACTCATCCTTCTGCTTATCAAAATAAGTGAGAACAGGCTCATACGAAAGCTGTTTATAAATAACAGACCGGCCCTTTTTATGTCAAGACCAGACAAGGAGACAACATGTCCGAAGCCCACACTATACACTTCATCGCCAACCACATGTCCATACCCGTGCCGAAGATAATATGCGATCGTCCATAAAGGAACAGCACATATAATCATGCCATATCAAGGGGCGAATGACAGCATCTGGCTGGGCACTTCGTTCAAAGGAATCGCAAACGAGAATACTAGATCCGCTCCGCGGTATGATTAACGAGCTCCGCTCGATTCCCCCGCCGGAAGGGACGAATCGTCGACGGACGGCCGTTTTTCGACTATTGTCTGCCCAGGAAATTCTACTGTGGCCCGTTCGCTACCACACGCGAATTCCATCACGCGCTATCCGATAACAGTCCATGGCACGCCAACTGCACCAACTTCCCTGACCTCGGTGAGCTTTTCGCATTCTATCAGCAAGCAGAAGGGAGCAGATTGGTTCTCACCCATGGTGGTTCTTCACTCATGGTGATCTCAGCAGCTTCAATATTCTGGTCCATGGGGATGCTGGCATGGGCATTGTAGATTGGGAGACAGCAGGATGGTTCCCGTCATACTGGGAGCATACCACTGCCAAATATGTCGACCCCGATAACCCATTCTGAGAGGGACCGGTCGATCGTTTCATAACGCCGATGCTTCAGGACTGGAAGATGGAAACTATCAGACGCAAGTATTTTGGAGATTTCTGATTTGCCTCTATACAGAGTGTCGGATTCGCGCCTGGCCGGCTCCAGCTGCCTCTATGGCATCCTGTCCCCGCGCTGGACTCGCTGCTGCCTATTGACCGCCAGCATAGGCATATGCCAGTACAAGCGTGTCTTGCCGTTCGATCATACGGGTTCAGTTCAAGCGCGCATCGGCAAAGGGCGGCCGGCATTTGAAGTTCGACCTTGGCATCCAACCCCCAACAAGATATCATTGTCTGTCATACTCAGCCTTCCACAGAGAAGTCCACTTCTCCTTGTCGACGGCAAACTCCCGCACAAAGTCATGCTCGAGCTCGTGAGTTCTCCGCCCGAGAAGAACCAGGCTATGCAACGGGGGGCCCAACGCCTCATCCTGCGCACAGAGCTCCTCCAACGTCCCGGCCACGAACTTTTCCGTCTTCCCACCTACGCGCGCCGCCCCAATGGCGAGGCTGTCCTTGCTGTAGACGCCCTCCTTGCGCTCCTCTTCAATCTCGAGCATCTGCTGCGCACATTGGCCGACTGTCATGTACCTGGGCGGCTCGTAGATCAGCCGGCCCCGGGCCATGTTCTCCAGGCTCTGCTCCTTCACCTTTATGTCCACCAGGACCAACGTGTGCAGGCCGATGGTCCGGTTCTCCTTTATCCGGTCGTAGAACGAAGATGGTTTCCAGGTGTCTGTGAAGAAGACCATGGAGACGGTCTGGCCGAAATTGTACAGCTGGAGGCCGCAGGCGCCGATGCCCGACATGATCGATGCGTTGGGGACGGTGCCGACGGTAATGCCGAGTTCGCGTGCGCGGATGACGAGATCGGTATGTGTGGTAGCTCTGCGATTTGTGTCAGTCCGTCTCCGGTGCGCTGGCGAGGGAGGGGGCTGCCTTGACTGACCCAAAGGGATCGCCAACGACGCAGAATGCGACGTCCACGGTAGCAGCATCGCGCAAAATCTCGTCACTGTTGGACTCGACCATCTCGCGGTCGGCAATCGTTATCGAGCGCCCATAGTACTCTTCCTGTTCAACCGTGAGCTCCCGCCATGCTGTCCCGTAGCCGCAAGACGTACCAATTTGGCCTGGTCGACCAGAAGGATGCTCGTGTAGGCTTCGAGGTAGACCCTCGCGGCCTTCTTGACCACCTCCAGCCCCTTGACTGTGATGTCTGTCTCGTCAGAGAGACCTAGCCCCACGAGGTACAGCATGTTTGTGGTGATGTTGCTGGTAGACGAGGCTAGAAAAATAATCGTCGCAACTTTCAATCGACATTTGAGAAATGCCCCGCGGCGGGGTTGCGATCCCTAGCTTCGCTGATCCTCTATTATTACCTTGTGCAGTGTTTGGAGAGCAAGATTGGCGCATTGCTGAAACACTTGTTGCTTTTCCATCGGTGTTTCCCAGGGTTATTGCGAATTCGGAGGGAAATGGGCAAGCGATGCATGGTATATTGAGTGACAAGAGCATGTCACATCATGGTGTGCTTGTCCCTCGAGTCCTGGCAAATAACCGATGCCAACACTGAAGCTCAGACTCAGCGTATCTCGTGGACATCGTCCTGCTACAGAGCTGCTGGGGCAACACCATAGAATTGATAAATTGGTCAACACCCGTCCGTACATCAAGGATGCCAAACATCTTATGGTGCTTATGCCAGTCTGCTCTGCCCAAGATGCCCTGCTTGGTGAGTACCTCAGCAGGCTCGATGTCCTCCAGAGGGCACACTTTTAGCGTCTCTGCACCCTTGATGCGGCACGGCACGTCATTACCACCCCCTGTCCGGTCACGTCGTTTCCATCCTCAACTTTTCCATGCGCGTCTGTACATAATTACCTGGTAGTACTATTAAGGCACCTCAGCCTCGACCACTGCCTCTCCGCCCGCGCGACACCACAACACACAATGGCAGACAAAAAGGGCAGCGCATATGGCGCTCCCGCCGGCGACACCGACTTTCGCAAAAACTACGATCTAGAGGAATACACCGCCAAGGCCGCCGACCGCGAAGCTGCCGAGAAGGAGGAGCGCAAGGCTCGCTACGAGGCCAAGCTCGCCGGCAAGAAATACCACAAACCTCTCACCGGCGACGAGCAATACGCCACAGCCCGACGCACAATCATCGACCTCGAGTCGCAGGTCGGCAAGACCCAGCTGGTCCCGGCGGGTGCGGGCGTCGGCAAGCGAGGAAGGGGCGCTGGTTTCTACTGCGAGGCGTGCGACCTCACATTCAAGGACAACTTGCAATGGGTCGAGCATCTGAACACGACGCAACATTTGGCCAACACGGGACAGAAGACAGAGGTCAAGAGGGCCACGGTGGAAGAAGTCAAAGCAAGGATCGACTACCGCGTCCGGAAACTGGAGGAGCTGGAGCGCGAAAAGGCCACGAGCCTGCAAGAGAGGCTACAGATGCGCGAGGAAGAGGCAGAGCACGAGGCGGAGGAAAAGAGGGCGAAACGGAGGGAGGCCGCTGAGAAGAAGAGGGTGGAGAGGGAGCAGGCGGCCAAGGTCAAGACCGAATACGACGAGGATCTGCGGATTGAGGGCGAGCATGATGAAGAAGACATGATGGCCGCCATGGGCATAACAGGGTTCGGCACGTCGAAAAAGTGAGAGCTGGTTTTGGATACCCCGAGGCGGAGAGAGCAACATGGCATTGGCGTATGGACGGCGTTCTTGTGGAAAATCATGGGCACTATCGCGTTGGCAAAGGGGTCTGCTGACTGCAATCATTTATTTGGCGTCATATACCAGTCGTATTTTTACAACAGAATGGTCAGTGTCAATTCATTCAGACTGTCGAGCTCCAGTCCGCACCGCGCATGTGGAAGCTGAGCTCAAGGTTGTGGAACTGCCCCACGCGCCACTTCTCCAACGCAGCCCACCTCCTTCACATCACAAGGACCCTTCCGGTCCAGAACAACCCTTTCATTCACCTGACTGGCGTGACTTTTGCTCTCGGGGCAGCTCTCCTACTCCTAGCAGCCTAATAATATTTGTAGATTACGAATGCCCGCAAGACAGCTCACCAACTGTCACCATGAGCACCGTCACAGGCGTAGCCGCCCTCCTCAGTCGCCAGCTCCGCGAAATCCAAAAGTCAAAGGACCTTTCCGGCGTCTCGTGTGGTCTCATTTCCGATGCGAACATGTTTGAGTGGGAGATTATGCTCATGATCTCGGACGATTGCAAATACTACGGCGGTATGCGCTCCTGGTATCCCTCTGTGATGTAGGGCAAAGGCCAGGCTCACAATACCTATCTAGGAGGCAACTTTCGCGCCCGCCTCACCTTCCCACCAGACTACCCACTCATGCCACCATCGCTGACTTTCCAAAGTCCCGGCATCCCATTCCATCCGAATGTCTACCCCGACGGACGCCTGTGTATCTCGATCCTGCACCCGCCCGAGGAGGACCAGTACGGGTACGAGAAGGCGAGCGAGAGATGGAGCCCCGTACAAACGCCCGAGACCATCCTCGTCAGCGTACTCAGTCTGTTCCACGACTTGAGCGACGAGAGCCCAGCGAACGTCGAGGCTGGAAAGCTACTGCGAGAGGAGAGGGAGGGTAAACACAAGGAGTTCCGTAAAGCAGTACGAAAGTCTGTCAGGGAAAGCCTCGGGGAGGATTGAAGGTTTCGACATGTGTTCGGCGCAGCGATCTTTGCTACTTTTGATTTTCTCAAGGGGAAAAGTCTTTCATAGCGCCGTCTTTTTTGCATGCATAGCGGAAGGGCGGGCTCCCAAAAAGTTATTACATCAATATAACTGCGTTTGACCGCCGGCTGGAATGCACGAATCAACTACGCCAATGATTCTGCCAACCACACGATCCCACTCCTCGTCCCATCGAAGGCTTCCCTCGCTAATAGCGCCCTTCTTCAGCCTCGCCAGCTCCTTGACCCCGTCCACGCCGAGCAAGCGCTGGAACACCTCAGTCAGCTGCGGCGCAGTCTCAAAACCACAGCCATTCACGTCCTCCTTGATCAGCTCGCCGAAACTTTCAAAGGCTGAGTAGGCCGCTACAGGCAGACCGGCGCCGAACATGTCGACCACCTTCATGGGGAGATCGACGCCCGAGCTGGATTTGTGCAAGGACACGCCTAGGTCGGCGCAGGCGAGGAGCGCAGCATAGTCGCGTGTCGATAGCCACGCTGTCAGGATGCGAACACCTGGCAGTTTACCTTGACTCTCGAGCTCTTTTATCGTGTCAATGTAGGGCTGCTTCTGCGGTCCCTTGCCTGTGATGATGGCAAGAATAGGGGCTGGGTTATCCGTGGTACTTGTACCGTGGACCGCCGGCGCAGCATAAGCCATGAGCGCATCTAGTAGGATACCAAAGTCCTCGTCTGCCGTCCACGAAGTGCTACTGACGATGAGTCGCACCGTACCATCGATGATGTTCGTGGCGTCCTTTTTCGTTTCGCCTATGCGCGAGAGGACAGCAAACCTCTCTTTGGGGTCAGTGATCGGCTGAAACACGGCCGCAGGGCGGTCATGGAGTGTCACAACGGGCGTTTCCACCTTGAAACTCGGGCCCTTGAGTTGACGACACATGGCATCCGTGACGGCCAGATTGGCGTTACCAAGGCGACGACCGAATCCCTTCTCGTACCACCTGTATATCGGCACGAGAGGCCGCAGCAAGAGCGTGGTCGACAACAAGGTGTGGCCATAGTTGTGCCAGTCGACTATGACTTTGCTTCCTCGAACCCAAGCGACAAACATGGCGACATGGAAAGTCGGGATCGAGGGTGGGTTTTGTATGATGATCCATTGTGCTGCAGGTGCTGCGTACATCATCTGGTAGTACAGTGTGCAGAACTGGTGAATGACCTTGTAGGGAATCGATAGCAATGGCAGGGTCCCCCAAGCGATCCATTCAGGATAGGGCGATAGGGCATAGAGCGAGACATTTTCCTTCCCAATGAGCTCTGGATGTCTGGCCGTTTCTTCAGTCTCGTTAGCATCCTGCAACATACCCATAGTCAGGACCCGCGTGGTAACTCACCCTTATATCCGATCAGGTCTACGTGTATCCCATGCTTCGCAACGCTGATGGCATGGTACTGCATCCGCGGGCTGCGACCAATGTCGCCAAGGACAAGGATTTGGATATGCTCATCCTCAGGCTTTGCGGCGGGTACGTAGCGTGATGGGATCGCATGGCGGGACCTCTTTGCTGCCCAGAAAGTGAACCTGACGAAGAAGGCGAGAAAAATGATTGTGAATGCTCCAGCGAGCATCGAGAGCAGGAATGAGCCCCACATGGCGAGTGGCGTCGTGTGCCAGAGGCACGTCGGCAGATAAACGAGGGTGAAGTGAGGATTGGCGATGGTGAGCTAGAACTACAAGTGTGAGGTTACCTTACGTGAAGTGACGGACTGGAGTTGCTGAAGTGAAGTGAAGTGGGGCGCCGCGTTGCTGCACCTCCATATCGCCAGCAGCCTGAGCCAACTAAGGAAGGTACTTACACCATTCTCCTAGTCCAGTATAGGTAATTTAAACGCCAAACCCTTGAATGATAAACACTGCTGACATGAATGAAACGACAACAGTTTACTCCATGAATTGGCACCCAAACATACCACCCCGCAGAACCGGAACAATCCAAGACCATGTCGAATTTGGCAGTTGACGCGCCGCTTGAGGGGCGGCTGCCGCTATCGAGCCTATCGTTATCAGGCCCCGCGAAATGGGTCTCTCTACCCGTGCCTTGGTGCTGGTCCTATGATCTTATCGCATCATGGCACCGCGGTAGCGTGTGCGACTTGGAGTCATCGCTGGTCATGAAAAGTGAGTTTTTTTTATGAGATCACCATGTCTTGTGACGGTTGTTATCAGCAACAGCCATTCGATTGACGCTGGCACTTTTGGCACGGCTGCAGGGGCATCCATGATGCCCACGTCTTGGCAGTCGTAGACGCGATGCGGGATCGCCAATTCGCCGCCATTCACCAACTAATAGCGGTGGGGAGTGGCTGCGTCCCTGGTAAGGCTCCTTACGTACCTACCTTAGTAGGAAGCAGGGGACTGCTACGTATAAGGGTGGCTAGACCTCCCAGCCGTAGACCGCAGCTGGTTGCGCATCATCTCTCCCGTAATTCCCAGCTCAAAATTACCATATTCGCCTCCTTTTTATTCTGTCCGAGGTCATTGCTGCGTCCTGTTAAGCTTGCGAGTAATTGACAGGGCTCACGCGTCTCTGTGGCAAATTTCGACGAACAATCGCCGCCTTTGAGCAACTGGTCACCGAGAGCATACTACTTGCCCCTGAGCGACTCTGGCCGACTGGAATTCTCCCAACGTCACCCACCGAAAATCTCGCTCGAACGTTACCGTGCTCGGAGGAGAGCGCCGCCAGACCCAATTACGACGTATAATTACACCTATCGAGCGCGATATTTTCAGCGCAAGGTGTAGCGCAGGATCCAGTCGGAACCATAGCACATGATAGCGACGGCGAAGACTCGAGAGCATCTAAATTGCCATTTCTTTCCAAAAACGTTTGCATAGCAGGCCGACTGCGAGGGTAATCGACCGTTGACTAGTATGGCCTCGTCGTACGTTCTGCCGCCCTCCGCCTTGCCCCACACGCACCACAAACACATGCACGCGCATTCGCACTCGCAATCATCAGTACACTCGTGGAAGTCCTCAACGTCGTCGGGCGGTGCTCTCAACGCGCACTCCGAGGGCGAACATAGGGCCCGCGATAGCCGATGGTCACACCAACGACATCATTCTCACGGACGGGCCGGTTCACACGCCTCGTACACGAGCGTGACGCCGTCTAGTCGCAGAGTTCCACCTGCCGCGCTGGACTTGTCTAATGGCCGCGTGGGAGAATCGGGACACGAGGAACACGACGTGATTACACCAATGGCCGGGAGCTTCTCGAGCCCCGACAATCGGCCCAGTGCCTGCGACCACGGTCATAGCCCCAGCCACAGCCACAGCCATAGTCACGACCATCACGACCACAAACATGAACATGACCATGAACATAACCACGAACATGACCATAGCCACGATGGCCTTGGGCACAACCACTCGCACGTACACGACGACCACCACAAGAAGGACACCAAACAGTCGCTGTTCACGCGCACCGTCCTCCCATATACTGCGAGATGGCCTGTGGTACACGCAATCATGACGGAGAAGGATTCTAGGCGTATTTTCTATTTCATGATGCACGTGCCCAATCGATTCCAGCAGACTTCCCTTGCTAACTGGCGTAATAGGATCAACTTTGCGTTCATGACGGTGCAGGCGTTCTACGGGTACGTCACGGACTCGTTGGGCTTGCTCAGCGACAGCATCCACATGTTCTTTGACTGCGTCGCGCTGCTTGTCGGCCTACTGGCCGCGGTGATGAGCAAGTGGCCGCCGAGCCAGAAATTCCCTTATGGCTTCGGCAAGATTGAGTCGCTGAGTGGGTTCGCCAATGGTGTGCTGTTGATGTGAGTGAAGGAGTAGCCACCCCAAAATCTGGACAATGCTAACAGCATGTAGGCTCTTGAGTGTTGAAATCGCCTTCGAGGCATTCGAGCGACTATGGGAAGGCAGCCAGCCGAAACGGCTAGGCGAGCTGCTTGTTGTGAGCACCCTTGGACTACTCGTCAACTTGATTGGGTTGACTTCGTTTGGACATCATCATCACCATGGCCACGGGCATTCGCACGGGCACAGCCATGGCCACGAGCATGACCACGGCCATGCCCATTCACACGAAAAGGGCGGTCACAGTCATGGCGGCGGCTGTGGAGGCCATGGCAACGACAACATGTACGGGATCTACCTGCATATCATGGCAGACACCCTTGGCAGTGCGTCGGTTATAGTCTCGACAGTTCTGACCAGCTGGCTCGGCTGGGCCGGGTGGGACCCTCTCGCCTCGTGCTTCATTGCAGGGCTCATCTTCGTCTCTGCCATTCCCCTCGTTCAAGGCTCGGCGACACACCTCTTGCTCAGCGTGCCGGAGAACAGCGAATACAATCTGCGCAACACTCTCGGCGGCATCCTGCAGCAGAGAGGTGTGGTCAGCTACTCTGCTCCGAGATTTTGGGAAGACGACCGCAGCGGCGGTGACGCGGGTGACAAACTCACTGGCGTTGTGCACGTGGTAGCCTCCAGGAACGCATCAGTTGACGACGTACGGGACAGGGTGGACGAGTTCCTGAGCAGGGAGGGCGTCAACGCGGTGATCCAAGTGGAGAAAGAGGGAGACAACTCGTGCTGGTGTAGCCGACGAGCGATGAACGCGCCACCCACCCCCAAACCCTTCTGATTGAGGCTTGCGAGCAGACTGGTGCACAGATATACAGCGCAGCCCTGTCGATTTGCCCTTGATCGTTATTATATCAGCGTTCTGTAAATATATGCCTCGACTTAATTGTTCACTAGCATACTCAATCATGCCATTGTACAGCGAAACCTTACTAGCGACGCTCTCTCATCAACATGTGATAATCAGTGGGGAATCGGGGATGGGCCACATCACAAGAAGGGCTCCATGCCCGTTGAAACCCAACGACACTAACGAAGAAAAGTCTCATCACTACATGTGGGACAAGGAGCATCAAATCAGCCAAAATTTGACATGAACCGTCTGCAGCCACGGTGCAACTCGGTCGTGCGGAGGACGCGCACAATGCTGAAGCGCGCGGAGACCCCGTCGCTTTACCCCAGGGCCCAGGCGTCACAGCCGGCGCATCCCCACAAAGAGCCGTAGCCGAGGTTCGGTCGTGGCACGGCCGCGAACACAACATCATTAGGAGGGGGCCCGTTGGAGAATTGTTTAATTTTCTGTGTCTTTCTCCAAATTGAATCCTTCTCATTGACATTTGGTCATCCGAGAAATTTGCCTCAGTCTTCGACATTGAACCCGCCATTGCGCCTTGTCGTGTTGTTGGATAAAGCCGACTGACTGACTGCCTGCTTGGCTCTTGTGACGTAGCGCCAGCAACCATTACCGACAAAGCTTGAGACAAGAGATCATTACCACCACCTTGTTTTCTCCGCACGACATTGCCGGCTAGGACGCGCGAAACGCAGCAGAGATTTCACTGAAGGAACAAGAATCGCCGTGTTTGAAAGCAGCAGCGGACTGGACACAACAGCCTGTGGTTGATTGGAGAAACAAACGGCAGGTGCTCGCTCTCTCACCCACCGCCAAGCCGTACCTTCCCTCCGACCGAGCTACTGGACCTCCTTCCTCGCCGCGCGCAGTCTCTCACACTCCCCAGCTCGACTCTACTCTAGCACACCCGCACAAACCGTGACAATGGCATCGAAACAAGAGGCCGTCGCCCACTCAATGCCCACGCCGCCTTCCAAGGAGGAGGCAAAGAGCTCCATCGCCTCCCAAGTCCGCGCCCTCGCAGCGGGTGGATTCGGTGGGCTCTGCGCCGTCGTCGTGGGCCACCCCTTTGACCTGGTCAAGGTCCGCCTCCAGACTGCGGAGAAGGGCGTCTACAACGGTGCCATTGATGTGGTGAAGAAGAGCATCGCGAGGGATGGCCTCAGGCGTGGTCTGTATGCCGGCGTCAGTGCGCCGCTGGTCGGTGTCACGCCCATGTGTAAGGAACATCTCCTCAAGGCAAGGAACACCAATGTCGCTGACCAGTACGACTAGTCGCCGTTTCGTTCTGGGGGTACGACCTCGGCAAGCAGATTGTCTCCGCTACATCCACGGTCTCCCCCGAGGGATTCACCATTGCGCAGACGTCCGCGGCCGGCTTCTTCTCCGCCATCCCGATGACAGCCATTACCGCGCCCTTTGAGCGCGTCAAGGTCATTCTCCAGGTGCAGGGCCAGAAGCAGCTCGCCCCCGGCGAGAAGCCGAAATACAATGGCGGCGTCGACGTCGTCCGTCAGCTGTACAAAGAGGGTGGTATCCGCAGCGTGTTCAGAGGCAGTGTCGCAACCCTGGCACGTGACGGCCCCGGCAGTGCTGCGTACTTTGCAGCGTACGAGTACATTAAGCGCAGCATGAGCCCCAAGGACCCCGTGACGGGCAAGCCAACGGGAGATTTGAGTTTGATGGCCGTGACTTGTGCCGGTGCTGCTGCCGGTGTAGCCATGTGGATTCCCGTCTTCCCCGTCGACACGGTCAAGTCGAGATTGCAGACGGCGGAGGGCAATGTCACATTGGGCGGTGTGGTGCGCGAGCTCTACGGCAAGGGTGGTCTCAAGGCCTTCTTCCCTGGATTCGGGCCAGCACTGACCCGAGCTGTTCCCGCAAACGCTGCGACATTCTTGGGCGTGGAGCTGGCACACAAGGCGATGAACAAGACATTTGGCACATTGAATTTGTAGATCGGGATTAGAAGATAGACTTTATTCGTCAGGCAACCCGTATGGGGCCTTTAGTGTATCTGACCTTGTTCATATCATTTGGTTTGGTCAGAACAACGTTCTGGTTCAAGTACTGAGAGCAAGTGGTATGCTTGATGAGAAAGAAAAATGTGCCATGATCCCTTGCTTGCCTCGCTATGCCGTAACAATCGCCACGCTTTTACGCCAAAGTGATGAGAAACCTGCGTCACCTAAGACCTTTCACCTCGTACGCTCATTGACTGTCCACCGCCGCTTCGAGATCTTCGGACCCTGATTTGTGTCCACCTCGGGGGGCATCGGCTGACCCCAGAGCCCTCTAGGTACTTCTTCAGCCGCCGGTGCCGGGGGCGCATCCTCCCAATTCGTCTGGAGCTTGATGGGGCCCGCCAACCTAGGCCCCCTAGGCTTCTGCAACGCAGGAACCTCACTAGCTGGGCTTTGCGTTGATGCCGGAGGTACCGAAGATGACGGTCCATCCAGTCGCATGCCATCAAAGTTGGGGAACTTAAACTCGTCCTCCGTGGTTTGGTTCGAGCCATCGTCCATCATTCGTAGAGAGGATGGCGTCGGCGTCCACAGTCCCACGGATGGAGACCCAGCTGATGGTGAAGGCGGCCCACTAGGGGTTCCATTGCCGCCTGAGGCTGAGGAGATGCTGCTCACAGAGGCCATGGCAGACTGCCTGGGAGTTGTCTTGGACGGGCCCGAGTCTCTGCGCACTGATGTGCCCACGACAGCGGCATTGGCAGATGAGCTGCGGCTGCCGGCTGCCGACAAGGGGTCGTTATTATAAGTGAAAGCCCCAAGACTGGGTCCGACCATTGTTCCCAATGTTGATGTCCGCCCCCGATTGCCCGGAGTGCTTCCCGTACTCCACGTGGTTCCGATGCTCCCTGACCTTGCGGATACGGGCGTCGACATGGTCGAGTGAAGGTGTTCGGTGCTTGCCGACAGCCTGATGTCGTACATGCGATCCACGGGGACGAGCGGATCCTCAGGTTGCTGTGTGGCCGTGTCGTGGTGTAGCTGTGCGTAGTTGAGGTTCTCCTTTCGGGAAGCCATTGTGATGGACGCAATCCCCACATCCATGAGTACGGGCTGGTGGGTGATGGCTCCGATCAATGCATTGCAGCCCGCGCCGTGCGATACCATGATGACCACCGTCTCAACATCCTCGTCGGTAGTCGGTATGTCTTTCTCCCCATTCGCGGAAGTTGAGACCAGTCGCTCTGGAGAGTCTGTGTTGGCATAAAAGTCAAGCATTCTCTTCAATCCGCCCCTGAAGCGCCGGTGCATCGTGGTCCATTCCTCGCCCAAATTCCCTCCGTCGCCAAAGCCTAGCGACTCCCTCATGGAGTCCCATTGATAATCAACCGCGAGGCACTGATCACGTGCATGTGCTACAAAGCCATCAGGGATCTTGCCCGCGCTAGACACTGCATATGTTGCTCGAGGGGCGTTGTAGCCTTTGTTGTTGCCGGCATCGCCAGGCAAGGCAACAGACGCTCCCGGAGCCGAAAAGGGTCCTTGTGACGAGGGAGAAGGTGTGCGATCCGGCGACCCGTTCCACAACGAAGACTTTCTAGGCGTTGGTTGCTGCTGGGCGGAAGCCGTATTCGAGAAGTCTGTGTATATGCTGTAATCCTCGCGCTTGAGCAGATCAGCCTTGGCGGTGCCCAGCATCAAGCTAGAGCTTGGAGGGGGGGTGATATTCTCGAAATATTCTGGTGACAGCCATTCGCCCAGAAACGAGTCAAGGCGCAGTATCGAAGAGCGAAAGTTGTTCTTGGTTTTGCCGGCCGGTGTCGGTACAGGGAGGAGCAGATCAGCTGGCTGCCCAGCAGAGTCGGGTGATGACTGGGCCAAGCCAGAGCTTATGGCGATCGAGGTCTGGACACATCTTAGGAAGGGGGAACTGTGAATGACGACTCGGAAGCGCTTGCGGCGGGACTCTTGGGAGGATGAGGCGCCCTTGGCTTGTTGGGCGTCGTTCTTGGCTTGTTCGAGGTAGTTGCTGATTTGCACACCGACTTGCCTGGCTTGAAGCCAGCCGCCGTATGTCAGAGGAGGGTCGTACGGAGTCGGTGATGATAGGTGCCACCTCTTGTCGGCAGCGTCCAAGCGATTTCCATGCCTATGTGGCGTTTGTCAGCTCCGACTCGACGACACTGTCAGGTGTTTCCTGTGCGACTTACCTGACGACAAAGAGATGCGAAGGTAAGCCAGCCATATCTTCTTTTTTGGGAAGGTTGCTATCAGATATGCTTCGAGAGAGAGACCAAGCTGAGTGCAGTCAACTGGACGCGCAGCTCTGCGTTTGTTTCGGCGGCGGGTCGTGGTGATGCGCATGCGCTATCGCGCTTGAGAAGATTGATAGCCACGTGGGGCTCAGCGCGGCTTACCACAGCCCAGCTAGGAAAGGTGATTCCTTAGGCGTTCCGCACAGGGCGTGATGAGGGCAAAGAGAGTGTGTGAACAGATGCTGGTTTGGTTGGGTTCGATTCTACATCACGTAGATGTGAAGGATGAGGAGAACGAGGATCAAGGTGGTGGGCATGGACGATGGGGCGGGCAGGCGCTCGCCGCATGTCATTTGGAGACGTGAACCGCGACGAGCAAAACTGGCAAGTACAAGATGACTTTCATATGCGAGCTGTCTCCATACCGCAACATGCGTGGACCGTGGACCGGGGCGGAGTTAGCAGGGAAATATCCCTTAGGAGGGGTAGCTTTAGGGGTTACGGTCCGGCTGCGCTGACCTACGGGGGGTGGGGGCAGGTGTTGCGAACTTTCAACTTGCGGTGCTGTAGGATCTAGACTTCTCTGAAAGAGTGCTTTCAGTGGCTTATTACTCAGGAAATTTCAGAATACCATTCATAAAAAGTGATGAGCATCCGCTGCCCGTCAGTCCCAACTTGATGATCATGAGACCGTCGACATGGAAGTCTGTGCCTTGTGATACACGGAGTGCTCAAGTCGGCGCAGCGTGCGCCTTTGCGTCGGTGCGGCTAGTGACCTCACCTCACCTTCGGGCGTCGGAGAGGGTACATGACAGAAGCAAGCAGACGTCGGCAGTGCACATCGGCGGGCCAAGACAGGGACTCCGGGCGGCATTGCGAAATGTTCAGACAGCCATGGAGACACTGATGGATATAAGCGCGCCAAAGGTCTGTGTATGTTTTTATGTAAAGTTTCGAGAGGTCACACGTCAAGGCAGAGGCTTGTCCAAGCATGTGATTGAGCAAGCCACTTTTATTAGCTCACGAGCGCTTCTGCACTGGCGCATGTCGTTTGCGGGGAGACTTCTTGTATTGGCGTTGGTCTTTGGATCCCATCGAATACTACTAGTGTAGTAGCCAACGCGGTAATTGCTTTTGGATACTTGTTTGAGTTCATACTGGTAGACAGTTCGCTTAAAAAGCGAAATCTCTCCCTCTTCACAATTGCAGTGACTGAACCACTGTTTGTTTACAAAACGCGGCTTCTAGACTGACAATGCCCCGACGATGGCACCACGTCAACCGCGGAAGGCATAGCCGATGGGTAGAACAGACCTATGATTACGAATCATGACTGATGGTTACCAAGAAGCAGCTAAAATTCACAGCTTTGGAAATTGTGACACCGAACAAAGCTGGCTGTGGAGCCAGAGGTGCAGTATATAGGGTAAGCTGTTTCCTCACAGATAGTTAGTTAACTACCAGCACCGACCAAAGTACGGGCATTGTCGCGACCCCATATTTGTAAGCTCGAGACATTGCCATGCTACGCCTTCATTAGCATCGACAGGTCTGCCAGCATCGTGATGACCTGAATGCGACAGCACCTGTAGCCGAAAGACTAAAGATCTACGCTCTTACACCCACCCTCATTTGAAAGCGGTTGCTGAGGACGCGCGATGCTGTTTAATCTCCGTCTGGCCCTCGTGGCCACGATGCTCCTGGGCGTCGCCCTTGCCGAGCACACGAACAACTGGGCAGTCCTGGTCGGCACGTCGCGCTTCTGGTTCAACTACCGCCACATGGCCAATGTGCTGGCCATGTACCGAACCGTCAAGCGACTCGGAATCCCCGATTCGCAGATCATCATGATGCTCCCCGACGACATGGCGTGCAACCCTCGAAACTCCTTCCCCGGCACTGTATACAGCAACTCCAATCGCGCCGTCGACCTCTATGGCGACAATATCGAGGTGGACTATCGGGGGTACGAGGTCACCGTGGAGAACTTCATCCGGCTCCTGACCGACCGCGTTGGGCCCGACACGCCCAGGAGCAAGCGCCTGCTCACGGACGACCGAAGCAACATCCTGGTGTACATGACGGGACACGGAGGCAACGAGTTCTTGAAGTTTCAAGACGCCGAGGAAATCGGTGCATGGGATCTGGCAAATGCGTTCGAGCAGATGTGGGAAAAGAAAAGGTCCGTTCCCTGGTTAAGGCACCACACGGGCATTGGCTGATTTTCGCAGATACCACGAGATCCTCTTTATGATCGACACGTGCCAGGCAAATACCATGTTCAGCAGGCTGTACTCCCCCAACATCATCGCGACCGGCTCCTCGAAGCTTGACCAGTCCTCCTATTCGCATCACGCCGACAATGACGTTGGCGTGGCCGTCATTGATCGATACACGTACTACAACCTCGAGTTCTTGGAGGGACAGGTCAAGGACATCAACAGCAAGAAGTCGATTGGCGAGCTATTCGACAGCTATGATATCAGCAAGATCCATTCCGATCCTGGCATACGCTACGACCTCTTCCCCGGGGGCGCCGACGCAGCACGTGGGCGCCTCATCACCGACTTCTTTGGAAACATTCAGAACGTGGAGGTGGACAAGTCAAAGGATCCCGGTTTCGACGAGGAGATGCTCGAATTGAGCAAGACCATTGCCCGATTGATGAAAAAGGCAGAAGAGGAAGAGGCTGCCGCACTTAACCAAACTGCTAGCATGCCAGCCAGCGTGCCCACCGAGCCTGCCAGCAAGATACTAGGCGCCACTGCGTTGACAGACGATAGCTGGTGGTCAAAGAAGGTGATCGGGGTGTCTGCATTGGCTGGATGCGCTCTGCTCTGGGGGCTTGGTTCGTTTCTTGAAGTTTAAATGATGTGGATGAAAAACATGAAAACTGCATGACGTTTATTCGGATCTACCGTGCTTGTATTAGAGATACTGTTTGTGTTGCATCTCATCGCAGTTGAACTTGGCTTCGACACGGTGGGAACTATCTAGTGTGGTGTATCCGTAGTTGAGAGTGAATGAAGCACTCGCGATCAAATTTCATGTTCATCCATCCCACTTTCACCAGACAGACTCATTATCCATCCCCCCAAGTGACAGCCATCCTCTGACTGTTGTGCCTTGTGGATATAGGCCAATTCTTGCAAAGAAGTTTATTATTGGATCATGGCAAAATGCTAGCAGTACATCTGCACCACGAAGATGCAACGATCGCAGGTAAATTTGACGTCGCGGTCATCATGATCGTTACGCAAGAAAGCTGAAAATGAAGCCAGATCCGCCCATTGAAGCCACTGTCGCTCAGCCCACGACCGCTGACATCGCACGCGATAGCCTGGTCCTGCGATGCCGAGCTTGCAGTGGCCACGGACGACACGGTTCACATCTTCCTTCCCGAGTACAACAACCAAAGCGATGAATCCGAAATTGCCATCCAAAGCCAGTTCACGTTGTCCATCAGCGCATCGAATTGCTTCATGCCCTTGACGGGTGTCAACAACCAACTCTGCGCTCAAGCTGGCGTCACCCTGCCGCCCACAAATCTCACTCTGAAGCAGGATGGCATCACTCCAGGGTTCTCGAAGAGCGCTGTGACCGGTCGAGGGACGGTCTCGCAAGTGGTCAGGGTGGAATGGTCACCCAACGGACTCGGAGCGAACCTGCGTCCCATCCTCATGGTCCTGACGACAAGTGGCGAGCTGCTTGCACTGGGCGAACAGGATGACCCTGCTACGTCAGGCGTCGCATCATTCCAGACGCGCAACACCAAGATGTGGAAGATACTCTGGGGAATAGGTGCTGGCATGCCCATCCCAGCGGAAGACCACGAAGGTGCGTACCGCACAATGGATGAGCGCATCGTGGGCTTTTCGTGGGCCAAGGAGGCTGCCCCTGGGCAAGCCCTGCTAGCATACGAGACAGACCAAGACGAGATTGTGGTCATGAGCATCCAGCATGTCACCCGGCCAGGAGGTGGCCATGTATGGCAAGTTCGGGAAGCGGCTCGCTTTGATGGCGACGGCCCCCATGGCGTACGTATCATGGGATTGAAGTTCAACGTGCCGAGAGCTGATAGTCCCCAGAGACAAGACGATTTAGATCCCGACTTCCAGCCATGCCAGACGGCCTTTGGGTTGAGATGGAGCCCCTGGGTGCTCTCGGGAGGAAGCCGAGTCGCCGCGTTAGCACACATTTCCCGGAATCACGTCAGTTTCCGCAGAGTCAGTCTCCCAAGAAAATGGGGGAAAGGAAGTGAGCCCAATCTGGTGGTGGCAGAGACAGACAGCCTGGCAATCTGCTTGGGTCTGTCTACTGATGCCTTTGTGGTGTGGGAGGACACTGTGAGTTCGCATGTGCAAGATGGAAATGACGAATGTTGACGAGACACAGGTTTGGAATGAAGGAAACTCAAGGCTGGCCAGAGGTGTGATATGCACGCCGTATCAAGTGGCGCCTTTCCAGCTCGATTTGCTTGACGATCCCAAGCCACTGATGCCAGCGCACTCATGTAGGGATTGCTCAACGACTTATGCTGCAACTGCAACCATGAACCCAATCACTGGTAGGGCCCGGCAAGCTATCAGTCATCATGCACTCATTGACAGCAGTCAGGCTTGGTTGTATACCCCACAAATCCTAGCCAAAAGACGGAACTTCCACTGTACATGGCTGTCCGATCATCCGTCACCGCCAAGAACCAGGACTGGTACGAAACGAACGACATTGAAGGCCAGTTTCCGACTCCGTTATGGGTACGATCTTTGAGTCGAAAGCCTACGCGCACGGGTACCCGCTACGAAGCTCCGCAGGCACTGGCAGATTCAGGTTCGGAAGAGTCGTCGTCAGACGAGGAGCAAGCGGAAGACGAACGAGTTGATGAAGAAGGGATGCACACTGGTGCTATGGAAGGCGTTCATCGAAACGGAGCAGACAGGAGCCCCAAGAAGAAGATACCTCTCCTTCGATACCGGCTACAAGGCGTCGCTCTGTCCCCTGGGGGCGGATGCTCTGCAGTCCTCGTCGAGAAGCAAAGCACAGTTTACCCTGGCCGTAAGGCTGCTTGCAAAGTCTACTTCTCTCACAAAGTAAACAAGGCAGATGACGACGAGGGGTCTCCGCTTGGCACTAGTAGCAAGAAATTGACTACCGAGGCTCGCACGTGGGAGTGGATGTATGGTGTAGGCGATGATGTACCAGGAGTCACGGTGCCGATCGACCATGCCATGCTCGAGGGTCACTCGCCGATGCGGGACTTTTTCAAGTTACTCAAGGCGAAGCAGAAGTGTCCGCTCTGCCAAGAAAAGGTGAGACTTGAGGGACTGGAAGCCAGGTGCTCCAACAACCATACGTTCGGTAAGATGAGACACTACTATTCTACGATGGAATTTATCTGACGCTCAAGCTCAGCCTCCTGCTCGTCTTCGGGCCTCGCAATCCTGGCGCCGGGTGTATCCAGGACTTGTGCTGTCTGCCGGAATCGATGCCTCAAGTACAGCGAGCTCGTCAGGCTGGCGACGGAGGAGTATGGTCCTGCGGCACCGTTGCCTGGACCGGGAGAGCTGTGCGGATACTGTGGGGGGAAATTTATCATCTAGGTTGAGTTAAGGGTAGGAATTAATAATAAAAAAAAAGCCCCAAAACAACCGCGAGGCCTGCTTTTGCAAGGCTTCTATCATAAATCTCAAGCAAAGTCTGGGCGGGTCTAGTACTCTTGACCCCAGGAACAAACCATGTGTAGCCACCTGACATAGTTCAAAATCAGGTGTAGTACCGAAGCTGAACCCACCTCTACATCCCACCAGACATTCGCTGAGTTGATCTGATACGTGCCTCCACCTCCTGTCTACACCGGGGTCCCAGGAGCTCAAGAAATTCTACCCCTGCTGGCTCAAACGCAGCTACAATGTCGGCTCTGCCAAGGTGAAATACCCAATAGCGGTGGAAAACTTGGAGCAGGTACTCGCTTGAAGCACTTGTCCCCAATAATTGAAGAGTCACATTGACCATCCGAACGCAACCGGGCGGCTTCAGTCGGTGGGCTGTCAATGCGGCAGTCAGTCGCATCTGAGCCTGAAGAGCGAGGCCATCGATGCAGTACATATCGGCGAACATGTAGATCTCGGCGAAGACAAGGATCTGGTCCTCCGCATCAGCAGATGGACACTTGGACTCCAGAAGATGGCATGTGTCGGGATTAGTTTTCGCAAGGGCCTGAAGTAGACTGGTCTGTGTGTTTTCAAACATGAAGCCAAGGACAGACTTGTATTGGTACTGACCAGCAGTTGAACAGTGCTGCACCAGATCGTCAATGGACATGAAATGCATCATGTTGGATATCGCGTCGTAAGCCTCATCTATGCCATTCAAGACAAAGTTTGGCTTGGTTTCCAAGATGTATCTACCTTGAAGTGCGTAGGACATGAAATGCTTAAACACCCGGACAGAGACGTGCTCCCACACAACTCTGCCCTCGTGGGATTCTTTCATACCGCTGTTGAGCAGCGCATGGAGAGGTCTGGATAATCCCTCGACTGCATCGCGAGGCAAAATAAACTCCTGAGCTTCTGGGCCGACTACAAATATGAAGTCTGAAGAGGTTGGAACTTGATTGAAAGCAGCATTTGCAGCTCCCAGCTCAGACATGTCTGTGTAGGTATGAATGCTCGGTACTTACTCCAGTATTCTGTCTGAAGGGAGATAGACTGGCTTGATTTCCTGTATGTTATTGGGTATGCCAAAAAAGAAAGAAAGAAAAAGACATCGATTTAGCGAAGTTTATACTAATTACAGCTCGGTCGTGAGAAAGCTGGGTAAAGGTGTTCACCTCTGTTCGCGTTACGCATTGCCCTGAATGACAAAAGCGTGTCATAGGACAGGTTTCTACGAGTTCGAACGCAAGGCAATTGGTATTTGTTTCTCCTTCTCAGGCCCATCAATATTGATGAACACATGAACAAATCGAGGGGTCAAGGCAAGTAAACAGTGACCGGATCCCAAAACTAGACGCCGGGGGTCCAAGGCGGACCTCGGCATGCAGCTTACCGCCGAAGTGGCGCATCAGCCAGAGGCGGACGGACGGCAACAGTTCGGCATGTCCCGCCCTGCGTCACTTCTGCAGAGATTCAACCACCGACAACACATGTCACGCGCTAGTAAAGCACACATACCCCGAAATCGACACCCGGAAAACCGTCGCTCGCGACCCCTCGGCCTGCGCGACCGGTTGATCAACCATGCGAGTTGGCGCTGGTGCGCGCAGTCACCTTCGCCCGGTGCGAACGACCGGGTACGCCCGCCAATGTGTTAGGACTCGCTACGCGCGATCAGCACTTGGGGAACGTGCGCTGGTCACACAGAACGGCTGCGCCTATCGGACTGCGCAGATCAAGCAGATTCAGGGTCTCCGTGCGGGCGCTGTTCGCTCAACAAGCACACGAGGGCTGGCCACGCGGTCAGGGATATCGCAGGACATTGTCTTGGGACCATTGGCGGAATACGACAGACGCGTAGAAACAGGGATACTCCGTAACGATGAACATCAACGAGGTATTTGCTCTTCTAGTATATGTGTCACACCGTCGCTCATTCTAGTCCGCAGGCATTATCGAGAACCTACAACACCTCCACGACGAACTGGTGCCCTACCAAGCACGCAAAGTCGTCCACCCTAGCCTCGAACTGCTTAAGCCAACCAAGAAATCCGTATTCTCCTCCCTCTTCGGGTCCTCTAAGAGCGGCCCCAATGCCATAGGTGAAATTCCAGAGGACCTGCCGCGTGGCCTCTACCTCTATGGGGATGTTGGCAGCGGCAAGACCATGCTCATGGATCTCTTCTACGACACCCTGCCCCCCTCAGTAAAGACCAAGACGCGCATACACTTCCACAACTTCATGCAGGACGTTCATAAACGACTACACAAGCTCAAGATGGAGCACGGGACGGACGTGGACGCCGTGCCGTTTGTGGCGGCGGATATTGCCGAGCAGGGCAATGTGCTGTGCTTTGATGAATTCCAGTGCACGGACGTGGCGGATGCCATGATCTTACGCAGACTTCTGGAGGCGCTCATGGCCCATGGCATCGTTATGGTCACGACTTCGAATCGTCACCCTGACGATCTATATAAGAACGGGATCCAGCGCGAGTCCTTCATCCCCGCCATCAAACTCCTCAAAGATCGTCTGCACGTCATCAACCTCGACTCAACCACAGACTACAGGAAAATCCCCCGGCCGCCGTCGGGCGTCTACCACACCCGTCTAGATACACATGCCAACTCGCATGCAGAGAAATGGTTCCGCTTCCTAGGCGACCCCGAGGAGGGAGAGCCGCACTCCGAGACGCAGAGCGTGTGGGGCCGCGAGATTGTGGTGCCCAAGGTCAGTGGGCGCTGCGCCTGGTTCACATTTGACGAGCTCATTGTGAAGCCCAAGAGTGCGGCCGACTACCTCGAGCTGGTGCGCCACTACGAGGCCTTCGTCGTCACCGAGGTGCCCGGCATGAACATTCAGCAACGGGACCTCGCCAGGCGCTTCATCACGTTCATCGACGCCGTGTACGAGGGCAACGCCAAGCTCGTGCTCACGACCGAGAGGCCGCTCACGGAGCTGTTTGTGACCAGAGACGAGATCGCCGAGAGCCTTCTTAAGAGCAATCCCACGCTGGATAAGAAGGACCACAAAGCGGCCGGCGAGTTATTGCATAATATCGAAGAGAACGTGGACAAGCTTAAGAAGACGGACTTGTTTGCGGGCGAGGAGGAGGCCTTTGCGTTTGCACGAGCCCTGAGTCGGTTGAAGCATATGGAGAGCAAAGAGTGGGTGGAGCGTGGCATGGGACTGGAGAGCCAGGGCGGCAAGGGGAACAAGGATAGCTGGACCAAGGCGAGGAGTCGGCAGTATGAAGACTCAATGTGAGGCAGAGCGTGCCTGTTTGTTTGTTTGCTTGCTTGCCCAGCCATTGGAAAGATACCCGTGTGCCCAACTTAGACCGTTGTCATTCTATAGGCTAGCCTCGCTATTTGCAGTCGTGAATCCGCGTGCGTTGCTGGCTACTCCCTCCCGAGTGATCTCCACCAACACCCTTCCACTCACGAATTCCCGCAGGCTCGGAATAGCTTCTGCATACTAAGCAGCGAGGTATTTCCCTACCTCTCGCGGATCCTGACCTATGTCGGCGCATCATCCCGTGACCTATTTGGCCAGCCAGTCCTCAGTCTTGTCACCCGGTCTCGTATGTCCTTTGATAGCCTCTGACCACATCTGTCCCTGGCACGGTCCGAACCCATACTTCCTTTTAGCATAGCTACGCCCTTGATAGAACCAAACGTAATCTGTAAGGAATCGGTGCCTAGACCGGTGCTCGCACCAGTCGGCAATATACTCGTCACCAAAGACACATAGCCTGGCCAGCTTGGGAAGGGGCGAGATGGCCGCTATCATATCCTCGTGAACAGGCGCGCCTCGAGAGTGCACGCGGAACGTTGACTCATCGTGGGTGCCAAATCCACTCGTGTCCTTTTCGGGTTATAAGCCGAAAGACCGCTCCTCTGGCGACAAGAGAGTTGTGCCGATGGCTTTGAGCATTAGCGAAGAAAGCCTCCAGCTTGGGGATTCGGAGATCCTCATGCTCGTTCCAGTCCAGGTGGTAAATAAAGAGCTCCTCCATCTGACCGGCATAGCGGCTGGCGATACTGACTTCTGTACTCTAACGCATCGTCGTGCGTGTCAGCTAGCCCGGCCGTGGGAAACGCCTTAAGATGAGGGAGCGGGAAACGGTCAGCCGATCCGTAGGTTGGCATTATTTCGCAAAGGGTGTCTAACGGCGCGAAGCTTTCTAAGGGCGCTGCTAACAAACACTCGAGTACTTATATGTCCATTAGGACCTCAATATATAACTACGTAGACTAGAACTTACGTAGCTTGTCGAAAATAACAGGCCTATTTCGGTAGCTAATAACTGCGCTCTACTCTAGTTCGTCGTTTAGATAGCGGCCTTGCCACGGACCACTATATATAAGCGACTCTAGAGATAATGAACAACGGCGCAGCAGGGTCTCGCGGAAATACTCTATATATTTATCGCACCCTATGAAGCTATCGAAGCCGTGAGAATCACCGAGGCCTAGATCACGTATCAGGAGCCGACTAGAAGGAATCGCCGACTATAGTCCTCAAGGTCGTAGAAGAAGAAGCTATAGTCTACGAAGTATAGCTTCTGCAGACGGCTACCGGGCGCCACGTGCCGTAGAAGAGAGGTTACTAGGACTGAAACCTCCTCGAAACGCCCTAAGTCTATCCAATGCACGCTCTCCAGATAGGGCACAGATAAGTCAAGCGCTTTAGCTAAGTCGTAGAGGAGGGGCTCCTAGTACTCTTCGTACTTTCGAATAACCCCGCCGGTTACTGACCTATCAATGCGCAAGTTATCTTGATAGACTTGGCTGATAGTGACGGTTATTGAGCGGATATAGTTGCCGATGGACGGAATAGCCTGTTCTGATTTCCCCTCCTGAATCAGGTACCGCAAAAAGGCCCACGATATCTCGCTGCGAGTGATCTAGACATCGGCAAACTAGTAAAGCCGCGCAAGCTGCTTGTATTTTCTAGAGGCTAGGGCAAACATTGACTGGTCGTGAACGGGAGGATTGCTCTGTGAGGAAGTCGAGGATACACCACAGTATCTCATCTAGCAAGTTCAGGAGACGACTTGCGTCGCGCTTGATGCTGTCACGGAAGACACGTCCGATGGGGCGGATGCTCTTGGTGCGTGTCTGTTCATGGCGAGGATCGAGCAGGAATGACCTCGGCGAGGCGATGCGTGTCTTGACCACACTCCTTTTGTCCATTCTGTGGGTGGAAGCAAACCGCCAAAATGACCATACACATGTCTCTCCTGATTCCAGAGACGTGGCGCGACGTTCAAGCAGCGTACTTATGGGAGCAGCGAGGTGGCATGCAGTTGGCTGCAGGGAGAGACGTTCAGACCACCGAGTCACTCGCCGTCCTTTCCAGGGGAGAGCGGTCTTCGCGGACCAACCAACACTTCAGCGTCCACATTGTGTATGATGCAATGCCACTTTGTGATAGATGTGATATCGATACTTACGTCCGTTCAGCGTCGAAGCTGCGTTGAGTCGGCAATCCTCCATTGCGGGAGGGGCGTCGTTGGATTTCTTTCAGCACGCTACGCAAACGGCAGTCGCGATGCCGTGGCGATGTGGGGGAAGAAATGGGATTCTCGGAGTGCGGATGTGGCCGCCCCCCTAATAGTAGTAGCCTTTTCCTATAGTATAAAAAATGGGCTCCACATACCCCGGACAGTTAGAGAAATACGTAGTCTCTATCAATATCATTAGGACATTGTGCCCATGAATGCTAGTATAATACTCTGAACAAACAGGGCGGTACGTTGGGCGTCGGCTAGTTCTAGTGTGCGCAGATGTACTGCATGCATGTAAGTAGATAGCTTGTGTTGGTCATGATCCATGTCGATAGTGGACCTGAGGCATTACCACAATCTAGGAGGTACGTGCGATTGTAATAGAATCCCCTCTACTTCACCGGGGCATATATGCGGCCATGACACCCACTGAAAGTATAAGCATCCCGCTGTAGAACATGAAACGGTTCTCGCGGCTAGCGTCACCTGGCCGGATATTAGAAAGAAAATTCCGCAGCGTGAATCAGGAGCAGCTTACCCTCTTCAATAGTAGCGAGAGCCATCACAGTCAACGCATTCAACGGCACCCTCATGAGCCCGTACACCTTTGCCCTTTGTGCGTCGCTCACAAGGCTACCCTTGAGATATGCCATGGCGGGAAAGTATATCCCGAGACAGAGCTCAAAGCCGCAAAACGCCCAGAAACGCGGCCCCTCGCCTGTAGCCCATACTGTCAGAAGTAAGCAAGTAGATGCCAACGCCATGGCCACTTGTAGAGCCGAAGACGACAGTTGAATGGAGTTGCCCGTGCTACTAATGTAGGCGAACAAGAACGACCCCAACGTAAATGAACACATAAAGTTGGCGAAGATAAGACCAAAGGGGGGCTTGCCTCTGGCCCATTCAAAGGCCAAGTCCCGGGCTGAGGTAAGAGCCTGCGACCACGAGTATACCATGATATACATGGAACCTTCGAGGAAGCATATCGTCATGCCGAGAGCGAAGAGTGTCCTCGATTTCGCGTGGGTCGCCAATCCAGGGGCCGAGGGCGAGTTCTCGACCGGCTTTTGCGTGCCTCTGTTCTCCACCTGTACCAATGTTAGCCATGCATCCTCGAGATGAATAGAATGAGGTTGTACCCAATTCATTAAAAGGAGTGAAGCCACAGAAAGACAGACGATGCTACCCATGAAAGGGGCAATCTCGGACCCAAATAAGTATACCAAGTACTGCGATAACACCCCGCAGACCACGGCCACAGGGCCATTCATAACTGACATGGCGCTGTAAATTGAGCTCAGTGCTGTCTCTGAATGATCGAACCCAAGCCTTCGGTATTCAGCAACCATCCACGCTTCAAAGACGGTGCACAATAAAGTCGTGCTGACACCACCCAGGATTCTGCCAGTGAACAAAAAAGGAACTCTCGAAGAGGTCATGGAAAGGCAAGACACCAAGTAAAGACCACAGTACCAAAAGCATGCTTGTCTTCGGCCATACCTGTCGGCCAGGCTGCCCACGAATGTTGCACTGATACCGCCACACAGGAAACCCGTGGCGAAGAGCATTGCAATCGTGGGCTCAGGTAGTTCGTACCTGTGTTTATAGACGCTGTACATGAAGGAACCCTGGAACAGTCAGTTTTGAAGGTGACATACGAAGGACAACTGAACGCCGGCCGATTTCAAAGCACACCTGAAGCCAGTCTGCTGCAACGGCGAACCCATACACCGACAAGAACTGGAGTCGAAAGTCGTGATAGCGATCTGCTGTTGTCTCGCGGTCGATGTCGTGGATCTCATCGTCAAGCAGCTCAATCTCACGCTCGTTGAGACTCTGCACAACTAGTATATCTTTGCTGTCTTGAAACGTTTTCCAGTATCCAGCTGCAAGCAGCAGAAGAACGTGGACAGTAAGACTTGCTGTGTAGATGTCCATGACGTTGCTAGTCCACAGATGGACTCGTGCCACACATGGGGATGCTGAAGCTACGTACGTGTATTTGAAGGACTAATGAGCGTACTGTGGAGGCCGGCTAGGATCAGCGGTACACCAATAAATACGACGAGGGGAATCCGAGTATGCTGCGCCGCCTTTGTTGCGTCGTGTGCGTAGTACTCCACCCCATTCTATACAGTTCACCGGAAAGGCTGAAACAAATCCAAGCCGCCTAGAAAGCTAACTTGGTGCACGTACCACACTGCGTCCGTCGTTCGCTGTTGTTGGGATAGGAGATCTCCGTCCTCAGGCATTACATGTAGTACAGGATGCTGTGGACTCCGTATCCGTATGTTGTTCGGGTTTGATTGGTTCGGAAAGTCACCAGAGCACACCCAGCCCGGCAACTTTCAATTTAAGGTTAAAGTATGCTGCATGCACTTGTAGTGGAGTGGCGTTGCGTCAGCGTGCACTGCGGGTCGAGTCGTGTACAGTGTCGATCTGGAATCCTGGATCCAGGGGAACTTGCCAAAAAAGCAAGTGCGTTCCGAGGCCGTCGTGGAAATTCCGAGGCGGTATGAGTGCCAAACAATCTGGCGGGGCCACCTTGCAATGCGCCCTCTTCATACTATCCTCACGATGCAGTGACTCTTTAGAACTTGGATGGGTCACGCATACGTCTGAGACTGATGAGAGCCTCAATATATCAACGGTTGACGACGCGATTCTCAACATAGCGGATCCAAAATAACGTCAATAATGATGCACAAATTCATCATCCTCTTGACGGCCTTCCCGGCTGGCCTTCTCATTCTTCTGCTCTACTCAAGAATGAGCACGTCAGTGGAACAAGCCTCTCCTCCACCCCCGCCCTTTCAGCACGTCTCGAGACACACGCACGACAAGGACCTCGATGCGAGGTTATCGAGAGCCGAGGCTATATGGAGGCAAGCGGCCCAAGATCGCAAGGTCATGGCCGAGCAGATGGGCTACAACCGAAAGTTTCCCGATGGCTACATCAATCCTTACCATGTTTGGGACTTTGCCCGACCGAGCTTCTCCTGTCCTCATGAACTGGAGAGGGTCGGCAAGCTGGGAGACGGTGGTAAAGTAGTGTGCGGGATGAGTCGTTACGAGAAGGAAAGCCCAGGGCCTTCGGTGGTCGATAATCCAAACAGGGAGCTTGTCATCTACTCTTTTGGCGTGAGTAGGGATTCCACTTTTGAGGCCGCGATGCTACGGCGTACGAACGCGCGCATCTGGGGTTATGACTACAGCGTCAACCATTGGGGTGAGGGCATCCCGAATGAAGGCCATTCGAGAGCAAACTTCACCAAGATGGGCATCGGCAAAACCACTCACCTGGATTGGAAACCCCCCATGTCTACAATTCACGACCTCATGAAGTTCAATGGTCACACCTTTATCGATATTGTCAAGATGGATATCGAGGGTGCAGAGTTCGACGCTCTAGCATCTGTGATCCAGTCTGTCCTCGAGGGGGGCTTGCAGCATGGCAATGCATCGCTTCCTTTCGGGCAGCTACTCCTCGAGGTGCACTTTATGAAAGAGCCGAAAGGATTCAGCATTCCACAGGATCCATCGTCGTGGCTGACATGGTGGGCATCGTTGGAGAAGATGGGCCTGAGGCCAGTAAACAACGAGGATAATTGGATTGGGGATGCGGTGCATGGGAAGCCGAGATTCATGGAGTACACATTGATTAACGTCTTTGAGAGGGACAGAAACATGCTGCTCTGGTAGTAGTAGTAGTAGTAGTAGTAGTAGTAGCGCGAAATTCCGAATCTGAGCTTGGACCTGGCTCACAAGTTTACAACAGACGCTTAAGCCTAAATTACTTCTCTTATTGACAATAGGGAGATTAAAGATTATGAAGCCAAACAAAAGCCTAGTGCCGAAGTGGTCATTTCACATACATGTAGTTTACAAACCTTCTCTTAGCGCTCTTACACGTTCTGCGTCCTTTTTCCAAAAGTCTGTTACCTCTATCTCGAGGTCCTTCTGGGTCGTGGCATTCGCCCATTGCGGCAAGGCGGCTGCCGCTCGTTCTAACCACGGCCCCATCCAGCTGTCGCGGGTCTTGCCTGTACCACAGCCGGCGAAATGAACAACCATGTCTCCTTGCATGACCTTCCAGGGCTGCACTTGGCCGCCATGCCCATCGTCGTACACATCGGTCGTCCCGTTGTCGAAGAGGCCGTTCTCCTCCATCTCCTTCCCGACGAGCCAGGCGCCATCTTTCTTGTCAAAGGGGTTGTTGAAAGGTAGCGAGTTGAACCAACGCATCGGCACAAATGTCCAGTGTTCTTTGCCTCGGGTTGGTGTGTCACTGAAGGGGGAATCGTCCTCCTCCAGGAGCCAATGAAAGGCGCTCTGGTCACGGAATCGATCTGTCTCGACCCTTTCCGGCTTGTAAATGGGGTACGCCAGGATGGCAGAGAGCATGGACACCGTCCAAGGATGCACACGTAGCGCGAAGGCGCCCGAGTTGATGCCGTCCCAGTTTGACGCGATGAGCATGTGCATATCGTCAAGATCAGAGTTGTCTCTCGGAGGTAGGAAAACTTCTAGTCTGGTCTCGGGGTTGAGAACGATTGTATCGGCATCGAACCAACTGCAACGAGATGAATCAAGCGGTTAGCCAGGGTTACCATGATCCGCGGGAAAATGAATGCGACGTACTAGATCCACTCCAGCCGCTCATCTTCAGGCTTCTCGAGCTCATTGACGACCACAGCGAGAAGATAGGCTGGCTTTGTCCAGGCACCCTTGGCCTTCTTCTTGTGTCTCTCAGTGGATTTGCCAACGGCCTCGTACGGAGCCGTGAACTGAGGGTAGCCGTGAATGTCGTTCTGCGCTTGATGGCTGAGAAGGGCGCGATGGATAATGTCGTTGTCGAGCTTGTTCGCGGCCACGCTGACCTTTCCAACCCGGGCACGCGTCTTGACTTCAGGCTGCTGGTGGCCTCTGAATGGGATTGCGCGTGACGGATTGAAGCTTTGGGCGTTTATCGAGTAGAAAACGAACAATGGTACCAGAAGAAGAAGTGTGCCAACAGCCAAAACGCCAGCTCGAGGCAAAGAAAGTGGTGACCGAAGCATGGTCGCTGTACATTGATTACTCCAGGGCTGACACAGTGGACAAATGCGGGAGCGACGGGAGGTATACTAATATATACAGTAGAGAATGGCGACCGTGACGCGCGTTATCACATGCAACATGTGCCAAGCAAGAGTAGATGCGACCTGTAACCCGGGGATTGGACACTGCCGTTCCGCCTAGGATCAATGCGATCAACCCTCAAATATCTGTGCGGTTCATTGGGCAAGGTTTTGTGAATCTCCTCGCTAGGTAAGACAGGCATGTAATTAGACCTCTGGCATGTTGTGGCCTGGCTATTAGCCCCACCTGGAAACCCGGCGAATCACCGTAAGCAGCCTCTCAACGTGGCATGGATCCATATGCAAGCTTACATGTACGGAGTAAGTGGCATATTTCTGCCCGGGCAGAACCTTCACAGTTTTTCTGAATGGCTGATCCAGCCAAGCTTCACAGTGTCCAGCCAACATTGTGACCTACTGTGTGATTCGTTTTTCGAACGTTAAATACAAGCTTAAAAAGTTGTCGTGTTTCACCTAGTCGGGAGCTGCAAGGGTTGCCGCGGACCGATGACAGGAAAGGGGACTCTTCTCCAAAACTTTACTCTCCCATACGCTATCACGAAACTTGGTGTGCGGGCTGCACATATGTTCGGCCAAGGAACTTGACAGACCAACCAAGTTGCGCCATGTCAGCGGTCAGAGTCGTTTAAATCCATGCTGGACAAACGGCAACACGCTTGGCAAACGTCCGGTTCTTACCTCAGTCTCATCCTAGACACACTATGTCGAATAAGAAACTCGCCCTATAAGACTATGCGGTCTTGTCTACTACCATCGCTAGCAAACCCCTTGCATGACCGTTCGCTATCTTTGACCACCACCGTTTCTCACAACATTGCAGCTGGTTAAGACTACCGCCAAGGGGGCAATCGCTCATCTTCGGCTGCCTCTGACGCCTATTCTACTTTGTTCATCAGGCGCTGGTACAGGCTCGAACGCTATGTCAGCTACGAGCCAAAAGAAAGAGAGTCACGACACGCGCAGGCCACAGCCAGGCATTTCCGGGTGTCCCAATTGCGGCATGACCTTTCAGCGGCTGGAGCATCAGACGGGGCATGTCTGCACAGGCTCAAGCAAGAAGCTTCATGCTTGCCAGTCCGCCAGTTGCACCACGGGCTTTTCGACAAGAGATGACCTGACGAGCCACTCGAGAATAGAGGGTGGTCTCAGTGCGGGAGCGACCAGTGAGAAGCTGTGGAAGCCCAGCCGAACGCAGTCTACGCCTCGAATGTCTGGATCTACGCCTCGAACGTCTGGATCTACGCCTCGGATGTCTGGATCACAGCGGGCTCCCGTGGGTAGACTACCGTTGCCCAACGTACCGCCGACTCATCCGGGCGCCTTGTTTGCCTTGCTGAGGCCCAAAGCTCACCGCTTGCCGAGAGATGTCTAGCCTCTGGACGACAAGGCTGCTGTGCAGTGCATATCAGACATGGGGTCTTGCCACCCACGAGGGGCTCGTGTAGGTGAAGCTCGCCTCCGTAAAGTTGCACACAAGACAAGTCGACGGATACTTCGCGCTTAACGAAGTACACGGGCGAAGAAGAGAGAAAGTCATCAGTGCCAGAGGTTGAGAGCACGGCGTACGCGTATTCACCATATCACCCTTCCCAGAAGCAGGCGATCGGCACTCACGACAGCGGATCTATTCAAAGAGACACTTTATGTGCCATTAGTTGCAGTATAGATGTGCTATGGAATTCCCAAACAGTCATAGTCAGGCGAGGCTTTGTTAAACATCACTGTGTTATTTGTGGAAGTTACAACTACATACAATCAAATCATGTAAGGTGAATGCGACATACAATCTACAATATTTGCTCGATGGTATCTTCTCTCCTCCTTCAGTATGGAGGAACCCATCGGATGCGCTCCATAGGCCACCGGAGTAGACCCCTGTAGTCGATGTCGAGATACAGCCAGACGCCACACATGATATTTTCGGGCCGTCCTTCAATCACCCATTGCGAATCAAGCCCTTTGAGTAGGACGGCGAAACAAGAGCATATAGCCAGTGCTGGGTCCATTTTCGATTGCAGACAACCAAGAAATCCGTCAGACACCCGGTACAGCCATGCAAAGGGATGTTCTGTACGTGCCTTGGCCTCACCGGACAACTCTGTGGGTCCTCCGAATGCAGATACGAAAAAGGCTTCAAGCTCATTTAGTGCCTGCAAACATATCTCGATGTCCTGCGAAACAGGGCCTTCTAAAACAAAATACCGTAGTTTATAAAATTGTGCCTTAGACCCATGGCCGAGGATAATATACTTCCTCGAGGTTGTTGGTGTATTCTGCGTGGGTTCAACAGAAATGCGGGCCGTCTCTGGGGAACGGGATGCGGTTTGATATCCAACGACGGAACGAACACCACACAGGAAGGACATGAAAATGTTTTCATCGCGATTGCTAAAGGCAAGATATTGTCCTGGTTGAGGGTCGAGGCTTAGATAATGGAAAACGAGCAACATGGCAGAGACGTACACGACCTCAGGGTCTTGCTCGTCGATAGAAGCGATTGTCGATGCGGTCGAGCGGAGGCCAATGGAATAGTGACGGTCTGCGTCAAGGAGAAAGTCTAGCCGCCTGTGAGGCTCTATTCTGGCCATGTATAGTGCTGCAAGACCCAGGATAACTTGAAGAACATGGTGATGTCGGAGACCAATCTCTGGTAGGCGCACGCGCCAGAAGTGCAGGGCAGCTTCGTCGTTGCCCACAGTTGGTGTGGTCAGAACCATGTAATGGTGAAAGAGCTCCATATCGCCGTATTACAATGGTGGCGGAGGAACATGTCGATTCAACACGAAAAGCTGGGACTCGAGAGAAGCTAGCCGCTGAGAAAGGATCTGGAAATGAAGCCTCTGTTCCTCCACATCACCCAAAGCGGGCTCCGAGGTACAATCGGAGCTCTCTAACGTATCGGTGGCATTGTACTGTGACGGAATGAAGCGGAGGTCCTGCTTGTAGGGACCTGCTGATGCGCCAACAGGAGAGGCAGAGTCTGGGGCGGACAGCGAGTTTGCGTTGCTGAGTCGTTCTTCGCTTGACGCTGCATCTGGCGACAGAAAGTCGCACCGAATCCCCCGGTCGACACATTTTAGACACTCGGGCGTAGTCTCGTCGCATTTAGTCTTGCGCCTCTTGCAATTCTGACAGCCCAATCGCGACTCGCGATGCGACCTCCTGTGTTGTGGTGTCCGTAGAGCTCATGTTGGGGATTTTGTGCCTGCAGGTGACTTGACGCAAGGAGTAAGCTCGACCGAGATGGATTTATTTATCGCAGATTTTGTGGACTCTGAGCATGGCATGGACGGCCTAGGAACGTGAAACGGACGAGTGTTTGCTCCAGGGCCAGGAGTGTGAGCCTCGCGGGGCGCCGGCACATTAGCCGTTCAGTAAGCGCTTAGCGCCAACTTTTAGCGCCAAAGAATGGCTGTGTTCGACTATCAATACCGTACATGTACCCCACAGGTGCATCACTCCCTGCTAACATGGATTACCTAGCTAATAGATTATAGTGGTTATTGAGGCCTGGCAAGATGTGAGAGCCGTACCCATACATTTGATGTTTTCCTTGTGTGCAGCCTGGCCTGTGATAGGCCAGCCTGGGGGGTAGTGTTGCGTATGTACGCCAATTAGCCACATTCAGAGCACATGTGGAATTCCCTTTTGGCCTGTATGATATTAATCAAGCTAGAATTGCACAATCAGCTCTGATTCGGTGTCATCTGAAATGCTTCATAGATGCCATCTCGATTCAATGGTTTCGTTCGGGCCCTTTGATGGAAACCGCCGGTTCGAAGAGTGCTCAATTGTTGTAGCGTATGTACGCTAATCAGCCACATTCAGAGCACATGTGGAATTCCTTTTGGTCTGTTTGATATCAATAATCAGTTGAGGAAGCAATCTCTCGTTTGCAATAATTATTGGTGTCAAAATTGGTCAAAGTGCGTTTCATTGAACCATTAACATGTCGCGTGCCACTGTGAGTGTAGTGAGTTGTCTCACATCGCATGCGTCTCCACATTATGAGACGACATGTTCATGGCCAAGGTAAAAGTCTAGTTAAACCTAGGAACTATAAAGAAGCTATACAAAGATGCACAAATGAATAGATGTAATTCAAATATCTTTGAGGGGTAGGTCATTCCTTCCGTCATGCCGTGACCGGTCTGCTCGCCTTGCAGCCGAGTCTGCGCTCCCATTTCTTCCTGTCCAACGGCGCAGCAAGGACAGAAGAACACAGTCAAGTTGTCTCCACAGCACGAGCCATCGATACCAAAGTTCCTGCGCATTTGTGCTCGCGTCGATGTTTGGATGATCCAATTCCGGGCTCCCAAGCTTAGAAGTCCAAAGACGAGGCACTAATGCAAATGATAGTTTCGCATGGACAGACCGTTTTCTTACATTTTAAGTCTCTGAAATACATCACCATTGAGAGCACTGTGGCTCCGCAGGGAAGGATCCCGCATCCGGGCCCGCGTCTTGCCATATGTGATGAATGGAAGGCAGCAGCTCATCAAGCCTAAAGACGCGTTGTCATTGTGTCGGCGTTTACTTATTTCTACAAATGTCGATATCTTTAGTTGTGGGATGTCTAGGATCATACATGTATCGCATTGAGAGAAGTAAGAGCAAATACAATTTTCCCAGTTGTTGCTTCTTTGTTGGGTCGTAAGTGCCTCAAGCTGGTCACTTTGGTGCCCCTGTGGGTATGACGGAGGCGGAGTGTTGGGCGTTGGTTGATGCTTTTGACTTATTATGAACTCGAGAGAAAGAGAACAGAAGGGAACTTGCGCGGTTGACTTTTACATTGAGTGTTCTGAGAAGCATATTACATGTGTCCCTTGGAGTTCTTATATGCGATGGTTCGGCCAAGTTCCACCACGTCAAAGCAACGAAGCTGATGCCGTGAATACGACAGTCTAACCCAAAAGGGACGTGCGTATTCGAGATTGCTTCTTTTGGATTAGCACGATACCCTTCATATTCCAACATTACCAAACATTATCACTGCCGGATCCTAATAGCTCATGGACATCTTCCTTGGTGGTGCTGCCCTACGATTCATATTCCAGCTGCACTTGACAGAGGTTTCCAAGGCTTGGTTCTTTGTGGCTTCGCATTTACAAGAAAATCCGCCAAGGTGGGGCTTCGCTCAGTGTTCGGCAAATACGTCCAAAGACGTCGGAAAGGAGGATTGTCGTCGCTCACCAGCAACTACGTAACCCGGCTCAAACCACCTTATGCAAGAATAATGATGGTCAGGTTACTGCAATGAAGTCTAATGCATTCGGCGGTCAATGTAGCAGTGGCGGAGGCCGCCCACCCCGGAAACACAGTCTGATATAATAGTTCCCGCCTCAATGGCCTCGGCCTTCGCCTCGCAACGTCGTACTGTCGTTTCTTCGGTGACTACATTCACCTTGCTTGTTTCATTGAACTCGCATGAATGTGTCGCGGAGCTCTAAAGGACTGATGAAGCTTGCATTTCACATCTCACAAATGAAGTGTCCCAGGGGCCAGCTGGAGATGGTGCAATTAGCTCGGGGAAGAACAGCCAATGATACCTCCGGGGTACCTGGAAAATGGGGCTGATACCCCTGGATGTGAAGGGTGGTTAGCGTCTTCACTCCGTAAACATCTCGGATTTGTGCAGATCGCTATCAGATATCCTTGTGCACCGCGTAACACCGACCTCGCAAGCTTGTGCGTTGGTTCAGCGCAGGGATGCGCCTGCATCCTTCTCCCCTCCGTCCTTCGAGAGCGCTCCCTCCGTTCTCCCTGCCAGCGCTGTGAGCCTTCTTCTCCTAATCATCGCCTTGTCGTCTTGGCTTTCCTGTCCTTCACTTCGCATTCTTTTTCCCAGTTGATTCGACTGCTCGGTTTTTTTTTTTTTTGGAGACGCCTCGAGCTGCTAGCAGGCTCATGTGTTGACTGATTCCCCGACTGCGTCTCTTTTGTTGTCGCGAGACAAAGCGCACAGTCCTTGTTCAGAACGCCGCGCGCCACTCTTTGCACTGCAGTTTGCCATCAAACCGTGACTACAGCGACAGAATCGACCAAAGCCGCGCGCGCAGTCAGCCAAGTGCTTTCGCCTGACCCATATTCTATCATTCATTGCTACACAGCGACGACTTCATCTCGAATACACGATTACCCGACGCCCTCATTTAAGCTTCGCTCTACAGCCTCAGAAGACACCAGCTGCCTAGAAGTACCTCATCCTTTACGAATCTGTCCGACGCCTACATTTTTCACGATGCCAGTGTCTCACAGACACACCCATCCCCGGAGGGAGCTGATGGATGTCGTCGGCGATATTATCGACGGTGCCAATGTGGCCCCAGGCGCAATTCCCGTTCAAGGTGAAAAGCGCGATGCCGATGCCCAGCAGGATGAAGCCGGGGCCAGCGTTCCCACGGTGATCGATGCGCCAACAAAGACCGCCAACATTGCTACAGCTACCGAGATTGCCAAAGCCACCGGGCACGCGACGAAGCCAGGCGATGAGATCATTGGCAAGGTTACTGCGACTGCGACGGAACCGCTCAGCGTACCTACCCAGTCCTCGTCTTCAAAGAACTCGGACGAGCAGGTCGAGGAGGGCATGACCGCTGGAGCCAAGGCTGGTATCGCTTTTGGCATCCTCGGCGGTGTCCTCCTCATCGCCGGGCTAGTCTATTTCATTGGAAGCCGACGAAAGAACGGCCAGCAAAACAACGAGAAGTTCGCGCCAGCTGGCTTGGCGCCACCTCCACCGATGAAAGACTCTGTCAAAAGATCGAGCAAGTCTCCCCGTCTCAGCCTGCGACCAGTTACACATTTCTTTCCCGGCTTTGGCGACAAGCATACCAGCAAGGGCCCCTTTGGTGGCTACTCCATGAGCACCGCGGGTGCATCTGGTCCAGGGAACCGCTCCCCAGGGCCATCGCCATTCGATCGCCCCGGGACTAGCCACAGCACGCATCCTGCCAACCCATTCGGCAACCAAGCTGAACGTGCCGCTTCATCGGTCACAGACGAACACAGCATGTACGCCCGCAGCACACCTCCTACCCCGGACAGGAGTGCCAAACCGTTACCGTCTATTGGTCGCCAGCAGTCCATGCGCGCCGATCGCGCGAGGAATCTTGACCTAACCTTGCCGGAGTCGAGGGGCCCACCGAGCCCTGCAGGCACTGAGTTCAGCATGTCATCCATTGCTCCTGGTACAGGTTCTGCTGCTCCATCAAGTGGCGCTGCTGCGATTGCAGCCGCCGGCGGTCCTCAGAACACTCACGTCTACCGTGTTCAGCTTGACTTCCAGCCCAGTTTGGAGGATGAGATGGAGCTTCGCGCGGGTGAGCTGGTCCGACTTTTGCACGAATATGACGACGGCTGGGTAAGTTGATAGGTGCACTTGTGATACCGAACTCCGCTAACCATCCCAGGCGCTTTGCATCAAACTTGACCGCTCGCGCCAGGGTGTCGTGCCACGAACTTGCTTGTCAACTCGCCCTGTGAAGCCTAGGCCACCCCAAGGCGGTGCTCGCGGGCCCCCAGTCAATCCCAACGGACGTCCCGCGTCACCAGCTCACTCTATGAATGGACCCGGACCCTCGGCATCGCCTGCGGGCTTCCGATCCCAATCGCCTGCCGGAGGTCGATCGCAGTCGCCAGCAGGGCGCCCTCGCGCACCTAGCAAAAGCCACGGGCCGAGCCCCATGAACCCCAATGCTAGACCAAACCGTCCGGCGTCTCCCGGATCAGTGTTTGGCCAGGCCATGTGAAGAGAAATCAGTACAGCCACCTGAATTGCATAAGCTTAGTCATCATCTGCGACAAGGGCCGTCGAAAGAAGAAGACAGTTAATAGGGAAGACGTTCGATAGTTGCTGTGGATCAGCTGGGCATTGCGTTGTGTGCGGCACATATGGATGGGCCGGGGAGTTCTTCGTTTCTAACCTGGTTAGGGGTCTCATTCTCAACCCTCGCTGGTCACACCTATTACCCCTGTCATGAGATTTGGTCTCAAGAGGCTTGATTCCTTTTCCTGGTGCTTTGCATTCTTTCATGTATTGGTGGAGCCTGCATTTTCTCAAAGCGAGATGCCGAAAGCTGTGTTGGTTGCCTGGGAACTAGCAAGCCAACACTTTGATGAGATAGATGATTGATATCCACTCGCTCTCTTGGCCATTTCGTGCCCTCCCGCTTGCCCTGAAGTCGTGTGTTCTACATTGCCATACTTGAGGCTGAGGTACTGCTTGATATGCAATGTCCTGGTTCGTAATACGTGGCATTCGCTGGCGTTCCCTCGGCTAGGCCTACTTTGATCGCTGCCGTCTCTGAGATTGGCGTATGTCGGAACTGATCTAGGAAAACGGATGCGCGAACTGCGCTTCCGAGACGTGACGCCCGAGAAGCCATCACGCCGGCGATTGTTTCCTTTGGGACTCCGGTGTCTCGATGTAGGCTCGGCCACATAGCAAATGGATGCCAGACTAGGCAGTTACTGTACACTTGTTTCTGCTCTGGAAACATAGATGGGTTCAAAAATTGCCTTGTTTCGTCGCACCCCTAGACAGTCCTTACAATATGGTACATGATATACAGAAGCACTCAAAGCCCCTTCTCGCGATGCCCCACGACTCGCGCAAAGGAGTCAAAGGACATGGTCATGGAATGCCGGCCGGCCGTCTTGCTTCGAAGATGGTCGTCGTAGTTCAACATTTCCTTGTAGGGTACCTTAGCGACGATTTCCGTCACCCTGGCCATGGATTTCTTGCCACGGAGCGACGTGACAGAATCATAAGGGTCGGGCGGTGCGTATATCTTGGAAACATCAATGTGCTCGTCGCCCGTCGATTCGGCAGAGCGGTCGTTGACCTCGAGAATGGCACCGCCTGCGCCGGCTGTCACGTCGTGTTGCACGGTGCCCGCTGCGGCTTCGGGACAGAGGATATGCACGAGCATGATGGGCTCCAGGATACCCATTTGGTGCCTCTCTAGTGCGCCGCGAAGGACAGCCTGCACGCCTGCTCTCGCTGCACCGCTAAAGTGTCCGCCAGTTGGGGTGGCAATGGCACCATCCGAGTCGTCCAGGACTACCTTGACAAGATTGCCATGTACCGGCGCGGCCCTTCTTGGACCACTCGCCATGCCGGCTATTGCACCGTTGAGCAGCTGATGTCTCGTCTCCTCAACATCGAAAGACTTTTCACCGTCGGGTATCTGTATATCGTAGACATTGCCGTCCCGTTCGAACGCATTCTGTGCCTCGGCTTCAAACTCATCGGGCGTCAAGGGGCGGATAGCGACGTTGCAAGTCACCCTGCCAGCTTTGCTCGCCACAGCGCGGTCAAAGACGGTTGTGAGCGGCGGCGCCGGCTCCATGAGGCATTCCTTGTAGTCGACTTCAATCGCACCAAACTCGGCGTCAATCTTGTATTTTTGTCGCATGTTGTGCAAGGACACGTCAAGATGCAGCTTGCCCATACCCTGGATAGTGAACTGGTCCGTCTTTGGGTTCCGGCTCCACCGCAGACTTGGGTCCTCTCGCGACGCATTCTCCAAGGCTACCTGTAGCTCCTGCGCAGCCAAGTTCCCAAACGGGTCGACTTGCAAGAATGCCACCGGGGGCGGAATCTCAGGAGGACGGATTTGCATGTGTTTGAAGATATCAGCAGTAGGCTTGTTGCCCACCGTCGTGATCAGGGTGTCTCCCGTGCGTGACTGCTTGAGTCCACGAAGGGCACCGATCTGTCCAACCGTGAGCTCCTGGACCTCCTGGGTCTTTTCGGCTGATATTTGTAGGATGCCCATCGGCCTCTCCGTCGCGTGTACGTGTGTATTGAAGGTGGAGGCGTTCCTCGACATCGAACCGTGGTACACGCGGACGAAGCTTATGACACCCTCCTTGGGGTGGTTGAACACCTTGAAGACGGATGCGACGGAGGCAACTGTAGCCTTGGTGCCTTTCTTGTCCTTCTCCGTGAGATATGCCAGAAGCTTCTGCTTCTGGCCACCTATTCGAACTTCAACATCCGGTCGCTCGTGTGGGCTGGGAAGATAGTCTGTGACGGCGTCCATCAAAGGCTCAACGCCGATGTGCCGGAAGCTCGAGCCTGCGAACACGGGTATGACTGAGCCATCGCCTGTCCGTATCACCCTTCTGATCGCCTGTTTGATCATGGCAGAAGGTATGTCCGTGTTCTCAGCTAGGAACTCCTCCATGATGGCCTCGTCAAAGTCCGCCAGCCCTTCAATAAGCCGCTGCCGGGCGTTCTCCACCTCAGCAATCAGGTCCTTGTTCGACGAGGTCAATTTCTCTTTCAGTGCATCCGACTCGTACCGCACTTTTTCCCGCTCGGATTTCCAGCGATATCCAATGCGGTCGACGATGTCAATGACCCCAACGAACTCGTCCTTCTCCCACCATGGAATTTGACAGACCAGAGGCCATCCCTTGAGTCGCGTGCCGATCTCCAGAACACTTTTTCGGAAGGAGGCACCTTCACGATCAAGCTTGTTGCAATAGACGATGCGCGGGATGCGGAAATCATGCGCTGAAGACCAGACCCGCTCGGTGTGTGCCTCCACGCCTTTGACAGAGTCGATGATACACACAGCTCCATCTAGAATAGGCAAGCATCGGTCCACTTCGAAGCGAAAGTCCTGATGGCCTGGTGTGTCGATGAGGTTGACGATCTTGGGGCGAGTGCCTTTTGCACAATTCTGCGGCAAAGGCCAGTGGAACGTGATGGCTGCAGATTGGATGGTGATTCCTCTGGCGCGTTCCAGCTCCAAGAAATCGGTCACGGTGTTGCCAGCGTCGACATCTGTCATTGTTAGTTCCTTTCCACCAGATGAGAGAATTCAATCGATTCATGCCTCCGACCCGTTGTGTCACTCCACTGTAGAAGAGCATGCGCTCTGTGGTGGTCGTCTTCCCCTGAGTGGTGATCAGACCAGATTCTCATTGACCACATCAGATAACATACCGCATCAACGTGCGCGATAATTCCAATATTGCGCGTGTTGTCCAATTGCGTCCCTGGAGTCGCTTGACTATAAAATCTCCATCGGCCGCCCTGGTGCCATGAGACTGAGAGCCTTCTCATGCAGTTGAGCTGCTGCAGGCAACTTCGTCCGGCATGGGCCTGACGGAGCCGCGTCAAAATCATAATGACCTCGACACCCGGCTCACTAGCATTGCACGACACCGCTGAGTGCGCTTGTGATGAATTGTTGAGTCGCTTCAAAGCTCGATATCGTGCTTCATCGAGTGAAAAGCACCAGCCACAGCGGTAGCCAATGCTCGAAACGCAGCTGTGGCTGAAGAATGACGCACGTGGCTCAGCAAGGAAATGTGGCTGGGGGGCTGGAGCTCATCTCCCAGCGCCCAGCAGATCCGCCTTGTGACGAACCATCCACCTCAGCCTCCTTCGTACAGCTAGGCTGCTACCAAACCCAAGTCCCGAATCCCTCCATCCTTACCCGATCGTCGTCATCCAGGTCCTCCTTCAAAATTGCTGCCTGACCTCGAGTTATCTTATGTCAAGTACATTGGCTGTCTATCACCCATTGTACGCCCCGTCATCTCAAGTTTGCGTCCGCGTGTCCAGTATCGCCAACCACCGCCACAATGGAGCTCTCTGATATCTTGTACGATGGCATTCTTGCGCTGGCGCATCCGGAGGCGACTTTACTAACAAATCGATGATAGCCGCATTGTCAACTTGGCCATTGGTGTCATCACCGCCCTCGGTGGTATCGCCTCGATCTTTGGGTTCTCGCTGTACGTCTCCCTTCCCGTGGCCGAGTGCCAGAAGTTATCGCACGAGCTTGTGCGCCTCGCGCATACGGACTAACAGTTTGAATAGGTCGTCTATTGTTGTCGGCGTATACCTGATTGTCTTTGGTCTGGCTATTGCCCTGCTTGGTACATCTCCCTTCAAAATGCTTCGAGACGCGGGACGTGAGGCTAACAAGATGCAGAGTTCCAGATTCCTCCTCAAGTTTCACGCTATGCTTCCTTCCTTTTCTCTTTCGTCGGCCGTGGTGTTTGTAAGTGATTTATTTAGCTGACCCTTGCGGTCCAGGCGCAACTAACGAATGTAGTCTACATCTTCATCGGCTGCCTCATCCTCGGCGACATGGTGATCAGCAAGATTGCTGGTGGAATTGTCGGCATCGTCGGTATTGCCTACGTCGCCCTCGAGTTCATCCCCTCGATCGAGCCCCCTGCCAACATGCGCGAAGCCGACGTCGCCGGCTGGGGCGCCGAGCAGGTCTAAGCAGTGTGCCTTCGCACTACTGTGAGAGGCGGAAGGTGGATCAAACGACGAGATTGTCATACCGGGCAAAAGTTCGGGTTGGTGAGGCATGGAGTGGCGGGAGGCTGTCACATGTTGTACGTATACGATGGGACCGGTGCCCTATAGACCGAGGTGTTTTGCTGGCAGATGGGCTGTGATTACCAATACAGTTTCTTCGCATCATCTTTGCTCTCTCTTCAGGATGTCGCGCGCGCTGTTCTTTCCATGTGCCTTGTGAGAACGAAGCGCCGCTGCTCTTGAAATGGCGTGATTTCGAAGAAGGATACTTTGAGATGGTGCTATATGGCTTCTGTTCGCAGCGACGGTGGTGGTGGATCGCAGATGACCGGCATAGCGACACCTTCAGCTACCTATGTGGGATTTGTGTGTCAATTCTGTATGGCTTTTAACTTCGAGCCGGTGCTTGCACCTAGAATGCGCGCGTCTTGTAGACCAGGTCCCTCCTGGCGATCGTTACACTCCATAGCAACCTGGCGGGGCACAGCAACATCACACATCTTCGTCAACTCCCTACAATCACTCTCGACCATTCGCATCTCTAATGACGTCGTGTGCATAATTACCATGGCGCGCAAACTGCCGTGGGACCGCGATCAAGTCGATACACCTGCCAAGGTGGGAAAGAGCCCAGCACAGGCTCCTCGCTCGCCCGTAATCGCGAACCCATCCTCAGAACCCGCGAAGCGCGTCAAGAGACGATGTAAGCAACACAGCACCATGCGGCTGGACGTGATTATTCTTTAAATTCAATGAGCTCATGTTATTATTAGCACCTTCTAGAACAAGGAGTCCCTCCACATCTCCGCCTCCGGAGCCTCCGAAGGAAGAGTGCGTCGTGTCCTTAGTTTCACGTCCTCGTAACTCTGACATGCTGACGGCGCCCCTAGATACATGACACCGACTGATGATCTTTGGCAAATGGTCGAGGATGAATTTTATCAAACCGCGCAAAAGTTTACCGCGCATCTCCACCGCGCAGAGTACCAGCGCCAGAAGACTCTCGCTGCCTCGCAGAACGCCGCAGCCATCAGTGCCATTGCCCGTCCCACCGTCGGCGAAGCCAGCAGCCTCGTGAGGCAAAGATCTGCGTTGACGAGTAGAGCTCAAAGACAGAAGAATGTCTTGGGAGAAGAGGTGCCGGCTACGAGCGGGCTGCGCGGGCTCATGGACAGCCCAAAGAAGGCTGATCGCGTGCTGAGAGTAGGAGGAGGGTTGCTAACCAAGGCGGCAGCCGCAACCAAGAGGGCTGCCAGTCCCACGCCCATCCGATGGCAGGAAAGCAAGACTGCGAGGAGGGAGCAGAGCATGGCTGGTCAAGAAATCCTCGCCGCAGCCACCACCTCAAAGGTTCCAACCCGACCAGCCGCCCCGGCAGGGAAGCCATCATCGACGATACATCGTTCCAGATCGGAACCGAACCTTAAGAAGCGCACGGAAACAGCAGTCGAATTATCTTCGTCGTCCGGTGATGATGATGATGATGATCCCTTTGGAATTAAAAGAAGGCGATTACAGAGAGCAAAATCTCGTGAGCAACTACGGAGGCCGAGGGAACAGCCACGTGAACCATCGCCTGATGTTATCCCACGGTTCTTCTAAAACAGGCCACGGCGTACCGAGTACGATATCATTATCAGCATAGGGTGGCGTTTACTTCAATTTCATTCATGATACCCGGCTTTTCTACGCATCTTCCATGCGCAGCTCATCAAAGTCATCTAGCAGTTCCTCCATGTTCACCTGTGGCGCCTCGGCGTCGTCCGATTCATCCGCCATGCTCATCTCCTCTTCCTCCTTCTGCTGCTTGTACAGCGCCAGTGCCGCACGCAGCTCCTCGTCCTCCTCGACATCCCGCAAGAAGGCCTCGTACTCACGTTCCATGCGGTCCTGATCAGCCTTCTTGGGCAACAGCTCACCCTCATCCTTGTCCATGCGCTTGAGGCGCCAGTTGCGGCGGCGGCTCTTCTTCTTGCGGGGGAAGTGTTTCTTGACGAGCACCACGTCGGGCATTGTGGAAGAGTAGGTGCTGGACTCCTCGATGGCTTCGTACTCGGGGTTGTTGTAGTTGGTTCCGCTGAGGAGGTATCCCATGGCGGAGTCGCCTGGCTGTAGAAGGCCACCGAGATGTGTTCTGGTGAAGTATGTCGTGTCATTGGACCCGAGGTCCGAAGCGCGGGCAACGGTAGCCTCCGCGAGCTTCCACTTGCCCTTCTGCTGACCGGTGTACTCGACATCCATCACAATAAACTCAACCAGCTCTTGTGTGTCTGACAATGCGCTGAAGGGTGCCCGCCAATAGATGGGGCCGCTAATGTCGGCTGTCTGTAGGGTCTGAGGGTCCATCAGGTACACGGCGGTACCGATCTTGTAGCACAGAAGCAGAGGCGAGATGTTGCCCGCCTGCTTGGCCAACTTGATGGGGATCGCGACCAGATCATCCTTGCAGACCGGCACGATCTCGGCCGAGAAGGAGAACTTGTATGTCCTTTTCATGGTGTGTGTGTCCAAAGAGATCAGCTCCTGCGATGCCTTCACCTTGACAGGTACCACCGAGTTGAGGAAGTCGATAAACTTCTCTGCCTGATTTTTCGCACTGAAGAAGAAATCTATACCATCCTTGGCCTCTTTGATATTCAGCGTGTCTTTGTGGGCGCCATGCTTCAGGATCAACTGCTCCAGAAACAAGAACGTTCTCTTGTGCAAAACCTTTTGTCGGACCTGTACACAGGCCTGCCAGTGCGCGGGGGTATACGACTTTGCGCACTCGCGACATTGCTGTGTGTGTAGAAGGTAGAGCACCTCGAAGCTTTGCTGCAGCAGAACACCGTCCTGCACCGAGTCCTGGATCGTGATCTTGACTCGTAACCTCCTCGAGTGGGGCTCTGTCCAGACGAAACTCGCGTCGACGATGCGCACTTTGTTAAGACCTCGTAGCTTCTTGAGACACAGAGCGAGAAGTTCGCGCGACTCGGGCAGAGCGACGATCCAGGTTTGCGGGGGCAGCAGCCACCGGTCGCAGTCTTTGCAGAAGTGCAGGGTCGCCTCGCGCTGGACGCCTTGGGAGATATCGACCGTGAGTTTTACGCAGTCGTAGCAGAGAGCGCCGGTCGCAGATGTGCCATCGATGGGAGCGCCACAGTTACAGCAGAGGATCCTGGCGTGGGATTAGTCTTTGTTCAAGCAGGGCGGGGAAGCAGGGTACTCACGTCGCGCCATTGCCAGCAGTACCGCCAGGCTGGATGGCCACGGGCTGATCATCAATATCCATCGACATTTTCGGTGATTTATTTGGTCCTGTATTGACTCTGTTGAATCTTGGTGGGATGGTGACTCGAATGAAGGCGGGCAGGCCGGGCGGCTTTCAGGTCGAAATTATTTGCCCCGCTGCTTATCAAGCCGCGAAAAGTCTTATCGGACCCTGACGTTTTTTCCTCTGGAGCTAATTATGCACGTAACGGGTGTCACAATGACAATGTCGGTAAAGATGATGATGAAGAATGGCTCATACTCAATTACTAAAAGATCTTGTTCAACACCCTCGTGACATTTTCCGGCTGCGTCTCTCCTTCCTTTCCTTTCTTGGCCAGGGGTATTTGCTTAAAGGATATGTTGCCTCTGCCACCACCAGCCTTTGGTGCTTCTTCCTCCTCGGTCTCGGGCTTCCTCTTCTTGGACTTGGCTTTCGCCTGTATCCCATCCAGCATCTTTGCCTTTTCAATGTTCCGCACAAATTCCTTGTTCTCCTTGGTAGACTTGCTGATCTCCGCCCGCATGCGACTAGCCCTCTCCGCATTCTCTGTCGCGATCTGCTCCGTCAGGTTATGCCACTTGAAACCCTTGAGATACATCAGATTCCAAATGTCGTCGTGGTAGTAGCTGCCCTTCTTGCCGCCAATGATGTTGGCATTTAATAGATCGCACACTGCCTTGGCGTCCTTCTTCTTCAGAAACTCAACCCAGCCTTCTGTGTACATGCGCTTCTTGTTTCCGCCAGCCCGCACGCGCCGCGCATGTGCCGTGGGATCCTCGGGGGACAAAAAGATGCGATTGATCTTGCCATATGGCTCGAGCAAGGAACGTAGTTTGGCGGGTTTCATGAACGGTGGTACGCGGGAAATGTAGACGACGCCGGATTTCTTTACAGCCGCCTCTGTGACGACGAGGTTCCTCTTGATGCCATTCGTGGTAATATCGGGAAGTTCAAAGGCCTCTTTGCTCTTTGCTTTTGATGTGGCCGGTTCTTCACTCTGGTTCGCCGCCAGATCGCCATCTTCGTCCGCATCCTCAGACTCGTCCTTCGCATCGTCGACCGCGGGTTCAGCATCGCTAGCCTCTTCGTCGGATTCGACTTTCCGACGCTTGGCGTTGCGGCCGCCCTTCTTCAAATCATCGTCGGAGTCGTAGTTTGGGATTTCATCCTCGCTGTCGGAAGCGTCAAGGAACTCGTTTCTTTTCTCGGACGCCATTCCTTCGGTTGGGTGCTGCAATACCAGGTACTCTACTGAAATTGAGACTTGGAAGGCGCATGCGATCACCTTCAGAAAAAAGACGGTATCGCGATAAGAGCCAGGTCTGATAAGAGCCAGGTCTGATAAGAGCCAGGTCTGATAAGAGCCAGGTCTGATAAGAGCCAGGTCTGATAAGAGCTTATCAAGGCTCGGTGATTAGTGGTACTCATCGCTGGGTCGGACTCCGAAGTCCGATCGTCGATACGTAGGAACATGAACACAGCATGAGTGTTGGAAGATGCAGCTGGTGTGAACCGAGTCCTTTGATTTATAAACTTCTTTGAAAACCATGCAATTATCTGGACTGACTCTCTTTCATATCAACATTTCTCCAAGACGAGCGCGCCCTTCTTGACGTGACGCGAACCTTTATTCATTGTTGTGGGGCAAATGACATAGCTCGTGACGTGGGGCTCTGGCTGGTATCATTGCGAGAACGGAGCGCAGGAACTATCCCTAATCTTTCCTTATCACGTCTTTGACACTGAACTCATACCCTCGTTCAAGATCAAAATGTCTGTCGAAGTCATCAAGACCATCTCGCCCACCACCAACGAGCCCATTCTTACTCGGAATGGCGCTTCGGCACAGGACTTGGAGTCGCTCCCTCAGGTGGCAACTGAGGCCTTCAACACGTTCCGCAAGACCACACTGAAGGAACGCCAGGAGATCGTCAAGAGATTCCTCAAGATCCTCTCCAAGCATGAGGATGAGCTGGCCGAGGAACTCACGGTACAGATGGGCCGACCCATCGCCTTTGGCGGAAAGGAGATCCAGACGGCGATCAAGCGTGCAGAGTACCTCCTCAAGATTAGCGACGAAGCTCTTCAAGACACAGATGGCGAGCCGGAAAAGGGCTTCAAGCGTTTCATCCGCAAGGTGCCCGTGGGTCCTGTCCTCGTGCTGTTTGCCTGGAATGTGAGTACAGTCGGGGGGGGGGGGGGGGGGGGGGGGGGGGGGGGGGGGGGGGGGGGGGGGGGGGGGGGGGGGGGGGGGGGGGGGGG